CGCCTTCATAAGGTATTAACCTTGTTGGGTTTCCGTAACAGCCACTTGAGCTCGAAAGTCAAAAGTTATCTATTCTTAATAGAAAGTACACTAAAATATAGATATTTTTTTAACTAATATTCTCTCCTAATTCCTATTTTCTTATTTCCTAAACTCAGGCCATAGTGCCATGCCAAAGATTTCAGAGCTAATCCAGCTCAAAAGTTAAAAGTAATCTATTATTAATAGGGAGTATACTAAAATATAGATCTTTTTTTAACTAATATTTCTCTTTAACCCCTATTCTCTAAGCTCCTAAACTCAGGCCAGGATACTATATTAAAGATTTCTATTTTCTCTCAGGGCCACTTGAGCTTGAAAGTCAAAAATTATCTATTCTTAATAAGAAGTATACTAAAATATAGGTCTTTTTTTAACTAATATTTTCTCTTAATCCTTATCCTCTAAGCTTCTAAACTTAACTTAAGATACTATACTAAAGATTTCAGGGCTAATCCAGCTTAAAAGTCAAAAGTAATCTATTATTAATAGAAAGTGTACTAAAATATAGATCTTTTTTTAATTAATATTCTTTCCTAACTCCTATTTTCTTATCTCTTAAACTTAGGCTAGGATATTATATTAAAGATTTCAGGACTAATCTAGCTTAAAAGTTAAAAGTTATTTATTCTTAATAGAGAGTATATTAAAATATAAATATTTTTTTAATTAATATATATATCTAACCCCTATTCTCTAAGCTTTTATACTCAGGCTAGGATATTATATTAAAGATTTTTATTTTTCTTCAGGACCACTTGAGCTTGAAAGTTAAAAGTTATTTATTCTTAATAAGAAGTATATTAAAATATAGATATTTTTTTAACTAATATTCTTTTTTAATCTCTATTCTCTAAGCTTCTAAACTCAGGCTAGAATATTATACTAAAGATTTTAGGACTAATCTAGCTTAAAACTTAAAAATTATCTATTCTTAATAAGAAGTATACTAAAATATAAGTATTTTTTTAATTAATATTCTCTTCTAACTCTTATTTTCTAAGCTTCTAAACTTAACTTAGAATATTATACTAAAGATTTTAAGACTAATCTAGCTTAAAAGTTAAAAGTAATCTATTCTTAATAGAGAGTATACTAAAATATAGATTTTTTTTTAATTATTACTTCTCTTTAATTCTTATTCTCTAATTTTCTAAACTTAGACTAGAGTATTATATTAAAGATTTCTATTTTCTTTTAGAGCTACTCAAGCTTGAATATTAAATCTTTATAAATTTAAGATAATAGTATACTAAAATATAAGTCTTTTTCTAACTAGTATTTCTTTCTTACTCTTATCTTTAAAGCTCTTATATTTATATTCTTAATTCTTCTTTATTTCAAGAGTTATATATTATTATTATTACTTTATAATAGCTAGCTCTTCTTCTTCTTATCTCTACTTTCTTAATTCTAGAGATACTTTAAATCCTAAAAATACATGCTATTTATAACTAATTTACTAGTATTATACCTGCTAGATCTTAATATAATCTAATATTTTCTATAGTTCCTATATATATATAATTCTTATAATCTATAATTTATAACTAGTTTATTTATTAATAGTCTTATTCTCAGCTCTATAATCTTACTTAAAATTATTATACTTTAAATAAGTCTAAGAGATTATAATTATTACATGTTACTAAGAAATTATATTAAGCTTAGTCTATAAATATATATATATCTTATATTATAATACTATCTATAGTTACCTGCTATCTTATACTTTCTAATCTTATAATTAAAAAAAAAGAGACTAGATCTAAGTAATATTATAAGCTAGAGCCTGCACAGCCTATATAAAGAGTAGAATTAATTATAAATAATAGATTACTAGCTTACTTATCTCTACTAGCAAGTACTAGTAAATAATCTTAATTAAATTAATTATACTATATCTTTTATAATATATAATAATTAAGCTAACTATCTCATACTCTAGAAAGAGATTATAATACTAGTTATATATAGTATTATTATACTAAATACTAAGTAGCTTAATAGCTTATATAAGCTGTCTAGTAGTAAGATATAAGAGTAAAAGTAGTTACTCTAAGAACTAGTCTACCTGCTTTAAATATATCTTTATAATTAGAATATATTATATTACCTAATAATTATATAGCTAAATCTTAACTTATTTTATATATAACTAGTTAATAACTAGTATCTGATTCATGAGCTATTATTTCTCTTAAATAAGTAATATTATATAAATATATTTATTTCTAAGAAAGTTCTAGTTATACTAATTATTAATCAGATTATTAGTAAGCTCTATAAGAACTAGATATAATATTATAATCTCTTATATCTTCTCTAGATAGAGTAAAAATAGTCTCTTAAGCTCTAGCTAGATTTTTTTAATCTAAATATAAATAAAATCTTATAAGCTAGATATAATTAGTTATAGCTTCTTATAACTCAGAATTTCCTAATTATTATTTTAATAAATATATTCTAGACTAGTAGTAATATTCTAAATCTACTTACTATAAGTATATAATTATATAATCTAATTAAAAGAGACTACTTTCCCTGAAAATAAAAAGTAATCTTATATATTATTTAAGATATCTACTAGATACTTAACTTATTTAGAATCTATTATTATTATAGCCTGCTAAACTACTAGTATCTAGATTATCTTAACTAGTCTAGATAAATAGCTAGTAAAGTTATATAAGTTCTAAAATATTTTCTTACTTAAATCTATTTCAAGTATAGTTAAAAAGATTATTATTATACTTTTAAAGAGATTTCTCTTAAGTAAATAATTTAATAACTTAATAAATAAGTCTAGGCAAGCCTGATCTAGCTACTTATATATCTTACTAGTCTTAAATATCTTATATATTTTATATAATTTATATTTTTTACATGTCTTATATATCTTGCTAGTAGAATTAGATATTATTTCTTCTTATTATACTAGTCTAATAATTATCTTTATTATCTAATCTAATATAATAAGTTATAAGATAATTAGTTAGTAATCTAGTATTACAGAATAGTCTAGCTAGCTAGTATAATAAATAAAGTAAACTAGCTATATCTATCTTTAATAATAAGTATAATAAGTAAAAAGCTTGAGCTAAATTAGAATAAGCTAGTCTTATACTTATAATTATTATAAAAAGCTATTAATTTAAATCTAGTATTAAGTTTATAAAATTAGAATCTAGTTATATTCTAAGTATATATATAAAATAAAAAGACTTTATAAATAAGTTAAGTTATAAAATATAAGAGTCTTACCTGATTAAACTTATTAATTTATTATATTTTAATTAACTAGTAAATTATCTCTACTAGCTATTTAATACTAGTTATAAAAATTTTTAATAAGAGCTCTTATACAGGATCTAGTACTATTACTAGTAAAATAATAATTTTAAAGATATACTCTTATAAGAACTCAAGTTATTATATAAGCTCTAGTTAAGAAGATATCTTTATTATTATTTTAATATCTAGATCTAATACCTATTCTATTCTAGTCTTTATTAGATAAGTATCTTATACTAGAGCTTTCTTTACCTGTATAAAAATAATCTTAGTCTTACTTATAATAATTATCTGAGATATATATAGAATAGGTATAGATAAGATAACCTGAAAAAAACTACTACCCGCCCTGGTTTTAAAAAAGTACTAGTAGTTTATAACCTGTAGTAGGACATAGGCACCTACAAGACCAGTTATTCTAGTATATCTTATAATAATATTATAGGAGAATACTAGTAGATTATAAGATATAAGAATAATACAGGCAGTGGTAGCCCTAGTAAACTAGTAATTTAAAGATTAAAGAATTTTCTAGAGATAGTACTAGACAGAGCTTGTAAGCTAGATTAATTTATAGATACTATAATATAGAGACTAGTATAATCTTATAAAAAGATTTTATAATAATAGTAAGATAACAGGCATAATAATTAGTAAGATAAATAAGTAACTTAATTAAATATATAGTCTAGTTATATAAGTAGTAAATCTAGAGAGAGTAAGATTTCTTATAAGTAAAGAGATTTATAATAATAATATAATAAACAGATAGATTAGTAAGTTAGTTAATTAATAAGTTAAGTAATATCAGGGATTTAGAGAAAAGAAAAAGAAGAAAAAAAAAAAAAAATACTATTAGTATCTTAATTCTCTCACGGTCACTTAGAAGAAGTAGAGAAAAGAAAAAAGTAACTAAAAGTATCTAGACAGGCAAGGCAGCAGTGTAGAGAGAATCCCATGGGTAGGGCTATCTGCGGGCACGGGAGCACGACTAATAAGAACACAAAGAAATGTAGTATACATAGACTGGATTACATACTAGGGTATAGGCTCTCTTTCCTCTTGGGCTAACACTTGTCGAACTCTCACTGTGTCAGAATCTAGATGCACTTTATGCACCCGAGGACCGTGACACTAACAAGGCCCGTTCCTCTCTGAAGACCGCCCTGGGTATGTTGGAAATAGTGGAGACGGAGAGTGGCCCTGAATACGTAAACATGGTGAGACAGTGTCTGCTGTGGCATGGGAGAAAATAGTAAAGCTTGGAAGATGACAAGCTTCAGGAGAGCATCTTCCAGTTTATAATCCTGCCACTGATGGAGAATTTAAAATAATTTGAAGCACGAGGAACTTTGCCTTGGGTCATGAGGAAATTATCACGCCCTTTGTGAAGTAGGTTTCCTTTTGTGGTCTAATCCTTTTGAGATCTAGCCAAGCAAGCGTATATAGATTGAAGAGCATAGATTATAGACCAACAAAGGATTAAGTTAGCAGTATTGAACTGATTTTTGTTTTGTCTATCTGGTAGCTATCATTCACCATGATGATTGTCTTGTAATACTAGGCCTGTTTGGTCAATGCTTGTTCAATGTTTTCCAACCGACCCCCCTGTCCTGTCCTACCCCGCCTGCTTTTTGACAGCACATCATTTCGCATCTTCTTCCGCCACGTTCCTCTGTTTACAAAAGTGTTCATTTGACATCTCAAATATTTTCTTCTGGCAATTTTCTACATCTCTTCAGAACTCAATACAACTTTCCATGACTTGACCAATTTGTGATCAGCATGGATATCCACGACGTCTCTAATGTTCCTGAGTGCCTTAGGTATCTTCAAACACATAAGCAAAATCTCAAAAATGCGCAGGCTGTCAAAGGGCGTCTAGCAAGACCCCAAAAATCCAAAAATGAAATCCTGATGCAGTTCATGATTCGACAATCGATGGCAACGAAAGATTCTGCTAATCTGTCAAATATCCAATCCTCGTTCCTACCACCTGCCTACCCCCCATGCGTCAAACCCTTCAACGAATTAAAGAAGGTCATGATCGAAAATCTGTGTCTTGAGACTCATCACCGGGAACAGTATCTCCTTCTGAGGACAATCACTCCCACAGATACGATGACCGCCGTGATGGCCATCGTAGAAGATGAAGACGGCAATGTTCTCATGCTGCAGCTTTACAACCAAGAGCAGGAACTATCAGGCGCACAAAGCCTCAAGGAAGGCACAGTGCTTGTTATCAAAGAACCTTACGTCAAAGTAATGGCAGACGGGGACTACGGGATTCGAGTGGATCATCTGTCGGACGTCTGTTTGATCCCCGAGTTTGGCGACCTGGTTCCCTTATCTTGGAGGACACGTGTAACACGGGCCGATGAAAAATCATCTTCTTGGAAGACGAAAGGAAATGAGCATTTTCATCAGGGTGATTATCATTCAGCAATCCAATGGTGACTGCAAAATATTCCCATGTCCAGGAGGGGATGCTAATAATACCTTTAGCTATTCGAAGTCTTTGGACACTAATCCCTCGCCAGAATTGCTGACGATGACGCTGCTCAACCGTGCCCTTTCCTTCTTAAAAAGCTACCGCTTTGATGCAGCCTTGAGAGATGTTGAAGATGTTTTACAAACATCAGAGCTATCAGAAAAGGCTCTTTTCAGGAAGGCTCAGGCTTTGTATCAACTTCAAAGGTTCAAAGAATCCAGTGAAATCTATGCAGTACTTGCAGAGAAGTATCCAAATAACACCATGGCTGCGCATGAGTATACACGAGCATCAGCTCGGCTTTTGGAGCAGGAGAAAGGGAACTACAAGTTCAGGCAAATGATACTAGAGGCCAAAAAACGTCAGCCCCCAACACTTGATCGCGGCACTTACATTGGTCCTGTGACTGTGAAGCAAACTCAGTCTCATGGGAGAGGACTCTTCACGACAGAAGCGGTAAAGGCAGGTGACCTTCTGTTCTGCGAAAAGGCGTTTGCTCATGCATTCCACTATGAAAATTCCTCGACAAATCTCCGTCTACTACTTAATGTCGACATGGACAAAGCTACCATTGGTACTCAAGCAGAGCTTCTCGAGTTGATTGTTCAGAAGCTTTATAAAAATCCGTCCCTGCTACCAGGCTTCGTTGACCTGTATCATGGCACATACAAATCAGTGGATGTCCTAGAAGTAGATGCGATACCTGTTGTAGATAGGTATTTCACTGATCACCTATCTCAATATCAAAGCTAATAATTTTCCAGATTTTTTGTTGAAAGGACCATGGCCCTTAACGGCTTTGGGTGTCCTCTTCTATCTCGCCAGAGCCACATTAGCAGCATTAAAGGGGTTGATGATATGGCCGAAACAGCCAATGAACAATTTCATTCTTGTGGGGTCTGGTCGATGGCTTCATACATTAACCACTCCTGCCTGAGCAATGCCCGTCGTTCTTTCATTGGGGACATGATGATAGTTCGTGCTTCGAGGGACCTGCCTCCTGAGACCGAGATTAACTTCTGGTACCAATCACCCATGGACTGCGAGCCCAAAGGATTACCCGTCGACCTACAGAACTGGGGTTTCAAATGCGACTGCATATTATGCCAAGACACACGAAGTCATAGCAGAAATGCTTTATCAAACAGAAACAGTCTTTTGGCTGAGCTGCACAGATTATTCAAACGACCCAAGAGTAATTTGCGAAAGATTGAAGACACGCTTCTGAGCCTCGCAGGGACATATCGTCGACCAACATCTGAAGTCCCTCATCTTGCACTTCTTTCACCCTATCTGTCTCTTGCTGCGATCTATGCTTCATCCCAAAGACCTGGCAAGGCCGTGCAATTTGGGTTGATGAGCCTAGATTCACTTGGCTTTGTAATCAAAGGTGGAAATATTCCTCATGTCTCGAACCTTCCATTAGTTGTCCAAAAATGGGGCCTGATGACTGACCAAGTTGTGGGATGTTGGATGATTCTTTGCCGTGCATATCAAGAGCTCGCACCTAATCTCGTGTCCCAAGCTGAGGAATATGCCAGAGTCTCCTACAGAATCTGCGTTGGCGAAGATGAGACTTTTGATCAGACATACAGCAGGCTATCAAATCGGGTGGATGGCTTTTTGATGACCGCAATGTAGTTATTCGAGGCTATAACACAATAGCTGCACATCTTTACAGTCATGAAAGCAAGAGCAGTAAGATTCTAAAACATATTTCGAGCTATTATATAAAGACTAAAGACGTCCTTTTCCCCTCTGCTTTTATCCACGTCCGATTGAGGAAGTGTATAACATTTATAATATGGTTACAATTTTAGCTACATATGTCAAGACCTCAAGCGACCCCTGGATCACTGAAGGTATAAATGTGGAACTAACTGCACATTCCAGAGGCAAAACTACTAGCGGAATGCTGACTGGGTATAGTACTAGAGAGCATGATATTGGCAAAGTCAAGAGAGACTACTTTCCGGAAGAATTTGGCAGTCACACTGGACATTATGCGAAAGGTTAGTTGCCCTACTGAGGATTGAGAGCAAACACGTAAATTACACGCAGATGCAGTCGGAACAGTCTTTGGTTCCTCTTTTGCTTCTCAATTGCGTCAAGTCATCTCACCAAACGTCGCTCTCTGATACGTCAAAGCACTGGCCTAATACCGCAATAACAAATTTCAAATTTATACTGTTGATTCCAAGATGATTGGTGATATTATCTAGTCTTTATTGAGCAGTAAACTCCAGGCGCAGCAATTAAGGGCCGGTTCAGGAAGTATTGACGAAATAAAATAGGGCCTCGCTAGATGTCGATTTGTTTCGTGAATTGGATGGAAATTTTCTGCCTGAGGTGACCTGAATTAAATCTTAAGTAAAGTCGCATCTGTTCTTCATAGTAGGGAATTATTGAAACCACTGAATCGCTCATACATTACATCTTGCTCATTCGTGCCATTTGAGCTTCTGAGACTGAACGCTTAGTTTATTTCAGTCGACACAGGCGGTGGTTACGGAATCATGCTGGGGATTCTCAATATTTGTGGATTAACCCATTTTTGCCTCTGGTCCCTCACTAGCTTGGCACACAATTATTTTCTCCGTAGTGCTAGGTTGGAATAAAAACTGAAACCGTTGTGTTGTTATGAGATCTAAAATACTCAAACATCACTCAGCTAACTTGTTCTTTCTTGTCATTCTCGGCATTTTTGCGCCGTGATGCTACAGTATCATGAATCTTATACGCATAGAATCTTGTAATCCTTGAATAAATTCAAAAACAAGGCCCACTGAGTATGCTATTTATTAACCTGTCCGTCGAAGTACGGCCCTATTCAGATGCTCTGGATGCACCGACCGAATACCCGACAAATGAAGCGTGAGCTGTAAATCCCCCAAGATACTTTTGAGCACGTGGCGGACACCACTCTCCCCGGCAATGGAAAGCCCATACACATATGGCCGGCCGAGAAGGACCATCTTGGCGCCTAATGCGAGAGCCTTGGCCACGTCGGCACCACACCGCACGCCCGAGTCAAAGATCACTTCTAGCTCACTTCCGACGGCATCGACAATTTCCGGGAGCATGTCTAGAGACCCAACACCACCATCCTGTTGTCGTCCACCGTGGTTCGACACGACTATGCCTTGCATTCCGCAGTCGAGTGCTTGCCTTGCATCCTCAACCGTCTGTATGCCTTTTAGAACAATCGGCCCGTTCCAGTGCTGACGGAGAAATTGCAGGTCCTCCCACCCATGACTTGTGCCCGGAAAGATAGTATGGGTCCATTCAGCGGTGGCGAGGGAAATGTCATCCTCCACTTCCTTGCCATGCTTTTCAGCGAATTTCTTCCGGAAGACTGGATCGGTGAACCCAATTTCCACACCGATATTGTCTTTCCGAAGGAAGGGGTTGTATCCGTTTGAAAGATCCGATGGTCGCCATCCAAGGATATAGGTGTCAAGGGTGACAACTAAGACACTGAACTTAGCAGCCTTGGCTCGGTTGAGCAAACTCTTTGTGATATCGTTATGTTCATTGGATGGCCAATACAGTTGGAACCACCGGTGGGCGTTTCCATTAACTTCAGCGACATCTTCAATGCTCGTTGACGACGCAGAGCTAAGGATATATGGCAACCCTTCGGTTTGCGCCGCGGAAGCGACGGCAACCTCACCGTCACGGTGGAAGATTCGTTGAACCCCAACTGGTGCAATCCCAACTGGATAGTCGTACTCCTCGCCAAATAGTTTCGTCCGGAGCGAGGGAAAGTCGGACTTTACCAAACGGGACGGGACAATTCCCCATCTTCGAAATGCTTTGCGATTGTTCTCGTCCGTTTCCCTGGTACCAGCAGAACCCCAAACATATCCAAAGCTATCTGCAGATAGACGCTCCTTGGCAAGTGCCTCCCACTCTCGAGGGTCGACCGGGAGAGAGGGTCTCTTATCATCAAGACCTTGAATGTAAACTTGGGTCTCGTAGGCATACGGCGGGGGTCGGATGAAAGACATATTGGTTGAGGAGGGATCTGTATGGTAGATGAAATTAAAAAAAAATTCCTTGAGCGATTCTTAGGTTTTCAGTGACAACTTGAAGTAAGCATAACCACACATAGTCTTATTTATAGTTAGATGACTTGACGTATTCAACAAAGCAATTCTCTCAACTTCGTGAAAATGAGAAGTTTATCTATCGGCCGATAGCCTCTTGACCCGGCCGACTATATTGCGCGCAACCTGCAACCTTGTTGCTGTTAATGATATCATCGAGTCCATTGTGGATTTCCATAGCTGGATCCAACTGCCCGCTTTTGTCAGTAGATTGAACCAATCAGGAGTGGGTCCCATAAAAGATCCACAAAGACGCGTCGGTTAGGTTAGTCCCACACAAAGCTTGGCCGGTGTCACACCTTCCGGCCAAATATTCCATATCATCTAGCGTCGATGCGTTTTTGATACCGGCTACTCCGGGATAATCTAATGGCATCCGGTTTATTATGACACACGAGTCCCTGTTCTTCTAGAAAATAAAGTGAAATATTTGATATAACACGTTTGATAACAATATCAAAACATTCTTGTAGCAGACAGTCAGGTAGTTTGAAAGGTTTAATTTAAGCTAGCATTAGAGCCTTGGCAATAAAGCTTAGGTTCTTAAAACCAAGGCAAGTAACTGTCATACTCAAGGGGTCCTTAACCTAGCCTACCCTGCCCATTGCCCATTCTATTTGTGATCAAAAACATATATTCAAATGGTCTATAACAGCAGGTTATGTTGCATATTTATAAGTTAACTACAAGCCAAGTTTAGTCTCGGCTCAAAAACTTGAAAGGTTGCCTGAAACATCTTGCCCAAGCTTACCCTCTCCTAGAGACACTGTTTCTTGTTTCGATCAAGGAGCAACACACAATATTAACCCCTGTTCCTAGTCCATGCGCTCCTTGGGTATAGAGGATGTCCACACAGGAAATTTCTCCATAGTAAACAATTTGGCCTCGGAAAGACTAATTAAGGTGAACATGTGAGCTTCTCGCGCATGAATCCACTTCTTGTCAAGTATAGGACTACCACACCAGTCCCTTTCTTCGTCAATAGTATCATAATGGCATGGCAAATTTCTTAAAGCTTTTACTGTACTTAGTATATCAGGATTATAAATCATGATGTAAAGCTCAGTCCTCCACATGAAGAATTAAAGAATAGACATGAATTGTAGTAAGGCCGGTGATTTCCTCCAATGGCCTGTTTTACTTCACGTAATCCTAAATAGACTGCCAGGGACGATGGTATTGAGTTTAATATTATCAAAGGGTATTCTTCCTGGTAGTTGTCATCTGTATAAGTCACAGCTGACATTAAGGTAATTTCGTGGTTTGTTATTGTTAGCGACATCTATCTTCTTTGGCGTATACCCATAAATATTATATTCTTTTAAAAGATAATCACAAACTCCTGTCACTAATGTTACTATCCTATACTATATATAGACCAAGTCTACTGCTACCACATAATTATCATTTCCCCCGAGAGATGCATGCACTGTTGATTACAGCTCAAAATCTGAACTCACTATTTTTGGAACTAGTGATACAACACTTTAAAAACAACTCTTACAAGGAGTGTTGGCTAACTATTGGTTTTTTACAAGGAACCCCGCGCACTATATAGATAACAGCATCGCTGTCGATCAAGTAGAGCATTAGACCTTGAGGATATTAAGAAACCTGGCTTTTCACTAGAGAGAGTATGAACAGAGTTATAGAGTTTTTTTAACACTCTAATACCACAGCCAGGAGCACGCTGTCAAGAACTAACTTGTTTATCATAGTATTAGCTAGAGGAGGTCTGACTGGTCGAGGCTTGACCAGAGGGGGCCTTGGCGGCTCTACTAATGAGTGATTTCTTATAGGGTAGCCTCTCCATATATCATTATCTTTGGAGTACTACTGCTAAATAGGTGATAGAGTAGATAAGCCCTGGAGTTTAATATCCCGCAAAGATTACAAGAATTTCTTGTTATCGCGAACATGCTATTATATCCATGTGAGTGAACAATTCAATCATGAATAATATTTGAGCATTCTTCTAAAATTTCTAACTAGTTGTAAATGTTTCCTTATGCATCCGGCCCAAACCCAGGTCGGGAACTCCGTGTCTCCAAAAGATTCTTATTCAGCTTGATTGATATAGTTCCCAAGCTCATTAACTCTACAGGCCTGCTATTCTGATCATAAACAGTGAGCAACTCTCTGCTTCCTCAGAGCCTGCAATAGCCCCCACAGCAGGGCCAGATCAAAATGTAAGGCTGGAAGACTGAAGATAAGAGGCATGTTCATGCAGCTACCTAAGAGCCACGAGACGCCTTCAAAGGATGCAAGTACATCTCATTATCTTGTGAGGAGATGCCCGCTGTACATCCTGACATATGACATGTAGGACCATAGATGCCGTCGCCCTAACTCTTAGAGGGTCCGATGTAGATAATTAGATAGTTCCAGTGCCAATCCCGTCGGTGTGAATATCTTGCGAAACGACCTGGTGACCTTGTGAGATCATGATTTACTGGTAATTACCAGTAGCTAGAGTGGCATGACCGCACTGCAAAATCCTCACCAAACCGCGCCGAACCCGCTATATTTACACAGGTATCCTAAGAGTAGTATTACTATGGTTTTTACTTATAAATCAGCTTAGTAAACGGTACTTTCCAGTAGACTAGTCTACTGTAGACCTAAATTTTAGCCCTAGCTAGCCCTATCTAGCCTATTTAGGTAGAAAGCTTCACTATTTCAGATTATAGATTCAAAACCTCACTGAAATGCAAAAAACCAATTGTTAGTTTGGTGACTAGGCTTAGGGACCAAATCCATAAGTTAGTTTTTATCCACCCTGAACCCGCACTGAACCGCACCAAATGCAACTTTATACTCTGTATATCACCTCAGAGAATGAATAAAAAAAAATGAACACCTCAAGGATATCATCAACATTGAAGATGTAAAGCCAAGGTTGCTGTCACGTGATGTTTACACATGCGACAAGCGCATAATTATTATACCGAACTGTATAAGCTAGTCGTCAACCTTACCTGGGTTGGGTATTCGCGGGCGGGTATCTCATGTCTATTACCGACGCAATTGAGCATATATCTCGACCAAGTCAAATTAACAACATCCTGTAGTTCGGATTGAATCCATCTGAGCCTCCATTTGAACCTAGTCAGTTACAATGTCAGCATTAATGAAGCAGTAGATGCACAGGGATTCAGGAATACAGGTGGGAATACAGGCAGCGACATGACCCCAGCCACCATGAGTCATCTATCCACTGCATGTCGTACATAATTCCTGATGCACTGAGCGAGATACCCGCTATTCCTCTTTCGGAGCCCGACACTTCAACTCGTCCCCAACTTGGTATATGATATGCTTGTATGCTCGCTCGTTTCCAAAGCAAATAACTTTTCAGTGGAGGTCCTCAATTTGTTGCCATTGTCTCGAGGAATCCTTCAGTGCAGGGGGTCTGGATATAAATATCATTCTTCACGAGGACTAGACAAGACCTCAGTTTTCAATTTATTCTGTTGCGTGCTTTATTTCATCATTAGACTGTTGCTGAAAACTATTTAATCGATAATATGGCACCGTACATCATTGCAACTTGCAAGCAAACCCGCTTCCATCGTCTTGATGACCATCCTTCGCAGGAGGTAAGCCCAATTCGTTGGCCATTGTATTCTTTTGTGACTTGCTAACAGATGCATCTCAGATAGATGTGGACGGACTTCATATCTCGGTGGCATCATCACTAGAGACGACGGATACCTCATCGAGACCGAAGTCGAAAGGCAAATCAAAAGCCAAGGCCGAAGCAAGAGAGCTGATCGTGGATACTCATCTGCGTCTCAAGCCTGGCATCCATTACGGGTTTATCGGACGAAATGGCACCGGAAAGTCGAGTGAGGACTGAACTCTATATAGGTTGCTGCTCATCAGGTAGTTAACTGATTGACTATTTCCCAGCACTTTTACGGGCCGTGGCCGAAAAGCTCGTTCCTGGTATACCTTATTCGACTCGCATTGCTTTTCTACAGCAGACAGATGCGACCGAGGACGAATCTAATGATTCATGGACTGGAGATCGACAGATGACAGTCCTGGAGCAAGTTATGAGTAGAGATAGTTCCAGGAATGAAGTTACCCGGAAGATGAGAGGTAGGTTTCTGACAATTAATTCTGGTGTAAATCTAGACTTAACTTTTCTCTTGTCAAGTCCTATCAAAAAGCTTCGAGGCTGATGACCCGTTATTTCCGGTCCGCGCAATTCGCCAAATCCGCCATGAGCAACTTGAGTACCAGCTCTTTGTAGCTCAGAAGAACGCAAGCTTAAAGAGTGGAGCTAGAGGGATACAGGCGCGCAAGGACTTGAAGGCCATTGAAGAAAAGGTCCAGGCCTCTAGAGAGATGTGAGTCCCTAAATCTTTATACCAAAGGCCCCTTTCTAATACCTTCTAGGCTAGAACAAGAAAAGGAATCAATTGACGCTGAGGGAATAAAAGCGGATACACAAGCTGCGGTGGATACACTCCGAGATCTCCAATCCCAGTTTGAAGCAGTGAGTATTCCTATTAATGCAAAAAATCGGGAGCTAACCTGTTGAGGCAGATGAAACTAGTCGACATTGAACAACAAGCTCGTCAGACCCTCATTGGCTTAGGTTTCAAGGAAACTTGGTTCACCAAACCATTCCCTACCCTATCTGGTGGCTGGCGCATGCGGTGTATGCTAGCAAGCGTCTTGATTCAGAATCCTGATATCATGATTCTTGATGAGCCAACCAATTTCCTGGATCTCCTGGGCGTAGTCTGGCTACAGAACTATCTTCAACTGTTGCGCGACTCGTCCGAAACGACGGTTGTTCTTGTGTCGCATGATAGAGACTTCATTAATGCAGTTTGTGGAGAGATCATGATTCTCAGAGATCAGAAACTGTCATACTTTCGAGGTAACCTGTCTGCATTTGAGAAGGATTTTGAGGAGCAAAAGCTTTACTGGGGACGTATGAAGGAAGCCCAGGAGCGTCAAGCTGCTCACATGAAAGCAACCATTCGAGACAACATCAAGATTGGGAAGAAAACAAACGATGAAAATAAGTTGCGGATGGCCAAATCCCGTCAGAAGAAAGTTGACGACCGGATGGGCATCCAGGTGAGCGCGAATGGAGGGCGATTCAAGCTGAATAGAGATCTTATGGGCTGGCACTTGTCAGCCCGTGCGGAAATTGAGGTCCCACAAGACGAACGAGGAGCATCGATGATGCTTCCTGATGCTAGCAAATTACGATTCCCAGGTCCGCTGATCTCCTTGGAAGGTATCATATTTCAATACAATGCTAGTGAAGCGCCTGTATTGAACGGCATTGACTTGGTGATGCACATGGGTGATAGAGTTGGTATTATGGGTCTCAATGGGTCTGGAAAATCGACCCTCGTTCGCCTCCTAGCAGGCAGTACTTTGCCAACAAAGGGGAAGGTATCGACTCATTCAAGGCTCAAACTTGGGTACTATGCACAGCACTCGATTGAGGAACTCCACGAAGAAGGTCGAGCTAATCCTAGTTTAACTGCTCTGCAGTTGATGACACGAGAGGTTGATGGGACCTTTGGTGAAGGTGAGCTAAGAGGCTTGCTCTCATCTATGGGTCTCCAGGGCCGGATTGTTTCCGATGTACCGTTATTCCGGTTGTCAGGAGGTCAACTTGTGAGTAGCTTTCTCCCTTCTTGAAGCATTGACTAAACTATTTAGGTACGTCTTGCCTTGGCGAGAGTCGTATGGAACTCACCACAACTACTTATTCTGGATGAAATCACAACACACCTGGACTTCCACACGGTAACCGCTCTCTCATCAACACTCTCCTCTTTCAATGGTGCTATTTTATTGGTATCCCATGACCGTTTCCTCGTCCGGTCCGTGATTGAAGGGAAGAAAGATGAGGATCACAATCTAGACGACGATTTTGAAGGCGTTGACGATGAGCCGGAGGAATCGCCGAATCGACGACGAGTAGTGTATGTTATCAAGACAGGAAAGCTCAACGAGCAGCAGAATGGCGTAGAGCAGTTCGAACAGAGTCTCGTGAAGAGGGTTCAAAAGATGCTCCCGACACCGGGATAATTACTATGAGTCGCCAATTGACTCCTATCGCAGTTGATACTACTTCAGATAGAAATTGTACCAATCAACCCGGGGAGTCATTGGATATGAACTTCATAGGAGTAGTCGAAGTCATTCACGATCCAATACATCTGAATTAGGAAATACGTCGGACGCAGCATAATCTGATACAGACCCCCTATTCTACTTTATATAACTATTATTATAGTAGTACACAGGCGCCAGAGGCAACTTACCAGGTGGATCTAGTGTTTGAGCCCCCTCTGCTGCTGTTTGAGGCGTTCATTTGAAGTCTAAAGTTCTCTGCTGCTTCGCCTTCTGCTCACTTGCCTTATTCTCTTGCTGCTTCCTCACTTCAATCTTCCAATTAAAATCTTTGGTATTGAGTACACCAAATTTGCCTATTTTCTTCTTCGATTTACGAGCAGTTTGAGGTGTTGGAGGCAGTGAATTCTAAATTATGGTGGTAAGAAGACCAACGTCCTCCGCGAGCTGCATCTGGGCGCGGGTAAGCCGATCAAACTTTCTGTGGATATATGGGCTCACATCTTCACGGTCAGTCATCCTGGTGATCTTGCTCTGCGTACGACGTGCCTTTGTAGGAGACATAGGCGGAGAACTAGATAAACTAGATGACTGAGGCGGCGGTGGAGTATCCCCAGTTGGCCAGTGAAGTTCCAGTTTGGTCTCTAAGTACATTTGAGAGGACCAATGTCTTGGGTACCCTTCATGCCTTTTGAGCACCGTGGCTTCACTGTTTAATCTTGCCTACAGCCGGCGGGTGGTTCTACTTTCGTTGTTCTTCATGGCCTATACCAAAACCCGATGCTTGGCGTTTTGGGGTAAGTCTAGCTATATCACATGCGGTAATATGGCCCCGGATGGGAGAAGGGGAGTTCTTAATTTCGTTGACCTACCGTGTATCTAACATGTCTATGCCATGTCACACCACATAGAATAGATGAGGCTGCTGCGGATACATGTATCTCGAGAGATATGATTCTTTATGTCAACCTTTCTATTATATAGTGTATCTATTATTTATCCATCAAGTCCACATTTATATATGGAGTGGAAATTAGCTGATAACATATAACCACTTTACTCAACCATGGAACATTATTAGAAAGTCTTTAGTGGCACAAATGACATAAGATATTCGGGCTATTTTCCATGTATTTTGAGAGAGCATTGGTACTGCCATCATGCTCATCACCATTGACAAGATCCATCATGTTGCCAACCCCGAGACTCCCGTATTAGGTAGCCAATCCACTGTTACACAATGACTCATAGTTCCATAATTACTGCCAGCCCAAACGCTATGATCAACAACAGGAACATTTTATATGTCACAGCAAGGATCATTTGCTTTCTCTCACAACTCAAGTGTTGTTTCGATGAAGCACAAGCTTATTTCTTCACACCACTAGTTCACATTCATCTATTACTCGAAATGGCACGAGAAGAAGAGTGGGGAACATATCCCTCCTTTATCTTATTGAGTGATATATTAACCATTCTAGATCTCCATATGTGATCGGCAACACCATACCGTTGCAGTTAGGGGCGCCATACAATCAACAGGCAATAGGAGCTAAGATTACCCAGGTCTTCGAGCCTTTCGTCCGTTCCTCTACAATACTCGTGTTATTGGACTCTCCAGCTCTGGGATTAGAGGGCCATATGGTGCTAAAGCTGTTTGATCGACGCTTTGTGGCCGAACTCAGGAAGAAAGAGAGGATTGGTCCCTGGACTACGGGCATCGAGCAGCAATATTACCATTTTGTTATCAATGGCAGCGCATCAAATTTCATCACCAAACTCAACTCGAACAGCGAGATGGCCGAGGAAGACGGAGATACATGGAATGTCCCCGAAAATGAAGCATATTTTCATGACTACATGACGGACCTCTACAAGAGAGAAGTTGAGGTGTATAATACCCTGAAAGACATCCAAGGATGTGCAATTCCTCAGCTGTTTGTGTGCCTCACAGTACCCAGCTCCTCTTCGTCGCCAGCCGAGTCAGTCAATAAGTATATCGAGATCCCTGGGATTCTTTTGCAATATATTGACGGCTTTCCGTTAAGTGATATCGCTGCGCATGCTCCGATGGCCACCTGGCAGACCATCTGCGACGACGCCATTCAAATTGTCAACCTGATGAGCCATCGAGGAATTCTGAATAAGAATGTCACAACATGGAGTTTCATTGTGCACAAAAGTCCTGAAAATATACTTCAAGTGTTCATGAAAGATTTTGCATTATGCAATTTTCGCAGGGAGTTTGAAGATGAAGAGGACTGGAGAGAATGGAAAGCAAACCAGGATGAAGAGGGAGCAGTTGGATATGTCATGCAGAAGTATTTAAAAGGGGGCTTTGTCTACCAACGATCTGCCCTATACGAAAAGCTTGACCGGGATTTTAAGATGGAAGGCTGAGTGCTTCAAGAAGTGTTATATGAAAATTCTCTTGTTTATGCCCTTTATCAAAGCCTCCATCCTGACTACTTTCGTATTTGATGAATACCTTTTTCCTAGAAATTCTCGCCTGTGACACCGGGTACCTCCACGTTTGGGGACCGAGACCGCTGCTTTATCTACCTTAGTGGGGACGAAGAATAGAAGGGCTTGAAGAACGTCTTATGGATCCTTCTACGAAATAAGGGGGAGCCCAAAACATAGCTGATAGTTCGTTTCGCATTCGTTGTTTTGCGCGCTGAAGTGAGTTTCTTGATCTTTCCCAAACGGCTTTGGGTCGCTCACTCCTAGACATATAATCCGTAATATTGATATGGATTGGATAAGCCATTGCTTCGCAAGGGCGTTCTTTCATATCAACCAGGTATTGGAGTATGGTGGCAGCAGTGAGATCATCATTTGCATATTACGGAAATGGGGATAGAAACGCGCCCGAAACGACGAAAAACGAAGATATTCAAAGTGATGGAAAAGCTTGCTTAATGGTTAAACATAGAAGATGAAAAACAATGGGAGAAAGGACTCTGCAAACGCTGCCAGTCAGCTGAGATGTCAACCGATTGCAGTCACTTCCACACATATCATATGCTTCGACTGATAGGATAAGAAAAGGATAGCTTTAGATAACTTCCTATGATGATACCAGTCAAATTAAGAGGGCCCTAAGATCTGTAAATCAGGATAATAATGTCAGCCTCCCCAGTGAAAAGGTATTTTTATCAGACTCACTTCTAACACTCTCAGAAGTAGCCTCCTTAGATCTGATAGGAATAGCTTTGTGCCGCCTTGTTTAGAGCGCCTCTCGCCTGTAAATACTGTTGATTTTCTCCTTTTCATGACTGCTTATGTAAATAAATAACTGGCCCCTTTCGTGCTTTGCAAGCCTAAACTGTTTCCTAACCGGGTTAAGGATCCTTTCCAGTAGGGCTCTTCGAGGGATAGCATGCAGATTGTTGACGCGGAACATGTCAGGAAGCATATCTTATCTAACAAAATACGCCGCTCCCCTAGGGTATTGCCATGTGCATACTGTGACAATATCGCCTGAATATTCTGATGTTGTTCAACATTGATTGATAAATTCGCCGCTCTACGCGCTGAAAGACGTTCGTTACTATTATCTAAGAGGATGGTAATGTTTTTAACATAGGACGGTTGTCGGTGGGCCTCCCTCCAGCCGGAATTTCCGTGCACGTACTCGGTATATATCGTGTACACGCTGCTGGGTTATTTTGGTGTCGAGCAGATTCGGTTGACGAATAATAAATCTAGAGAGCGGTCGTTAGCAATACATCAGCTGCTCTTTCAAGCCTACCTAAGTAGACACTCCATTGGGGTAATACTGACCACACAAGGGTAGAGATGGCAAAATCTCAACTGGCCCCTATCAGGTGTGCTGCTGTTCCCGTCGCACTGACAACAGTATTGAAGAGCCACGAAGGCTATCGGGTAGGATTGTCTAGCTCGTGTTGAGAATGAAGTCCATGTCAGGACATTTCTTCTTTGAATGATAAAACGTGTGCTGCGGGTGATCAGCTGATCGTGCCTGCCTTTGGTTGTCTACCATGCACTTTTCCATTCACTGTCTCATATATACACACATCAATAATCCTCAACCTAAATTCACTCATAGCCCCTGTGCTTCATTGCCTGAATCAAAAACTTTTTGAGTCTGGCAGATGCTGTCAGGGATAATCACAAAAGGAAAGGACCCTAATACCCTAATTTATGTCAATACTGTGCTGTGGTCCACACTGCCAAGTCTTTGTTTCTTTGATTTGAGAATATACAGGTCGATAAGCTGTGCGCCAGAGATGATTCAGCATAATATTGAAATACATAGCACTTTAAAGAGCGCATGTAACGGGCATTGAACTATCATCAGTAGCGACTCACATTCACATCGGTTTTGGTTGTTCCTGGATCTCTGAGGATGGTATATAACGGTCAACCCTCCGGAATGAAGGAATGGGTCGAGTGGCCGCAAACTATGATAAGCAAGACGACGGTATCATTGCACGGCAGTGAGAGCGTAGTATGGCATGGCCAATGCTATCTTATTAGCTTCCATGATTTGTGTATTGACAGTGGAGTCTGTTGTTATAGAGTAACATGTGTCTAATTCTATCCACGAATTAAAGATTGACTAGGATGTATCATCGGTCTCTGAGCTGGACAGACCCAATTTGGCGTTTTATCCATGGCCTTTCTCTTCCCCGCTAGCGACGCTCGAGCAAGTGGTGGAGGTCGACTCCTCGTTCCGCAGGTGCGATAGCCATCTCATACGCCATGCCTCCCAGGCCTAGTAGCGAGGTCGGTTGTGCATCTTGGATCGTGACTGGCGTCCCGTGTGTGAAACGAAATTTCCTTCATCCGCCCCATGAATTTCAAGAATGCCTAGGGAACTCATTGTTCCACCCCACTTGCCCATATTTGCATGACTGTCTCGTGTGCTCACCACGAATTGACCCGTTCTTTGTTGGCCCTCGAACCCAATAGCTTGGACGGATGGTACACGCTCATCACAATCATAGTCAGGAACATCAACATCGAGTCAAATACATACATAAATACCTCATGGCTGATGAGGTAGCCAGAATTGCCTTGGACGTACTCGACGAGTCGGAAGATAGACCGGATGAGAATCAAAACGCTGGACGTGTAAAGCACCAACATTATCGTTTTCCAAGTCGTCTTTCTCCAGTCCATTGTGGTCACTTCCAGCGATGTTGGCGTAGGGTTCTTGCGAATGCGTAAGTGCGACACCGCCGAAGTGATGATGAAAACACTGAAAAAGAGGAGCTGGACGCATAACCCGGCGATGGTGATGTTCTCACCCGTTTTCATCGCCTCGATGGTGCCACTCGCCATGATACCACCGCCTACCGCCATGGTTAGTATGGAGACGGACAATTGAAGAAGGAAAAGTAAGCGATCGGAGAGGGTTGAACAGACCAGCGGCTTGCATCAAAAACGCGACCACATCCCCAATCAGGAAAATCTTGGTCAACCACTTGGTGGGGATCAAACTTTGGGACTCGGCGCCAAGGTGGCGGATCAGTCGACCCAAAGTCATGTAGATCGACGCAGCATATAGTAGCGGCGCGAGGAGGATCAGAATCGTCTGAATTGAGTATATCGGGATGGATTCCTTATCATCGTGAGCCAGGATTCGGCATATATACCCGATGATCTGGACTACACCATAAACCACACATATTAGTCTAAGCCTTTCGCCGAGGCCGGAGGTCGATCAAATACTCACATACACCCCCTGTAACAAACACTAGCATGTACCATGAGCGCATGCGAACTACCTGGTATATGTGGTATGCCGTCGTGATGATGAACAAGACTAGGAACAGGATCGCGGCGGCGCGCGAGGGAACATAGCGATACAGCTGGAAGTCAATTGCGGGGTTGGAGCTGGAACTCATGATGAAGACTAGATTTATGTAACCTAGACCGGTCCCAGATCATGGTGGGAGATATAATTATGGCCGTTGTCTGGGGCCTGCTCTCTTATGAGATTTGATTGTCGTGTTCGAACTCGTTTTCGCTTTCCATCCTTAACATTTTTGCGGACCCACCGACATCTTATCCTAGATGGCGCGATCCACTGGGAGATGCTTGTAAGGAGTATCCGATCGGGGTGGTTGATTTTTACCTACAGGTTTTACTGCTCTGCCTGATAATACCGGTTGAGGGAGAGTATAGCGACAGGGATCGAGCTATTCTGCCTAACATTGACTCTTTAGTGGCTCCTCCGAGTGCTTTCAATATGTAGATTTCACTGATCAAGATAACGACTTCGTTATCCAGGCATTGGCTTACCCGACCATGTTCTTATCCGTAATCGTATTCGTTTTTGTTTTGATTCAGCTGGGTTCAGGCAGCCGCTTAAACTTCTAGTCTAACATTGATGGACCGCTATGGAGCACCATCATCCAATGGGATTTAATTGAACCATCAATCGCCCGACGCGTTGGGCCATACAAACACACCGGGTGGATCCACAGTCCAACGTCAATGGCCAAGTGGGCTGGTCTATTAAAGGAGCACTCCAGTGTGATGTCTTATCTGTCCGTATTCGCATTCGCATTCTCTACTCCTTGGCGTCTCTCACGATCGTTGATCTCGCATTGCCCCTGGTTTTTCCACTAATTAATAAACTCGCATGACACCATTGGTGTGGTTGATGTCTTCTCGAAGATCCCATACAAAATCTCGCAACGGGTGCGATCAATGTAAGCGCCGGCGAGTTAAGGTCAGTTATACGACCCTTCTACATTGGTACCTGGTAGCTCCGGTTAACATTCTTGTAGTGTGATGAAGCTGATCCATGCACGAACTGCACCAGACGTCATCTTGTCTGTGTCTACAATCTACATTGTTCGCCCTCGGCGCAAGCTAGAAATAAGACCAAGGAAGGTGCTCCATTCGCCACACCCTCCGAGCCCGCGCCTTCCGACCTGGATGATACCTTGAGTACGTTCCAGGACAGGATTCGGAGTGGCTTCTTTTTGCCTCGCGAGTGGGATGGGCAGGACTTTGAACTGATGCACCACTATTCGATCGCCACGGGGCACACCATGTCCCAAAAAGACGCCGTCCGCAATGTCTGGGTCGCGGAGATCCCGAGGATCGCGTACTCTTATGAGTTTCTCATGCATGGGATCCTCTCCCTGGCCGCGATGCATCTCACGGTTGTCAAACCCGAGCGATATAGTCATTATCACACGCGGTCTACCTTCCATATGGCACTGGGTCTCCAGAGCTTTCGAAAGATTCTGCAATCCCCAACCGCAGAGAACAGCTGTGCTCTCTTCTCCTTTTCAAGTATCATCATGGTGTGGATTTGCGCGGTTCCTGCGGAGGTGGAGTCCGTCCGGCCGCTGGACAATGCCTATGAACTGTTCAAACTGTGCCGCGGCATCTTGGCCCTCAAAGATTTCTTAGGCGTAGTCCGCAACTCTCCGCTCAATCCACTACTGTCCCCCGATTACATGCTGGAAGCACATGAGATCCCGTAAGTCATCTTCAACGGTCAACACTCCGATCTAATTGGTGACAGAAAGGGCATGGGGTTCCGGTTGTTTGCCGGTCTAGGCGACCAGCTCTGTCGTCTGAGATCCAAGCTCGCCTCGGAGACACTCAGTGAGTCGACCCGATATGTCTACAACCAGGCCATATATCAGTTCGAGCAGAGCTGCCGGCTCATCGAGCATGCCGAGACACCCATGGAATGCGGCATGATCTTTTGCTGGCCGATCTCCGTTCTGGAAGACTTCCTCGGTTTGATTGAGGGAAGGGACCCCCTGGCGATCGTTCTCCTAGGCTACTACAGTACCCAATTGCACTTGTTCCGGCACTTTTGGTTCGTGGAGAAGCGAGTGGATGCTCTGTTGCATGCGACATTGGCCACCATTCCTTCAGAGTACGCGGGTTTGCTGGACTGGCCCAGACGTTTCTGCTCGCATCGCACACCTGACATTTGATACTCCGCGGGGGAGTACAGAATGGTTTATATAAGGTTGTATATACAATTAGCATCTTCTGGCGCAAGGTATTTGCTTGGGGGCTAGTTTGTTCTCATTCTTCGAGGTTCGACATAAAGCCTAGGTAATGAGTATTTCTCGTTTTTATTATGCTGCTGTCTCCTAGTCCCCTGTTGAAGGGTTTGATATACGCCCCTTGGCAATCACAACTTCGCGAAGAGCATTGTTCCGTCTGCGGCCAAGTTATCCGAATGAAATGTCGCAAATAATGATTAATATGTAAATAAGATACAGAGCACAGGGCGCTATCAACAGAGAATATCCATGACGTTTGGCATGTACAATAAGAAGGGATGATTAGATGTATTGGAAGCGAAATGATGCAAACTCCAGACCAGCCGAGAGTCCTAAAACACCAGGGTCAGAAGGTGCGCGAACCCCCCGACCAGCATGAGGGAGCCCAGCCCCAGCCCCTGAGGGACCGACGTCGTCGCGTCGGAGGACTTGCCGCAGCAGTTCCCCTTATAGGTGACGTTGTTCATCTGGGCCGCGACCTCGAACACCGATCCGTTGGGTTTCCCGTAGTTGTAGTAGTCGACCAGCAGGAAATTTGGCGGACGACCCCATTTACCTAAGCAGATTAGCGGGGGGGCATGGGCCGAGGGATTGAGCGAATAGGTTACATACCGGTACAGTTTTCCGCCATCGACCCCAGGCTACCATATCCGCTGACGCCGTTTGTATCGACCAAATAGGCCATGTTGGGAACCAGAATCTCCGCATCCGTCAGGCCTAGGTCGACCCGCAAGTTGAGATTGTGGTTGGCCATGTACATGCGGTTGGCAATTTCCTTGGGCGGCAAACCAGGAGGCCGCTGGACGGTACAAGGGAAGTCCTCGTGGGTGGGGGAGAAGGGGGTCTCCCAGACCTGGGAGAACTGATCCATCAACCAAGGGAACGCGGTCTGGTTGGTGCCGTAATCGAGGGTGAAGATGGCGCGCTTGTTGGAAAGGATCATGGAGGCGAGGGTAGGCCAGTCGTCCAGGCCCATGGGGACCTTGGGCGGCGTCCAGACCAGGTCCATGAGCCCGGAACGTTCGATGGGGCCAGTGAAGTTGGCCGGATTGACAAGGTCGAAGTTGCCCATGAAGATCGTGATGACCTCGTAGGGGTTTCTCCGCATCCAGCGGTTCACGCGCGCCAGGTAGTCTTCGAGTGTACCGACGTTGAGCAGGTCGCAATTCGTGTGGCAGAGGTATAGCGTTCCGTTGATGAGATGGGTCTGGAATTGAACTGCGGCGAGTGATGAACATTAGCACTTATTTAAATTCCGCACACGCCCACATATGTATATATGAGTTAAGAAACGTACTGGTGCGAATCCCATCACTCAATTGATCTTCCAAGTCCAACGCCTGGTTCGACGCAATGTTTCCAGGCCGGACAAAGGGGCTGTTGTGGGCGACGATATTGGTGATGTTGGAATATGCGCGGTCGCAGAACTCAACATAGCCATTGCAGGGCTGCGTGTTGACCACGGGTGACGAAGAGGGCGTGGGAGTTGACGAGCTGGTGGCAGTGCCATTGACGAGGGTGGTGGTGTGGTGGCCGCCCTCGAGGACGGTCATGGAATCGGAGTTGGTGCTCACGACGGACATGCTGGCATTGCCGGGGGTGCCCGTGGGCAGCAGCGAGCCGGTTGTAGTCGAGGTTGCATCGGGATGATTGTCGTTGATATCATCGTCGAGCGTGCTGGTGGTCTGGTAAGAGATATAGGGTCCTGTCGGCACGCTGGCTTCCCCGGTGGAGATGATGCTGGGGGTGAAATCCTTGGTCTCTTCTGTGGTTTCGTCGGCGCACAACACCCCCACCACTGCGAATGCTAAGCAGCGAACGAGGAGCCCGTCAAGTCGCATGATGGCACTGTGCGACTAGAGGATGAGATGGTGCAGAGAAGACAAACCAGAAACCAAAGCTGAGGAGATAGGGCTGAGCGTGGGAAAAAGGAGATAAATAAGGCGTGGAGGGGCGTGTGTGGGGGGGGGCGCCAACCCGGATGGATCGCGATGACCGAACGGCCAATTCATCCATCGATTCGACCAGGGTCAGATGGCTTCTGTCTTACCATTATTGACGTGGATCCCGGGTCGGTTGTTGGCCAGTCTAGCCTCGCGATAGCGCGTCCTTGGCGTCGATCATTCGACTCGATTCTTACGGCCGCGACTCCCACGAGTAATCTGTGATCCTTCATACGGAAATGGGAGAGGAGAGCGTATGTAATTGATCCCTTGGTCCAGGAAATCAAACCAGATGCGTTCAACAGGATTATCATTAGGGTGCGATATCCGAATCGGTTCATTCCGTCTCCATCACGACCTAAACTAGTGGCGCAAGAGACCAAAAATAACCTCCACCCAGATGAGCCATGGGTTCTGTGGTCCACTGCCGTGTCCTGCGCGACTCACTAGTTTGATGTTCCACTAGAGATGTATTTTTTTGCCACTAATGTTGAGTTTTCACCTGTCTTGTCAGCGAATGGTTGCGACCGTGACAAGACCCACCGTCAAACAACCTGGACGGTTGTGGTCTTTCCTCGTCTTGTTGTCAGCGTTGGACGACATGTATTTCAATGCGTTTTGTGGTACAATCGTTTGTCTTTTGGTTGGCTGGCTGATTAAATGTGGTGTCTGTGCCTTCCCAGTGGAGTCGCGACGGCGGATCCTGTCCAATACCTGTTGATTCCCCATTGAAATGGAAAGAATCCGGTAGCCTAACCCTCTGGATCAGGGGTGTCGACTGATCTCGTCAACCATGGTCTATTAAAGCTGTCCCATCAATATTGTCCGTCTCTACAAACCACGAGTGTACAGTGTGGAGGCTGGGGATCTGAATATCGGGCTGCATTGACAATCTCAATATATATTTGTCGCAATATCAGTTTATGAGGTTATTCACAGGGCGCAAGAGTGTGATGTGGCAATTCTTTTTCCAAATATATATAAATCTAGCAATGGCTCAGCCTGGGACCAGTTAGCCTGGAACATGAGGACCCACGACTGCCAAGACAACCAATTTGCCACACGGTTCACCGACGCTGTTGGATTTCCAGATCAACGATATCTACACTGATCGTTCTCGACCATGACTTGAGAAGAATCACGCAAAAACATCGAAGGAATAGAGTGGAGGTGTCCCGACGACAAAACACGACAGAAATAACTAAATACAACAGAAGACAATGTTCATAATCGACTGGGGAAACTGCCATTTAGACCAAACCTAGTGCTGCCGCGGTTCAACATGTCCCCATTCTATTGTCGAAGATACATATCCAGCCTGACCAAAATGCCGTTCACTGTTATGGCAGTGACTCGCCGGGGACGGGCGGTCGTCTACGGAGATCAATACCTGGAAGTCCTCGGGCAGATAACATGTTGACGATATCAGATATATCCAGCCTGAGCACAATGCTGCTGTTTCATGTTTTGCAGCAGTAGCTGAAGTGATACCAGCCGATGGTGTTCGTTGTCGGGTATGTCTCCGTGTCAGAGCGGAGAGAGGCGATGTGATTCAGTGTTAGGGGTGGCTGGAGGTTGGCACGCATGGCACGGGCTTTGTTGCAGATGGCGAGGGTATACACGCCGGGGCAAGGATATTGTGCCGGTTGCCAGAAGTTGGCCTCATCTACCCAGGTGCTGTCCTCACTGGTTTTGGACTGTCACAGTATGAGTTAATGAGATTACTCACAGAGCGCAAAAGTGTCATAACACCTTCTATAGTGGTATTTCTTTTTCATGGGAACTAACTGTCCTTGATCAAGTCATCCTGGCCGCTTGTCAGGGTCACCGAAGACCTGTGGGTTCAGCACACCACTGTTCCTACGGCGAAGTCACGCATGTTGTTGACCTGATATTGTGCGATGCGCAGGTAGCGTCGCACATTGGGGCATATATAGTGGTGTTTGAGGATTTTAGAAAAGGAAGCTTGACATAAGGAAACTTGACGGAGTTGGTCTTTCTTGACTAGTGATATGGTCAGATGGTCGGCATTTCTGAGAGTGCGTCGGCACAGGGTGTCAGAAAATGGACATGTTGGGAAATGGAAGGCACCGGATTCGCAGCCAGTCTGTTTCTTCCCCCATTGACCATATTCAATAATCGCATTGTCAGCGCTGACTGAATACCCGAGACAGCAGGTTCTGGAACGCCGTGGACCGGGATGATAATCATCTACCGCGCTTCCTGCAAATCAAGAGTGTGGATGGGATTATTCGCTGGTCTTGCATAAGTATTTTTTTCTTTCCTGATATCACAGCTTGACCTACAGAGGCACAGGGGGGTCTTCATATATCACTGGCAGGTGTTCAGCGACCACATTAACTACATGGTATCCTCATCCAGGACGCCGAGGTTTCAGGTCTTTACAACCGCATATCCACTTGATCACCTCTTGGGATTTCAGGTAGGGTTGGTTGTGGGCTAACGCTTCATAAATCCAAAACAGACTAACACGAAAGGAAACGCACTCCAGATATTCGGAAATTTACATCAACCTCTTCATATAATAGTTCGAATTCATCTGCGCTTCCCATAGGCCGATTCAATTGTTTTGAACTCACAGTGCTCGTGGATTCCCGGAATGTCAATGCACTGGCCACACAGGTCGAAATCTGAACATTTGCGACACTTGTGGCGCGTACCATAAACTCTCTATGCCTTTATGTCAGCTTGGGATCAAAGAAAATCAAGGATTGAAATGGCATCTCACATCTCCACAGTAATCACATCGCACGCCTTCGTGCTGTCCAAGGCGGACTTCCTTGAAGCTGTGCGACGGATGCGTCTCGGCTGCACCTTGGTAGCAGTTGGAGCAGTAATCGAAACCCTCGCACGTCTTGCAGCTATACCGTGGGCCAAAAATTTCCTGGGATCATCAGTCCGGATGCACCGACAAGGGACATCATAGCACTCACTAGCCCGCATCCATCACAAAGCCGGCCCGGGTGCCAATACGCGTCCTCCACGGAGGCAATGTACACCACCCACATCCGTTTTCCCTGCACGATCTCATCCAGCACAACCACCCGATACCAACCATCATCCCCATTGATTCCACGCAGTCGATTTCCCACATGGACCCCTTCGAGGGCGGGCGGGTCCATCCAGTCAGGTAACATCAAGGTGTCGAATGCGCGGATGTCGCGGGCATTTCGCGCTCGCGGACCCAGAATGTGGCCACCATACTGGCAGGCTGGGTTGAAATCCGCGTCGAACCCCAGTTTCAGGTTCACCACGTTGGCTCCCTTGGGTCTATAGCGGATGACGGCCGCCGTGCCGTACGCGCCCGGTGGTAGCGAAATAATCCGGTCGCGATCGTTCCAAGGGTTCCACGCCGTGAATTCCCACCGTGCATTGGGACCCGTATCAGGCGGCGGGATGTGGCGCAACCAGAAACCGTACAGTCGCGAGGGGAGTTTGCCCTCTCCTGTCATGTTCTGTCGCACGTAGATCCGCCGCCGTCTCGAGGACCCGTTAGAGGAGAAGCGCAGGAGATCGATCTCGTCGAGCATGACTCGGGCATACTGATTTGGCTCCCGGAGAGGAGTGAGGTAGATCCCCAAACGCTGGCGGGCGTTGTCCTGGCAGTCGAGAGCCGCCAGGTAGATCTCCATTCCCCACTGGACCATGGACAGCTCGATGGAAAGGCCCATGTTGGTCATGGAGTACGGAGACGCGTTGACTTTGTCCGTGGATACAATAAAGTGCGAACTACTTGCAAAGTCGGCAGGCGACCGTGCCAGGAGGCCACGGTAGTTGTCATCTTTGCTTGACCAGGCGAAGAGCGTCTGATCGTCTGATTGCTTCATGATCTCCTCCTGGAGTCGCATAAATGCCTTTCGACCCTCGCCGTACAGCATCGGCATATTCACATCGAACAGTCCGATCAGGCTGTAGGCGGTATCCTCCACTTTGGTTGTCGTGCGCCCCGCGGCCCACGACATACGCTGAGCCACGCTGAAGGACTGCGGCTGGACGGTACCGAGCAACACGTCCTCGTGGATTCCGGTAATGGCGAATATTTCAGTCTTCAAGGTCGCCTTGGTTCCCAACGGTTTCCACGCCGTGTTAAAAAATTCTACCGCGACGGGCGCAAGCAGCTCCTGTAGGGTCCAGCCGCGGGTAAACCAGACACTGCGCTGGAAATCTCCGTCGCTGGTGACCGAGGTCTCGGTGACGTCGACCAGGTATGCCAGACAGACGGCGGACTTGTGGTACCATTCGTACATGGAGTTCAACGACTCGGACAACTCGGCGCTGCTGGATTTGTCGATACAGAGGGTGTCGATCCAGACATATTCCAGGCCTCGCGACGCCACCTCGGCACAGCACGACTCGACTTTGCCAAAGCCTTTCTTTTCCCGTGCAGTCCCGGATTCGATGTCGCGCAGAAGGACTTCTCCCTCCTGCCAGCGATGTGAGAAGACAGCATATGGAGGGATAGAGTCCTCCAGGAACTCATGGAGGTCCAGAGTCTTGGAGTGTAGGAGACGCATATTTGCAGGGTGACTGAGATGGAAGAATATCTTTTTTTGGGATGTTAGCGGGGTCAAGCGAGGATTTATATATCTTCTCAGCTCCTCGTGTACCTCGTGTTGATCCTCGGCGCCTTATTAGTTTACGACGCCAGTCTCTTTTTGGCCCTTTTCTCACGCTAGGAGGATCACGCTGGGGTTTAGACGGGCATTTGGGCACGGTGCCTCTGAATACGAGGATCCCTGAGCCATCCGTTTGCTAATTGCTTGAAACCGTCGCATACTTCGATAGGAAGGTAGTCAAGTCATTTGGTCAAGGTAGATATTCGCACTTAGTCCGGTTCAAAATCCAAATAAAAACTCTTTTACGTTAGGGCTGATCGAGCAATAAATCTGGCTGTGATAAAGGTGGAAGGCTGATATCCTAGAATTATCTAAACACACTAGGGGTGTCAATATTGTCAAATTGGAGGTAACGCCACCAGCGGAGATGCGGAAAGTCTGTATGAACATCGATGTCATGATGATCCAACTTGCCGTTCCCTGATGTGATTTCGGACATGGAAGCTCCAACTACCGGTCAAGTTGACCCTTCCCCGTACGCACATTCACAGGTCAGAGGGATCGTGGGATCTATTGCAAAATCACACATCATGCACTGCAATCCTGATACAGAAATAGTCCATGGACGCCTTCTGAAGGATATTATAGCTCCCGAGAACAGGCAGAAGGGCAAGCAGGTGGACAGAACGGCTAGTGATATGGAGCTCACAGTATCGCCCGTGATGGATGATGTTCTCAGAACTGGAATTTCAAGTCCGGATCGAACCCTAGCTATCAGCAATGCGATGGACACGGACGGCAAAATCCTCGCCCCTATCTGCCACAATGAAGACGTGACCGAACAGGATCGCCTGTACGCCACGAAGCTGGATGATGGTGATGATGATGATGATGATGTCGCCCGTGATGCACCAGTACCTACTCCCAAGGAATCAAACTTTGACAATCCGGTGGCCGACGACAGTTTGTTCGTTGTATTGGGGGATCTCACGGACCGCCTGGATTTGACACAAAAAAGCAACGCCGGCGAAGGTCCGTCGCCTCGGCCATCTTCCCAGCAGGCGCCCGCCATGGTCACCGAATGTGTGTCTTGCATAGAGCAGTTCGAGACCAGTGGCATGCTTTTGAGCGCCTGTGGCCACAGCTTTTGCCTTGACTGCACGCGGCAGATGGTCCTCAGGACTATCAAGCACGAAGAGTTGTATCCACCCCGATGCTGTGGGCACATCATTCCCCCAGGCACGGCGTTGCGGGTCCTGAACTACGAAGAGTTGTGCGGGTTCAGCGACCGAGCCCTGGAATACATGGCCAAAGACCTCATCTACTGTGCGGTCCCGACGTGCTCCAAGTTCATCCCACCCTTTGCCATCGACGATGATCACGGCACCTGCCCCGCCTGTCAACAAAAGACACATCTCCCCTGTCGGTCCCTAAAGCACCCCGGTGTGGACTGCCCTACGGACAAGAACCTGCAACGTGTGCTCGCCATGGCCAACTCATCGAAGTGGCAAAGGTGCTTCCATTGCCACACCATGGTGGAGCTACAGCAGGGATGCAACCATATACAATGCCGGTGAGTGAGCAAACCTACTGCAGCCTTCCAGATGACCACCGGTGTCCCATACTCACTAGGGATCCTCAGATGCGGTTGGGATTTTTGCTACGTCTGCGGGCAGGTGTGGGGAACGTGCTTTTGTGATCTCAGGACCACCGAACGACGCATCGAACGGGCCATCATATGGTTGAGGAGGCGGTGGTGGAGGAGATGGCCCCTGGGGGGCCTCCGAACGTCCACATCTGCGCTTGTGGTCAAGTGCTGGAGGATCTGCTCAACCACGAAGATGTCGGATGTGAGCATCACCGGAACTCACGGGGAGTTTAGAGTATGAGGTCCACAATCACGACCGGTCCGACTATATGAAAGAATTTACGAATGCGGGCGTGCAATCGCTGTCGCCGGCATCGTCTACGATAGCGGCATTGGCAACGAGACATTCCCCCTTGTTTTATTCTAGTTCTTTGTGTGTGGGCACAGGGCGACCCAAACAGATTGATGACAGAAATGCACTGTGCAGTAGCTATGCAAAGTCATTACCGTATTCAAGGGTGCAGTTTACATCCGACGCACGGCGCCGGTGCCTCCCTACTCTCATAGATATCCGGTCGTGGCGGCCCTGCCACATTCAGATACCCCACGGCCCCCTTGTCCAGGCGGAAGATGGCATGGTCTAAAATGGTATATGTGCCTGGCACAGTCATCTTCATGTCGACGATCGTAGCGCCACCGGAGGGCACACTGGTAGTTTGGACGTACCGCGCCGGCGGACTGAGGACGTCGGCATCGCGGTACAGTCGGTGGAAATTACTCCCAATGACATGAAATGAACTGGTCAGGTTGGGGCCGGCATTACCAAAGTAGATGCGCACCGTCTCGTCCAACTTGGCCTTTAGGGGGTTCTCGATCGTCAAGGCACCCTCGTGGCCATTGAAAACGACCGCCGTGGGACTCTCATCCAGTGCATTTGGGTAGGAGAATTCGACAACGGGGGAGGGGCGACCGTTGTCCATGGTCTCGGGCGGTTCGCAGTAGAATTCACTTTGCATGATGAAGTATTCCCGGTCCACGGAGGGAAGGTCCCCCTCCTCGGGCTGCACGTAGATGAGACCGTACATGCCGTTGGCGATGTGGACGGGGACGGGGGCCGCCGCACAGTGGTAGACGAACAGCCCGGGGTATGCCAGGTGGAACCGCGCCGTCTTGGTCTCGCCCTCTGATGCGGTTGTGACGCCTGAGCCACCGCCGGGTCCCATCACGGCATGACAGTCGATGTTGTGCGGGTTACCGGACTCGTCGCGGTTGGTCAGCGATAGCTCCAGGACGTCGCCGACGCGCGCGCGAATGAAGGGGCCGGGCACCCGGTCGTTGAACGTCCACATCTCGTACTTGTGTGTACTCGTCAGCTGCATCGTCTTTGTCGTCGTCTCGAGCGGAACTTGTAAGACGACGGGGTGGTCACGCGTGATGCGGGGAGGCACATTTGGCGCGGTCGTGAAGATGGCTTGCTCCGTGGGGAAGTCAACCGCCCCCAGATGACCTTTTGACTCAATGGGTTCCCGATAGTGCTCGGGATCGATCGTTCGTGGCACCAGGGTGGGGTCCACGCCGGGCACGAGCCCCTCCATGGACGCGGTGCCTTGCTGTCGGGAGTATATCGCCCAGGCCAGGATCGCCGATGACGCCAGAGGGAGGAGGTATCTCCATCGACTGTGCTCTCTCGCCATTCTATCCCCCGTCTGCGCCGGACCGGGGGAGAAGAAACTCCGACTGATGCACACCCCTCGCCCGGAGCGGGGAAAATGTCGCGTCGTCGCATTCCAAGATCGCCCACGGCAATAGACGGGCATGCGATGGGCGACCCCTTGCTGGAAGGGTCCCCAAGCGTGGCGGATTGGTGAGACTATGACACGCATGGTGCAGATAGTCAATTACACATCGTACAGATGATCAATTCCACACGGGAGAACGTGCTGGTCGTGGAAAATAATGAGGACTCGTCGCATTTATAAGGTCTCTTGCGAATTTCCCGATCCGGGACCGCGATACTACCCCACATCCGCACCAGGTGCAACCGACCGTCGTGATGTCACCGTTGGGCGGCCAGACTGATGCCCCGACGTTCAACCACGGGTAAGAATCGCACCAGGGGTGTTTCTCCTCGGAGCTTCTGCATTACAGAAGGGGGTTTGCTTCGTGGAGTGGAATTGAAGGTCCAGATCCCGAGACTCGGGATCAGGAACCCATTTCCGACGTTCGAAGGCCTGCCTGACATGATCTCTATTACAAGCTGTAGCTCTATGCCATTCATCTCATGGGTGCATTTCAGTGGTATGATTACACTAAAGGTTGTTACTCAGTCGAGGGTGAGCCTGCGAACATGCTCCCAATAAACCGATTCTGTTGAATGAAGTGTCAGAATCGCTAAAGACCAGGGTATTAGGGCATATACTAGCCATGTGCCTAATGTCGAGGAACCATGATTTACAGTTCATCGGTAGTGTCCCATGCTTATAGTGGCAAGCCCTACGCTTGGTGTCAGATGTTAGAACTGAGTCTGTTCTAGATATCTTGGCTAGAATATCCAATTTTATCGCATACTTTTGGGGTTTGTTCTATTACTACATCATTATAACTGACTAGCATATGTCAGCATTCAAGTAGCATGGCGGTAGGCTTTGACGAGCTGGTGATATTGTATCACAGTGTCAAGTCTACACGGGTTTTATTACTGTACCGTATGTACTTATTCTAGATCTAATTAGAATTGTTTTGGATTCGCCATTAAGATAATCTCCATCCTAAGGTGGAAGATGATTGTCTTTGATGTTTACGTTTGATAGGTACACTACATATATATAACCTGATTAGGGCTCGACATGTTGAAAACCAATTATCCACAACTACTTGTCTTTTTCCTTCACCCAAAAGCGTTTCGACGATTATTGTGCGAGCTGAATACTAATATTGATATGTTGACGCTAGAAATGAACACCGAGCTGCATCACTATGACGTCCCGTTGCTGGTTTGCCAGCACCGACACAAACCAGCAAAGACACGGCTACGTCATGGCCAAACATAGCCAACTCCATCTACAAATGTCGGATGATCGACCACATATATTAGTAGAAAATTGTTCATGATTGATATATTTATCAAGCTTCCTTGATGATATTCTTTTATAAATATTTCAATCCCCTCCTTTCGTGAAGTTTAATCGCATAATTAAATATGTCGGATCAAACCCCAGCCACAAGTGACGGATCTTCGAGATTTACAGTAAGCCATTGCCCTTCCCATCATCGATATTCCTAAATCAACCTGACTGGTCATACTCATCACACATAACGCTGCAGATCTCCTCCGATTTTCCCAACCTCCATAACCAGAAGGAGTCCGACGAACTTCACTACGATGAACGCACAAGAGAAGCAACGGGCCTCCAATCCCAACCAGATCAACAAACGTGCGAAACAGAAGACCATTCCTTCCAGGGGACCAAGCCCGGTAAGGAGTCGGACACTTTGCCGGGATGGGAGACCGTGAAGGATGGGGTGAAGGGGTTGACGGGGTCTCGTTGAGTGGGTCTTTCTTGTATGACGAAGTGTGATCGGACAAAGTGTATATACAGTGATTATATGAGATGCGTATATTGTTGTGAATAGTGTGAATAGGCAGCGGAAGGTCCCATGGAAAGTGGGTGGTCTATCACGGAAATGAATTGATAACAGCCGCCCGACAAAAGACCAAATGAATCACGACATTAATAGCTATCTTTCTGTGAACTAAAAGAAAGCTAAACCAGATTAGAGGAAAATAGAACAGCGTCGATGGTTACTTCTGCCGCGCGAGTTTCGCCCGGTAAGCCGGTAATGTCACGGCATCTGCGCGCCCATCGTGTTCAGTTTCCACATCAAAGACGAAGAGCGTTACATCTTCCACCCCATAGGTCGTCGTATCGAGCGTGCCCACCCAATCATTGACATCGTACATCTGGGAGACGAGTCGCTGTCCGGGCAATCCGTTCCCGATGGATGGATCAGTGAGGGAGTACGCTCGGAACGCCACCTGCGCGGGCGGTCCGGACTGAGCAATCGTCGGGACTAATCGAACACCCTTTCCTCCGACTAACTCCGAGATAATGGGGACCATGTCAGTTCCATTGCTGATCCACGACGAGATCGCGAGGCCAGGCGCCCCCTCAGACGATGTGGGGATCGACAGGGTCACGGACGAGTTCAACCCGTCCACCGTGGACCGGTATGAGCCAGAAAAACGTTCGCGGGCTTCCCCCGCCGCCTGCTCCAACAACGCGGGAACGACGGCATCGATGACCAGGTCCGTCAACCAGGGGACCGCCTTCGTGGGTTCATCAGTACTGCCGCCTAGGATAGTGAACCCCGTGTCAAAGTCCGGTAGGAGCACGAGAATGGCGGTGTACGGGCCTGAGTCGCCAAGTTTGGTGTAGATGTCTGTGACCACGTGGGAGTCGGGATGAACGTAGCGGTAGATCTCCCATGGCTGCCCCAGCGAGTACCGTAGGTCGGCCGTGTGCGTGACCGGCTTCATCCACTTGCGCGTGCGCGCGGGCGCGAGAAGTGTAGAATTGAGGATACCCCGACCGAGGGCTCTCATGTCATTCAGCGTCGAGAAGATTCCACCAGACGACTTGGAGATGCCGCCGTCGATGGCAAAACCGGCCTCCGCGGCGCCGGGGATGACCGACCGTGCAATGAGTTTCGGATCCTTCGGCGGGCTCGAGAAGGTGGAGTCCAAACCCAGGGGCTTGAATATGCTCTCCTGGTACACCTGGTCGATGGACTTGCCGGTCAGTTTGGCGATGACGACTCCCAGAAGGATGAAGCCATTGTTCGAGTAGACGGGGCTTGTCCAGGGAGCGAATTCGGGAGTAATTGTGGCAATCCCCGCGACGTACTCCTCGGGTGTACACTTAGAAATGTCTTTTTGCATGCAGGGATATCGAGCTAGTTCCTCCGTGAGGTTCAGTGGGGGAAAGCCAGTTGTGGCTGGGTCGACTTTGCCGCCCATCAGGAGATCGGGATGAAAGGGCACGCCTGCACGAGGGATGCCCATGTGGGCCGCAAGGGCCCCAGCAGTGACCTGGTCCCACTGAATCTGATGAAGCGGCTGGGCCGCCCTCTGGTTCTTTTGAGTGAGGTCCTTCAGGGCCGGGAAGATCTCCGTCAGCGGTCGCTCCCAGTCCCGCGCGTCCAGTTCCACCAGACCCGCGAGGACGGTGAAAAGTTTGGTAACACTGGCGATGCGGTAGATGCTATCAGCATCGACTTTCTTGATGCCGAGCGAGCCATTCAGCGTGGTGGGTGCCGTGTGGTGGAACTGGAGGGTCTCGGCGTCGGGGTCCTGGAGGGAGAACATGCCCATAGAGAATGTCAAGTTCTTCAGCCGTTTAGTGGTCGCGTTCGCTGACTTTTCGTCCTGATTCAAGGTCTTGTCCAGGGATGCGGTAAGGGCGGCCCAGTTGGTCGCCACGCGACTGGAGTTGGTGCTTATCTCGCGAGGAGCGGGATAGACGGGCCCCCGAATGTCGGCGAGTGTGCCTGGAAGACATAGTGACAGGACGATGAGACCTTGGGAGAAAATTTTCATAATGAGCGCAATGCAGTAGGAGATGGATGGTTACAGCAGAGTCATGTTCCAATGTGATGTCCATGGTCTACTTATACCCATTTCCTCCAGCTTTTCCTCGTTGACCCAGACGATTGGGGGCCTCGTCTTTAGACTCGGGGCAGTGCATCAACCGCTGTCTCTCCATAGCAGGCGGTCCCGGTGGATATGGATGTAGCTGACAGAGCCAGCCCATACAGACAGACAGAGATGATAGGTCCCAGATGAAGGTATCAAAGTATTAGGGCCAAATCACCACCTCGTAATATTATGGAGCGGACGATCCCCTGGACACGCTAACCCAATCAGGCCATACGCAGCGCTGGCCCAAAACGGGCATCCACAGTGTTGACTCTGAATAGTAACATCGTCATGACATCGCGCAGTGAGTGACGAAACCTTCCAGTAAACTAACGACTGCCAACGCACGATTATATTCCCTATCCGCCTGCTATGCGCCAATCTTGACAAGTGCAGGAGAGAGGAGGACAGCCAGGACGATGCCGACGATCATTGCCAAATGCGCAATTAGTGTCCGCGAAGGACCAACGGCCGCTTTGTTTCCCTTGCACTCGCCCAATGTCTTAGCACCAGATGAGCCAGGCCTTAAGTTTTCTTTGAAAAGAACATACCTCCATCTTCTCATCAGTGTTCTAGTCGGATGGCAACGTGACGTGGAATGGTGGATACAGACCAGACTCAGACGATCACCACTACTGTTTCCCAGCGTGCAACTGGTTGTCAAGAGGGGGTTAACTATGGTAACGAGAAGTAGGATCTCTTTCAAATAGATGATAAGAAACAGGCAATGGGGCGGTCAGGTAACATGGTCCCTGATGGTATCTCTGATCGGTTTCCCGATCTGATCAAGTTATTCAACGCCATCCCCGATCCGTCCGTCCATGCGTCCGTCATTCAACCATCTATCCGTATCAATCCCTTTGATATTCCAATCAGACTGCATAGCGAAACTCCGGATTCTCCCGGTCCGTCAGGTCCAAGAACTCGTGGTTCTGCGGTACGACATACGCGTCACCCAATGCCTCCTTCTCGCGATCGCGTCGGCGGTTCTCCCGGATCGACACCCAGCGGATTAACACGAGATCGAGTGTAACGAGAAAGTACAAGATCACAATGGAAATTTTGGCCGGAAGGTATTTGGGACCGTCGCTGGATTGGAAGGTCTGTGGGGAGATGATGTTTCCGACCGTATAGGCGATCGTTTGGATGCACGACACGGTAATCTTCTTGGTCGACCCCGCCACATTGGTGCTGGTGAGCCCCAGGATCGTCGTCCAGCCGATGGGGATGCCCCCGGTCAAGTAGAAGCCCACCAGGGCCGCCGCCTTGTCCGTCGTCGCCATGAGAATTGCCCCCACAATCGCCGGGATGTGGCCGACAATACACCAGAACAGTCGTTGGTCCGTTTTCATACTGAGATAGGTGAGTCCCACCAGCAGGACCACTTCGTACGCTCCGAGCGGCGTCACGAGGAGCAGACTCTCCCGCTGCGTGTAGCCCATGCCGCTCACCAAGATGTTCCCGAAACTGGTGGCAGTTGAGTTGGGTATATTGGCCGCGAACACCCAAAACGCGTACAGCCAGGTGTGAGGATCCACCAGGGCCTCATAGACCTGCGCCGGTTTGAACACGGTGCTTCCGATGCCCTGCTCGTTCGCTCGAAGCCGCTCGGCATGTAGGGCCTTCTCTTCGGCGGAGAGGAATCGGGCCGTGACTGGCGAATCGGGTAGAATGAAGAAGAAGAGAACGCCGGTCACGACGGTGAACAGACCGAGGATCAGGAAGATGACCTGCCAACCCCGTAGGGAGGCGTTGGGGTCGCCCCCGATGTGGACGGCCACCCCATAGGCAATGTAGCCTCCGAGCATCTGGGCCCACCCGCACATGGAAAACCAGATACCAACGCGGAACGCCTGCTCTTCCTTACGATACCACTGCGAGGTGAAGACTACCCAGGCGGGCACCACGGCTGCCTCCATGGCGCCCAGAAGCGTACGACAGACCATCAGCGACGCAAACGACTGACAGGCCGCCATGCAAGCCAAGATGATTCCCCAGAGGGTCACGTTGACGGCGACGTAGCGCGCCAGGGGAAAGGCCTGGATCAGACGCATCGTCGGGAACGAGAGCGCCAGCTGGCCGAAGAAGAACATGCTGGACACCCAGTTGAATTGATTGCCGTGGAGGTTTGTGGACTCGCGCATCCCCGTCACACTGGCGTAGCTGATCGCGATCTTGTCCAGGTACTGAAGGAAGTACACGACGCAGATCAACGGCATGACGTACAGGTCGATCTTGCGCACCAGGCGCCCTGATGCTTCAGGATCTAGATTGTTGCCACGGCCACCTGCTGCCAATAAATCGAGCGCTCCATCGCCGCCGCTGGTTTGGGCAGCGGGTGATTTCTCATCGGAAGAGACGTGCGGTGGTGGAAGGTGGTCCACTTGGGATGGCTCCGGGGATGCCATGTTCGCGTCGAGTTTCCCGCGGCCGGGAGCGAAGTTGATTTGATTTTTTTCTTTTCTCGTATCCTACGAAACGCCGAACCGCGCTGATGGAATTCCGTTGATCTTTAAATCGATTTGGCCTGCTGTCCCTGTCGATGGCGACGCACTACTTCCTGAGCACGCCATCGCTGGATCGGCCCCTAGCCTCTTTTCGCTACTGGCAGTTTGAGTCATTTTCTGTACGCTTGACTATGGTTTTCCCTTATTTTTTTTCCGGCCATCGCTCGGGTTGACAGCTCGGTGGGGAACGCGATAAACTCGGCTTGGTCTGGGCTTGGCACGGAAAAGTCCTCCATGGACCGGGGACGCCCGTCAGACTGGGACACCTTATATCAGCGACGCCATTCTACATCTCACCGAACTCTAAGATGCCAAGTACCATCAGAGATCGGTAGACACGATAGTCAATTTATTTAGCCATGCGTTCTGTGTAGAGTTGAGTCAATGATGGTGCAGCCTGACCATTAATATGATCTAACTCGCCAAGTCCCCCCAGCTCAATCTGTTTCTAAGCCGTCGGCCGGTACCGAAGGCGACTAGCCAGCTGTCTAGGCCCGCTTGGTTCCCATGGGAGAGCGGAACGTGGCCGATGTCGGCTTATTGGCCAAAGTCTACATACATCGGGGATAGATACGATGCGGTTGAGATTTTAAGATCCCGAATGACACTGAATTTTTTATAGTTTCCCGTGGTTGTGTATTTTCCGATTCTTGACTTGCGCCCGAAACTCAATATAGGTAGGCTTGATGCCCAATTTGACTGGTCCTTTCGTATAGAACGTATCCGTACGGCTGTGCCATTCAAAGGACATCAGAATCACGCACTACCCCGTGTTCAGCAACAAGGCAACTCGAATAGGGCTGTTCTATCGGCATTTTGAGCAATGTAACTAACGCTAATGAATCAATCCAGTCGTCATCCAAGCTTTAATCGTAACTCATATCAAATTTAGCTCTATGTCGTGGACCCCTGAGCGCCAAACCGCCGAGCGTCCTTGAGAATCACACAAGTACCCCATACCGAAATTCATGCCAGAACCAGGAACAGAGTCTAGTCATCCATCAAGGGCATTCCCGTCCATTCGACGGCCTCCTCGACCGGCTCTTCTGATGAACACCGCTCGCACCGACACACAAATCGGAAGGATTTACGCAGGTGCTCCCGACGTGTGTTCAAGTCACCAAAACGCGTCAAGTCGAAATATGAGATACAGCACTCTTCGCCGGGCAGGATATCCTGGGATGCGGTGAAAACCATACGGCCCTGATTATCCGGCTTGTGCGATACCTAGAAGACACTTAGCATTTCAATCTCCCTCCAGCCAGAGGGCATTACATACGTTGGGCAAGCAGGAATGGTTCGCGATAGCCGCTACCGCATAGACAGCCGCTGCAAACTGCTCCCCTCGGTCGACCGGCGGGTGGGGGAGGGGAAAAACCCCCGTTTCTCGAGGGTAGAGGCCGAAAGAGTTGGCTTCCTCTTGACAGATGAGATGCAGTATGCGGTCTGTTGGGAGCCCGTGCGGGAGGATCGAGCTGCTTCGGAGGTACTTCTTCACGAGGGTGCTCCATGCCTTGACCTGTTCGTGGGACCACGTATCCTGCGACCCGCACAGGGATTCAATGGCATCCCACCCCTGCTTGAAGCGCTCTTGTTCCCCTTGGAGTTCGAAATTTGTCGTTGGTGATGCATGACCAGTTTGTCGCGTCGCCAATATTCGGACAATCAGCCACAACATGCCAAAGTCGTATTCACCCCATTTGGCCCGGATCAAGCCCGCATATCTCTTGAGCCAGAGACACTCAAAAGCGTGGCGCCGGGTGTCAGCATTCTGACAGGCCTCGCCGCACCAGACGACGTCAGTGATACAGGCATCAGGGCAGGACACGCGCGTAGGGCAACTCGCTCGACGATTACAAGTGGGATTGCTGCAGAGGAGGTTGTCGTTGGAGGCCGGCTCATCAACGACAGGAATGATTGCGTAGGGGTGATCGACGAGAAGTTGCTCGCCTTTCCGGACGGGTCCAGACACGCGGAACTGACGACCTTTGGCCGGGTGCACGCTTTCAATCAAGTGTGGGTGAATCCACTCTGCCTGAGCGAAGGCGTTCCCGTCTCCCTGGGCCCGGTCGGGAGACTCGACAGTTATATATACTACCTGGGACATGGTGAGAGTCGTGGTGGACTAGTAGAGGGAGCATACGTGGGGGAGGGAAAACTGGGGAAACTACTCCGTAGAGCCCAAAGCAATGGGCTTCGATGGGGCTGGCATTTCGCAGCATGCATCCGCAAATTTTTTTTTCATTTCGCTGTTTGCTAGACCCGGAGTTTGGCCTTATCCAGACACTTTTTTGTGGGCTCTCTGTGGCCACTTGGACAGAGCGGGTCAAGTTGCCATAGTGGGTCGACAGCGGGTGGCCAATACCATGACCATGAAAGCCCCCGAAAGTGCGGTTATCGCAAGCGGTACCAGTTGATTGGCGAGGAGATCAACACTTCAAGCGGGCTGGATATAATTGGCTCGGGGCGTCCTTGTCCCTTGCGTAGAACAAGTCTGCGTCCGCAGGCTGGCTATGCCGACTTGCAGAATGCATGCTTGTCAACATGTATGAATATTCTGTGAACGCAAATGTTTACATCGCAAGGGCAGAGCCCCCAGCGTGTTGTTTTGGAGACATGGCACTGCACATTGGCAGGGCGATTTTGGTTTTGTTCCCAATCGTTCAATTTGGGTGGCTTCAGGTTTTGATACAACCAAATTTACCGAGGTTGGAATGAAGATCAAAAGGCTTGACAGTGTTCAGATGCACTTGGCGAAACACGCACCTGTGGATGACAGCTAAACAGTCAGTCAATCACATCTGGTCAGTGACCTGATTCCAACGGCGCAAATCAAGGTCTGCAAACCTTTGCGTTTTATGCAGGTCCGAATCCCTTCCATCGCACACCACTCGACAGCATTCCGGTAGAGTTTGGTGATTTCTGCTATTACTCCAGTCGCGCTATAATAGTATCGCAAAGACAAAGTACTATTGGGCGCTGCCGATCGTAAAGGCATAATCCCAACACCCATTGAGGGATCGATGTCGACACATTCAGATAATCTGATCAATCTTGATTTCTAAACACGTTGGACAATCATTTCCTTCTCTCAAATCCTTCAAGCCAAGAAATGAAGCTAATGGCCCTTGCGTTTGAGAGCGTTGGTTACGAAATCTATCCCCGCACGTCGGGGATGGTGTGATTGTGTTCCCGGAAGATGTCATTATCCCCGGTACGAAGATAACTGACCACACAAGAGATCGAAACGTTCGCACGAGAGAGCGAGAGGGAGAGGAGTATGCTCAACCACGTCCAGGACACTGTTGGTTTTGTAATTATTGGTTCTGGGTCATTAGACCCGCGTGCGTCACCAAAGGCTTGGATCCCAACGATCCAAGGGGCACGAAGTTAGTTGCGATAGCTTAGCATAAGGACGAGCTAGATGCCATGCCATAAAATAGGTGCAAGTGCCATTCCACAATGCACAATGTGAATAATGGGGTTCGAGGTAGAGATGTTAATAGCCTACCACTATCAATTATCACGCCTTCGAGAACTAGATTCAAATGAACATGTGAGACAAATGTACTTTACTCACTCCATTACAGCCAAACCACAAAACACCCAAACAAGCTATTCTAGCCCAGGCAGGAAGTAGAATGGAATATCCATTTCTAAGCATGATTTGATAGCACGCGTGTTTCCCGCCTACCATCTGCTGAAGGGTGCCCGTGGTGACGTCTTCCTCGACCCCTCGTTGAAACGGCGGCGGGATAAACACGATGTATACTAGATTAGATTTGTATAACGCGCCACAATGATGAAATCTGTGCCGTATCCCGAGACCAGATAACGAGAGCTGCATGGGCCAGAACGCAGGAATCATCATATCCATGTAGCCGCAGTTAGAATCAAGATATATACCCCGCGATTGGCTGCTAGGGCCAGTTGCGCAACCAGACTAGCGGATCGTCCCATCGCCCATGCGCCAGACTGTCATGAAGCTCACTGAATGGCGAAATCTGACATGATTGCCCGCGAAGATGGCGGAAGACCCTGAATGACATATACGACACATTCATGGCACGATGCCGATATATCCGGTCGCGTAGCATGCTCCCAGCTGTATGGACAGAAATGGAGTCATTTCTGGGCGCGAGGCGGGGTCGAAGGTGGGAGGCATACTCTCACAAGAGATAATTCTCGCCAAGCGAGGGGGAGTGACGCATATAAATAAAGGGGAACGCTCGGCGTCAAGAAGCTATGTTTGTATAACCAACAGCATTGAAAGATCATCTGCACAATGGCAACCTCTCTTACTGAAACCGCTCCCACCGTGGACAACAAGGTCTCCCTTCAGGGCACCGCGCGAGAGCCCCTCAAGCCCAGCGGGGTCTTGGATGCGTTCGAGTCCTTCGAAGTGACTCCTATCATTGGCCGAGAGTATCCCAACGCCAGTCTAAAGGACTTCCTTCGTGCCCCCAACTCGGATGACCTGTTGCGCGACCTGGCCATCACCAGTAAGCAGGACACAAGTTCCATATCTCTGCGAACACAACGGAGCTGACCCATCCCAGTCTCCCAGCGGGGAGTGGTATTCTTCCGAAAGCAGGACGGTCTCGATGACGACCTGCAGAAGGAGCTCATTCAACGCCTCGGGGAGCTGTCCGGCAAGCCCAGCACGTCCGGGCTACACATCCACCCGATTGCCAACTCCGAGCGCGAGCACAGTGTCAAAGACAACGAGATCAGTATCATTAGCTCAAAGCAGCGACAGACGCTGTACAAGGATCGCAACACACGCCGGCAGAGCTCTCGCCGCGAGTGGCACAGCGACATCACGTTCGAGCCTGTGCCGGCCGACTACACGATTTTGCGACTGACGGAGCTCCCTAAGACTGGTGGTGGTAAGCCTGACAGCCCAGCCCCGAGCGTCTTCCCTACATCAAAGATGACTAACTGGCAACAGACACCTTGTGGGCCTCCGGATACGAAGTGTACGACCGCATCTCGGAGCCGTATCAGAAGTTCCTGGAGGGCCTGACCGCGACATACGCCCAGCCGAACTTCAACAAGGTCGCCGAGGAGAACTCCTTCAAGGTATTCCACGGGCCGCGCGGAGCTCCCGAGAACGTCGGCGATGCGCTGAGCGCTGTGCACCCTGTCATCCGCACGAACCCTGTCACCGGCTGGAAGAGCGTGTTCGCCGTGGGCTCGCACTGCCAGAGGGTGAACGGAGTGACCGAGGAAGAGAGCCGACATCTGCTCAATTGGTTTGTCACGCTCATTGTGGAGAACCACGACCTGCAGGCGCGGCTCCGCTATCAGAACCCGAACGATCTTGGTAAGTCGCCATTACCCTGAGAAGAAAATCGTCTTACTCATTTTCTCGCAGCCATCTGGGACAACCGCTCCGTGTATCACGCCGCCACCTGGGACTACGAGAACATTGGCCCACGGACTGGCCACCGTGTTGTCGGTCTAGGCGAACGGCCTTATTTCGACCCGAATAGCAAGAGCCGCCGGGATACGCTGGAGCAGGAGTAATGATTTATCTTCCATTGCGGACTGGGCGGTCTCTGGGGAGAGTAACATCAGTGGGCTGGGTATTTCAATGATTATAGTTAGTATCCTTTTTCCCGTGAATGCAATATCTTTGAATTTATGTTGCACGGTGTACACTGTAGCGTACGTACCTAGACTTCCCCACCAATACTATTGGTAACTGTATGCCTCTGAATCAAAGATACCCGTATCCCTCCATAATGCAGGTAAGGATTGATGTACTAGATGAAATCAATGATAAAGCCAATAAAATCCGTAAAGTGATGATAATTATAATGGTTGTAAGACGAGAACCTGCAGAAAACAGAGTAACGATTAAAGGCTGCTCTCCGATTTAGCTGACAGTGATCGATTGTCCTGGGTTTTTCCTCCGGTGTTCAGCATTCGTTTTTAAGTAGTAGTCCTTTTCCGATCCAACTTGTTAGGGAGTTTGTATTTTTTCATTTGTTTATAAGTGGGGTGTTGTACTTGGGTGACTTGAATATATATGGCCAATCGGAGAAACATAAATAGAATAGATTATAACTCAAAGCATGTAGATACCCATCACGGATCTTTGCGGGTCATAAGAAATTCATGAAATGTATATTGACTAGCCAAAGGTATATCGAACCGCATTTATACAATCCCCACTGCGGCCGTAAACGGGGATTACAAGGAGAAAAAAGCGCATGTACAGGAAAGAGAAACGCATCCATCAAATCAGACGGATCCACGAGAACACAGTGGGTGCATCTCACCCACCCATAAGCATATACGCGACCAGACCGATCCAACCCCCAGAGAACAGAATAGTCAGGATCGATGCGCCGGCCTTGTCGCCTGCGGTAATCGCCGGCAGCTTGCCACCTTTACCGCCTTTACCAGAGCCAGCGTTGGGATCACTGCTGCTCTTGCCGCCCGTGTCGGAGGTGACGGGCGCCTTATCGGGCATGTCCATCACGAGGAGTGAGGTGATCACATCCGTGGCGATGACCTGCTCTTCCACCCCATTCCAGCCGTCCCACTTCTTCTGGTACCACCGCACGCTGCAGGTGTTGTTTTTCATGCCGCTGCAGGACGCGGCCGCGGCTTCGGCGGAGGCCTGCAGCTTGGGGAGAATCTGATCGTAGGTAGACGGCACCAGCAGGGCGACAAACGCGAGCCAGCTCGAGACCAGGCCCTTGAACAAGATCTCGTTCTGGTTACACAGCTCCTTCTCATCACACGGCTCGACGAGGATGTTTCCACCGTACTTCTGGGGGAAGAATGTGCGGAGGGTGACTTTGAGGAGACCGTCGACGACCTCTTTCCACGAGTCACTCTCGGTCTGGTTGGGGTTAGCCGCGGGGGCACCGGACACGTGAGGGGGAAGACGAAACGTACCATGTTATATAGATATGCGGCACCGCTGAGGTAGGTGCCGTAGTTGTACGACCACTGGTTGTTGCCCGAGGTTGAGCACCCGTCGGGGATGTCGGTCGAGTCGGCGACATTCCACGTCTCCTTATCGACCAGCGGCGAGTCAGTGGACCAGTCCCAGATCTTGTGGGCCCAATCCGTATAGGTTTGATTGTTGGTGTAACGGGCCAAGCGCGCAGCCAGCATGAACAGGCCGCCATTGGAGACGGAATTCTTCATGTTGTATCCGGCCTGGTAGGGGAAGATCTGCCAGCGAAGACCACCCCCGCAGTTCATGGTGTCCCAGCGGGCGGTTTGCGTGTTGAACACGCCCTGGGCCAGCGACAGCCACGAATACGAGTCCTCGACATCCGGAAACTTGATCTCGGCGGCCGTCATGGCAGCCTGGCCCCAGAACATCTGATCGTCATTGCCCAGGTAGCTACTGTAGTTGTCGGGCATGTAGTCTCCGTTTCCCGCCTGCCATTCCATGCCCTGGCTGACCTGATCATTGTAGGTAGAATCGCCGGTGTAGTGCCAATACCAGAGGAGACTCATGAACAGGGCGCTGCCTTCCCACCATTTTTCCGGGAACGCACCGGGGATGCCTCCGGTATCGTTGCCCCCATACCAGCCCATGGATCCGAAAGCGGTCTTGCTGGCGGCATCTTTGATGGATTCTGTCGGACAGAGCAAATTCGTCAGCAGGATTCAACCGGGGTCGACGGAGGAGCTAGCAGAATGGATGGACGGGTAGAGGGAAGATCGGGGAGTTGCGTACGATGATCATTAACGTCGAGACTGATCGCGGGCGCGAGCGAAGAAAACAGCGCCGGCCCCAAGATCGCCGATCGGAAGAGATTTGCGACCATGACGAGCAGTCGATCACTTACTCGGCGGAGAGGGCAGGAGAACGAAGAAGATCCAAGAGGGTGGGAGAGGGTTGATTTGGATGTCGCATGGGAGTCGATCAACCGAGCCGGCAAGGAACGATACGAACGAAGACGAGCAGTGGTTGGCGAGAGAAGGACGGACAGACAGACCGCGAGATAGAGAGATCAAGAATTGCGCGTCCAACCAACTGGACGTCGAGGCACCAATCAAGTAAATGGTCCTGGTGGAACCGGTGGAGCCCATCCATGCTGGGAGTTTAAGCTTTGCCCAGACCGAGACCAAGACTTTTTAGCACAATCGAAGGATTCCGGGATTTGCATGCTCATCCATTGTCGATCGTCCGTCAGCAGAAGCTTATGATTCTCCCGTCCAGTAGAATGGGGGATGGGAGTGACGAGAGGAAGGATGGTTGAACGGAATGCAACAGGAGGGACGAAAAAAGGTGTTTCCATTTCTGGATTTCATTCCCAGGAAATGACGTGGTGACTCAGCGATACGGTCTGAGTCAGCCATACGTCATCTTTGCTCTTGATTCTTGGGTCAGGGGTAGCATCGTGGTGTGAGTACCTGGTGGCGAGTAACAGGTGTGAAGGGATAGAATGTATCCCCTGGTAGATTGTTAACATTGCTCGGCTGAAGGTTCAAGAGAGCTGTGGTCATGTTGCCCATCAAACCGACGAGCGTGATATATATAGATATCATATAGACTGGGCTGAGACCTAACACGTGTGGAAAATATGATATGATATCAGCAACAGTAATACGTTGATCAACCAATTGGACATAAGGGCCCATGGGCAGCATAGATCTATATATGATGGCTCGAACATGACACATAAAGAAGGCAAGGACAGGTCTCCACATGCTGGTAGGACTATTGCTCTGGGTCGACCGCGGGCGAAACTGTCTTCTCCATAATCTTGCCGTGCTCGGCCTTCTTCTGAACTTCTTCATCCTCATGTTCGATGAACTGCTGCGGACGCCGGCGGGAAATGACGTCGGGATCGCCGACGACCACCACGGGCGGATCGGTACGGTAGTACGCGTCGATATCTTCCAGGGTGCGGTTGGCTGTGTCATGGTTAGTTAGTCAACCAAATGAACAAAGTGGAGAGGGCATATACCAGTCTCGGGGTAGAAGAAATAAACAATTGGGAGGAAGACCGCATTGAGGACGGTCCAGACAATGTAGAATCGCCAACCGATATTCTGAATCCCGATGGGGGTGATTTCCACAATCACAAAATTTGTGATCCTGGACGCCGTCACAGTCAGCTAAGGTTTCTTTAAGCATCGGGAGAGGAATCAACAGCCTACCAATCGGTCGCCGTGGCCACAGCCGCCCCCTTGGTGCGCATCGGCAACGAGTTGATCTCGGTCGGGTACAACCACGGCACCCCCAGCATGCCGATCCCAAAGGAGACGTGGAACAGAAAGAAGAAGGCAATAGAGGCGGTCCCGTAGACGGGGTCAAACTCAGCGAAGCGCAGCAAGATGGTGATGATGAGGAACGAGACGAACTGACCGAAAATGGAGAGCAGCATCAGCCCACGACGCCCAAACCGCTCGACGAGGGTGACGGCGAAGGTGGCGAAGAGAAAGTACGAGGTCGCGTTGACGGCCGTCAGCAACCGGGCCATAGTGTTGGTCAGTCCCACCGAGTTGATCAGGACCATGGGAAGGTAGTAGGACATCAGGTTGATGCCGCCGAATTGCTGCATCGCCTGGGAGCCCGCCCCGAGGATCAGCCGTCGCAAGGTCTTGGTGTCGTTGCCCTTGTCCCGTTTGAGTAGGTCCTTCCACGCGATGGCGTTCTGTCGCTCGTAGCTGATGCTGTACATGATCTCGTCATGCTGGGTCGTGATGTAGGGGTCGTCGACGGGCTTGTCTTCAATGCAGGAGAGGACCTGCAGGGCTTCACGTTCGCGGCCGTGCGAGAGGAGCCATCTGGATTGGTCAAAGGAGGCTGATCAGTGCAACTAGGGGGGGACTAACCTTGGGGATTCGGGGAGCCAGGGGACCGTCCCGTAGAGGAGGAAGATGAAGACAAATTGAAAGGCAATGGGGAAGCGCCACGCAACGGCACCTGCATGGAAAGACAGACCGTAGTTAATCCAATTAACCAGACAGTATCCACCCACGTTCAGTCCCATCTCCAGGATGACCAACTTGCCGCGCCACCGGGCCTGCGCCGTCTCGGTCTGCCAGATGGGTGCTGTCGCCGTGTTGATGCCGTTGCCCACCCTACTCCATGTCAGCACTACGATGAGACGTCTACAGATGCGGCCGTGGGGACTGACCCCAACACGATGCGACCCACAAACATCTGAGGCAGACTATAGGAGGAAGCCTGCAGGATGGTGCCAATGCCCATGATGCTCGTGCCCAGGATGATGCTCATCTTGCGACCAAGCCTCTCCCCGACGGTGAAGGCGACAATGGCCCCGAAGAAGCACCCAATATCGTAGATGGCGGTGACAGTAGACAGAGTTTTAGTTTTGGTGGGTCCGACCAGGTCATGACTATCGAGGAAATCCTGCGTGACGGTGACGCCGGAGAAGACGCCTTCATCGTATCCGAAGAGGAGCATATCCGTGGAGCAGGCGACCTAATTTGTTAGCAGACAAGTCCCTGGAAAAATATACAAAACATAAAGGTATCATATATTATAACAAAAAAGAGTGATTTATATCAATAATACTTGAATGTATCCAGAAAAAAACGCACCGTAATCCAAAAGGTCAGCCACCCCCCCGTCAGCCCAAAGTAGGGTTGTTTCTTGTCCCGAAGCACACCCATGTTTATCACAACCAAAAAGGAATTGTATTCAATTATGCAAGCCAAGGATAATTGAGATCTCCAGGGAACTCTAGGGTCCAAGTCGACATTTATACCGGATGGGACCGAGGCCGATCCCCCGGATCGCCAGACCTACCGATGCGGGGAGAACGCGGGGAAGCCCACGAGGGAGGTCGGGTACAAGCCTACTATCTCAGGTATGAATCCTCTGAAAACAACTGGATCGTCAATCACCGGCCGCTTGTTCCACCCGGTTAGGAGTCATTGGCGGATGGCGGCCAGAACCGCCGAACTATGAGTGGTCTGAGTCTGTTCCCCCACACTAACTTTCCATGGCGTATCTACTTTCTGGGTGGAAGGAGGAGGAAGTAGTACACGGGATGGTAAAGTGGAGACTCTGTTAAATGAACCGAGAGGGGAAATTAAGAAGGAACATGTGTATGGACAGGAGAGACGAGGGGCGTTGGGGTCGGGACAAGCCATCCATTCAATGCGGTCTCCGGTATGAGTGCCGCAAGCGAACGACACACCGCCGGGTACGTGCATGTGTTGTTGCAGCAAACAAAGGGATGGCAAGAGGCAAAGAGCTACTGGTCTACCATAGGACCTTTGTGGAGCAGTTCGACTTAGGGCACGTCCGCATACAATCCAAGGCTATTCCTACTAAATGTACGGTACAGACAACTGAAGGACCAAGCCACGGCTCTCTAAAATACATATTTCTTTTCATTCATTACCCTCCGGGCTTTTAGAAAACCCAAATCCCACTCCATGCAGGCCATATTCGCGACACAAGCACTAACCTATGGAGGACTGCTACTAGTGGTGGCAGACCTGTGGCTGGGTTCAACTGCATAGGACCGCTTGGATATGACAAAGATGGTATACCATTTGCGGTCCGGAGGCATTTTCAAATTGATGTCTTCATTGACCATGTACTGACCGAACACTTTGTGCACGTTGTCAGTTCGACAGTGACATATACCTATGAGGTATATGGGTCAAGGGAATGGTGAATGACAGATGATTGCCTGCAGAGCACTACATGTCACTACTTTTCAATCACTGGCAGGCGTGTCCTTGCTTTCTGACCAATCAATTTGATGTTTTTCTTTTTTATGATAGTCTCTCTTGTCAACCAACTACATTACAATATCGAACGGCAGTTTGGTCAGGCTGGGTATGACTGATATCCCCAACATTGATCATGACACAAGGTCATCCCTTCCTGTGCTATTCCACACAGCAATGTTACCCATCAATATGGCAACATCGGTGAACGAAGCCCTCGACAATGTGTCCAAGATGAACCCGCAAACGGTGTGTCTTGTGTCGTGGATGGAAATATCTCTGGGATGAAAAGGGGTTCAATCTTTGGTCTATAGCGAATGTCCCCCTCGACGCGCGACGCTTGTATTCCAAGCAATAACCATCGTTCGCCTGGAGTTGTTCGGCTTAGATAGGTAGCATTCGTTATTCAACCACCATGTCTGACCGTGTTGCCAATCCATTACACTGTCTCCATAAAGGTAAACTCGTCGGTCGCTGGATCAACGCGATACTGGACGTGAAAGTGGTGGAGGCATAGAATTATGTCAAGAGCATGTATCAAAAAACGAAGAGAGACCACAATGGACTATGGACGTCCCCACTCGCCATTCTAGTCCACGGATCACCTGCTACGAGGGCAATGTTGCCCAATATCCGAGACCAGGTAATGGTGCACAATGATAAATCTCTGGTGTAGTGAATGAGGCCTAGCAAGCAAGTCTATGTCGCTGCTGTACTCAAGGAAGTCGGGATTGGCAATCTCCATATAAACTTAGACTCTGAGATGGCCAGGTTGGCAATTCGGGTATACAGCAAACGAAACGTAGTCTATTCTGCAAGCGTTGCTCCCACAGAGATACCACTAGCCTGCCACAGACTATCTCCTGGATCTGGCAGTTTACAGACGCGTGAAACAGCAGACATCGACAATATGGGCTTGTTCATGCTGAATTATGGAGAGGTGGTGATGTCATTTTTCGCTCCTCAATAGTCCTTGACCACGAACTTGGACCAGAGTAGCATCGCCGCCTCCATGACTGCCTCCAGGAAACGAAGAAAAATACTAGTGTATTGGAGGGAGAAAGAGACATCTTAAGATGCTATTCAATCGGCGCTGGTGGCCCTTCAAAAACGGGGCCAGGAACACGTCACGGAATCAGCAAAGTCAGCATGATTACTTTGGTTCCAAATTGTCTATCGCGAGAAACTTGGGCAAATTTCCATCGTCTCTGCATCCACGCGGAGTCGAGAAATTCAGCTCGAAACTATCTACCGTTAATATTTGGCACATAATATTGTACACGCGGTGGAGTGGAAGAAATATACCATCAGCTTCTATACTTTAATATCACGGCTGATTATGATGACACTGCTCAGGATTGGTTTATCTTCTGTCTATACCTAAAATGTGTAAATACCTATCTAATCGTTGGGATTCTCTATGCACAGGTTTATAACCGATGTATTGCAACAAAAATAATTCAGTTATAAAGATCCAACTCGTTGACAAAAACCTCCCTGGGTTTGCTCAACGTACTTCGTCCACGCTTCACAAACTGCCCACATCCCTTATGACCCACCAGGCCGCCAGCATCCCGGTCCCAAACCACCTGGCCTCGGAGAATGGTATAGCGCGGCCAATTCTTAAACTCCATTCCCTCAAAGGGCGTATGATCGATATCATGGTGCAGCATCTCATTCACCAGGTGAAAAGACTCCATCGTGTTCACACCGTTCCCGCTCTGGGCGGCCTGTTCAGAAGTGGGGTACCAGATCGTCAAATCGGCATCGTACCCCGGAGCGATGGTCCCCTTGGTATGGAGACCATAGAGTTTGGCGGGGTTCGAGCTCGTCAGCTCAACGAACTTTTGGACTGACAGCCGGCCCGTCAAGACACCACCGGAGAACAGGCTCGGCAGTCTGGTCTCGACGCCCGGCATTCCATTGGGGATTTTGGTGAACGTTTCCGTGCCGGCCTTTTTGCCCATCGGGTGATCGAACCTAATTTGTCAGTCCTGCTCCACCAGATAGATAGGGTTGGAAGGTATACTTGGTTGGCGCGTGGTCACTGGAAAAGGTAGTGAACGTCCCGTTTGCGAGACCATCCCACATACCCTGGAGATCGAGGGGGCTTTCACGCAGAGCCGGGGAGCAAACGCATTTCGCACCCTCGAATCCTTCTCCCTTTAAGCGGTCACTCGTAAAAAACAGATACTGCGGGCAGGTCTCGCCGTGGATAGGAAGTAGACGTGTCTGGGCGTTGCGAACGTGCTCGGCTGCTTTTTTGGAAGACATGTGCACGATCAGGATCGGAACGTCGGCGAGCTCCGACAGTGCAATGACGCGGTAAGTGGCCTCGTCCTCTGCGAGGGGCGGCCTAGACAGGGCATGCCCGTAAGGCTCGGTCCGACCACGCGCGTGCAGTTTCTCCGTCATCCACTCGATCATTTCCGTGTTCTCGGCGTGGACCATGGTGGTCATGCCCAGGCGGCGGGTGGACTCCATGACTTCGAGGATCTGGCGGTCGCGCAGGCGCAGCGGCTGATAGGTCATGTATACTTTGACGGAGGTGATACCGTCACGGACGATAATCGGGAGTTCGTTGGCCAAGATGTTCGCGGTGGGGTTGGACAAGATGAGGTGGAAGCCGTAGTCACAATACGTGACGTCGTTCGCGCGACGGTGGTACTCTTCGACAACAGGGAAGACACTCTCATCGGCGCGGTTCTGGCTTGCAAATGCTAGTACGGTGGTTGTTCCTCCTGCAATGGCCGATCGAGTTCCTGATTCCCAGTTGTCGCCCGTCGGGAAGTCATCCTGCGCCAGGTGGACGTGGCTGTCGATGCCGCCGGGGAGGACGTAACCGCCTTGTGCGTCGAGTGTCGCTGCATGTGGAAACAGGGCAGGCAAGTTCTGTCCGAGCAGGACAATCTTACCCCCACTTATGGCAATATCCTGGTTGGCGACGACGTCTGAAGCCGTGGCCTGTTAGGGTTAGCCGAGTCACGGGCGTATGGCATTGGGTGACCGTACAATGGTCGCATTGGTGACAATGAGCTCGATGGGTGCAGGCTCATTGCCAACGGTAACCTTCATATCAACCTTCATTTTTGTTCTTGTGCGATGTGATGGTGTCTGAACTTTGAGGCGACTTCTCGGCTATGAACCCCTCTCCTTATCTGCACCGCGTGTGGGGAAATTGTCGCATCGGGCAACGCCGATAAGATAGACAACTCCACAGCGCATACGATACGACAGGATCGCCGAATGAATCCTTCGAGAGAAGCGGAGAAATGTCCGAGATAGGACCGTGGAGTATATCTATTACCAATGATAGACACATTTTGCCCCGCCTCGTCATACGCATGTTGTCACTTTAACACATACCCGCCATGTCTCGCACCGTCCGTGTCGCCGCCGCCCAGATGGGCACGACCAACGTCTGGGATGCCCGACCTGATACCCTAAATCGCATGATCGCGCTGCTGAACAATGCCGCGGATGGAGGTGCACAACTCGTCGTTTTCCCGGAGACAGCATTCACCACGTTTTTCCCACGGTATATAATCCTGGACGAAAACGAGCTGGAAACATGGTTTGAGCACGGCGACATTCGCACCGCCCCCAACACGAAAGCACTGTTCGATACCGCGCAGAGCCGGTCTGTGGATATAGTTGTAGGGTTCGCGGAAACGACCGACGCAGGTGATCACTACAACACCTGCATATACTACCATGCCGCCACGGGGTCCATCCTGTCTAAGTACCGCAAGATCCACCTCCCAGGCGATAAGGAGCCATTCCCTGACCCCGAGGCCGTGAACCAGCTCGAAAAGCGATACTTCCTGCCGGGAAACCTGGGATGGCAGGCGTTTCGCGTGCCCGGTCTGGTCGATCCTGCAGGACAGAGCGACCCCATCATGGGGATGATGATCTGCAACGACCGACGCTGGGCGGAGTCGTGGCGGGTTCTCGGACTGCAGGGAGTGGAAATTGTTCTGGTTGGGTACAACACGACCAGCTTTGCGCCGTCGCTGTGGGGCGTGGCAGCGGATATTGATCCCAAAGAGGCAGAGGAGATATCCCTGTTCCAGCACAAGCTGGTCATGCAGTGCTACAGCTACACCAATTCCTGTTTCTCCGTGTCTGCCGCGCGAGCTGGTCTAGACGATGGGAAGTACCCGCTGATCGGGGGATCGACTATCATCGATCCAGAGGGGCGTTTGCTAGCTGAAAGCAAGACCACAGAGGATGAGGTCATCATAGCCGACTGCGATCTATTGCTCTGCCGGCCAGGAAAGACCAGGACGTTCGACTTCGCGCGCCACCGCCGCGTCGAGCACTACGGACGGATCGTCCAGCAGACGGGCGTGATTGAACCACCTCAGGAGACAGCCGTGGGGCCCTGCGTTGAGACTCATGCGGCACAACGCCCCTTCGGTCGCTATCGCATTCTCCTCATCAACCCTAACTCTTCCAAGTTCATGACCGACAACTGTGTTGCGTCCGTACAGCCCACTCTCCCCCCCGACGTTGACGTCGTCGGCTTCACGGCACCCGAGCCAGCCCCAACCGCCGTGGAAGGTCACTCGGACGGGATTCTCTCCGCGGCAGCAACACTCCGCGCGCTGCTGCCTATTACAGAGAATTACGATGCGTTTGTCATCGCATGCTACAGCGATCATCCGCTCATTTACGCACTGCGCGAGGAAGTTCGCGCCCCGGCCATGGGAATAATGGAGGCCAGTCTCTTTGCCGCCCGAACAGTCGGGACTAGATTCGGCGTAGTCGCCACGTCGGCACGGTCAGAGACGATGCACGCGGACGCAGTCCGACGGTATGGATTAGACGCATTCTGTGCGGGGATCAAGAGCAGCGGACTATCCGTGCTGGAACTGGACAGCGCAGATGAGAAAGTAGTAGAGGAGGCCATGTGTAGGACGGCTACGGAACTCGTTCAGCGTGGAGCGGATACCATCACGCTCGGCTGTGCCGGGATGACAAATTTGAAGGAAGCGGTGCAGGCTGCCGTTGGAGAAGACGTGCCTGTGATTGATGGTGTGGTGGCGGGCGTGCATAATGTTGTTGGAATTCTGCGGAGTGGACTGTGTACGGCGAAGAGAGGAGGCTACTCTAGTGCGAAGGCGCAGAGAGTGGTGAGGGGTCAGGATTTTCTTTGACTTCTTTTGAGGCATATTCTGTTTTCCTGCGGGTTGGCTACTGGTAATTAGTGCGTTGTCTCAACTGTTCGTAATGTGATATGTCAAATTCAAATTGTTTGCCTTTCTAAGAAATGCCTGTTTTTTGATTGGATGGGTTTTCCTCAATTCGGGGCATATCTTGATTGACATGTGCATATGATTCAAGGGGACGTAGTGTGCAATATTGAGGAGCATTCAACAAGAGGAATCTTGTCACGTTGGTGATATTTATTAAGATAAGCATGTTCGGTTCAATCACCAGGTCGCCACCAAAAGTAAAGTATAAAGACGAGAGATTATTTAACTGAATGGAACACTGGATCGATGTGAAGATCGTGGATACAGCCTAGAGTGACATAGATTTATAAAATATTTACTAAAGTAATGATCTACTGGTATATGCGACTATACAGGGCACGAGGCCGACATGAAAATTAAAGCTTAGACGGCTTCAGGAGCTTCTCCTGCGTCCGATAGATCTTAACCAACTGTCGCACTGACAGGTCGAGGAGAACATCCTCGGAGCCACCCGGGATACGGGCGCCGGGGACATCGCGGTAGATAGCTAAAACGATTGTCAGTTACTTTTTTACCCAAGTGGGCGTCAGGGCGCATACCTTCGACCAGTTCCCCCTGACCAGAATGAGCTGTGAATCCAGCCCCGCCGAAGAGGAGAACGGCGCACTGGGCGCATTCGTTCAACACCATGGCTCCCTTGGCCTTGGCCATAGCGGTGACACCTCCCAACTGGCGGTCGGCCTCCTCCTTGCTGAGATGGCACATCTGATAGAGGAGCTGCTCAACAAATGCCCACATGGTCTCTAGCTCGGCGCCCGCCTTAGCCAGTCGGTGACGCACCACAGGCTGGTCCATGAGCGTCTTGCCGAAGGCCTCACGCTTCAAGCAATACCGGAAGGCTTCGGCCAGGGCCACACGAGCCTGTCGAGTGACGCCGACGGCGATCGTCAGACGCTCGTGGTTGAAGTTGGTCATGATGATGCGCATGCCGTCTCCTTCGCGACCGACGATATTTTCGACAGGAACCTTGACGTCGTCCAGCTCGATGTAGGTCGTGCCACCTGTCTTTTGGCCGGAGACGGTGAGGCGGCGCATGGTAACGCCGGGATAGCCTTTAAGGGGCACAACCATTACGGAGAGGCCAGCAGCACCGGGGCCTCCGGTCCGCACCGCCATGGTGGTGCAGTCGGACCAAATACCGTTCGTGATCCTGCCCCATGAGTAACTCGTCCGTGCGTAAAGCCCGAGGAGACTGGATGCTTACCATTTCTTTTCGCCATTGATGATGTAGTGTTTTCCATCCGCCGACTTGGTCGCCGTCGTCGCGATATTGGCGACGTCACTTCCCGCGCCGGGTTCCGTGATGGCGATGCAGCCTCGCTTCTTGCCGGTCAGGAGGTCCGGAAGGACGCGTTCCTGCAACTCCGGGCTGGCGTATTTCAAAATCGGCGAAATCCCATACGCCCATCCGGCGTTTAGAGAGGCTGAAGGCCCTGCAAGACCTGACCGGGCTAGCTTCACCGGTGTCAGTACGGACCGGTGCTGCCGGACAAACGAGGACTCCTCACCTCATCTGTGTAGATTCCCGTATGCAGGTAATCCCAGTCCTCTACCTTGACGCCCAGTATATCATGAATTCCCAACCGTTTCAACCAGTCAACCGGGAGAGGGGCCGGTAAATTCGGGACCAACATGTTATGCTCGCAGAAGATCTTAAAGACATGGTCGGGAACGGTGCCTTGTTTCTCCCATTCCATGGCATGTTGCAAGAGATGCTCCCAAAGGAATGCACGGCATGCTTTCTGGAACTTGCGATGACCCTCGGTGTAATAAGGGGACGGGAGGCCGCGCAGGTACGGGGGTTCGGAGAATGGAATGGGGTTGGGGTCGACAGTGGCCATGGTGAGTGGTTGTGTGCGGAGAGACCCACCGGGGAGATATTGGGTATGCGACCTTGGGGATGTGGACGGTGAAAATAGAGGGTTGGAAACTGACTAGAATTCGAGAAGATCCCACGATGAACAGGAATTATTTAAACCAAATCACGAACTGCAGAGAAGAAGCTCGATTTCTCCCCGCATGGAGAACCGAGGCTGACGGGCCGAACGGGTTGCACGGCCCGAGCGCGTCACATGGTTCCTTTCTCTGTTATACCGGTCGTTCTCCTTCTTGGCTACTTCTCTCCCACAATCCAAGATATGCTTGGGTTTTCTAACATACACGTGCAGTGGGAGTGAGACGCAGTGACAATGCCATTGACGAACTTGAACCAGTCATGGTTCAGAAACCCTCCAGAATGCAGGAGATGACGTGGATGTGGAGCCAGCCCGTATTCAAGTATCTCAGCCTTGACAAATAGTATATCGAGCGTTGATGGAAATATACTCCGCAGAGCACCCCCGCCGATGCGCAGAACGTGACTCGTGCTGAATCCTTCGCGATACGAGCATCGACATAGATCCTGATCGACATGCCAATGATAGTACACCGTCGACCCTCCTCGCCCCCTTACTTTGGTGAAGACGCAAGGACCTTGGGTCCTAGTTAACTCTAACCAAATACTACATATACCCCGACGGATCGCAGGACTCCATTCTTCTTGCTACCTTTTGAATATACTTCTCGTCTTATACCCAACTGTTGTCGGGGATATCAATCTAGCATTCCCTGTCATTTTTCCGCCGCAAGATGGTCTTTTTTGAGGGGCTCGGTCAGTTCCCCGTCTTCACGGCGCTGACTGCAATATTTGCGTACCTCATAGCATGCATGGTCTATCGTCTCTACCTCAGTCCGGTGGCATCTTTCCCGGGCCACCCCTTGGCAGCGATAACATGGTGGTAAGTCATCGATGCGGCGGTCCAGTAGGTTCAAGAGGGACAATCTAGCACTGACACGCCGCAGTTATGAATTCTACTACGATGCAATTTGCGGAGGTCAATATATCTTCAGAATCAGGGAGATGCACAAGAAGTTCGTAAGTATCGTTTCTAACCAGAACACGCCTACATATCCTCCTCATCGATATTCACGCTCATAACCATAGGGCCCTATTATTCGCATCAACCCCGAGGAGCTTCATGTTGAGACGTCCGAATTCTACGGCAAACTTTACACCTCGGGTCGGGAGAAGAGGAACAAAACTCTTCAATTCAGTCGGCAGTTAGGGACCCCCAACTCGACCATAGGTACTATCGACCACGACTTGCATCGCATGCGTCGCTCCGCCCTCAACCCGTTCTTCTCAAAAGCAAGTATACGGCGGTTGCAGCCTGTGATATGGACCCAAGTTGACATCCTACTGGAACGGTTAGAAGAGTTCAAAAAATCTGGCCGGCCACTCCGCATGGACTTGGCCTACTTTGCGCTCACCAACGGTAGGCACGATGGTCAAGATCGTCGTCTATTGTAAACATTTCGGCTGACAAGCTTAGATGTCATCATGGAGTACAGCTTCAACCGTTCGCTACACCGATTGCAGAAAGTTGACTTCGATTTGCCCGCAAAGGAGGCGTTGCTCGCTGCCAGCAAGATTGTGCATTGGATGAAGCATTTTCCCTGGATTATCCACGTTGCCCGGGTAATTCCTTTGCGGATCATTTCGTGGATCAACCCAGCGTATGTTTGCCGGTGATTTGTTGAATAACACATTGAGCTAACGGAGGCTGAAAAGAGTTGCGACCTTGCTAGAGGACGACAAAGTGGGCATTGTCACCTGGAATTTCCAAACCATTTGCTGATACCGTAACAGTCATTTGCAAAGGATAACATGGTTCAGGTGCACGAGATCATGAACGGCACCGATCGGTATAATGAGCACGGACACGCAACAATTTTCCACGAGATGATCTCGAATCCAACTTTGCCAGCCTCCGAGAAAGGCGTGTCCCGGCTTTCGGAAGAAGCCAAGATAGTTGTCGGCGCAGGGTCCGAGACAACGGCTTGGGCCCTGACTTTAATTACATACTATCTACTCAAACAACCGCACACTCTATCGCGCCTTCGAGCCGAGTTGATCGCCTCTATCCCTGATCCTCGGGCCCATGTTGGCATCGAGGGGCTGGAACATCTTCCGTACCTCACTGCTGTGATACAAGAGGGTCTGCGTTTCTCGTGCGGTGTGACTGGCCGACTGGCACGGGTCGCGCCCGAGGAAGAGCTGATCTTCCACGACAGCAAGCGCCAAAAGGATTGGCATATTCGACCAGGGACACCCGTCAGTATGACTTCAGTTTTCGTCCATAATGATCCCGCTATCTTCCCAGAACCGACCATGTTCCGCCCAGAGCGTTGGCTAGAGGCCAGCGAAGAGGGCCGAAACCTAGGCCGGTATCTCGTGTCCTTCACGAAGGGTTCAAGACAGTGTGTCGGTATCAATCTGGCGTACGCGGAGCTTTTCATTTGTGTCTCGACTATTTTCAGGCGGTACAGTGGTACAGATGAGGACGAGAGTGGGAAAGAAGGTATACTGGACCTGTTTGAAACGACCAACGACGATGTGGATATTGCGGCGGACATGTTTCTCCCATGTCCTAAAAAGGAGAGTAAGGGGATCCGGCTGTTTGTCAAGGATCCTTGACGTGATGATGTGATAACTGCTACAGTACTGAAGGCCATACACGTGGTAAGTGGCACCAGTGGCTTACGCGGTCTGTTCTTTGACACCCATATTCAACGTCAGGCTTGAAGTTCATAATCCTTACAAAAAGATCATTTACATGCCAATAATATATGAGGATCGGCCTGACTTGCTCACTTGGTAGGAAATTTACTGCGGTAGACACTAAAATGAGAACCCTTTTTCCTTGCAGTGGGCGAGGAGCAATGAGCAAATTCATGAAGATACGGGACATTGCCCATCAAGACCCTGATAGAACGCAGCAGCTTCATCCCCGGCGATGCGGCCGAACACGACACACTCCAGCAGCGACGACCCGCCCAATCGATTCTGGCCATGGAGACCTCCGGTGATCTCGCCCGACGCCCACAGGCCCGGAATCGGCCGTCCTTGGTCATCCAACACCTGGCTGCGCTCGTTGATCACCACTCCGCCCATGGTGAAGTGTACCACCGGCGTCACCTTACCCACGTACACCTTAGACTCCGGTCGCACCTCTGAGAGTGTCCAATTCCCGAACGACTGGCGTCCAAATGGATCCTTCGTCTTTCGAAACACCACGTTGACATAGTCCCGCAGCGTTCCATCCAGCAATGGCAGTTCCTCCACCAACTCGCCCACCGTGGTCTGGCGCATCAGTCCCTTCATCGTATAAAACCCTAGATGCGTCTGCAATGCCGCGGCAGCCCCCTCATCCAGCACCAGGGCCACGTCCCACTGCCGCGCCGTGGTGGGCAACGCTTTCGCCTGCTCCATCATTGCGCACGTCACCGTTTCCCTTTTCTCCAACTCATTGACAAAACGCCTGCCGTCGTCTCGGACCAAGATGCCCCCTTCCCCACGCAACGCCTCCGCCGCTAAGATCTTCACTGCCGCCTCCGGGTCCTTGCTATCAACAAATCCGGTCGGGTGCACCTGCACCTGCTCCATATCCACGACCGCAGCACCAATATCCTGCAACAGAGGCTGCGTGCCTTCGCGGTGGTCATTCGTGGATGGAATTCCCGCCAAGTCCGGCCGATACTTGGCTAACAGTCCGTGTGCATCCCCGGCAAATCCCCCACTCGCCACCACAACCGGCCCATACGCCCTCTCCACCACGGTTTCGTTGTCCCGGAGGTACGTGTACTCCACTCCCGACACCTGGCCCTCAACCTCCCTCAACAACTTGGTCACTCGCCGTCCCGTCTCCATCCGGAACAGCTCATCCCCAGTGACCCGCCCCAGCAAGGTACTCACAATATCGTACCCGGGAGGCTTTTTGCCGGCGCCCCGATGAGTCCGTGCAAAGCTATGTCCCCCCAACTGTGCCACTCGGGTCAAGTCGATGCCCTGCTCGTCGGCAAGCCAAGAGATCGCCCCCGAGGAATGCTCCACCAACGTCTCAATGAGATTCTGTCGTCGGGTCTTCTCCGCCCCCGACGCCGCGACCAACGGTGCGCCAGCGGAAGTAACGGTATCGTCGTGAAAAGCCGCGACACTGTCGGGATTCGGAATGGGTTGGAAAGGAGTAGGCGCGCCATTGATTCCCGACGAAGCTTTGATACTGTTTCCACCGGGGTGGGAAAATCGTTCCAACATGAGGACCGGGATACGGTGGGCGAGGAGTTGGATGGTGGTGGTTAGGCCGGCGAGGCCGGAGCCGACAACGATGACGGTAGATGGAATCATTGTTTCTTTTTCATGGCAGAGCAATAGAGATGAATGACAGTCACTGATGGGGCAGTGGCATATTTGGTGAGGAGATGAACGGAAGACAGTCATACGATCTGGGGTGTGGAGGATATGGGGTGATACGATGAGGTCATGCTGACTGTCGGCCAATTAGGACCAAGTATGTAGATACAACTTTATAGCTTTAATGATAAAGACATGGCAAGGTTTAACTGATTTAGTCAGATCAAATTATAGTATTCAAAAAATTGGTCTGATCTGGACCTCTGTAGCATTTACGGGGTCAAGGTGGAAAGTCCTACCCTAGGATGTACTCAATTCCCGAGTATTCCGTTGCATAGTCCCAGACTCGGTATATCAGCAGCTGCACCTTGGAATGACCAAGCAAAATAATAATATAAAATTGATAAAACTAATACTCTCGAGGCTATGAAAAGGCTGCGAGATTGCAAGTATCATGAAGGAAATAAACATATGTGGGGAAATCAACAAGTATGATACCCCACACAATACCCGCCTGATGGTCTGGTAGACACCACACTATCCACACCTCTTTCAATAATCTTCTGTATAGCTTGTTGCCCATCTTTCTATCACTTCCAGTCTTTTCAACCAGAAATTCCATCGATCCATGCTCATCGGACCCGCGGCCCAGAGCCTCCCTTCTCTCTCCAACGCCCAGCACTTCTCACCTCTTCTCGCGCCCTCTCGGAGCCTTTCCCCGGCGACCTTTATCCACACCAACGCAGCAGGCACCTCAAAGTCCAACACTGCGTCCTGACATTCCAGCGCCTCGGAGATGCACTCATAGCCCCAGCTCAGTGGCAAGAGTCCATCTTCTGCATTAAGTCCAGGAGCAGCCATTGCACAAGACGCTTCCACAGACGCCCGGTGCACGTGGGCCTCGCGCCTCTTTGCTCTCGTAGCTGGATCCCGCGTCGCCAATGCCTCACGCCAGTGACTCTGCTTCCAAGCATCCGACCACGAGTCGCCGAAGCTCTTGAGACTGTTGTTCCAGATCGGTTCGCCGCTTTCTTCGTCCGGTAGCTGACTGATTTCCTTGAGCAGGTTGACGAGGGCGGGCGTGTGGCTTTCGGGAACCTCAAAAAGTGCGTCTTCAAGGATGCCCAGTACGCGGCTGCGCAGGTCGGTTTTCTTCTCAGAGCCATGGGGCTGGGTCATGGCGGCCGCTGTCTCGGCTGGCGTGGAGTGACCTTTTAGGTACGTCTGGAGAGCCGCGGCTTGATAGGGATGTGCCCCCGTCTCTTCCTCGCCGTCCATGGGTGCAGTGTGATGGTCGAACCAAGCGTCGTCGGCGGCGGAGCCGAAGCCGTCGAGGTCGACTGATTTGCACGTAATCTCTTGACTACTGGCGTTCATGATGACGAACAGAGGGTCGTTGTCAAAACAGCGTTTGTCTTCTATTCTGCCTGTTCTTATAGACTTGACAGTGTGGTGCAGGTAATTATAATACAATCTGAGGATGGGAGCAGACATCGGACCAGGAACATGAGCCACATATAAATAAAATCACGCTTTGAGAGGAGACACTAATGTCATGGCCTTGTTATGCTTGAGCTAGTGCTTACAATCAGAAGCGAATTAGGAATTGATCGCCAATTTGGTACAGTAGAATTATCAGTCAATAAAGACAAAACATCCTTGTACTTGGCGAACCTAGGTGAGAAAGGCACTTTTTATAGACAGTTCAAAATGATTTCTTAATATATTACTCAGATAGTAAAGAAATAATCTATCTCGAGACATAAGCTATCATTAGGAAACTTATGGCGCCAGGGCCTTCAAGCGTCTGTTTTCCGACATCTATACCCACCCCCGAGAAGCCTCGAGTTCCAGGATACAAGACTACCATTTTTGCATCTGAGCTAAACATCCCTCGCGAATAAGAATAGCAGCGTGCCATACACTTGCAATGCTGCGTAGGTCTCTAGACCTGCTACCTGCCAGTTATCATAGTCCCACGTGATATCTACTATCTCACAAAGCTAAGCTGTCATGTGTATGATCTTGACAAGCCTTGTTGGGTCTGAGACTTTACAGATGTTCAAGGTACCTGCTGTTTCCAAGATCGAGTATACAGGTGGTCAGGTGGCCAGGTTAAGCTCCCTAGGTTGGCCAGATAGTAAATTACTGGTAATTATCAGCCATATTACTAGTAGTAATCATAGTTCAATTAGTTGATAAATATACCGGATAATCACCAGTAATTTACCACCTGGCTGGCCAACCTGGGGAGCTCAACCTGGTGACCTGGCGAGCTGCACCCTCTCCAAGCTCCCAGGCCTGAGTGATTGTACTAGCAGGTCCAGCGCATACATAAGATCCTTACCCAATAAATATCATCCACTGCATGCAACAAATAAGAAACGAACCTAATGAAGTCTATAGAAAGCAGTTAATGCCCAGGTAGATCTGCAGATGGTGCCCTAATCACACAAAGATTGGGTATGATATTTATTACCATCTACACTGCAGATTTCAACCTTCCTGCTTGTACATCTCTCCTTCCCATGTACTCACATCTCTCTCTACTGTCCCAATACCTTTAAATTTACATCATTTGCCTTCTCTCACTAAAAAATCCTCGTCTGTTTCTCTATCAACCACTACTTGAAGCCCATCTGATTAGCTTGACGGTCTCAGGCGTCAAGCAAATGGCGAAAATTCAGAACCCCGATCAACTGGCGTTGTCCGACCCCGCGCTGCTGGATAGAATCGACAAGCTCTTTGCTTGTAACGTCGGCGAGTACATCTCGCTCCCCCAGCTGGTGGTGGTTGGCGACCAATCCAGCGGCAAAAGCTCGGTGCTGGAGGGCCTCACCCGACTCCCTTTCCCTCGCGATAGCGGTCTTTGTACACGGTTTGCCACTCAAATTATCTTTCGCAGATCCAAGGAACATCCAACTCGTACGATTACTGCATCTGTGCTACCTGGCCCGGATGCAAGCACGGAAAAGGCGGCCGCACTCAAGGAATGGACATGGAGAAAAGATGGGACGTTTGATTCTAATGAATTCTCGGATGTTATGAACGAGGTACGCATCCCAATCAATCACGAGGAGCTCGCATAAGTACTAACAGCCAGATGAGGTCCACGCACTGATGGGCGTCTCGCTTGCACCGAACGGTGCCAAATCGACCTTTTCAAACGATGTCTTCCGTCTAGAAATATGCGGTCCGGACGAGGATCATCTGAGCGTGATCGATGTCCCTGGAATATTCAAAAACACCGTGCCCGGGGTGACTTCAAAGGCCGACATCCAACTGGTCCACAACATGGTTGTTGGGTATATGAAGAATCCTCGATCCATTATGCTCATGGTCGTTCCGGCCAACGTGGATATCGCGACGCAGGAGATCGTAGAGCTGGCTCGCGAGTATGACCCTGATGGACAGCGGACTCTGGGAGTTCTTACCAAACCAGACCTGGTTGACACGGGTGCCGAGCAAAGGGTGTTAGGTCTCATTCATGGCGAAGACCTGACCTTCAAACAGGGGTGGTTCCTTGTTCGCAACCTGGGGCAGCGCGAACTGCAGGAAGGAGGTGTCGATCGCAATGCTGCCGAGGACGAATTCCGCCAGACAGAACCATGGAACTTGGTTCCTCAAGACCGATTCGGCATCCAGTCGCTCCGACTACGCCTGCAGGAGGTTGTCATTCACAATGCCCGACAGGCATTTTCCCAGGTCCGATCGGAGATCATGAAACGGCTCAAGTCGAGGCAGCAAAGCCTCAAAGATCTGGGCGATGAGCGCATAACATCGGAACAGCAACGCAGCTTTCTTTTGGGGGCCGTGTCCCGATTTCAGGAAATCACATCCCATGGCCTCAATTCAAACTATGCGATGGATAATGTGTTTGATGATAATCCCGATCTTCGCATAGCAACTCTAGTCATGAATTGCCACGTTGCCTTTGCCGAAAGGCTTTCTTCTTGGGCAAATGAATATCGGTTCAGTTCGCAGAAAGACACGAACGACTTCGAAGATGAACAAGCACCGCAAGAGGCGTTTTCAGAGTGGCCGTATGAAGAGCCCAACAACGATTCGGCTACGCGAGATCAAGAGTCCACCAATATATCTAATGCGCGACCAGACATCCACACCCGCACGACTGAAGACATAGAAGAATTGACTGAAATTCTCCACGAATCTACCTTGGAACGATATCCCAACAGAAGCGGAATATACCAGTGGCTGACCGAGGTTTTTCATCTGTCCCGTGGATTTGAAATGGGCACTTTCAATCCGTCCATTCTCGCTGAAGTATTCAGGAAACAGTCTGCGAAGTGGCCCAATTTTGCGCTTGGTTACATCAGTGATGTCATTACATTGGTTCACCGATTTATTCTCAAAGCTCTTGAGCTGTCGTGCGTTAATCAGCGTGTCTGTGATAGGTTGAAGGCACGACTGATCAACGACCTGCTGTCGAAGTACCGCAATGCCATGAAGATGGTGTTCTTTCTGCTCCGTATCGAGCGAAATGGCACACCCTTGACACTAAATCATTATTTCAATGACAAGCTGCAGCGAAGGTAACATAGATTCCCGTTCCTCATCGTTACCCTCGGCGACCCTGACAATATCCAGGAGAGCCGCTCGCATCCAAGCCCACCTTGCCCCTAAGGTTATCAGCGATCACAAGCGTGGAGAGATAGTCCGTCTCTCTGACGTATCTGCAGCCCATAACAAGAGCAACACCCGCCAAACGGTGGAGGATATTCACGACATACTACAATCTTACTACAAAGCAGCCTTGAAGCGCTTCGCGGACAATGTCTGCATGCAGGCTGCAGACTTCTACTTGGTCCACGGCCCTGAAACGCCAACGAAGCTATTCAATCCCTTGTTCGTCCACAAACTGTCTTCTGGGGACTTGGAGGAAATTGCTGGGGAAGAACCTCGCGTTCGGCGTCTGCGAGCGCAGTTGGTCAAGGAGATCCGGGATCTAGAGGCGGGAAAGAAGATTCTCCTGTAAAATGGACACCAGAGGTATCCACGTGTGATGTGACTTGGCTTTGGCGATGATTTTCTACGGCATTCCCCAGCTTTAGTTGTCTATGTAAAATCTTGTCTTGATCTTGTTCACGGCTGCTCGGCAAAGCCGAACACCATGAGTATCGTGCTAGATTTACTACAGGATAATTTGTGAGAATAGTGAAATCGAGATTGACTAGCATAAGATAAATACATCAGCACTTTATTTGAAGCCACCGGAAACCGTGTCGGTGGTTTACCACCAAGGCGTAGTCCATCCTGCCATCCATATCCTTTGACCGCATGTTCTTCTGTGACGTAGGGGCACTTCTGTCCAGACGAATAGTGACCATTCCAGCCCAAACCAAGTCGCTTTTTTCACCGTCCACCAACTGTTTCTTTCCGGGGAAATACTCTATCCCATTTAGCATCTTCAGTACCACCACGCTAGAAATATCGGAGGGATTCTGCACTCGATAGCTAATCGAGATGTGCAGATTATGATAAGGTCGCATCCCTTCCCTGTGTCTGCACTGCGTTCTACATCAATGTCGGGGTCTGGGCACATCGAGTGCATATGATTAGTAGGTTCGAAAGAATGGATTCCTGGATTATGCTTGATAAGTCTTTACCTTAACCAATGCCGGACTAGGATGAAGTGTACAAGGTTACTTTATCGTATTTATCCAAAAGTTATCTGAGTTATTCAAGTCCACCTGATCTCCATCCAGCTATAATTGGCGTTTAGCCATTCCACCAACCACGTCAGCTAAGCTCGCCCAAGCGTCTTCTTAAACTCGAGACTTAAAGACACATGGTCCAATTGGTATATAACTCCCGACCCTGCAAGACGCCACTGTTTAGTATTGGTGGAGTATGGTACGACGATCGAAGTCTTGAACTACCAGCAACAACGCCCCGCCACTATATCCCACATGGGTTCGCTATTCATTTGGCTATACTCTGTACTGCAGTTGGTGATGGTGAAATCGGTAATTATAATGGATCGACCAGCCGCGAGGCACAAGCAAAAGCCTTAATACCACCTAACCCGGACGTAGCCTGCTGTTTTTGACTTCATGATTCCATAAATGGACAGTATGACCAGCTGTTCCATCGGTGTCTGGATCGTTGTTTAACTCTTACCCATCTTGAACACGAGTGTAGATGCATAGTGTGTACCCTGGTCATTCTCTGAGCAAATTAGCCAACCCCGCAACATTCAAGTCTAGGACGTGGATCGACGGAGATGGATTTCTCCTTGGCCTGTTTCATGCACCCCACAGTCCTGTCTGACATACGATTCGACCCACTCGAAAACTAAAGGACGGTTATTCACCCTTGACCGAAAGGGTAAATTCCCGGCCAATTCGGGGACCCCCTGTTGGAAATCTCCCTGTGCCTGGTATGTTTCACCCATGGCCCTAGAAGATGTTTCGAACGGCGAATAGTTAATATCGCAGCGGCGACATCATTGTCCGCCATGTTCACCCCAATTATCCTGAATTTAGCCGTAGATGAATGGGGCCAAGGATGGCTCTTGTTCAGTCGCCAACTGCCGAAGCCAAGCCCTAGGTTGGATATATGAATGAAGCCAACCCAACGCTGGATCTGTCTGCTTTGTGACTCGTACTTTTCTCATACCAAGTCCTTCTTTGATACCAGCGTCGAAATGAATTCCCGCAACGTGAAGAAGAACCTCGCCGTCTCCGGCGCCGCCTTGCTGGCGTCCATCCCCGGCGTCACGGCGCAGTGCGCCTTGCCATCGGCCTACAAGTGGACCTCCACGGAATCGCTCGCAGAGCCCAAGGAGGGTTGGGTGGCGCTCAAGGATTTCACCAACGTGGTGTTTAACGACCAGCATCTCGTGTACGCCAGCTTCCACGATACGGGAACCACCTATGGATCAATGGTTTTCGGTGGCTTTGCGGATTGGCCTGACATGGCGGCCGCGACCCAGACCCCCACAGAGGGAGTCGCAGCCGTGGCGCCGACGCTGTTTCACTTCGCGCCCAAGGACACTTGGGTCCTCGCCTACCAATGGGGCTCGACGGCGTTCAGCTACCGGACGTCCAGCGACCCTACCGACGCGAACGGCTGGTCGGAGGAGAAGCCGCTCTTCTCGGGGACCATCACGGGCAGCGACACAGGCGCCATCGACCAGACGGTCATCGGCGACGACGAGAACATGTACCTGTTCTTCGCGGGCGACAACGGAAAGATCTACCGGGCGAGCATGCCGATCGACAAATTCCCCGGCGACTTCGGCACCGAGTTTGAGGAGATCATGAGCGACACGGTCAACAACCTGTTCGAAGCCGTGCAGGTCTACACGGTTGAGGGTGCCGGGTACCTGATGATCGTCGAGGCCCAGGGCTCTGGCGGCCGGTACTTCCGCTCGTTCACAGCCGAGAGCCTGGACGGCGAGTGGACGCCGAATGCGGCCACCGAGGAGGCGCCTTTCGCCGGCAAGGCCAACAGCGGCGCGACCTGGACCAACGACATCAGCCACGGCGACCTGGTGCGCGCGAATCCCGACCAGACCATGACGGTCGATCCTTGCAACTTGCAGCTTCTCTACCAGGGACGGGACCCCGACGGAGGCGACGATTACAACCTGCTGCCGTACCGCCCGGGTGTGTTGTCGCTGCAGGTTTAGATCGCTGGGATGTTGGGGATATGAGCGTTGCTAGTGAGGACGTGTTTGGGGGAAAGGCATATATCATAATGCGAGTTGTCTGTACAGGGATCATTTATGTATTTTGTATAAGTTTGCTATTGTTAAACTAAACAAATAAGGCCATTTTCTAAATAGGCGCTAGGGGGTATGACACTCCACAACTAGTATTGCGCTTGTAGGATGGCGCATTACCATAATGGGGCCGTATGGTCTGCTCTAGAAGTCTATGTGCTCTAGAATTCTTTGAACAGGCTGGGAAGTTAACCCATTCAATTCAAAGCGGATGGAGTCATCTAGAATAGAATTTCATCAACGGCGTGACGTCTTTGTCCACGATGGTTGTATGGCTGTCTCTCGGTCAAGGAAATATTCATTTAAAACGTATTTGATACGAATCTTCCCTGCGTAGACGAAATTTTCCGATCAATGTGGACTTGGTAGAAAGCCGATCCTGTTGACTAGGTGATAAGATCAATTTATCCTTTTGTACATGATGCCGTCGACTTATCCATAGCAACGTAATTGGAAATTCGTGGCCGTGCCCGTGAAAAGACCTAGCCTGGGCCTATAATTCAAATGAGGTCGATGTAGCCACCAAATAGCCCCAGCTTGTAAAACGCCGCACTGTATAGCGCTTGGGATTTTCTATTGTCTACCTTGAATGCGAGTTGTTCTGGGTACGTAACACCATACGCCCTAAACTCCGGTTAGTACAGTAGGATGGTGCCCTGCAGGTTAGTCGGGACCCAGGACACTCGTTCGATTTCATGCGATAAGGCGCTGACTCGATGTGGTTGACCCTAGGCTGACCTAGTTGCTCCCCTCGGTAGGGATTCCAAGGTTGAGGTCAAGGTCAAACCCGGTTTGGTAACACGTCAACCCCACCAGCAACTCCAGAATTCCCTCAAACTTAGGCGCCCTCATGCGGAGGCTGGTGCGTATTCTCGTGATCTTCGTGATCGTCGTCGTCATCATCATCATCGTCCTCCCACCCGTCGGAGTCGCCATTATGTGCATCTGGAAACAAAGCCTCCAATTCATCTTCCCCCTCGTCTTCCTCCTCCAACTCCCCAAACTCACCTCCAAGCATGTTGATCAGCTGCAAAAGTCCCGCCTGGGATCGCCAGACCTCCTCTGCTGGCGGATTGTGCGGGCCTTCGCCTTCTCCAGTCTGGTTTTGAGCCTGGTCGGCATCAGAGGGGGCATCCGGCTTGTCGGAGAGTTCAGGTGCTAGGTTGACGATCCGGATGGCTTTCGTGGGGAAAATGCGGGCGGCGTTATCGTGTCGTGGAGGTTGGCCTCCGGGAAGGTTAATGAGAGGTTGGCGCCAGCCAAGGGTCTGAAATATAGAGTTAGTCTTCGAGCTGTCTTGGAATTGGCCATGAAACGTACAGTGTAAGTTGACATGATTGCATCATCATAGAGCCCCATGAAACTGACCGGCACGGCTAGCTGTGGGGCAGAGCTGGTGAGGAGGGAGTACGACGCGCGGGCGGGACTGTCAGAACACTGGATTCGGTCGTCGTCATCCAGCGCGACGATATAGATCCGGTCCTGGATCTCGAACATCAGGCGATGGTTTCGCACGGACAGCCAGCCACCTAGATCAAAGGTGGATCCATCTGTTTCACACTCGATAATGGAACTGTGGGCCTCAACACCGCTTTGGAGGGCTTTACGCCAGTCCCAGCACACAAAGACCCGACCGGCGCGGGAGAAACCGACGAAGAGGTTCCCATTTATCATCCCTGATCCCCACTCGTTCTCGCCGTCCCAAACATGATCCGGGTCGGTCGGGGTCGGAAGAGGACCCTTTGCGACTGTGACTGGTAGGAGGGAGTCTTTGCGCTTAGAGCCAGGAAGAAACGGTCGACTCGTAGCATTCGGAGATTCGGCGGCTGGTGGGCGGATGTGATACTTGTCCGTACACTCCGACGGGTGGAGGGCACCCAAGAACTCCCCCGTCGTCTTGTCGTGCGCATGAAAGCCCCCCGGGCCCATGGAATAGATCACAACGTCGGCACTCTGGTCGAGGTGACCGATACCACCATCCTGAATTTTGAGGTGCGTCCGCAGCTTGGGAGGGCGTTGCGTCATATCATAGACAAAACCCTGCCCTTCACTCGACACCACACATAACGTCCAGAAGGACAGCTGGAAGCCTCTGGTCTGGCAATCGTGGTTTAAGACAGCAATCTGCCGGAACTCCCCATGTTGTGCACCTTCCAAGCCCGCCTGCCAAACCTCCACCGCATCCCCCTCACAATCGAACACCGCCATCCCATCCTGATATTCCAAGTGTGCATACGGACGAACTCCATGTTCGCCATCCACCGTATCCAGCGTCGACGGGAGTCTCCAGATAACGCGACCCGTGTCCATGCTAGTGACATTCAAGCCACCGCCATGAGATGTGGAAACGAAGAATCGACGCTTGAAGTCAGGACGGAATCGCCAAACGGGATCATTCCCGACCTGCACGACGGATTCCCGGCTCGCTGGCGGGGACGCAGCCCAGTTACGGGAGAGCAGCGTCTGTCGCTTGCAAAGGTCCTTCCATGACGACGTTCCTTCGAAGAAATTGGCGTAGCTAGTAGCGTTAGAAAGGAAAGAGAGATCACGGGCGCCACCGGGGGGTTGTGTCGTCTTTGAGGTGTAAATCGCTTCTTGATGCGCGCCGTCGATAAATCGGTGCCAGGCCTTGGAGGCGGCGGTTAGAGACGCGAGGGTCGCGACCGGGGAGAATTCCAAGATGCGCAGGACAATCTCGGGGGGCAGAATGGTGAGCGGATCTGCAACGGGAAAGGTTGTCGTCATTCTCAATTCGGAGGGAGGGGATTTCGATCCAGGAGCGATTGGAAAAGTGAGAACAACGGAGGTGGAGAGAGTGCAATATTTGACTCTTGAGCCCGTCCGTGGCGGGGCGATTCTGCCTGACCTCACCGCCTCAGGAACATGACGTCGTGATCTTTTACGCGATCCCTTCGTCCGTCACTGTAGTCTGGTAGAGAGGGACATGGGATGGAGACCAAGAGAACACCTAGGGTGTATAGAGGTGCAATACGGGTTGTGGGTGACTCATTATGAGACAGCGCTCTGCTCACCGCAGGCAGCGTCTAAATAGCTTCATCTCGGTACATGAACAACGGCCCAGTATGTAGATTATCGACGGAAATCCGTCAGACTAGCATTAATTAAGTGGTAGTATGTAAAAGGTCCAGTGGTTTTCCATCACTGAAAATTGATTGCAGGATCATGCCTACCGATGGTGACACCAAGCAGGAGGGCACCATCACCCTGCTCCCCCAGAGCACCATCATCTCTTCTGGTATACGCGCGCATTCCAAAGGTAAGCGGAATTAATAAACCCACGGCAATATCCTCCAGCGCACCGTCTTCTTGTACTGCTCCCAATCCGCCCCGTACTTCTTCGCACACATGGCATCATCCCGGCGCTCACGGTGCACCAGCAAGATAGCAAAGTACAGCACATAGAAGTAGGTGAAGATCATACCCCATCCACGGGCATCACCCTGCACCACCTCACGTCCGTCGCGCGTGGTGAACACCGACGACGTTGCCGCGGCACTCCCCGCGGCGAGAACCCGATACCCGGCCACGCCGGTGGGCAGACTGAACGGCGACGCCTGCAACCAATCGCCAAAGTAGTTGATATGGCGCGACATGCCCCACCAGCCCGCGGTGAGCAGTCTCGTCCCCCGCTTGGTCTGGATGTACGACAGATTGGCCACACTCGGGTCCTGGGGGTTGGTGCGGAAGACGCGCTTCTGGGTGTTGGCAGCACGGAAGATATACAAGCCCAGGGTGAAGACGGCGCTGACGGCCGCGATGGAGGCCCACCCCAGATGCAGCGGGTAGGTCGCCAGATAGCGGCACTGTGTGGAGTAGAGGAACGGCACCCAGACGATATCACCAAAGGTGAGCATGAAGCCCATGCCATCGGTGATGATGTCCATCATCGAGAGGACATGCGATTCGTTATACTGGCCGTCGAGGACGTAGTACGCCTGCACGGCGGTCACAAAGAGAATGCTGTCGGTGACGTAGCCGTAGTTGCGGTACTGCTGGGCAACGAAGGCCAGGTCCAACAGCATCCACCCTGTCAGGCCGGGCCGCATCTCGAGCCAGGTCTTGATGTCGACCTCGCCGATCAGCGGCAGCGTGATGCGTGGGTTGAGCTCACGGCCGATGTAGAAGTCATACATGACGTTGCCGGTGTCGCCGCCTTCGGCGAGTTCCCGGAGGTCGTCGTTGGGGTAGTTCGTGTTGACGGTGAAACTATACGCGTAGAGGAAGATGGAGATCCCGTACGCGATCAGCACATTGGCCGTCAAGATCTGGATGTAGTTGTCGGTCATGTAGGTCCAGACGACAAAGTCGGCTCCATGATAGTACGTGCCAATGGCGACTGCGGCCAGCTGGACCAGGCTGGACGAGAATGCTGCAAGGAGGTCAGAGACCTCGTATGGTAGCCATCAATTGGAGTGCGAAAATTCTCACCATTGAGCCGGTACTTGAGCGGACGGCCATGATGCACCAGCTTCGTGCCCAGCGTCTCGTTCGCGGGGAGAATCCTCCAGAGAACCAGACTGACGAGGTAGTAGGCAAGCACCACGCCCATGACCTGCCAGCTGCACAGGTCCCAGAATCCGCCCTGGGGCCACCCAATTTCCCCCTTGAGCGTCTCCCAGTCCAGCGTACTGGGGCTCAGCAATGAGGGAACGGGACACCCAGCTACATCATTGCAGGCGAAGCGGAAGAAATACAGCAGCACGGGCAGACCGACGGTGATGGCGGCCGTGCCAAGCCTGTTCCACGTCAGAGACTAAGATCGATGGATCAGGAGATCAGAAGTGACACTTACGGCCCACCGAATTCGTAGTGAGGCTCTGAATGAGGCATGTGGAGGGAAATCCTGACGCGGTTGGCTTCCTTATCCAACCCCTATAATGAGGTGGTTTGATGCTGCTGAGATAGGAAATTTATGTTGATTGCTGACTCAGCTGCATGGCGCCAGTCGGCTGTTCGTTGTCCCGAGTGCCAAGACTTGTTGACACCTGGTCTCTGAGGTAGCCATTCCCCCGTTATGGCATCAAGGCAGAAAGCCATGAGGGCAATACAGTGGTTGTAGTGACTTGTTTACTCTTGGCTGATGACGCCTAGGGAGTCACTCAGAAAGCAATTGTAGGGTATAAACAATATTGGCATGTTCCTGGGCCTGTGCTCTATTCGTCGTGATGGAGACGGTCATTCTGGCCCGTCATGCTGGCCCATGATTCTGGGTCAAGAGAACAAGGAAAGACAGACACAGGCAGAACCCAGTCATAGAGCAAGATGACTGTATGAGAACCGGCACCTCGGGGTGAAGTCCGATTGATGTACACTGTGGACCCTCACCAGCCGAGGTATCAACTGCCGACAAGGCGGGGTTGTGTGAGGGGACGATATATATACATTCTACAGCCAAATGCCGCTGGACACCACTACATCCAGAGCCGATCGGAAATAGATACCTACGAAAAAAACCATGCAAGCCGTTGTGTTTAAAGGACCCCTGGAGGTCGCACTCGAACAGCGCCCCATTCCCCAGATCCAAGAGCCCACCGATGTGATCGTCAAGGTGCGCTACACGGCGCTCTGCGGCAGCGAACTGCACGTCTTCCGTGGCCACCAACCGTCCGCAACAGGGTTCATCATGGGTCACGAATTCACCGGCGATATTGTGGAATGCGGATCAGAAGTTAAGACATTCAAATCGGGCGACCGCATCGTGTCGCCCTTCACCACCAACTGCGGGGAATGCTTCTACTGCGTGCGGAAGTGCTCCTCGCGGTGCGCAAAGGGCAAGCTGTACGGTTGTGTTGTCCTCGACGGCGGCCAGGCGGATTATGTGCGCATCCCCTCGGCGGATGCGACGCTCGTCGCGGCCCCGGCATCGGTGGACGAGAAGAAGCTCGTCCTGATGGCGGACATCCTGCCGACGGGGTTTTTCGCTGCGAAGAACGCGTTCAAGGGCCAAGACGAGCAAGAGATCCGGGACAGCACGGTGTTGCTATTTGGCTGTGGGCCGGTGGGCATTTTCGCCTTGATCAGCGCTTTGGAATACCGACCGAAACATCTCATCGCGATCGACAGCGTCCCATCGCGGCTGGAACTGGCGAAGAGTCTGGGGGCAGAGCCGTGGAATTTCCAGACAGACGGAGAGGGGTTGCGGAACCGAGTGAAGGAGTTGACGGATGGGCGCGGTGCAGACGTGGCGATCGAGGTGGTCGGACACAGCGACGCGTTGCGGATGGCGTTCGAGATGATCCGGCCCTGGGGACGGATTTCCAGTGTTGGTGTGCACAATGGCGAGATTCCGTGGACGGGCAACGAGGCATATGGCAAAAATCTCCAGCTGCAGATGGGGCGTTGTCCAGTTCGGAGTATGGATCGCATATATAATCGTAATTGAGAATATCGCTGACTCGTGGGCCAGGCACTTTTGAGGATGCGCTGGACTTTCTGGTCCAGAAGCAAGATCTATTGGAGTAAGCTTGTCGCGTTTGTGATCTGGATATTGCTAACAGTGTGATAGCTTCATGACGGCTGACATTCGCCCGCTATCGCAAGCCGTTCAAGCGTGAGTTGTTCCTGTCGCACTGCAGAGCTATCAACTAATAGGAATAGATACGACGACTTCAACACAATGAAGAGCCAGAAGATCATCTTCGAGGCTGGTAAGTAAGCTCATACAAGACAGCAAATGACGATAAACAAACTCCCTAGACATCTTGCTGTTTGTACGGTATGTATACGACAGTTACAGTCCTTCGGCAGACAATATCACTTTTCTTTGCAGTTTATGCCTTCTCCAAGACAGTGGCTGGTGCGATATGATAGATGTGGCTCCTAAATTTTCGAATTGTGGGGATGGCACGAGATGGCCCAGACGATCCAGTATGGCTCCTTTATTTAGGTCCACGCGTCGCTGAGTCGCTCATTCCAGACCCTGCAAAGCCCCCACCGTAGTAATATTATGGGCAGGTACCGCGACGGAGGCACATAAATAACTCACAATATGAATAGAGTTCGAGCAACCCCTTCAAGGGATTGGAAATGAACGCTGACGGCCTGTGAATAAGGCAAACGAAACCAGCAGTGGTATCAGTAAGGGCGACGGTTGTATCCCGTCATGTTTCACAATGCTACCAGCTTTCTGCTGTTCGATCAATTTTGATGCTGACCTGGCTAGGGGCTTTGCGTATGGGCGGATCAAACGGCAAAAGATTGATTCTTCTTTTTCTTAATGCCAACGAATAGAAGGTCCGTAGGGCTGATATCAATAAAGCCCATAACAGATGATACCTTGGAAGGAAGCGGACAACGATAGTACTCCTAATAGTCCTCCAAGGCAACAGTCCACAAATGCAACATACTTCCACGATCTGCGTCAACAAAGACTGTTAATTGCTGGATAATCAATGGAATCTCTCCCTGCGTTCACAATACAGCAGCTGCAAAGAGACTTTGCCAGGCAGCACCGTTTCCAAGACAGGGGACGGTGGAGCCATATGTTGCATTATTGGACCGGAACGGCACTTGGGTGGAGACAGCAGTCTGAATGGGCAGCCCTAGTGTCAATACTTCAGCCCTTTTGGGCGCTTGGCAGGGATTGGACTCCGTTGATACCAATCGATCCCAGCACTGATCCAGTCGTTGAATCATGGTAGATTACACTCCCCAGAGAAAAAGACAAGAATCGTTGCCTCGGTCACATCGACCACCATGAGTTGTCGAGATATATCGGAATATCACCCACGTACGATGGGAGGTCCACCCTCCAGCACCAACAACTGTATGGAAGGCAACCCAGCCAAGTCGATATCCTCCCTCATGTAGCCAAGCATTCGCGCACCGAGTAATTTGCAATCGAGCGAGACGCCAATGACTAACCTTGACCAATAGCCCCTTCAATCCCAAAGGCGCCGGCCGAGGTGGGCCCGGGGTGTGAACTGCAGGCCAAGAGCGACCAGTCCGTCGGCAGGGCTGAAGTTAGACCAGGATTTGTGCTGCCTGACTTGGTTCACCGTTCTTATAACTCCTGAGATTCCAGTCCTTTCCTTGCCCTTGTATCGAACGATACTCCCTTCACAAACTGCCGGCTCAGTCACCGTCGTCCGCTCTTTCATTTCATTCCCTCTATCGTTATGTCCTACCAGCAACCTCCCCCGGGGCAATAGTAAGTCGCGCATCCATCCAGCTCTTCAACGGACTCTATATACTGACTATTCGCCAGCTACCCTCCCCCTGGAGGGTACGCCCCCCCGCCGCCCCAACCGATGCAATACCAGCAGGCACCACCCCCAGAGCCGTCCAAAGACCGTGGCTGTCTAATGGGATGGTCGGTTCTTCCCCCTCAACGTCCTCCCCCTCAACATACAAACAACCCTGGCTAACGGTTACGATAGTATCATGGCCATGTGCTGTTGTTTCCTGTGCGAGGAGGCCTGCGAATGCTGCATTGAATGCCTAGAATGCTTGTGTCCTTGTTGATCCGGATGGTACGGTGGAAATATCACATGGAGCCTTTTATTTATGACTCTAGTTGGCTTTGTTTAATTGGATGACGATAATATTTGTCTATAATGTTCGTGTTTCATGCGTGGGTCAAAGTCTGGCACCGCTTCGTTCCAGATACCTAGGTACTATGGGGAATGATATACCAAGTTCGAATCCTCGCAGTTGCCGCCCACTCAATATCATTTTCCTATCCATTCGGTTCATTGCCGATTCGTCAGCTATCTGTTGCTTTATACGAATAAGTTGGGGTAGATGACCGTCTCGGATAATCTATACGATCTAGGTACCCACCGGGCTAGTAGTCGATCGTCTATCATGACGATCTCGATGGATATCTGGATACTATCGACTTCTGGTTATACAAGCCGTGTATAATTTTGAATGACTACCTGCTGTATGCTAGATGCCATCACCTTGTCGTTGGTTTTCCGTTTCTATGTAGTCGGCACTCGTCCGGTTAACCTTTTGATAAGACAAGCTTTGTCGAACCATGGTTCTGAGGTCCAACCAAATTTTTGAGATCTTCATGGAAAATTGAGAACAACGTTATTGGTTTAGGCTGATTGGGTTCCCCTCTCAAGGACGATGCCATCTATAAACTATCGCGAAAATAGCAGATAACCAGTCCTACCTCACCGTGGGATTATGATGTCATTGTGTTGTGGCCTGACCCAGAGGGACACTATTAATTTGCATGATTGTGCGGATTACAGTTGTCCATAGCTCCACTCCATACGTGTACAGATACTCGATTGATAATGGAATGGTTGGATAGTGAATGATAATATGACAAGTCACTCCAATCCAATTCTCTTCATGCAAGGGGCGGCGGAACCTTGATACATTACGGGGGCTCAAAAGATGAACATTATTAGGAAATTTATCTTTTGAAAACTATGTTGAAAAATTCCTGTATGCCACTGGAAATATGAACAGAAAGTACCAGTGCACATGTCTATGACAAGATCCCACATTTCTATGTCCATAGAGAATAGAGCCAATGCCCAACTGTACCTGGGCCATTGTTAACGCTCATCGACTCTTCCTATGACCGTTATATCATATTCCCATCTTGTCCCCGAGATCGCAATATCTTCTTCAGGAACGGCCGAAAAACAGAACCACCACCACCCTGTCGCGGTAGTGCCATCCACAGCACCAAAATGGCCACAGAAAGAGCCAAAACGAACGGCATCAGCGACTCGACGCCCCTGTTCTGCGCAATAGCCCCCACAATGAAGGGGATAACAGCAGCTCCGGAGCCACCAAACGCAGCGACAAACCCAATCGACGTAACGTGGAGATGTTTTGGCAGCAACATGGTCATGACCTGCACCACGGCCGGGAATAGCGGACCGAGACAGAATCCCTGAACGGCGGCGGCCACAGCGGACACATAGAAATTTGGCACGAGCCATAAAACCAGGTCGACACCGATAGAGCAAGTAATATAAATCTGGAGAAAGTTAGACTGCGATGGGATGAAATGAATGAGAACAGGTCAGTATGAGCTCCTACCGTTGTCGCCAGCTTGACCCCCAAGCGTGCTGTGATGAAGCCTAGCACAACCCTCCCCACCGTGATGCCCAGCCAGAATCCCGTCGCTGTCATGCCACTATCGTAATAGGAGGCATGGCGCACGTCGATCATGAAAGTCACGACCCAGCCGCCAATAGCCACTTCCACGCCGACATAGAAAAGCAGGAGAATGGCGCAGACCCAGGAGACGCGGGCGGCCGGGCGGGTAAACAAGGTCGATCGAAGACTTGCATTGGTCTCGCCGGCAGTCTGCGCCCTTGTTTTTCGAAATGCCGCGCCGGTGAAACGCCAGAATGCCATTACGATGAGAATGAACTCCACGGCTGCAATGCCGATCTATGGGGTCTTAGCTGTCGTCCTTTTTAGGCACTGAAAATGCCACTCACCATGAAGAAGTAAAAGTAGTTCCAGGGTACGTTTGCCTTCTTCACCATGTTGGTGACAACCAGCGGGCTGATCACGGCGCCCAGGCCGTAGACACCATGCAGCACGCCCAGGAGCTCATTCGAGCTTTGCATATTGCCAATATAAGTGTTCCAGGCGGCGTCACCGAGGCCGTTCGCGATCCCGGCGAAGACATAGGCCACCACGAGAGCCGGGTACGGCGGACGCGTGCAACTGATGATGTACCCGATCAGGTGGCAGACGGAGGCGATGAAGCCCACGCCACGCTGGCCGACCCAGAGGTGCAGCTTGTCGTTGATCAAGGCGGACAATACATATCCCACCAGCGGTGACAGGAAGACCAGCGATACGATCATATAGGTGATGTTGTAATACTCCTCGAGCTGTTGAACGTGAGCGTCTATATACCTGTTTGCTGGGTAGTTCACCTTACATATGGGAGTAACGCCTGCCGTCGGGGTTAGTCCAATGTCAAGCACACTCAGATCGATGGTATCTCACTCCATAGGCGGCATCATTCGCGCCCATCACCAAGAATACCCACAGCGTCGCGAACACGCGAAAGATATTCGACCGTGGATGATTCCACCGGGGGAGCAGAGACTCAGTGTCGTCCGGCGGCGACGAACTTTCCGCGCCGTGGCCATCATCATTAACATGGTCTTTTTCCGTGACATTATTGTCCAAACGCGCCGGCGACATAGGTTCCTCCATGTGTGGTTCCATTTCTCTACGATCGGGGGGAGTCAAAGTCATCTGGAGATATCGACGAGGGAATTATCAATTCGCAAAGAGGGGGAAAGCAAGAACTTATACCGCCCATACACAGTCCCCCAAAACCTCTATCCACTACTCTCTTGGCGCGCCCACAAGCGCTGTCTCCCAGGCCAGAGATTAGTTGGAGACCGTGGGAACAGGCGGTTGCTGGCCGACCTGCCCAATGCGGGATGGGGGCACGGCGGACGGTGCTGAGCCAGATCCCCGCCCTGACTCAATTAGCCAGTCGATCCCAGCGATTGGTTCGCGACATAGAGCAATAGTATAAATGACAGACAAGATGTAGCCGCATTCGCCGCCGATATAGGAGGCTGTTGTGCCCTAATCTATGGAGAGCCCATCAAGAATGCGGTCTGATGAACGCGGATGTGACGTCAATGCAGTAGCTTGGTTCGTATCCGATGTTAACGGTAGGGAAAGTTATTCCATTTGAGGAAACTGGCGTTTTGTTTTTTCTCCATTCGAGAGACCGATGAATCCGACATCTGTTTCCTGTACAGAGTATACTAGATCAGTCCTCGCTGGGTTTGCCTGATGATGCCTGATGATATAGTTTCTGACTCAGGCATATCCACTTTCCATTCCAGACACGGACAGTGTCATATTGTAGAAGAAAATGTGTTTAAACCTATATATTGGGATTGTTATATGTATTTACTCTTACACATTGATGAATCTTGTTTTTTGGATAGATCTCGTAGCTTTGGGGGAACAACACATACGATACTATCGAAGATATTGATCGTAGTAGGAGATATATATTTATACCTGATACTTCTGATCAGCCATAGTAAAATAAACATAATTATTAGTAGTAGATATTATGGAAATAGTAAACATATCAGTAAAAATGTTAAGTAATTTCTGAAGTTTTCTCACACAAGTTTTGTTTATATTTCTCAAGAAAAAAATTTACTACTTTCCATAATCACAGTGATTGATATGACTGTTCCCTCATCATTCTCCCACCATACAAATAATCAAAATCACCACTGGACTACAAAGAGAGATGGATGACTATAGGTTGCACAACCTAGCCTTCATGTGATCAATATTTCTATATATCTTTGTATCGTCAAAATTTTATAATTTTTTTGGTCTTTTTGCCATCCTAGCCCAAAGTACACCTGGCTTATAGGCTGTTCGAACAAGGTACAGGATCCACACCCCGGATGTAGGAAAGAGGAATTTTCCGAGTACAAAGATCCGCAACTCTCCTATCGTATTGTTCAGACTAAATTCCGACACTAAGGTAGTAAGAGTAGGTTCGCGAATAAATCAAAAATAAATAAAGTTTAGTATCAGAGTAACTATGCTAGGCCATTGGTTTTCGGTCGAATTCTCTAGGGACCCACCACGTCAATTGCTATATATTGCTTCGACGCTTGAACTTCGAATATCAGGCTTTGTGTCAAGATGCCAACGTCAAATGATGGATTCTACCAAGTCCACCAAAAATAGTAACGATAAGATCGGACCATCCACGGGGTGGGTGATGGACGGGCGGCCCTCGGAGATGGCGATATGCTGTCCCCCCGACGGATGGCGCCCATATTGGCTGCTGAGTTTGGTTCTGGGCCGGACCTGAAACATGGATCAACATTGCGGCCAGGAGACAAGTTGTGGTGCGTGGTCATGGTGAGGTATCTGGTCGATCCTTTTTCCTGTTTGCATTCAGATTGGTAGATTCTTGGGGAAGAAAAGTCCGAGAACCCGATCGGTTTCTATTTCGATTGACCAAACCCTAGGTGTCTCTGAACCTAAACTCTAACATCCATGCCGGTGGGAAGATCAGCACGCGATTGCGTCCCCTGCACCAGGATTGTTCTGGATGCCTTGGCAAAGGAATCAGGGGGCCCTGGCGCTGGGCTGGCTCTGGCCGGTTCTGGCCTGGTTCATGGCATCCGGTCAAGCCGATTTGTCCGGTTGAACGTGCCTTTGGCTCGTTTCATTGTAACCGAGGATCTCAACGACTGGTCAACGATATCTGGCTCCAGACTCCAGATATGGTGTGAATAGTGTTCCTCCAGTATGTGTCTCCCTGATGCGAGATCTTCCGTCCGATCTGTAGAGAGACAATTTATTATAGAAACAGTGATAGTCAGGATCATCCCATTCCATCCGAATTCATGACAAGGTGACGAATCTTTCTGTTTTCGTTGGTCAAGTCAGGCTCCATCCGACCCACTCGACACCTGAGGCCCCCTCCCATTGGCCAACTGGCGACGACTCGCTTCCCTGCAACTTCTTCTCTCCCCTCGTTCGTTCCATGGTTGAACTTCCTTGCCATCCACTCCTCTCCATCCGGTCAATTGGTTTGTTGTGTGTAGACTCCACTGATGGAGCCTCTCTTGCAAGTTTCGACTTTTCCTCCTTTTCCTTCTTTTATGCGCAATGGCCATGGAAATGACCCCGCACTAGGAGCTCTCCTGCATGTCACCAAGATCTCCCCAGGTCCATCGCCGCACGAACGGACACTATTCGCGTCGCAATACCCACTGTCTCTTCGATCTGGTCGCTGAAATTCCCGAGAAAGCGATCAACAATGGCAGGGATCAGAAAGGATGCCGTGGGGACCCACCGGCTGATGAATGACAGGCGATCGAACTTGGCCTTGTCTCGGCCCCTCCCCACCATGAGGTCATTTCTCGGGGGTGTCGCTAGTGAAAAACACCGTCGACCACCCCTAACTGCTTGTTCTAGACTCGATGGATTTTGGTCTGACCCAGACTTGACACGGCTCACGGTCAATTGTCAGTCAGCTTTTTTACCTTGTGCTCGGGTTCCTGTCCTGACCCGCTAGCCTTGGCCGCTGTCTACGCCACTGTCCGGCCGGATCGTGCGAATAATTAAAAAAAAAAATACGCCCCCCCAGCAGTTCATGTTCTCTCATTTCCCCTCCCCTCATCATTAATTAACTGTCCCTCCACCGTTCATCTGTTCGTTGGTTCAACCATCCTCAACGCATCACCGTCTGCGGACCAGCCGGACTGCCGCACCGCTCATGTCGAACATCAACCACCAAAATCAGTCCTCGGAATTGCTCAACCCGCACTACTCTCCGCAGGGTCGACATTCGAGGACTAACAGCGCCGAACCGCACCCCTTGTCCAACAGTGAGGTCCCCTCGCCGGACACCGCTGAAGTCCCCAATGACTTCACGCGCCCGACCAACCGCGTGCGGTTTCGCTCGATGAGCAATCATGCACCCGTTCCGGAGCGTCCCCCCCTAGCACGACTGGGCTCCGATCAATCCGTGCAGTCCTACCACTCCGTCGGCACCCTGGTCGCCGAATCGGAGGGTACCCCCCGCAACCGATCCCGATCGCGGTCCCCGGGGCCGGCGGAGCCCTTCCGCACTCGAGACACATCCTACCGGCCTGGGGACGATGTGATCACATCGTTGGAATCGGACAAGCAAACACCCGGCCGTGCCCCGTCCGGCCGGGAACGATGGAAGGCGGCGGGCCAGATGATCCGGAAGAAGACCGTGCGCTTGGGGGAGCGGCTCGGTCGGCCCCATGACGAGGGCGAGGCCCTGGGCATGTCGTTGTTGCCGGAAGACCTCGAGACAGGCACGCCGCGCGGATTCGACTTTGAGGCCCAGAATGGCCCGGGGGACACGGACGACGAGAAGCAGCCCGCCCCCAGCGCCGAGGCCCACCGCCTCGTGCGGACCATCACCCAAGGCCACGCGCGCCGGCGGAAGCCGAAGTCCGCTTATACCCGGTCGGGGACCACGACCCCCGAGACGCCCAAACGTCCAGGCTCCTGGTACCACAACCGATCGTTCAGCGGGAGCGGCGGCGTGTTGGGCCAGTTGCTGAAGCTCCAGGCCGCCCAGGCTGCGGAGGAATCGCGCAGCGGCAGCATGTCCGTGACCGATTCGTCCGAAAGCGAGTCGGGCGCGTCGTCGGGCGCCGCTACACCTAAGAAGGAGAAGCTGAAATGGTACAAGAAGCCCGCCCACCAGTCCACCGCCTCCCTCGTCGGCGCGTCCATGAACCTGAGCACGGCGAGCCTGCCGGCTGGCGCCGACGCCATGCCTTTCCCGCCGAAGAAGGGGCGGAAGAAGGCGCCTAGGAAGAAGACGCGGCTGGAGGACGAGATCCGGGTGACGGTCCATATAGCCGAGATCCTGGCCCGCCAGCGGTACATCATGCAGCTCTGTCGCGCCCTGATGCGCTACGGCGCCCCGACCCACCGGCTCGAGGAGTACATGACCATGACGGCGCGCGTCCTGTCCGTCGAAGGACAGTTCCTCTACCTGCCCGGCTGCATGATCATGTCTTTTGACGACCCCGCCACCCGGACGGCCGAGGTCAAGCTGGTCCGCATGGTCCAGGGGGTGGACCTCGGGCGCCTGGCGGAGACGCACAACGTGTATAAGAATGTCGTGCATGACCTGATCGGTGTGGAGGAGGCCATTCAGGAGCTGCACCTGATCATGAAGAAGCCGCCGCGGTTCAACAAGTGGTTGATGGTGCCGACCTACGGACTGGCCAGTGTGGCCGTAGGTCCGTTCGCCTTCGACGCGCGGCCGATCGACATGCCCATGATCTTCTTCCTCGGGTCGCTGGTCGGCTTCATGCAGCACATCCTCGCGCCCATGTCGGTCCTGTACTCCAACGTCTTTGAGGTGTCGGCCGCGGTGCTGACCTCGTTCCTGGCCCGGGCCCTCGGCTCTATCAAGGTGACTACCGACGGCGAGACGCACCGACTGTTCTGCTTCTCGGCGTTGGCGCAGGCCCCGATCGCGCTGATCCTGCCGGGTTTCATGGTGCTGTGTAGCAGCCTGGAATTGCAGTCGCACCAGATGATCGCGGGGTCGATCCGCATGGTCTACGCCATAATCTACTCGCTGTTCCTTGGCTACGGTATCACAGTCGGCACGACCATCTACGGCCTGCTGGACAACGACCCCACGTCGGAGAAGACCTGCCGCAACATGGACGTCTGGGGCAGCGAGTACATCCAGCACTTCATCTTCGTTCCTGTATACGTGGTCTTCCTGGCCATCGTCAACCAGGGCCGGTGGAAGCAGGTGCCGGTGATGATGGCGATCGCGCTCTCTGGTTACGTGACCAACTACTTTAGCACGAAGAAGCTGGGGAGCCGGTCGGAAGTGGCCAATACCGTGGGCGCCTTCACGATCGGCATCCTGGGCAATTTGTACAGTCGGTTGTGGCACGGCCACGCGGCTACCGCCATCCTACCGGGCATCTTTGTCCTGGTGCCGTCGGGGCTGGCGTCCAGTGACTCGCTGATGGCAGGTATCGACTACGCGAATCTGGTACGGAGCAACATCAAGGAGGACACTGGATCGGCCGACTCGACGGCGCAGGATACGTCCATTGCCAGTCTGGGTTTCGGCATGATTCAGGTTGCGATCGGCATCACGGTCGGCCTGTTCATTTCAGCCCTGGTGGTCTATCCATTTGGCAAGCGTCGGAGCGGGTTGTTCAGTTTCTGAGCTCATTCAACCTCTGAATCATGATGTCGCATTGCATGTAAGGCATTTACGAAAGCCAAAAGTCTTCTGGATTTTCTTTTGGCCGAGTGGGATTTTTGCAAAATATTCTTCGCAATCATCTGTTCGTGGTCTCATCTATCACTGCCGCTACCTATATGTACATTTCCGAACAGGATGAAGGAGCACGAAGAGCCTACCACACCAGCACGGGCTTGACAGTCCGCCCGGTCTTTATATCCTTCGCAGCCGTCTCAAACTCTGCGGAATATTACCGGACGAGCTTCTCCGGCAGGAGTACACCTTTCTGCACTCACTTGACCAGCCGCGGGACGAACTCCCTCGGCACAACGTCTCCGCCAAGAACCCCCATGAACAACATCCCCGACATCATAAACTAAAGGATTGGCATCTCCATGCACGCCTCCGGGGTCACCCCGACCTGCAAGACGCGCCCCTTGAATGTCGTCATGCGGACCCCTCCATCACTAACGCTGGCGCACCTGTCGTATCCAGCGTCACCGTGGCGCCCAAACCCCCGTCACCTCGCGCACCACATCCGCCAACGATTGCCCTCTATCGGCCACAGCTGCCGTAGTCACCGTGTGCGTGGCGCCCAGCGTGCGCGCCAGCTCCAACCGCTCGTCTTGACGCGAACTGAAGCCCAGCATGACGGGGTCGCCTGGTTTGGCGGTTGCGGATCACTGGGTTCTAGGGCGGGAACGTAGCCGGATATTACCCATCACACCACTTGCACTTGCTGTGGGCATCAAGCCGAACGGGAATGGTGATAGGGAGATACCTCCATGCCCCATGACGCGAGGATAGTGCACGCCCGTACCGGAGTCAATGCCGACAAAGTGCAGATCTGTCTGGCAGATGCCGGAGGTGACCACCTCACGAGGACTCCTCTCCCGCGGAAGGGACGGAATAAGATGGGGCGGAGGTGCCAGCCTCCGGAGGCAGGGGGCCCACAGGAGATGATGGCTCTGTCTGGAGATTGGGGGGACATGTATGATATATGTATAAAATGTATAATATCAATATAATGATTCAAAATATCCAATATAATGGGACGATTCATGTATAAACAGTGGGTGAGATGCCCTGGACGCGGCCATACTAGATACGGCAACGGTTCAGTAACGACACGCACCTCGCATAGGCGATACTATCCGTGCACAACCCCAGATATCCTTCGGCACGTCAATGATATGTTGTACCCCGCGAGGAATTTGCGTCTATACCCACTGCAGGAATCCCGCCGGGGGGGAGGGGCGGAGGTTAACGTGGGGGATGATCCTTTGGAGCCGCCTGGGATGAAGTGTTGTTTCTGATTGGAGAGGGCGAAACTGGGGAAACTTCATGGGAAACTGCGAACCATGGTTTAAAGGCTAATTGTGGATTTATCTCTAGCTCGCTTGATCGAGGAAGGATTTCACGACTGGAGAGTCGGACGTCCGGGGGATAGGGTTGCCGATGTCAGATAATTTAATTTTTGCGGCATTTTTTCTCAGATGAGATGCTTTAGGTTGGAGTTCAGGTTTGTGTTGGACCTGGATGTCTTGGATGATATCTAGTACTAGTGTCTGTAGAGCAGGTCTTTTGCAGCTGTGGCTATGGTACAGTATGTAAGGCAAGGCTGTCCACGGCATGCAAGTCGATACATGCAGTTGTGGCCTGTATATGTGCAGCCATAAGTGTAGCCCAAGTAGTCATTGGAGCTGTATACTCCCCGTCCATGCTGATCACGCAGATCGCGTCGCAAAAGAATCAAGAATCACTCCACGGTGACGACTACCTCAATTCCAGTCACTACACCAAGATACCGAATCGGCACTGGTCGGGATTGGTATGACTATCATCTTAGCAACTAGTCTCCATCCTCGCAATAACGACGTCTATAAACCGTCTTTGGAAAATAGGTCTCCCATAATATCCCTCGCACGCTCCACCTCGCCCACTACATCCCCATCCCACAACCACCGCAGCCGCTCCTCGAACGCACCTCTCAGTTTGTCTTCGTCCGCACCCACCCCATCCAGACACAAGCACAGCAAGTCCGCCTGCTCCTTACTACTGGTAACGACGCGCTGACTGCGCGGCCGCCGCACCGCATCATACGCCTTGAATGCGGCGACTACATCGCGCGCGCGCATAACGCGGGGATCCCCCAGTAGCTCGACCAAGACATGGGCATCCTCGATCGCCTGTCCCGCCCCGGCGCCCATATGAGGCGTCGACGCATGCGCTGCGTCTCCGAGGATAGCCACGCGCGAGCGCGCATATGTCGAGATCGAGGGATGCTCGAAGATGGCCCATTGCTGTGAGTCGGGCATGTGCTGTTATGTATTAGCCTCGCTGTTATCCTACCATAAGGACCAAAGGGAAAACGAGAATGGAAAGGAAAAGAGAAAATACATCAACCAAACCCTGCACAAACCCCCCCAAATGGGCAAAATCCCTCCGCAGATCCTCCTTCCCAGCGGGCCTAACCCACTCCTCACCCTCCCACTCCTTACGCAGCACATACAGCCCAACATTGGCCTGCTGTGCGCGCGCAATGGGATACGACACGCCGTACACGCCCTTACCCAGATACAGCGTCGTCACGCGCGCGCGATGCTCCCCCACGGCGGCAACCATGTCCGGCATGTCTAGCACAGTGCGATATCCATACATGCCGCTGTATCGGGGGGTGGCGCGGGCGTGTTCCTCTTCGGATAGGACGAAGCGCTTGACTGTTGAGCGGATCCCATCGCACCCGATGACAACGTCCGCGTGTGCAGTCGTGCCGTCTTCGAACTCTAGCCGAACGCCCTCATCCCCCTCCACTAACCGCACCAACCGCTTCCCGAACTCGGCCCTCTCCGGCGGGATCAGCGCAACAAGGGCATCAAGAAAGTCCGCCCTTCGTACGGTGGTCTGCCCCGATGGCCTGGCCTTCAGTTCCATCAGGACCTGATCGTCTGGAGTGACTACCTCACACCAGGTCTCGCGGAAGCGCTCAAAACCCGGACTGTCAGCGTGAGTGGTGATCAGAGAGTCGTAGATGCGGCGGAGGGCGGGCTCAATGAGGGGCAGGGCGCGGTGGGCGGCAGGCCCAATACTCAGGCCCAGACCGACTTCTTGGAAGAGCGGCGCTGCTTCATAGATTGTGACGGGGATGTTGCGTTTGAGGAGACCGGCTGCTAGGGTGAGGCCGCCGATACCGCCGCCTATGATGGCGACGGTGAATTGTTTGGTCATTCTCTTTCAATCGTTTTTTTTTTCGTTCTCTATGATTTATCTGATATCTTGTCTCTGTTATAGATGGTGGTGGCGGACGATGATTGGTGGCGTATACCGGTTTATGGAGACAGGGATGAGAGATCAACAGACAGGGAAAACAGAAAGCCCCCAGAAAATAGGAAAAGGGAAGACGATAGCTTGGATCTTGCAGATAATAATGGATGATTCCAGCAAATAATTAGCGGTTGACAAAAGTGGGGGGTTAGACGATCGTTACTGGATGGCGAATAGTGACACCAGGAGACGTACTAAGAGGGTGATTCTGCAGCGCCGTTGGCGAATGACGTGACGATCCGAGAGGTGGGATGACGATCCCGGCTGTTTGGGACTGTATAGGATGGGTTAGTTAATATCTTCCAAGTATGCTAGGCACAGGCAAGGTTAGTAGAATGACGAAAGTGTTAGATAGTAGTATGACTAGATCAAGACCTCAAGAGAGCAGCGCGGATGATGGGTGAAAGTAGTTAGTATAATTTCTATTAAGTCGCCAGAATGGAGACAGGGCATCTATAGCTTCCTACAATTACTATGCGCCCCCTGCGAGCGTAGGCAGCAGCTAGGAGATTAGCAGATGGAGAGTTACTGGGTGATATCTTGCTGAACAGGTGCCATTACAAGTCACTTGGTGAAATCTGGGCCGAAAACAGCCTGATCTAGCCGGGGGATTTTCACGAATTCAATCTGTTATCAGAGAGGACGAGAAGTGTTCTGTACCTAAATATGCTGCCCTCAACAAGCTGCTGTTATTAGTTCTATAACAAACAGGCTTATATTAGTAGTAGTGATAGCAGGACCAGCATTCCATTTTCCAGTCATGGGAAAACCCATCAATGACAGCGAAGAAATGATTTGATACTCACCACAAGCAGTTCAATAATCAATAAACGACCCGAAGACCTAAGAGAAACACCTACACGCTGCCCTCAACTCGACACTTTGCATTTTCTTATTAACCACGCTCGCTAACTTCCTAACAGAGCGCCTGAACACTACCTGCTTTCTTAAGATGGCAAAGGCTTCCGAGGACGCTTGCTAGGAGATAATGATCTCAAGCGACTACCAAACTTCCTAACAGATTCAAAGAACCTGTCACGGTGTCGTATCACATTATCAGTTTTCATCATGGCCTCAGCAAGTGGCATTGTCGTGAGGAATTGTTGCGCTCCATTCTTCACTAAGTCAACAATTAGTAACAGTAGCAAACCAGAGAGAATAGTTGACTCACGTCTCACTAAACTGTCAATTTTGACACGGATTTCATCCACACTTGATGATGTCTCCACAAGCGCGATAGCAAGGTACTCGGGGGGCTTGGTATAAAAAAAGCCTTGAGAAACCAGAGGCTTGTCAAATACCTTTACATTCATGACATACCTGCGGATATCCGTGAACTTTTCTATTTTGGATTTAGCATCTTCACAGTGATTATCTTTTGCTACCTCTAAGGCTAGGTTATTTTGCCAAGTCTCTGTGTCGAATACTAGACCATCAGGAAACTGAAGATCTAGAAACAACACATATCGTGAGGCTAGTGTGATGGTCGACAGTCGGTAATCAAGCATGTCGTTGAGATCAACGAGAATTTCCTTGTCATATTGTTTTCCTTGAAGCAGTTGTTTAAGATCCCAATGTGCGACATTTGGTCCAATATTGTCTGGGCCGGGGAATGAGTTCATGTAGACTGCAGCCTTGGTCTGGATAACATTATAGTAACCTTGACCAATACTACCGGCAAACCCTAAGGCAGCTGTCAAGTCGGGGGTTTCATCTGCGGGCACTGGGGACAGGCCAACTTCACGTAATTCTTCCCATTTTGCTTGATAATCGAGGAGCGGAAAACCAGAGCGTTTCCTCCATTCAAGATTCCATCTGTCATCTTGCGCGGAGAAGGAAATCCCATGACTCCCATAGAAGGGGTCATTGTCTTTGTATGCTTCGTATACGGAGCTACACATGTTAATATACGTCGGTGATGCACTTAGCTCCTCCTCGTCGTAAATGACTGTATGGGTGGGATCTTGGCTGCTGACTTTTGCCATGTTGACCAGGGCATTGAGAACCGAAGTGGCATATATTGAACCACCCGCCCGTCCGCAGGACTGGCTGCATGCCCATGACCTGCTGGTTGCATCGGCATTGACAGCAGTCATCCCCGAAATATTGAGCTTTTTGGCGGGCGCCAGTACTGATGCCCCAACAGGCTGGAGAATCCACCCGCCAGAGTAACAGGATGTCATCACTAGTGTTAGCTTGACACCTCTTCTGGTTGCAGAGGCAAACTTCTGCCTTGTTAGTTTTGGGGCTTGGACCACCCAGTCTTCACCACCAACTGAAACCCCAAAGTTGTCTGCATCGCCGTGCCCGAACACGAAAACTAGAACAGGTTGATCTTCTCTCGCGGCAATTTGTGTTTCCGACCGCAGGGTTGCCAGGAATCGCTCCAGTAAATCCTTTGGGGGGATGACACGGATGTTGTGACTGGCCTCGATTCTATCCAGGAATGTTTCATCGAGGACGACTCGACGCTCACCACTTCTACTACCATGAACAAATTCTTTATATTTTGAAACAAGTATTTTCGGGTCGACACAGGTCAGCCATAGCTGGTTAGATGGAGGGAATGTGTCTATTGATACGATTAGCTTGGAAAAAAAGACCTGGCCAGAATAGCAAGGTGTTCCACATACCACTGTCCGCCAGAAGGTGATGGAATAAGTAGAAGTCAGAAAAAAACCACCCATCTGCCTGGGGAGAGGCATTATTGCGCCAATCGTTGACTCCGCACAGCGCTATGATACGGGTATTTGGTTGAATATCTGGTGGACAAAACATGGGAAATTCGCGGTTCTCCGCATCAGGCTCTCTTCCATCCCCCCCTATGCCCTTGGGCGTCAGTGTTTTTCCCGTCATCACGTTCAACAGACAAAGTATAGAAGTTCTGTATGGGTACTTGTCCCAGGTTCAACAAGGTCACTTGTTGTGGTAGAAACGTTCAAACTATTAAGCCAGCAACAGAAGGAGCGAAGTGTTGTCTACATTACGTAGTATACACATATCCACTCCGTCATTGTCAGAGAAATCCTGAACCTTGTTGTCTGATTTGGCCGAGCCCAGTGGGTAGTTCTGCCGTTCACCCCAACATGTTTTCATTTACGAGGTTGTTGGAATGGCAGAGGGGAGAGCGGCGAAGTGGAAATTCCAGTCAGGTGAGACTTAAACCAGGGAGTTATTCTGCGAATAGAATTTTAAATTCATTGGGGGTTCACTGTAATCAAAGAGCTAATAATACATTCTCGCGCGCAACAATACTAATTCGTAACCGTCTCATAATATCGTAAGATATGGGCCTGTACCCTCCATGTCACATTATTGACAAAAGCAAAGACAAAAGAGATATGGAACAACAGGAAGCGAAAAGTGTGAAACCATCAACAAGGCGCAGTTTAGAAATGCTGACGGTTGTCCAGATCGGAATCAACCCGAGGGTCCAGTTTGTTGGCCATCTTGGAGTTATGCGGGCCGCCAGTGGCAGAGGTAGTTCCGGGGGTAGCATAGCTGCTCTCCGCCAGCGCGGCAACATGGCCACGGTCTGAGTCAACGCGAGGGTCCAAATGGTTGGCGAGGTGGGAGCTGTGCGGCGTGACGCTGGTCGCACCCGCGCCGGTGTTGCTTCCGTACGCATTACCACGACTGGGGGTTTGGCCGTAGGTGTCATGAGACCCGACGCCCGTGCCTCTGGTGCCCACACCGGTGCCTGTGCTTAGACCGGTACCAGAGCCCACACCGGTGCCTGTGCCCACACCGGTGCCTGTGCCCACACCGGTGCCAGTGCCTCCAGTGCTGAGACCGTTGCCTGTGCCCACACCGGTGCCAGTGCCTCCGGTGCTGAGACCGGTACCTGTGCTCAGACCGGTGCCTGTGCCCACACCAGTGCCTGTGCCCACACCGGTGCCCGCTCCATAACCCGAGTTGTATGCACTGCCACCGCCCCGAGTCGAGTCGTGAGCTCCGTACGCCCCTCCCATCGCCTGGTGGTGGGCACGGTTATCCCGGTCCGAGTCGATGCGAGGATCGGCTTTGTTGGCCAGAGTCGAGTCGTGAGGCCCATGCGCTCCTCCCATCGCCTGGTGACGAGCACGGTTGTCGACGTCCGAGTCGACGCGGGGATCCAGCTTGTTGGCTAGGTTCGATTTATGAGGGCCGGTGGTCCCGGTATGGGCGGTTTGCGGGTTGGTGGTCCCGGTATTGGCGGTTTGCGGGCCGTGGGTGCTTGTATGGACGGTCTGACCACTGTATCCAGTTGTGGCAGATGGAGCGGCACGGGTATCTGGAGAAATCATGTTAGTGTTGATAGGGGTCATGTGTTGATGGGACTTACCACGGTCGCTGTACGTTCCATGGTTGGTGCCATGGGACTCGTGGTGGCCGGTCAGGCTGTCTTTGACTTTGTGGATAATGCCGGACATGTTGGTTCTGTGTTGGAATTGTATTTGCTGAATGATTGTGATGTAGATGAAATGTAGATGAGATGTAGACGAGAACGAGGTAGATGTGTGATTATCAGATATGTTATTCGAGAACGATGGGTTTGTGTCTTATATAGCCCAAATAGTAGGCTTGATGCGATGACGCAACACATATACAACCATTGATCCTCCTATACAAAATGTTTCACCATGACGTCGTGGGACTGGGATCAGGGGCATTTCTGCTCGAATGGTAGACAATAGGGTCATGTGTGTCGTCATATCGGAAACAAGAGTTGGCACTGCCAGGGGATTGATCGTGTTGGAGTATCTCAACCATGGTATCATCCCAGGTCAATCGATCTAACAAGTAATCGCCCCGCATATCATCTATTTGTATCACTCGGCGTGAATGAAGGTGGGCTGTTGGTTATTGAGCACGGGAGATCTTGCCGAGACGATCGACGTCAGTGGCGTGTGGATGCCGATCGGACAATATGAGAGGCCAGCCATGCAGATCATGACTTCAGCTCAACCATACTTGAGTGACACTGGCTGTCAGCCAATTCACCGACGGAATGTGCGAGAAACAGGAAAGTTGAAGATGGACAAGTGAAATGCGGAGACAGATGGTGATCTGGATCAGGCACCCGGGCACCCGGGCACCCTGGCATCCAGGCATCCATGGATCCAGCCTCAGACATCCAGGCACGATTCCCGTGACCTGGCCAGCATGAGTCAGCTATCCATTTAATGCACACCATGATTGGCGGAGTAAGAATTCCCTTATCTGAAACGTTGCGGGTTCGAAACCCCGTCTTGGCACTTGCCCCCTTTTTTTTTTCTCATCTGTGTAACCCTCAGGCCTCAATCCTCCCGATCTACAGATCCACTTTTTCCATACTCTATCCCGAACAATGAATGCCAATCCGCCCCCACCCGTTGACAGCAGCGCTTGTGTGAGTCCCGATGTTATCTACGAGGATCGTTAATGTCTAATATTGACCATCCAGTGTGCCACGTTGGTGTCAGCCCTAGGAGATAGTAAAGTATCGTTTCCATCGTCAGGCCCCTATGCCGCTTCGCTATCGTCGTATTTCGCCCTGCAGGAATCCGAACTGCATCCCAAGTGCATCGTTTTCCCGGAAACAACCGGGGATGTGGCCGATGCGGTCAAGGCTTTAACCTCCGGCGGGAAGACATCCGACGGCTCTGAGAAACAAGCGTGCGCGTTCGCCATCCGTTCTGGGGGCCACGCGACGACCCCAGGCACCGCCAATGTCGAGGACGGCGTGACGCTCGATCTCAGCAAACTGAACCAGATCAAGGTGCACGAGTCGAACCAGACCGTCTTGGTGGGCGTGGGCAACACCTGGGGCGATGTGTATAGTATTCTCGATCCGATGGGACTGTCCGTGGCGGGAGGGCGGGCGGCACAGGTCGGCGTTGGGGGCCTGACAACCGGCGGGGGAGTTTCGTACTTCTCCCCGCGGTACGGCTGGACCTGCGACACGGTGGTCGACTTCGAAGTGGTGCTCGCGGATGGGTCGGTCGTGCATGCCAACAAAGACGAGCACCCTGATCTCCTGTACGCTCTGCGCGGCGGGTCGAACAACTTCGGCGTGGTGACGCAGGTCGAACTCGAGGCGTTTGAACAGGGTCTAGTCTGGGGCGGGGTGGTCCACCACGGTGTGGACACCATTGAGACGCAGCTGAAGGAGGCCTACGAGCTGATGAACTCGGCCGAAGGTTACGACGAGTACGCGTCGCTGATTATGAGCTTCACCCTTGCCGCTGGGGTGGGAGCGACAGTGTCCAACAGCATCGTGTACACGAAGGAAGAGGAGAACCCGGCAGTATTCAAGCCGTTCATGGATATTCCGTCTAAGAAGAGCACCATGAAGATCAAGACCGTGAGCGAGATGGCCAAGGAGCAGGGTGCATTTTCGGTGGATGGGAAGCGGTGAGTGTCGTTCCTCTGATTCCGTAACCCCCTGCTAATATAGCGGCTTTAGGGAGCTCATGGTAGAGACCACCTATCGTTCAACTCCTCCCATCCTTGACGCGACGTTCCTCCACTGGAACGAGTCCCTCGAGGCCGTCCAAGACGTCTCTGGGCTAGTCTGGTCGTTCTCGCTGGAGCCCCTCCCCCCAGCCATATACGCCAAGCACGCTGCGGAGAATGCGCTGGGGATCCCGGGGACGTCAGGGTCTTTGGTGATTGGGTTGCTTAGTGCGACATGGACAGATGAGGCGGACGACTCTCGTGTGGAAAAGGCCTCTCGAGAGCTCTTCCGCGCCATCGAAGATGACGCAAACCGCATGGGTGTCTACTCTCCGTTTGTCTATCTGAACTACGCGGCGCCATGGCAGGACCCAATTTCGAGCTATGGGGGCAAGAGCGTGGGGAAGCTGCACGAGGTGTCCAAGGAAGTAGACCCGAAGGGTATCTTCCAGTCTCAGGTGGCAGGGTTCAAGCTTCGCAGGCCGAGCCCATGATCACACTACTATACTCGGCCTATGTTGTCTTCTTTTTTGGAACTTGTTCGGTGTCAAAAGTTGATTTTCTTTCTTTGATTGAATGGATCTTGATATGTATATATGATGCGCACGAAGCTAACAACCGTATGTGGATACTCACTCATCTCTATCTCCCTGTATTGCCCGCGTCAATACTTGTCTTCTTCTCGTCGACGCAACCACTCGTCCACAATCCCAGCGTACGCCGCCGGACCATAAGTTCCCATCAGCTCGTTAAAGCAGCCCCCGCCCAGCCGATAAGGGTTGAGCCCAAGGTCCCGCAACAGGATGTCGTTATACTGTCCACAGTCAATCTCCAAACTTAGCCACGCAAACAATTAGACACTCACATGGATGGCATCTACATCTAAGCCACTACCCGTTAGTTTTCCCCAGACAACATCTTCCGAGACGGCCTCGCGCAAGCCATCCTCCACGCAACCATTGATCTGCAACGGAGAGGGCAGCCCCCCACAGGAATGACCCTCTCCGTCCAGGGCCCCCGTTAGAAACGCCGCTGCCCAAAGAGCCTGCACCTCCGCAACAACAGCGACAGTACTACTCAGCACGACGCCAAGAACAACAAACGAGTGGTCACCCTGCGCAGCCAGCGATGGGGGCACCATTCTCCGGAAAAGTCGGTAAGAAGTGCTCTCGGAGGCCCGCCGCAGAGCACGGAACTTGTTAGCATCGAAGACGCATCTCATCTTCGACTCAATCTTCGAGTCCAGCTCGTCCCACGCAGACAGCAACCGTGATATACCGTCGCATGGCTGCTGCGCCAGCTTCTCCACAGAGCATGCGAGGCCGAGGGTATACGCCAGCGAAGCCGGCTCGAACGGGATAGACGCTACGGGCTTCCATCCAGTGGCGTGCACAATGAGATCCGCGTCGGGGATTACGTCGCCGTTGTCGAGATGGACAGTGGGGTTGCAGGCTGATTCAGTGAACGCCGTGATATCAGCTCGATGCACATGCACGTTCTCGCCACGGAGAGTCTCCCAGAAGTTCGGGTGGTTTGCGATGCCGCCAGATGCGGCACAGTCGATGACGCTGCTCATGTTAGCTACCTTCATTCCAGGAGAAGAAACAAACAACCGTAGATGTATGTATGTGTGTATACGCACCTACTCCCCGGTCGCAGCTTCTCCATTTTAGAATCCGAATCATACCCCGCCGACATCTTAATGTCTCGATCAATAGAATTCCACAACCGGCGGACCGCAAGCCGACCGACAGGGTTACCGTGGAGGAGTCTACACCACCAAGTACCCTCGACCCTCGGCCGCCATCCCCACGCATCGGCGCCAGTCGGTCGCGAGATGGCAATCCGCTTCGGGGTGTTATACACGCACGGCGTCAACATGCCCACCAGCCTCGTACTCGCCGCCTTGTCGCTGGGTGCGAACCGCCCATTAGGGAGCTTCGACTCCGGGGGCGCCATCCACGCCAGGCCTGCGTTCTTCTCGCGGATTACCCAGTGGACCTGCACCTTTGTAGGATGCTTGCTGTCCAACGAATGCAATGGCACGTCGCGATGCAGAGAGGCAAACAGATGGACGAAATCAAAAGAGGACTTTGCTCCTCCTTGCACAACGACCGTACGTAGCTTCTGTTCATCAAGAGTGCGTATTTCATCGCTATCCTTCTTTTTCTTCTTTGCGCGCGGGATGGGACGATAGCCTAGGTTCTCGCGACAGTACTGACCGACTTCTTTGGCGTGGATTCTAGGCAGGCAATCTTTCTCCCCTGCTTCTGTCTCGTCTGGAATATTAGGGATATTGGGCTCAGATGTCAGCCCCGTTGCCAAAATCAACTTATCACAGATGAGCGTGATGGAGCTGTCCTGGCAGTCTTCATGAGAGATGATAACCCTGACTTCCCATTCCCCTGTGAGAAGCCGACGAATACTCACGACCTGTACGATCAATCATCATCACACCTTCCAAGAACAAAAGGGGAAATATAGCGAGAGTGTGTGAGTGAAAAAGAAAGAAAAAAAGAGAACCAACCCTCCATCCAAACCTCATCCTCCCCAGCAACCCCCACTTCTCGCACCAAACTTGCAGATACCGATGAATCTTCCATCCAGGAATAAACTGCCCGGCTGGATCTTCTCCCTCAAGGCTCTCACTGTCCCGCAGAGCGTCCCCCAAAGGCAAGTCACTGTACTCGTACAGACCGTAGGAATTCTGACTGAGCAGATTGGGGTACAGGCGCTCTTGGGCCCACGTGCCGCCGAGAGACTTCGCTGCGTCGATGATCAGGACGGTTGGTATAATGTCGACTTCGACACTGCCTGTACTGGATCCAGATGAAGAGGACGAGGAAGTGAAGACAGGCGGTACTTCTGGGTTGGAAGCGGTGTCTTTCTCCTCGCTCGACACATCGTAGGCACCTGTTACTTGGAGGTAGGTTTTGGCTGCGACGAGACCGTAAAGTCCTTTCGTATTCGTCAGTGATAACATCTATATTGATAAGGGAAGGATGCGTGCCGGCTCCGATGACGAGTACTCGTGTCATCACTGTTGCTGCTGGGTTGGTGTAGGAACACGGTAGATTACACGGGGTTGGGAGAAGGTCGGACGGTGAGCTACACAATGCAAGCCAGGGGTATTAGGAAGAAGGAGGTGATTGATGAGTTCTGGCCATGGACAAAGAAACGGTATGAATTAGGGTTTGGGGAGGCGCTTGATATTGTTCCTTTGTTCTTGGCCCGTCTCCCTGCGCTGAACGATCCGCCAAGGGCGCCCCTCGGATAGTTGCAGTTGACTATTAATATCTTACGGAGGTATCATCGATCCCTTTTTTATAGCTTGGTTGTTGTAATAATATGTGAACCTAACACGAAAAGATGATATGAAACCGGGTCGTGGGACAAGATCTCATACGGATTTGGCACACCCGTCCTTTGTTTTAATCACCACACGCCTTCCCCCGACGTCATCAGAAGTAGGGTTCCAAGCAATATTCATTGCATATAGGGCGACCTCCTCGGGATCTATAACGTTTTATTATCATCTACCGCATTCGCCGGTTGTAGGGTTCTTACCATAACCAATTTTGGCATGAATAGCGAACGACCGGGAAGTGGCGCGCAAAATTTCATACTCCTGTACTAGGGCATCTCGTTCGGTCATCGCGTCAATCGATTCCGCTGCTACTTCTTGGACTTGATCGTCTTGTAAGCTATAAACGTCCCTTGCTGTAAAAACACCCTCCGTGCCAGAGCGAAGAAAGTCTTCAATGATAAGGGAGTTCAACCGGAAAACAAATTCATCACACGCTCTCTGCGGCCATGGAAGGTTAGCATCAACTGTTTCTCAGTCAAAGATCAAATATATTACATTGTAATATCTTTCTGCCCAGCCAACGAGGTCTGTACCAGTCATGAGATTGTCGGGTTGCTCCACGTTCGCGGCCATGCGTCCAACACCTGGTCCGACAGCCTCGTATTTGGAATTTCGCAGACTGGGGAGTGCAAGGGCTATTCTGTTCCGATCGTTAAGGCTCGTCCCGGCTAGAGCCAGATGTTTTGGACGTAATCGATCAAGAGCCACTGCCTTCTGTTTGATCGCAGCTCCCTGTGCATCCCTCAACCGGGCGTCCATGAACCTTGTGAATAGGGATGCACCCAGGGTATCCCCTGCGATATGTTGAAGAAGCTCACTGGTAAATTCCCTCAATGCTTGCAACACTGCCGTCAGGTGTTTCTCCGCCAACTCATCCCATGACTCGGTCATATCGCGGAGCAAGTCCACGACCAAACAAGTCGATAGATCACCACGTTTCACCAAGTCTCGCTCTCCGCGTAAGTCATAATCGAACTCAGCGGCCTGGGTTTGACGATCTACATATCTACCATCCCAGAAACCCATGTAGAGGTTGTCTGACTGTATAGCCTGTCGCATACGGTCATGTTCGGCAACCATCCCACCCGCGTCGATGATCTTCTTCCGACCTCCACGAATAGCTATTGCCTCGACAAAATCACTTTTCAGCCTCTGTACAACGATCCGCAGGCAACGACAGCCTAGTCTGCCCGTGCCGCTCCATTTAAAAAATACATCTCCGTAGGCTCCATTTAGAGCGTGCTGCGCGAGGCGTTGGAATTCCTCGCTGGTGCCATAGAGAATAGCTCGTTGCTTTTGGACCGTCGGTCGTGGGGGCCCTTGAATCAATCGTTTCCCCTGAATGATTTTGAATTGACGAACTATCTCGTCTCTCCATTGTGGAAACATACTTTCGCAAAGCTTGCCGCGTAGGAGACCGGCTAGCCCACGACGAAATTCCCGAGCACCGCGACATCCGATCAATCGTGAGGCGCGGGGTTCACAGCTCAAGCATATGTCTTCCTTCGTGTCTCTTGCTTGGTCGCTGATTGCATATTCGGACAAACTCCGGTTCACAATGGCATGCCATTGTAGCTCGAGAGGAAATCTCTTGTTTTGAAGCAGCTCAAGCGCCAGTTGATGCTCATGTGCATCCGGATCGGTCATATCCAAGCATGTCACGACACCCAATGTACGCACCCCGTCAGGGTCGTACGTTTTGATGACCTCGAATGCCCGCTGCCAGTTATCGGTCACTTTGGCGCTCACGACTACGATCAAGGTCGTCAGTGGATCTTTCATATACCTTCTAACCAGACGATCGAGAGGCCATCCCTGATCTGTTTCTTCCTTACATAAAGAAGGCAAGTCGAAACCGGGCAGATCCACAAGTGTTAGCTCCGGCATTTCCGGACCACAAAAGCTCATTCTGAGAATATGATCCCCAGCAGTAAGACGTTGGTCATCGGCAGACCCCAGAGTCTTTTCTGTCTCGCGAACTGCCGATGGGAGGTCGTCGACCTCGAGAACAGACCCAGGTACCAGATCTTCGCGTCCGTCCTCCTCCCGGTCTCCCGCTTCGGTATTACTTGAAATGATGGAAACTTTGATGTTGGCGGTTGAACTGCGACGAAAAGCCACCTCTATTGGTAAGCGGGTGCTATGCAGCTGCGAAAACCGGATTCGAGTGATGGCATCGAGAACAGAGCTCTTGCCCGTTTGCTTGCAGCCGCATATTACCAGCTTCGGAGGGTCAATGTGGTCTCCGTATCCCATAGTACGAAGGTTTCCAAAGGATTTCAAGATCTCGCCCTGTCCGTACTGGAGTTCCGACAGTGCCTCTTCCGTGGGTGAACGAGGCATCGTGGATAAGAAAAAATAAGGAAATAAGGTAGGGTGTCGTATTATATCAGATTAACAAGATGAATGAGTGACACAGTGAATATGTGAATGTGAAAAATGCATGGCGAGAGTTGAGGAGAGGACGAAGAGAGACAAGAAGGACGTGAAGACTAGGGAGGAGGCCAAATCAGGAGTCACGGCCATCACTCTTTCTCCCTCCAGTCCCGCTGTTATTCAGGAGGGCAGGCGCATTGTAGAAGCCGAATATCATAGTTTTCCCTGTGTACATACCGTCCAGGTCAAATACTCCCCCGCGGGAATGGAACAAGTTTGAAATGAGTTTATGCTTGCAGCTTTACCTCGGGATTACCTATTTCATCAAAGCATGAGAGTATCCCAACAATTGTTCTTGTTGCGCTTTTAGTACCAATGACGTATATTATCATTTTATAAGGATTGGCTATTGTCAACAAGCGGTAAATCTTCACATAGCTAAACTTATTCATTGATTATTTATCTTGCTAACTATATAATCATGGACTATATATAGCCCGGCAAAGTACCTGCAGGGGAGCCCTAGGAGCATCCGCGTCAGGTCTCTCCAAGAGGCAGTGTAGAGATCTGTAACTAAAGAGAATTAGCTGTTGAACTGGTGTTCATTTGAGTAATAATGTGGGGTTCTGGCGATAACTATAATAGAGATATTATAAAAAATCAAAAATCCAGAGCGGTTGTGCATTCGACGACAAAGATCAGTACCGGGGGGAACAGGATCTCCGGGGTCCACCACGATGCACACTCGATAAAACAAGACCTTCAGCTCCAAGACATCTTTAAGGTTTTAGAGACACCGATAATTTTTCCTATAGAGCATCGGGACCAGCCGATCGATATCGGAGAGATGCTTCACCTTGTGCTTTCACCCGACCACCTTCATGTAATGGGGCGACGGAATATTTTCTCTGGTACGGTTTACCCGGATTTCGTTACGTTTAATATAGCGCACAGCCATAGAATGTCGTGGGAGTTGTCGCTCACCGTGGCGGGGAACACCCAGACTGTGGATATGAGCACAGCGGTGGAAATCCTTCCCGAATGTTGGGAAGTCTGAAGTGCTGTCATTATGGCCACTTGTATGGGTTGGTGATGGTAGTTAATATGGAGTCAGTGCTGCAGCCGATTTTACGAATCGCCTACTATGCACGCCGACTTTTTGACACTTTATTAATTCTACTTTCATGTATTTATCCATTGATTTGGTTTTTCACTGCATATACCCCGCATCCCACCGGTGGGGTGTCACAACCGTGGATCGAGACATCCAGCATCAGGCCAGGGCTAATCAGGTGATCACATCTCCCGACGATCCTCCACCGTTTCTTTCATGGCATCATCAGGGTCTCCAACTAAGCACAGTTCGGACACACTTATCCCCTTTCCTTTTCTACCACTAGAACGGCGCTTATTTCCAACCATGCCCCGAGTGAAACAAAAGACCAAGGCAAGACACACTCCCATATCCATCCCTTTGCAACTGTCAACCTGACCCCACTAGGCGGAAGACCTGAATCGCATCCGCAACAACCAGCGGCGATGTAGACAGCGCAAGCGAGACTATATCACAGAGCTTGAATTGCGGCTCGCAAACATGGAATCAACGACATCGCAGGAGATCTGCAGACTCGAGAGTGTGACCGATGAGCTTCTCCAGGAGAATGAGAGGCTGCGGGGATTATTGAGCTCAACGAGTGATGTTCGCAAATGCGGGGAATGCAATAGGGTGATCGACGGGGCAGAAGAGTTGGAACAAGATGTGGCCTTGAATCCCGATCCTATTGGAGATGGTGCAGTACTCCCCGTCACGCCGTGGAGAGGCCCCGGTAGGACATCATTCCTTTAACATCGCTAATCAACTATAATCCTTCTCATGGGTTCTATGTTACTGACGCTGGGCAATCTACCAGACCAGAAGGACAAGGTTACCGATAAAGACCCTTTTGACCGTCAACTATGTCCATCGCCGGCTATATCACTCAGCTATTCCACAGATTTTTCCCGGGAGACCGACTACCCTCAGATCCTGCCTCTGATGGAACCCGACTCGTTTTTACTACTTCCGAATGAAATTCAGCCCCACCCTACAGCTCCTACTACAGACGTAGAGGCTTTTGAGTCCAACTATGACACGACAGTGTGCGCCGTCGCATTAGAGCTAGTCATGAGCTGCAATCGGAAAAACCTCAGTATCTCAGAGTTGGACATGCGGCTGCGGTGTGGGTATCGCCGCGCACGGTTTCAATGGGAAGGCTGCAGGGTGGACAATCGAGTCCTGTTCGCTGTGATGAGTGAGATTACGTGACGAAAGTGATGACATACCAGTTTCCCCTCTTGGCACGTGCGCAAACTGGTGACATATCGGTTATAGCCTCGTCCTCCAATCACAGTCAGGCTGTGGCCTACTTCTTGATTTTGGGAAATTGTTGGGAGGAACGTTCGGAAACATATAAACCAGCTTTCTCTCTTCCCTATCTACTTTCTTCCTTCACTTGCATAGCACTATTCCTGGTTCCCAAATCAACTACTTCCCCAGTCTATCATCTGAAACATATATTCCAGATGGCTGATAACACATACAACCTGGTGCAGTCCCGCTACGGGGACATGGCGGAGCAAAGCAAGGTTACCCAACAGCAAGCCCAGGACGAGGACATTGCCAGGGCATTTGGGTATAGCGCAGAAGACCTCAGCTCGCTGCCTGAAAAGACCAATCTCGGTCTAAGCTGTGGCAACCCCGTGGGATTCGCCAACGTGAATGAGGTTCGTCCACCCTTCCAGCCACGTCCTGGACCACCTTTCTTACAACAACAGGGCGAAACTGTCGTCGACCTTGGAAGTGGCAGTGGCATTGACGTCCTTCTAGCCGCTCGCAAGGTCGGTTCCAGTGGAAAGGCGATCGGAGTTGACATGACCAAGGTGTGTATGCCATCTGCCTTCCATCTCAAGTTGAAGACTAACGCCCGAATCAGAGCATGATTGAACTCGCCGAGAACAACGCCCAAAAAGCCGGCCTTTCCAACGCCCAATTCATCGAAGCGACCATCAACGCTATTCCCCTGCCCGACGCCAGCGTCGACTGTATCATTAGTAACTGCGTGATCAACCTCGTCCCCATCGGTGACAAACCGGCTGTGTTCCGCGAGATTGCGCGTCTCCTGAAGCCAGGTGGACGGGTTGCCATTAGCGATATCCTGGCGAGAAAGCCCCTACCCGACCACATCACCAAGAACATGGCACTCTATGTGGGGTGTGTGGCCGGCGCCGGTCAAATTGATGAGTATAAGGGATACCTCGCCCAGGCTGGATTGCAAAGTATGGATTTCCACCACAGGAGCTATTTCGTTGCTGACTCTTCCTAGATGCCCTTATTGTTGACGCCAAATCGGACCTCAACCTGTACAAGAATTCGACGTATCTGCCCCAGAAATCGTGCTGCGGTATGGGGGCTAATGAGATCACCACTGATATTGCGGCGCTGGACTTCAATGAGTGGGTCGGTGAGTTACTTCTCTCTGCTATATTTTACTCGTCTTTATTAATTTTCGCTAGGGTCATTCCAAATTTACGCTATCAAGGCTTGAAACTGTGGAGAGTTCGATGTTCCGAGTATATACTTCTGCATTCTTCTAGAGAGGCTTAACCATGGTTAGGGAAATCAGTTGTATGACTTTATGGTCATCGAAATAACCCCAGACGTCAATCACAGCTGCTTCACCACTACAACAGTAGACCAAGTGCATATTGTATCCAATCCCATTCACCAAAGCAGCAGAGATAGACATGGCAAATGCATAATTACTTAAGCGTGAATCTACGCAATGCCCCCACCAGACCCACATTCATTATTTTTGCACTTGATGGTACCAGCCAATCATCGCTCACCAGTGACATGCCGGCTGTTGATGTCCCGAATAAATACATAGTACGGCTTCATGATCGGCAAACCACCACTATCTAGACATCCAGACATCAAACAGCAATTCTAGATGCTCGCTCGTTTTCGTATCCCAACCTTCTTCAATTCGAGCTCGAGACTCCTCACCGGAGCCCGTTTCTCGCCCTACAGATACAGCACAATGACACACCCACAGCCAGAAACAACCGGCCCGGCACAGGCAAACAGCCACCAAACTATCCCCAAACACCAAACCCTCGCCGTTCCCGAAAGCGAAGATGACCCAGACATTCGCAATAAATACCGCCCCTTCATCCTGAACGAAGACCCCGCCACCGACTGGGTCAGCACGCTAGAGCTAACAACCGCCCTGCAAATGGCAGCGACCTCGCTGCAGACATCACCCCGACTGAAGGTCCTCGTCCTCTACGGCAGTCTCCGCAGACGGTCCTACTCGCGACTTGTCGCTCTAGAGGCAAGCCGGATCCTGTTCCGTCTGGGATGCGACGTGCGCGTATATGATCCGACCGGTCTGCCCGTGAAGAACGATGTCGAGCATGGGCATCCCAAAGTGCAGGAGTTGCGGGAGCTGAGCCGCTGGAGTGATGGGCATTTGTGGGTGTCGCCTGAGCAGCATGGGAATCTGGTTCGTTTCTCCCTTTCCCCTTCTTCAAGATACAAAGGTTCGAACACAACTGACGAAATCAGACCGCCGTTTTCAAAAACCAGATCGACTGGATCCCGCTTAGCACAGGAAGCGTCCGCCCAACGCAAGGTCGCACACTAGCCATCGCCCAAGTATGCGGCGGCTCGCAGTCCTTCAACGCGGTGAACTCGCTGCGGATATTGGGCCGGTGGATGCGCATGTTTACCATTCCAAACCAATCGTCGATCCCGCAAGCGTACACGCATTTCCCGGACGAGGGGACGCCGGGGGATCAGAGGCTGATGGCGAGTGGGAACCGTGACCGGTTGGTGGATTGCATGGAGGAGTTTGTCAAGTATACGATTTTGATGAGACCTCATCTGGAGCTGTTCGGGGATCGGTTTAGTGAGAGGGAGCAGAAACGGATTAAGGAGGCGAAGATGCAGTCGTAGAGATTGCTGTATATAGATGACCCGTATCAATGCTGCATGATCTATCCTTGCTCGTTAGTGTGAACAACGAGGATTATTCAGCTGCTCAGTGAGACTCATACCATAAGGGAAAGTCGATCATGCATTTGTTGTCCATATTCATTTCAAAGCTTTCGAGTGCGATATCCGCGCATTCCTAGTCAAAACAGAGAGATATCTCCTCAAGATCATCCGGACCGATATCCGACAGCGAGACGGCGGTAATCCAGGCTGGACTTCCACACCACCATGCTTCAACAACAGCCCTACAACACCACGGTGTTGATTGCGAGTAGCCCAACAAAGCGGCGTCATCTGTCGCTCATCGCGACAGTTCATCTCGAGCTTCCGTTGGCAAACAAGCCGCTCCACCACGGTGTCATGACCATTCATAGCAGCAATCAACAGCGGAGTCCAGCCAAACGCCCCCCGGCAATTAACATCAATCTCCTCCTTCCCCAACAACCTCTCGACCCCCTCGTCGCACCCAAAGCGCGCCGCCCACAGCAGCGGCGTCCACCCATTAACATCCCTCGCATTAACATCCACTCCCCCCTTCCGTAGTAGCAGTCGTACCACAACCCCATGCCCACTCATAGCAGCGACAAGCAGCGGCGAGCGCGCACCATCATCCTTCGAGTCCAGCTCGATACCGTCACACCCAACCAGCATGCGCACGATCCCAGCATGACCGCCCCAGGCGGCGCAAAACAGCGGCGTCTGCGAATGCGCATCCCTCGCATTACAATCGACATCGTCCCGCGCCGCCAGCAGCGCAACCACCGCACAGTGACCACTCATGGAAGCAATCAACAGCGGGGTGCGACCGGCGCTATCCCGACAGTTGACGTCGATATCGGCGCGGGCGAGCAGGCCCTTTGCGATAGGGACGCACCCGTTTGCCGCGACGAGATGTAAAGGGGTTTGTTTGGAGTCAGAGGTTTGGATGTTAGGATCGACGGCCGCGCTGGAGAGTAGCGCGGCGCATATGCGGTGGTCGGCTTCGCGGGCGGCGACGTGTAGGGCGGTTGTGGATGCGTTGTGCCATTGATGGCGGTGTGTGAGGAGGGCGCCGAGCTCGGGGATGGCGCGTAGGAGGGCGAAAAAGGCGTTGAAGGGGAGGTGTTCGGCTATGGCGAGGATGAGCTCGACAGGTAAGGTCGACATTGTTGATGGGTTGCGGTTGTCATAGGTTTTGTTCTGTTTTCCCCTTTTTACTGCTCTGGTGTGAATTTGGCCTTTTTATTGCGTGTTCGGTGGTTTTCTGGGGATCATGGTGGGAAGTAGGATCAAGACATATGGATCATAAGATGGGCGATGGTATTAGAAGACGCGGGGTCGTCACCAAGGCTGTGTGTCCTTGCGGTGGTGATCTCTCATCGAATGAAGCTATGCCGGTGGAGATCAGCCCACTGATCATCGTATGGCCGTACCAGTGGATGTCACCTAAGCCTGGTAGGCTCCTCCTACTTATTAGGTGCTGGATAGTGAGCAATAGTCAAAAGTAGTCGGTTTTGTCGCCGAATAGCTCGGTCGATGACATCATGTCGGGATAGGAACCTCGGGAGTGCCTAGTCTTTGTTGGCTTGGCAAGTGTCCTTTCACTAATGTATGTTCACGGATTTGTTTCTAGCATTTGTAAAAATAAAAAACGAAGGATATATGTAAAATAAAATGACCGACAAGGGACTCGAACCCTTAATCTCCAGAGATTTGAATCGTGATTTCGTGCCGAAATCTGGCGCCTTGCCATTAGGCCAGCCGGCCTGCATTAGTCAAGCTATGAGTCTGCATTGATTTACCAATGGTATCTCCATTGAACTACGTTATATCCAGCACTTGATCTGGAAAATAAGGGCAAGAGGGACACTCTATGTATGAGGTATAGCAATAGAAAACAGATTATTATGTAAGGCATGTCCAATATTGCAATCAACCCAGCAAGACTCGAATAAGCCCGGCCCGGCCAAAGATACACAATCCACTGTGATACCCCCATCAGCGCGTTCGCTCACGCAGCTGGCACATCAGCGGCGGCTTCTCCCATAAAAGGTACGATCGCTGCTCATTCCACGTCGCGCTCTCCTCGCACAGTTGGAGGTCGAAGTTCCACAGCATGCGCGCCATGATAATCCTCATCTCGCTGTAAGCGAGGTTCTTCCCCAGGCAGTTGCGAGGACCCACTAAGAACGGCTGCAGGATATCACGATGATCATGGTAGAATGGTGAGGACGGGTCGCTTTTGGCTTCGGGCAGCCACCGCTCGGGGATAAAGCGACGTGCGTCGTGGAAGTGTCGGTCGGAGTGATAGGACGCTAGCTGGTGGACGGATACGGCAGTCTGTTTTGATTAACCGTGATCTGGATGGAGTGGTGGTGGTTCTAGCTTACCTGAGGAGGGATCTGATATCCCGCGATGGTGATCGGTCCTCCGGGTGGAGTCATCCGCTCCAGTCCGGTCGGCACAGGGGGATACATCCGGAGGGCCTCGTTGAGACAGGCGAGCAGGTACGGGAGCTGGGCGCTGGCACTGTGAAACGTGATGTCCTCCTCCTGAGCCATCGTCGAGCGGACCTCTTTAGTCACCTTCTCCAGCACTTCTGGCGTTCGCAGCAGCCAGTATGTGAGGCCCGACAGCAGCGTTGCGGTCGTTTCACTCCCAGCGACGATGAGAACGTTCGCATTAGCCGTGAGCTCAGCCTCGCTCAGCCCCTCATTGTCGCTCTTGTGACGGAGCATCGAATCCACGAAATCCGCCTGCCCCCGGCTCTCCGCGCGACGAAGGCGCTTCTGCATGGTTAGGCGACTATGTTTTTCCTGTCGGGATCGCGCCTCCAGTTTGCTTCGGGGGATCGTCAGAGCCAGGAGCTTGAAAATGAGCGGATAAGCGTGCTTGAGCCTCATCAAGGGTACTAAGCGGACCGACTGAAAGATGGTCGACACCCAGTGGTGGTACTCGGAGGAGTCCAGACCGCCAAAGGATTCCCCGAACGCCAGGTCCCCGATCAGGTCGAACGTCGCCAGATTGTACCACTTGACCATGTCGGCGGGCAAACGCGATTCGGCGACCATCTTGAGTCGCAGGATGAGCTTGTCGACGTACATCTGCAGGATGGGCTCCTGCGCTTGAAGGGCTTTGGCGGAGAAGGCGGGTGACAAGGCTTTGCGGTGCCGCGTGTGGTCAACGGTGTTGGCAGTGATAATGTTGTGTCGGTTATTCGGTGAGACTAGCACCTTAGGGAGCTGGGGCGAGCCATGGCCGTAGATGTCCTTCCAGGCTTGGGCCGTGGCGAACGACACGACGTTTGGTCCCAGACGCACCGCGTCGCCGTGTTTCTCGTGCAGGGCGAAGACCTCGATGTCGAACCGTCCGCGGACGTGCGAAATGTGGCGAAATAAAGGGAAGGCTATCCATAGTTTTGGGCCGGGGATGGAGTGCAGGGGGTGGAAGAACAGGTTGTAGATGGTGACGGCGCCGGTGTAGACGATGTATGCTGCGGACAGCGCGACCAAAATCGACAGCATGGTGGGAGTGTCTGAAATGGTGGAATCAACATCGCTTCGTCGACCTGAAATTCCTGGCAAACCTAAACAGCCCCTGTGACGTGGAAAGATTGGAAGCATAATTGTATTAAGTCAAGTATGCAGCATTCTAGTGCATAGCCACCCCATTCTCGGCTGCCAAGCACATTCACTGCATCAGATAGGCCGTCTTATTACACCTCGACTCTCGACATAGTCATAATTCCCCGTCATTGTGCATAGACTAGACATATCACATCTTTCGCGTCTGCAGCTGGCCTGTAAATGGATATTGGCCTTGCCTCGATGTGTTTAGCGCGAGGGGAAACCCCTCATTTCTCTTTCCATCATTCAGGGCACACTATAAAAAGGGAGTATCTCTCATGAACCATTCGTAGTATCATTCCATGATAAAAGAATCCTCCCCCGCCTCTATCTTATTACTTGCGATTCGTATATCTTCCAGTGATTCCTCCGTGGTTGCGATGCTGATCTGACACTATCGAACCGATCTGCTTGATATGTCATATCTACCGTAGCTGCCTGGAGTGACTCGGCAGCGGCGATGACCTGCTGTTAGAGGAATCAGACTCCGTTGATGATTCTTGTGATATCTATCATATCAATCGGGTATGAAAGATCCTGTTGATCGTGGGGTATTTTATACTGTGTGGTACCTAGATCAAGAAACAGACTTCTTGCAGGAAGATGGAATACACTGCCGGCCAAGTCCAATGGAAACGATCCAGAACTATCATTTGGCTGGTATTAACCCAATTGGAATGACTGTATGTGAATGAAAGATTAAAGATGCAGAATACGCCGAGAGGGAAAAAGATCCCTGCTTTTCTATGCTAGATTATGGACCAATGCCTTCCACGTGTACCAATGTACGGTGAACTATAACCCCCTATATCCTTATTCAAAACAATCATATAGAGCTCAAAACAATTCTATAATGGTGTGTCCATAATTGAGCCTATCTTTGGGTTCACCTGTCAATATCTTACACACGGAAGGTACGGAGGAGAGTAAGTAACTAGATTGACACTATCCATATACGAACAGACCTAACAAGCATGTCTGACCCCTTCCCAAAACGATCTAAGGAGTAGTTTATTAAGTCTCCACTAATAAACTAACTTTCTAAACAAAATAGACCATGAAAAGTACCGTGGCGCTTTGGGGCTCATCAACAACCCTGCCACAAGAACGATGCCACCAGCGGCCCGGCCCGGCCTCAATACACCCGGACGAGATGCTAATGTTATGCAGGGTAGGAAGGAGTAGACAAAGCCACATTCTAGAGTCTTCTGGGGGTGTGTTGTGATATTATGGTTGGGAGTGGTTCTCATTCAGGCCACCAGTGATTCTGGCCCCAGTAAGCACGGGTTTATCTTGGCTGCTATATATAGCTAGGGCTACCTTGGTTAGCCCACTAGAAACCACCCTATTTCTTTTGATCAAGCAGACATATCAAATCTCGTGTCAGCCTGAGTCTCTCGTAGTCCAGTTTATATTCTCGTGTAAGCTCTTCGTTGCCAAGCTGTGCACCGCGTCATCGCACGTCAGCGCCACCGGCAGATCGCAAACCTATACCGGTACAGGACAAGCCGCCATCGAGAATACGAGCCTAGCATAACCTCAGGTCGTGAGATCTGTAGATGCTAGCAGGGTGGCTTCCCACTTTATGGTTTGGCTTTAATGCATGTACTTGTGTGATGTCTAATGATTATTGACTCCCAGACATTGACCGACTTTTTGATAGGCACCGCAGAAAAAGCGACGGTAAATAACATTAACATATGAAAAATTCCAAATAGCAGATTCTACAAGCCCTTTCAAACAGAATCTAGCCTAATTCCCCAGGAGCAGCAGTTCTGGTATGTTTCGTTTACGGCCATGACATCTCCTACCTACTGTCTACCATCAATTGAGGAGGTCATAACTGTTATCAGCGATTCAAGCAAAAAGGCGAGAGCAATCCTTGAACCACAGCAAGCAGAATAGAAGTATATTATAAACCAACACATCTTCTAGCACCGGTGCCCTAGGCTGGATGAAGGCGACTATAACTGAAGTATACTTCTACGAGATATGGAGCATGAAATATACCAACACCAAGAATAAATCAAAAACAAATCCATTTTCATCTGGTATTTAAAACACTGAGTCCCAGATATTGCAGAGATATCGCCAGCCTTGATCCAATACTCCATAGGTGCGCCAAAGTCTGAAATGGCCACGGACTTGTTGTCCTCCTAACAAACCTTGTTCGAATCCCCGTCGGAGTCGGAGTCCTGATCGCACGGGGTATCAGGCTCGTTGTCCCCCAAACAATCCTTTTCCGAATCCTCCTCCCCATTACACGCCCTGGAAGACTTATTACCAGTCTGGTCCTCGGGAAGTCTGATAGGCTGCTTGAAAGGCAGCTTCGGCCCGATAGGCACACAGCAAGCGCTCCAGCACCCCTGTAATCATATATTAATATTTCGTCAATCCAATTTCTATCCTGACAGAACAAGCTCACCTCACTACCAGTGGCCATCTGTGTAATCGTAAAGTATCCAGTCAGTCATCACATCGAATCACCCTCGTGTGGATAAAAAGACGTACCTGGCCTTCAGGACATTGAGGCTTTTCTAGGACACATTGTTGGGTGCAGATCTGGCGGGCGTCAAGGGCCTCTGAGCGCGACTCAATGTTAATAGCTCTAGCGAGGGACCCAGTAGCCAGGGTAAGGGCGACGGCGACGAAAGCAGAGGTGAAACGCATTTTGTGGAGACGATAGACTATTTTCTTTCTATGAAAAGATATGAAGAATGACTTTGTGGAGGAAGCTGGTGGAGATAGAATGCAAACGAGGAATGTATGAAGACTTGTATAATGCCTATGACCAACAGGGCGGGGGATTATATATCTCTATGGGCTCCATATAGGGGTACAATGCATCCTCGTGTCATGTCTAGGTGCTAATAATATTGAGGGATATTGCGAGGTGACTGCGCCTTGCTCAACTAGCCTGCGTTAGTCGTGCATCCTTCGATCCTGATCATCCCATGGGTTTGATATACCTCCACTTTTCTTGATTTTTTTTTTCTTCTTGATTTTTTTTTCCTGAAGAAAATCATTTTTACTGGCTAGAGGCCGGGTTTGAAAATACGAGGGTTAACTTGATGACAATCAGGCGGCCTGTCTAAATTTGTCTGGAAAAGGTATCCCGTATTCTAACTAACGATGCAAACAATGACCCCCAGATTCTTCTCGATGTGAAGTTGAAGCTGAAAAAATGTTTAAGGGTGGGCATTAGCAGGCTGGCACTCGCCTGACCAGCAGTCCTTTTATTTTCCATGAGTGCCATGTTCGAAAATAGCCTCCCAAAAAGAGACAATTGATGATTGATAAAAATCAAAAATGGATAAGATAAGAACTCACCGCAGTACCAACGAGGGTCTGTATATCACAGAATATCCAGCCAGTAGTTAATACAGCAAAAATGATCGGAAACTTCATACCTCATTTTCTCCGCATTGAGGCGCGTAGGGCACCTTGCAGTCGGCAGCGCTGGCCCCAGTGACCAGGCTGACGGTGGCCACGACAAGAGCAAACATGAAACGCATTGTGAAGGGCGGGATTGTTATCTGATTCGTCAGATACAGATATATAAATTTATATATAGAAAGTTTGACAGATCGGAACGAAACACGGTAGAGGATAAAGACGTAAGAAGCAGTGGTCAAGTCATACAGCCTGCACCATCCTTGCGACAGCCACCCCCTTTATACATGGCAAATCAGCTCGGCCGGAATACGAAGGGGCCAACTGCAGGGGATGAGTTAACGTCCGTTGACCGGCTCCTCGCCGGGCACAGGATCAAAGGTATCCATCCAATGCGGTTGTGTGGTTGCTTCCCTTGCGGCGATACAATCCTTTCATTTGACCGGATCGACAGCCGGGAGTTGATTATTGTCCAAATCCTTCCATCAACGCGTCGACAGCATCACATGTACAGCGCTGCGGGCCTCGCCGGACGGGGCGATGATGTGGTGCTTGAGGCAGAAAGCCTTACATGCCAGTTGAAAAGTGGGAGCTTTGCGTACTACTACGATTAATCAGGTTGCGGGGAATAACCTACCCCAGGTCTGTTGTGTGGGCCTTGGTCGTCTGGGGCCGAATTGGGACGTGACGTATTTGGGGGGGCCCACACAGGCCAACAGCTGGTCGGCACGCCTAGTCTCTCGCAGGACAATTAGATCATCTCGTAATTGAACGATGCTGTTCTATGTGATGTATGTGACCCAGCAGTCATCTGCAAGGCCTTCCAAAACCACGGTCAATACGAAGTATACAATTATGTAATAGGGCAGATTGGCCCCGTTTGGCCCCTGATCAGCGCCTGAATACGCCTACGCTGATTCGGGAAACGCTACGGGGCTGAGATACGGCTATGGATTCCGCGTGTCTTGGCTTCTGGAATAGTGTCGCTCCTGGAGGCCTCGGGGGGGTTTGGGTGGTCGGACAGCGGGGTATGAGTGAAATCCGTGTGCTTGTGGCATGTCTGGGGCCAGCCGTGTTGGTATCATATTGATTGAATATATTCTAGGGCTCACGAAATAGCAAAAAAAAAATGCGTATCTACTCCTATCAGATATATCTTTGTGCCCCTCACTCGGCGTGGACCAGGGCGACTACGAGATGGCATAGATCGACCGAACCTTCTCCTTCGTCCACTCCGACCACGTCTGCTGCGGCCCCGACGTCTCCCATGACATGTTGGGTGGCCGCCCCGTATCCAAATCCGCCTCGACCGGGTTCACGAATCTAGTCCGACAGACGATCTTGTGCCCGAGGTACAGCACCGCAAACAGGATCGGGCAGATGTACGCGACGAAGAAACTGGACACGTCAAACTCGGGGATCCACGCGGTGAAGCCCTGCGTAAAGATGATGACGAGGTTGAAGAACAGCCCATAGTAGGTGAGGTAGGGCTGCCAGATGGCCTTGTAGGGCAGGGTGTCGCGCGACTGGTTGCGCGCTTTCAGGGCCCGCATGAACCCGATGTGACTGGTGCTGATCGACGTCCAACAGAGGAAACCAGCAACACTACTGATGTTTGTGAACCAGTTGAAGACTGTCCCGCCGGACGCGGAGACGTTCATGAATCCCAGCAGACCGAAGGCAGCGGTGAACGTCACCGCCACCCAGGGGACACCATTGTGGGTTACCCAGCCGAAGAACTTGGGCGCGAAACCCTCCTCCGCAAGGCCAAGAAGCACCCGACTCCCGCTGTACACGTTGGAGTTGGCTGCCGACAGCACGACCGTCAATAGCACGGCGTTGATCAAACTCGGGAGGACCTTCACGCCGGCTAGCTGCGCGGCGATGACCATGGGAGAGGCGGAGGCGGTGTTGGAATTGGCCGTCACGAGCCGCGGATCGTCGTAGGGGACAACTAGGCCGATGAAGAAGATCGTGAGGACGAAAAACACCAGGATGCGAATGAACGTCTTGCGGATGGCAGACGGGACTGTTTTCTGCGGGTTCTCTGTTTCGCCGGCAGCGACACCCACTAACTCCGTGCCCTGGTATGAAAAACCGGCCTGGATCAGCACAGCCCAGAACCCGACGAACTTGGCCACGGAGTCATTATGCTCGATCTTGTAGGGTGCGAATGCCCCCGGGTTATGCCAGTACGTGAAGCCGAGATAGTGACCCCGGCCCACACCCGCATCGACACAGATGGCGAAGATCATGAACCCCAGCACCGTGAGCACCTTGATCGTGGAGAACCAGAACTCCAGCTCGCCATAGAAGTTAACGGGCAGGTAATTGATGGCGCTAATAACCACCCAGAAGACTGCAATGAAGATGGAGATATTCAAGCTTGCATCCCAATACTGCACGAGCAACCCCGTCGCCGTCAGCTCCACCGCGAATGTCACTGCCCAGTTGAACCAGTAAATCCATCCCATCGCGAATCCAAGACTCGGGTCCACCAGCCGCGCCGCATACGATGTAAACGACCCCGCGCACGGAATGTACGTCGCGACCTCACCGAGGGAGGCCATCACCGAGAAGACAATGGAGCCGACAAAGGCATAGGCGATGAGAGTTCCCGCGGGTCCCGAATGCGCGAGAGCAGTCCCGCTGCTAATGAACAGGCCCGTTCCGATCGTGCCGCCTATTATCGTCGCACAATCGTTAGCTACGGTCGAAGGATGTTATAGACACAATTGCATTCCACGCCACTCACCGATGGCAATCATCTGCAGATGTCGACTCTTCAGCCTCCGCTTTAATTCCGGCGCGTGCTCGTCCCCCCGCAACGAGTCCCTCTCCGTGTCATTGTCGCCCCCCAATCCCTTGCGTCGCGATCGAAGCCCGATCTCCCCCTCCCTCACGCGACCGACTTTTCCTCCAAAGGGGGTTTTGGCCGCACCCGCAGCCGTAACGTCGTCAGCCGCCATGCCGATGTGTGAGATGGTAGACGGGAGGGTGGACGATGCAGATCCCTCTGAAGTGAACTCGCGGAGAGGGTAGCCAAGATGTTTTTTGTTTTCTTTTTTTTTTTCTTCCTTTTTTTCCCTTCCCTTTTTCGCCACAACGTTCGACACGGCCACTCCAGAGGCTAACCGTGGCTACCGTCGGGGAACATCCGATCCACTATCAGAATCCGGAAACGAATCCACACCCACGGACCGTAGAGAAAACATTATGTAAAAGAAAGCCTGCAATAAGGAAAGAAAGACACATTCGCGGTGTGGACTAGGCTTGAGGAAGTAATATCCACTGATTTGGGTCTTTCAATTTGATTGTCAATGTCCGTCCCGGTGGTCTCAATAGCTGAATGATTCCCTGCTGGGCTGGGAGCTTGCATGCGACAGATCGGCTGTGTCTGCTCGTGGATAGTAATGTGGGTCTAAGCATCAAGCCTTGCCAAGAGGATGAATCGGGATGTGTGGTCGTTCTAGATATTCATCTTCAGCTATTGCAATCCCAACGCAGCACTTGATGTAGGGCTTTCCTTGTCACGTTTCTCTAGCCTTAACTTTCGTATGAATGAAAAAGAGAAAAAATGACAATAATTTCCCTTCACGCTAGTCCTTTTTTGGCCGCGGATATCAAGCTCATCGGTCACGTGATATAGTCGTTATGCAAGCATGGAATAGTGCTATGAATGCTGACGTGACAATGCCATCGATCTTTCCTTGTCAAGATCGAGATCGAGATCGAGATCGAGTTTCTTCTCCTCTTCAACCATCCTGCACTTGGTTCGCTGTCTGAGGAATGGGACTATCACCATCTTTAATAGTTTATCCCTCCCATCTTGTCGTACTTCACGTTCTACCCGCCAACGTAGGTTACTTTTGCTTGCCGCTGACCGTACTGGTGGGGGACGACGTTAGCTATCAAGTTGCTCGTGCACATTTGACATCATCTCTAATGCTTTGAGTATCTCGGGGGGTGTGTATTCTGTGGGAACAGTACAGATTGATAATTTGATACACAGCCAGTCAAGACGAATTCAAACTAATCATTGCTTCGGTCTAGTTTCAGATGACATCAGGCAGAACTGTCCACTTTATATATGATTACCACCAAATATATTTGCACAACAGCATGTCTACGCACCACTTTGTAGAATTATGGGTGAGTTTATCACCTTAGCGACCGCAATAGTCATAGTCAAGACGATATGTCCCCCCATCGGGCAGATTCCGTGGGATATATTCCGTTCCATCTTGCACGGCCTGTGCGATTTTCGTAAACTCCTGGTACACGTACTTCTGGCAGTCGTGCTCAAAGATCCAACTTTGGCGCGGCGGAGACAGCAACCTCGGGTCTTTATCCTTGAAGTTCGATACGACCTCGAGCGGTGCGAGACAGCCAAGCTGGATAGTGACCGCACGCTGGTATCTAGGCTAGCATTAGTGAATCTCCCTACGTGGTCTGAATGGGACATAAACATGCCTGATCTTCTCAGTCACTCGAAGCGCTAGCGGTTCGTTGCCTTTTCCAGCTAGTTTCAGGGCGATTGCAGCCACTGCTCCATCTTCAATGGCCTGATTGCCTCCCTGCCCAACCACGGAACACACGACATGGGCGGCATCACCCATCAAGAACATCCGTCGGCGCGGCGACACCCAGGTCTTGAGAGGGGAGGTGAAGACATGCTGACGGTGATAGATCGCGTTCGCCGGGGTTTTGCGCAGGATAGGTTCCAGCTTTGCGCGGACCGGCCAGTCCTTGATAAGCTCCACGACGTTGTCGACGCTCACTCCCGTCGCTGGAGAGAAATCGTAGGTTGTAACGGAGTCCTGTGGATTTAGTATTAGCCTCGCGCGAGTGCATACAATTCTAATGATTGTGTTATAGCCCACCTTGTAGCTAAAAACCCAAACGATGTCCAAACCACCTCGCAAGGTCATCATCATGAACTGGACACCGTCGCCAAACCAGGTTTGCGCTTTGTCACCTCCACTGTGGTCCATGTTCTTCAAGAACCAATTTGCCTGCGGATCTTTGGCTACTTCGTCCGCGTCGATACGTGAGCTGAAGCCAGAAAACCCACTTGCTCGTACCCGAGGCTCCTCCCGGCTGATCACGGCTCTCCCCATGCTATGGATCCCATCGCTGCAGATCACGCAGTCCGCGCTGAGTCGGAGATGTTCATCAATGACGACCCCAGCCTCCTCGTCAGTCTCCCAGCACTCCGTTACGCAACTGTTCAAGCGGATATCGACGTCGAGGGTCTGGAGGTGTTTGAATAGTATAGTCACCAGCTCCCCTCGATTAGTTGTATATCCGGTGCCTTTTTGATACCCCCACAGGTCATTTTCATTGAGGAGCTCGTCTCGATTGTTGAAAGCCTGTACCTTGGTTGCGCGGCACATCCGATCGACAAGTTCCTCGTGAACAGCCCCGTCTCCCCACTGAGAAACTACTCGCGCCCCATTGGACGTGATCGAAATGCAATCGCCACCTGGCAGTGTCAGATCGCCCCGCTGTCGTATATCCCATACAAGCGGACAGGTTGGACTCACCCACTCCTCGGACCTCGTCATTCTTCTCTAGCGCAACAACATCGTGGCCATTTCGGTAGCATTCAATGGCGGCAGTCAGCCCGCCGAGTCCGAGCCCGACAACAATCACCTTGATTCCTGTTGTCTCAGCTCGTCTTGAGCATGGATTGCGATGATGAATACGATCATGGTGATATCGCCGCTCACCATTCGCGGGCTTTTCCTGGTCCATGGTCGAGAGATGGCGTATTGCGAATTTCCGATTCCTAGAGAGGCTCTACTCCGACCCAACTCGCTACCCAATAATAAACCTATGACCGGGGTTTTGTCTTCTGGATCCAGACTCTCTCCTCCCTATCAACGCACAATACGCAATATTATGCGCTCTTACACACGCTGTCCCCGTCTGCGTAACAGCTGATCTTCTACACGGTGCAACAGTGACTGGACTTTTTGTTTCTTTTTTTTCCTATTTTTTGTCTGGGGCCTACTGTAATTCGGATGTGTCGAAACTCCGTGCGCAAAGTCACACAGCATCATTGCAGCGCTTTTTTGACACTGAAATACTACTAAGCAGTCAGTAAATAACAAGAAGCCTGACTTACGGGCCATCTTGATCGTTTCTCAACGTGTGTTACTCATGTCGCGGGGATGCGCATTGGTTTGCCAGACGGTGCGACACTCACTGCAAGTGAAGCAATGTCCCATTCGAAGATGACAGCAAAGTGCTATACTAGTAGTATAGCACTATAGTACACTATACTATGGTATACATTACGAGGTATCAGGCAATAGACCTTGCCGTCCGGCAGTTCGTACGTTCACGAAATCCACCATCAACTGACTACCTACTTGACTGTTGTATTGCCATCCAGGCGCGGGATGTCAATTCCTTAGCATCACAGTGTAACAGGTCCCTAGCCCGCAGACTGGATTGTCCTAGCTGTGTCCGTATCCAGTATCACTCATTATCCACACCGTCTTGCCCAGCCCCTCTAGACCTGCGCTGGGTGTCAATGGTACGACTTGCACTTGTCGGTGCATCGCTTCCGTTGACGCCGATAGAGGATCCGGGGCTGGAGATGCCGTGAGGCTTATGCAACTTTGCACACAAATGATCGTTGGGCTTTGAAGTCTCGTCGCAGGGCCGTAATCCGCAAAATTTAGGTCCTGGTGCCGATGCGAGCGTGGAATTCATATTCTACGAGGTGGGTGGCAGGTCTCATTTGGGGTCCCACTATGTGATACGGCATGTTGGTGTCTAGATGCCTCATCTCGAGTGGGATATTCTATAAACAACGTATCTTATACTGAAGTGATATCGCCTTTCATACTAGAGATAAATAATCCGAACCAATATTACTAATGGAGCAAGAAAGCCAATTGATGTAATGTTGAAATGTACAGTTGAGCCGGAGAGTTGATACTTCGATGGGGAGCTCATACAGGGGGGTACCAGAACGAGATAAGCCAAGGAAAGTAGGGACGAGGGAAAAAACAGCCGAACAGGGAGAACAAGAACATTTGTAGAATTGATTAAAAGCCGCTCGTCGTTCAAATCCCATGTCCAGTTTTGTCGCTCTTAACGCCGTAGATAGGCTCGAACAATTGAGTATACACACTGACGTAGGGAGCACTGTCTTTGAACGAATAAGATACCCACGATTGCAACTGGGTACTCTGGCTAAGATCAAGTCCACAGCTTCATATGCGTTAGCAAACCACGAAGTGCTTCCACGGCGACCGCTGTAACTCACTGGTAGGCGCTGATATTCGGCTTGTATGATTCAGCTATCTCCTTCCAGCCGACTCGTTCGAAGAACGACGTCAAGGCGTCCGCAACCACCAGGTCATTGTGCCCGCCAACAAAGAAGTATATCTGGGGCTGCGGCAACGGGTCGCTAGGGTGCAGGTTAAAGTTGATGATCAGAGAAAGGGTCTCCATCGGTGCACATTTGCCGAGATCGTAGATTATGTTTGACGGGGTACGCAGTCCCTCTTCCAGTGGGAGAGCGTCCCAAAGGTCCTTTAGGTATCGTAGACCGGCTATTGTGCGCAAATCTGTCCGTCGCCCGCCAAGGGTCCAGAGATCTTCGATACGGTGAAATGAGACATCGTTCTCGGCGAGGTAGACCTTCACCCTTGAAGCACGTGGCTCCACCAAATCACACGATAAGAAACAGGGAAACAATGAAGGTCCATCATCGGCCTCATGGTCGTTGGTGTCAGCAGTCCGCGAGGCAATATATTCTTCCAGGATCGACAGCTGGCCGCTGAGGTTGCCTTCTACGTCAGCGTTGCGAATCGAGTCCAGCATAAGCTTTTTGGTGGAGACGCCAGTCGCGAGCGACTTAAGTTGGGGGTATAGATATACTTTGGCGCGTGCATTTCCGTCCTTTTTGTCGTAGTCGAACGCCAACATGTTCTGGGTTTTGAACACACCAACGTCGCCGTGCTTTTTCAAAATCGACAGGTCTTCTTCATCAGTGGTTACCAGTTCGCGCACAAAGTGCTGAAACCATTTCAAATCTACTCCGTGAATGAGCCGAGACAGAGTTTCGACAGTTTTATGTATTCTTTGCGTGTTGAACGGATCATTCATGGTCCCGGTCATCGGACCTATTGGCTCCCAGACTGTCCGGACCAGTCCTTGGGGATAGTTGAAAGAAAGTTCGAAAGGCAGGCCATATCGAGTCAACGTGCATTTCCAGCGTAGCTCGTTGGTTCGGGGGTATGGTCCCAGCGATGGGATCACACATGTGCGGTGTAGACATAGGTATTTGTATTGCAGGTGCACATCATAACGAGCATCCTTCATCATTTTGGCAAGTATGGGCGCTGTACTCTGCCACCAGCGTTCTTCATCCTGGTTGTTGAATACCAATGTCTCCGTGAGCACTTGGTAGGGATCCATGGCTGATGTCGGCAGTTTCATGGATATTGTAGCGTACGGTGTATTTCACCAGGACGATCGTACAGCGGAGCTAGTTTTGATAGGTTCTGGCTAAGGTTATTAGTTATATGGTTCTCTGTCGGGGAATTTCTGCATCGACCAGAACCATTCCTTCAGACCCTGGGATAGATTACACCGCTATACTAGCCAGTGTCTCAATCACGCGGCCATTGATGAGGTATCGAAGTCGACCATACAGGACGTAACGTACTTACCCAATCTGTCTCTTGTAACTAGAAGTCCAAGGTGCGTCCCGATACCCGTTAGGAGACTATGCTATAGGGGCGACAAAGTGAAAGCTACATAGAGAACACCTCGGGCGCACAGCGGGTGCAAGACAGACAGGGCGCGAGAGGGGGCAGGTTAAAATAGACTGGTGGTGGATAATCGCGGCCATAGTGTGTCTGAATTCGAGCTTGGTTATATTACTAGGTTAAGGCGTAGAGATTCTCCGTTTGGTGGGAGTGTTGCGACAGCATGTCAGCTAGCGAGTCTATGACTCGCTGAAAGACAAAGTGTGCCCCCCATAATAAGCCTCATGCACAACATGTCATCGGATACGCGATGATTATTCTACGTGTACTTGGATACTCAGAACTGGTATTCGGGTCACCATCTCATCAGCATGGTAACAATGACTTCAGCCTTAAGGTGGCGCACAGACAGCCCTGCAACGCACCCAGGTGCTGATCTCTGATTCGCCTACCAGGACCATTGTTCACATGGCAGATGGCTCTGTTCAGGACCCGCGGCATGTCTTGAACAAGCGACTGGTATTGGCGAGGCCTTGGTAGTAACACTGCTGTGTTTTTTGGGACTTCATTTGTCAACCCCGAGGCATTTCTATGTCACTATGGGTGAGACAGAAAGGAGTAAATGGCGTAAGATACCACCATGATGCAATGGAACGCTGAGTATGAAAGAACACGCTCTTCCAACGGAATAATTATGAGTACAGTCAACCTCCGTATGACTGAGGCTTAACGTACGAATATGACATGGGGATGAACGCTTGCTGATGGTGAACTTTGGTACGAAGGGGAGCACTTATCCATGTGGCTGCGAAGTAGTAGATCATGACAAAGACCGCAGACGCGGAGTGCAAAGTCACAGAGGTTTCTTCATGTGGCACAAGTCACCCTGCTAGGAAAGAGAGCGGAGGCCGCATGATCAAGAATCTCCGGTCAGGTCCCGTATTGGAAGACTTCATTTTGCCGACTAAATGGTGAGACTCGGAGACAAGCCAAGTTAGTAAACTGGGGCCGCCGATGACAGTAAAAATATATGCACCATGATGGTCTGGGTAGTCCGGTTCTTGCACATGTACATGGATCCAAGCTGTTTCTCAACATCGCCTAGAGCCTAGTCACAGACTAGACACAGGGACCAGTACTATCTTCCTCCAGGGGGATCACCTCATACTCTACTACTAGGGTCAATGCACAATCAGAGGGACTCAGTGTGTAGGAGTATCATGGCAAAGGTGTAACCGATAGTGGCTCTAGACGTATTTAATAATGTCAGCAGACCACCCAGCAAGTTTAAAATCACTCAGCACATCGTAGAACGTTTGTTTTTATATTGACTGAGTCCAACAATTTCATCAAAACCGTATGTATATACCTACATAACAACTTTTTTGGAGTTCATCGTCGAAATTTCGAGTCATGGAGAATTCACACGAGCTCAGTGGTCACTGCAAATTCCCTAGCCTTGTTTGCAACTGGGATATTGATCCAGGAGTCGAGACTGTCATGTTGCCAATCGTTGAGGGTATAGGAGATGTCTCCTTAGACGACATATCCTCGACTATCCGCGTCATTGAAGTGGCTTGGTCAATAATCCTCTCCAAATATACAGACTCTCAGACGGTCAGCTTCGGAGTTCTTCGCAATGCAGGGACCGACCAGTCCTTAGAGCAATGGCAGGCAACGATAGACGATAGGGCGCCAATCAACAGCGCTACCGAACTGCAGAAAATTCGAGAGTGGCTGCCAACTGACAACACTTACAGTAATATTTTCAACACCTGCGTGTACTTTGCGGGGAGAGCAGTGGCAGTGGCCGGACCGAAAATTCGCGAAAACGTTTGCACTCCAATGGTGAGACCCCTCCCAGATAAATTTTCATGTACAATCAGCCAACGAGACCTGTTTGTAGCTTAGTGATATCACGGTCCTGGTCAACGATAACCCCGAAGGATGCGGAATTTCCATGCAGTACCGTACATCGGTACTGGACAATCATCAAGCTTGGAACGTGATATATGCTCTCGACTCCGTGCTAGACTGCCTCGTAAGTCAACCTTTGCGACCAGTCACGGATTCGCATATTTTGAACGCCCACCACCGAGACCAACTCAACGAGTGGAATAGCCAATCACCCAGCGAATCGCTTGACTGTTGTGTCCACACTCTATTCCGCTTGCAATGTATGATGCAACCTGGTGCGCCGGCCATATGTGCCTGGGACGGGTCGTTTTCGTACCACGAATTAGGAGTAAATTCCTCTAAAGTGCAAGCCGAATTAATGGAACATATTGCAAAACGAGATTCAATTGTGCCCATTTTGTTCGAAAAGTCGAAGTGGGCCGTGGTTGCAATGCTTGCTGTGCTAAAGGCTGGTGCAGCATTTGTGGTGTTGGATCCATCATATCCCAGTGAACGCCTACAGGATATATGCGACGACGTTCAAGCGAGTGCCATACTTTGCTCTCCTGACATGGCAGGAAAGTGTCGAGTAAGCCGTGCAATAGTCATCGATGATTCGGTCCTCACGTGGGAAAAATCACGGCAATCGCCACCGGTGGCTTCCCGCGATATAGCATATGTCGCCTACACATCTGGGTCGACTGGAAAGCCCAAAGGGGTCCTAATCGAACATGGATCATTTTGCACAAACGCCATTGCTGGCGGAAAACCGCATAACCTTAACCATCGTTCTCGTGTTCTGCAATTTGCATCGTACGCATTCGATGTCAGTGTACACGAAAGCCTGACTCCTCTTATGTTGGGGGGCTGCGTGTGTATACCATCCGAATTGGAAAGAGTCAACTGCCTCAGAGAAGCCGTTGCTCGATTGCGGGTCAATTGGGCAGAGTTAACACCTTCCGTGGCAAGGCTTTTGCAGCCCCAAGACGTACCGGGAATAAAGACACTGATTCTTGGCGGGGAGTCAATGACTGCAGGTGACATAGCTAAATGGCAAGATCATGTCCGGCTACTGTGCGCTTATGGACCCGCAGAGTGCACTGTCGTCTCCACGATACAGCCATATGTTGACAAACCATATGACATCGGTCGTTCATTTGGCGGAACCTGCTGGATCGTTGATAAAGACAATCACGATTGCCTCTTGCCCATTGGCGCGACGGGAGAACTACTCATAGGAGGGCCTATCGTCGGTCGAGGATATCTGAACAGGCCGGATCAAACTGCTGCTTCGTTCATAGTGAATCCGAACTGGGCGTCCAACTTTGGTATTGGAGAAGATGGAACGTTTTACAAGACCGGTGATCTTGCAAGGTATCTATCTGACGGGTCAATCATGTACGTGGGGCGGAAAGACAGTCAGGTGAAAGTAAATGGCCAAAGAATAGAACTGGAAGAAATTGAGCACCATGCACGGCGCTGCTTCGAGGACACTTACATCACAGCTGGGATCGCTTTTTTCAAGAGCAAAAGGTCGTCTCTGGTTTTATTCGTTGCCGCCCGACAGCAATTCTTCGAGGATTCAATTTCTTGCGAAATATTCCGTCAGCCCACGGTCCAATTCCGAGAAAAAGTACGGTTTGCCATAGACCAACTGAAGAACGTCCTTCCAAGCCATATGATACCCGCTGCATATATCCCACTATCATTCATGCCGGTCTCAAAAACGGGGAAGGTGGCCAGAAAAGTACTCAGATTGGCACTTGCCAGTTTGTCCGATGCTCAACTGAGAAACTATCGTCCATCAACCGCAACGGCAAATGGCTATTCACCGGTAACATCCACGCAGAAAAATATACGGAACCTTTTTGCTGAGATTCTTGATCTGCGAGTGCGAGACATCGGGCAGGATAGCGGTTTCTTCGAGTTGGGAGGAGACTCGATCAGCTCGATCGCGCTGGTCGCACGAGCTAGAGAGCAAAATATAGGGCTCAGTGTGGCCCATGTCTTCACCTATCAAACACCCAAAAAGTTGGCGGCAAACTTGGAAGCGATACCAGAAAACGCTGACACCACGGTCCTACCTTTTTCTCTTCTTCGTCAGACGGGAAAGGCAGAAGCATTTCGATGTGCCATCAATCAATGCAAGATCAGTGCGAGTCAGGTAGAGGATATCTACCCATGCACACCCCTGCAAGAGGCATGCATTGTGTGCACAATGAACAGACCAGGTTCATTCCAGGCCCGATTTAATTTTGAGGTTCCACGGGCGATAGACTTGACGTATCTGAAACAAGCTTGGCGCAAGGTGTCCGATGCAAACCCAATCCTACGAACCAGGATCATCCAAACTACCGTGCTACAGATGCTCCAGGTTGTCACCAGTAACGATGTCGAGCTACCCTGGGAGCTGGTTGAAGAAGACAACAGGGTTTCCCAGCCAATGATGGGCTTGGGGACACCCCTGGTACAATTTGCACTCTCTCTTCCAATCGATGACAGTTCTCCGTCGACGTTCACCTTGATGATGCACCATGTAGTATTTGATGGATGGTCGTACAGACTCATCCTAGAAGCTGCAGAGGCTGCATTCCAAGGCCTAGACATTGGTCGGCATGCATTCGCGCCTTTCATCAGCTATGTATCAACAATTGATATGAACAGCGCCAAGCAATACTGGGCTCACATGCTCCAAGGCTTGCGTCCTGTCATATTCCCCCGGTGCCCTCCACCAGGGTATGTCCCAAAGTCAGTTACAACAGCAGACTGCCATGTCAGATTGAATGGGTGGCCCCGAGGGGCCTACACACCATCAATGGTCATTCGATTGGCGTTAGCATTGCTCATATCTTGGTGCACGGATACGAATGATGTTGTCTTTGGCATCACTGTCACTGGACGCACTGCACCAGTCTCCAAGATCCACCAGTCGACGGGGCCGACTATAGCTACACTTCCTCTTCGTGTAACTCTGGATCCTCAAATGACTGTGGAAGACACTCTTGTCATAATGCAAGACCATTCTACGAAGATGATCCCTTATGAGCAGGTTGGATTACGAACGATAAAGCGCGCCAGCGAGGACGCTGCAACTGCGTGTGGCTTCCAGACTTTACTTGTGATCCAGCCACCAGCAAAACCGAAGACGCCGGGGATCTTCCAGGAACAGCCCGGGAACACGGCGGAGCAGTTGAAATATAACTCACACGTCTTAACCCTCGTTTGTGACCTTGAAGACTCATCGCTGGTGATGACTGGGATGGCGGATGATTCCATTTTACCACGGGATGAGTTACTTACGCTCCTTCATCGCTTTGAGTACCTCCTTCATCAGATTACTGATCGACCCTCTGTGAAAGTCGGCAGCATCATTCCGGTTGGGGTGACAGGCTGTATGGATAGACTTGAGTCAATAACACGTGTGCCCTGTGTTGACATCCAAAACGGGACACCAAACCGCCCACATAGCAATGGCAAGGCTCAGCCTGCTGCCAATGAGGTTGCTTTGAACCACGCCCCAGTCTCAGTACTATGTGCCAGGAAAGTCTCAGATCAGTCGCAACGAGAACAGGCAAAGTTGAGGGAAATATTTGCACACGTTCTCGGTGTCGAGATCAAGGATGTTGGCATTCATGATGATTTCTTTGCTTTGGGTGGAGACTCGGCTGCTACCATGCAGGTCGTCATGCTGTCTAAACAGAAGGGATTGTCTTTGACCACGCTCGACATCTTTGGCGGAAGGACGATAGAGCTCATCGCCTCGAGGCTGGAGGAACAGGCGTCTGTCTTTCCCGAAGATAGGCCCAAGAAGGCCGAAGCTAATAAATTCTCTCTTCTTGGTTTGACATCGCCAGGGACCGGACAAATCCTGACGAAGGCCAGGGGAGCCCTTGGAATACAGGAATCCGAGATTGAGAATATTTACCCATGTACAGCAGTCCATCTCGGGTTACTACTTACACAATCACTAGATCCGTTCAAATTCCGATCGTACACCATTTGGGAGGTGACCATGTCAGACAGTCAACATTATTTCGCCGCCGATCGTCTTCAGAAGGCCTGGAAGATTCTTGCCCATCGCCATCCGGTACTGCGCACGGTGCTTATCGATATTCCATCCCGCGGGAGGGTAAATAAAACACACCATGTTGTGCTCAAAGAAGCAATATCTGACGTTCACTTCCTGTCCTGTGCCGACGAAGATGCTCTTTCTCTTCTTCGCAATTCCCCACCACAGGATCAACAAAATGATCAATCTCCTCTCCAATTCACCATTTGCAAAACCAACACAGGGAGAGTGCTCTGTAAGCTTGAGGGTGGGCAGGCTCTGGTCGATGCGACATCTGTGCTGATCCTCATGCGTGAGCTGGCTCAAGTGTGCAAGGGCCAGCCTCCCGATGCCAGAGGCCCTCTCTATAGCTTAGCGGTCGAGTATCTACAGAAGGTGTCGGTAGCTGACAGTCACCAATATTGGAAAGGTATCATGGCTGGAATACAACCATGTGTCTTTCCACAACTGGGGGGTGACGCTTTGCAGCAAAAGCAGCTCCACGTGGCTAGTACATCTCTCACTAGAGTCATGACCCTGAAGAAATTTTGTGCCCGAAACAAATTCACTATCGGAAACATCTTCGAAGTCGCCTGGGGTCTCGTACTCAAACGGTACACTAAGTCGGATGATGTGTGCTTTGGCACCCTTGTATCCGGGAGAGATCTTCCGATCTCAGAGATACAAGACATAGTAGGCTCGTTCTTCAACCTTCTTTGTGCGCGGCTCCACTTTGACAGTCAAAGCTCAATCCTCGATGTCCTTCAACGGAATCAAGGAGAAATCTTGAACCGCCTATCCCATCAACATTACCCTCTGACCGAAGCCACTCGGCTGTCGGATCATTACGGAAGAAGGCTTTTCAACACCTGTGTCTCAATGGAACAAGGTCTGTCTAGCGGCGTGGGAGAGGACGATATCCGTTTCAAAGAACTGAGTACATATGAGCCGACAGAGGTATGAAACCAGGGAAACTTTCATTTGCGCAGCGGATCTAATCTCAGGTCTAGTATGATATCGTCGTTACCGTCGTCACCCAGAAGGACGCAATCGACGTGAATATAACTTACTGGTCCTCCGTCCTAACCGAGAAAGAGGTCACTGCTCTGCTGGAGACGTTACGAGCATCCGTCAATGATATTCTTGCGACGCGAGTGCCTCGTGATCATTACTATTCGATCGGCGATAGTTTATCCGCGTCGATGAAGCAGAACCACACGGAGGTCACAGCAGCGTCATGAGGTTATGAGATGGTAAAAGTGTTAGTGATCAGATCTTCATAAATCAAGGGCATCCAAAGCCGTCCAGGCAGTGTCTGGGTATTCAGTAGAAGTAGGTGGTCCTGAGAACGACGCGATGATGCGACGCGTCTCATCTGGGGTTCCATATATTGGATACATGACTCAGCCTTGGCACAAAACAATTAGTCTACTTATGCAGTCCAGCTCCAGACAATCAATTTCCTTGTCTTTTTTTGCAACCAAATCCCTTCTGATATTGTATAATACGACCTGGTCGTTTATGTATTGTGTTGTCTCTGTTTGCTCAGTGACAGAGCATGATCGATACCGAGACCAAGTACCCACTTAGTCCTAAATATCGCAAGTGAACCACATATATATCTTCAGACCTTGCTTGTGAACCACTACCCCATAAACAACCAAAGATTACACATGTTCCACCACAGCGAAGAAATAATTGCCCCCAAATGCCAATATACCACAGTCCATGACGCAGCCTACATCCTGAACTCCTTCACCCACAATGGCACTCCCTCAAACCGCCCATTGCTATACCCCAACCACCAAATAGGCTTGTCATCTCCCGTAGCAGCCAGAGTCCCAAACTCCGTATCCCCTTTATGTGTGAGGTATCCCTGTTCATTGACCCCAAATCTAGAGATGCTCGCATTGGCCGGCATGGCACCAGAATAGGGGTTTGTCAGCCCGATTGGCTCAACGTCGCCCTCCACCACGTATAGATTCTGCCAGGTAAAGGGAGGTGCATCTTCGCTTATGTAGATGATCTGGTCGCCAATTCCGCGGACTTCAGTTGAAATATGGTTATATTGGTTGCTCTGGTCACTGGATGGGGTGGGATAGGACATACGGATAAGGATGGGAAGATTATTCGCGAGATCGGGGGCAATCAGTGCGTGGTCTGTTATTGTTTTCATCATCTGTTAGTATGCTCTTCAAGATTCTATGACATGAATGTTATAGGGAGAGTCACTTACTACCGTCTGTCAGGAGGGTGTTGCCGCCCTCCGCGACGAGAGTAAAGGAAGGTGGGAGCGAGGCGGCGAGAGAAGCTGCGACGAAGGCAACGGTCGCGAGAGAGAACTTCATTGTATAATGGAAAAGAAAATGGGGAATTTGAATGGTGGATGAGTTGTTGCTGGTAAATGTTGAATCTATATAAGGATAGAAAAGATTGCACTCAAGAAATGTTTGATGGGTTGATACCTGACAAAGTGACCTTACTATTTTCCCACTTGCTGATCAGGTGGAACGATGATGCTGTATTTCTCACCCTACCAGATGCTCACATCTCTTCCACTTTGTGCAGACGTCGGCTACAGACCCAATTTTATCTTCTTTCTAGTTCGACACCTATGCCATCATATACCACTTGAGTCCTGCAAGGGGTCATCATGCAATGCAACATCAGGGGAGTCGCCACTAATGAGGCACTGAAGACTCTTTCCACCGCCGTTTCGTGTCTGGTTATTGTACCAAGGTCCTATTGTCAATTGCGTTGATGGTGACCAGACTGCTCAGTAGACTGACGAGAATAGGCAGAAAACTTTGACGCTCTGATTGAATCAGTGTGTTTCCAGTTCTGTGGGCATTGCGACTATCCAATCCAGTATCTCCCCGAGTAGACGTACCCACCTTAAATGTCTGAAAGATAAAAAGACACTAGGAGTTGATCATCTGTTATCAACTACCGATGACATTGACTTGCGACGCTTTTCCAGTACAAGAAGATGAATAATGACGGGCCGTGTTTACATGGTCACTGATTACGATAGATATCAGTCCAAGATTCGCTGTTTACGCATTTCATAATGTCTGAATTATACCCTTGATCTTGCTCGGCCTGTATCAGAGGTGATTGAGCTTGTGGTAGTAGCTCCTCTGAGGCTTACCATAGTCATGAGATGACTGTTGTTCTTGGGCAATCTGTTGGTCCTCTTTTCACATGCTTGTGATACGCCCTAGCAGCAATGCAAGGTACGCCAATACACTAATCAGACAGTTGGAGGTTGCAACGCGAAAAACCTAATGGTACGCCCCGGGAACTTCGGCCAGAATAACTCCTTTGTAATGAGACTCAATGCGTGGTGTTTTGACAATTCCAGTGGTTGAAGTCAATTACTGGATTTCGACATAGGAACATCGCTCGATCTGCCTAAATACGCTGTCACCGAAAATGCGGTAGAGCTACGTGGTGTGATTCTGGTGTCTTGAGGTTGCCAGTAGCCTTATTAATTACGAAAGCTCGAGTGATATAACCGTGATCAACTTGAGTGCTACAATCCGCTGGCTTATCGTGGAACGCCCCGGCGCCAGAGCTCCCTCGGGCTGCTAAGAGCTGCGCTTTCGGCATTTTCTCTTGTTTCCTTGTTCATTGCCCAAACGATATCGTTGTATGCGTGCTGGAAATGGATTGGTTTCAGAATATATGGTCCTTCACCCGTAAAAACCACAGACTTGGGCGGTCAATGGCCGAGCGTTGAGAAGATGGAGGTTGTTGCCGAATGGGCGTGGACGCTCATGATGCCAACCGATGATTAGCTGACCAGTCTATGCAAAATGCTACTACATAGTAGACAGGCAGATGGGGTGGTAGTACTTTTAATTGAGCCTGTTTTGACGTGGAACTCACCCAGGTGCCGCGTCAGGCTGTTGCTGCAGATCGCGTGGAATTTCGCCCGAGCATGTTTCACACCTGGAAGTCCATAAAATTGCCAAAAGACGAACCGTTCCACAGTTTTGGAAGAGGTTAATGAGACTTGAAGAGCAAGATCCGGTACGCTCCATCCCATTGAGTGCTGAATGCACGAGATCCATAAACCATTCACTCGATGGCGGGAAAGTGACAGGTACGATCGGATGTGTGGTGGCCCAACTCGTATCGTTTATTGTTGTTAAATCGCCCCAAGCGCAAATAGTCGCTTTTAAAGTCGTGGTAAGCTGTCTTCTACAAGTTCACACTATGAATAGCCTAGACACTTCAGATGCCGTTTTTCCAGGGAGGCAGCATCGAACATGGATACAGGTGCATGCCCCTCATGGATCCTTCTACCGTTAAAATCCTTGTTTGTGGAGAAGCATCCTTTTTTCAACTCATAATTTCAACAAAGCAATATTATCCAAGCAACGTGTCCGGCCGCCCCGCCCAGTCATCAGTTGCATGTCCTGCCTCTCGATGGGGTGCTATTCGCGTTCCTATCCGAGTTGTTCTGCTACTTGACCTTCTGAAACAATTTCCTCGCCCACAATATCCAAGCTTCCCAGAACTCTGCGTTTTGACATGAGTGCAGCAAGTTGCAGTGGTGATTGCCCATGGTGTTGGATCTATACGTACATGAGTTACCAAACCTGTTCCAAGACCTACCGATTGGAACAACAGGCATGGCAGTCTTATGTGTATCCTTCGTCCTCCTTGATGCCATGCCTGGCGGAAGGCCCGGAAAGCGCGCATGACAATGTGACACAGGGCCTCTGCCCTCATATCTCATCTACTTCACCAGAAAAGATTATCACTCTAAGATATGTATATTCGGGCTATTCCGGCCCCAGCTCCATATCCTTTCAGCATATAGGCCTTATACCAGGCCCTATCCGCGGGTCTAAACTCAAACCGCTAGTGGTAGGGGGTATGTGCGCCCGAGAGACGGCCAGTCCTGTATCGGCTACAGGCCAATGGGCGGGAGCAGTCCAATGCGTTTTCTCTAGGCCTGATGTTACTCAAATGGTGGTGGAAATACAAAAAGACATTTTCTGAGGCACAAGGAACATTTTGCTGCATTGGGAATACAGTGCCCACTGTTTCCTGTATATTTGGCGTGAGGAATTCTATTATTTCTTATTATCCGTTCTCCCTCAGCGAATGTCAGATGAGCTCACTGACTTGCCAGAAACTGACAGCAGCTGCACTTCCAGTACACGACCTTGGCTGCCAACAAGACCAGGTACCCTGGTCCATCTACGAAATTTTCTGAAAGCTTGCATGGATCTTCCGAGCATTATCTCAATGTGGAAGGTATTGGCAGATTTCGTACACTTCACCCCGCAACTTGCAGTGCCATGCATACACCGCCAGACGCGGGTAACTCAAAACTCCTTCATTGAATACACGGAATATGACAGGCCACAGGTGACACCTAATACACAAAATAGACGGCCAGCCGCCAGCTCGGGTATCATTTACAGAACGGGGAATACAGATGTTAAGCCTTCCCACGTACAACTTGCCACGAGGACAAACAACGCGTGGGCCTTGACGGCCCACCAGATCGGGGTGTATGGAGAACGCATGGCACCTGGCCCTTGTGCGCGCCATGGCCGCTTCCATTGGTCAAAGGGAACTCTCCCCGGGTGGAACAGTGCCAAGGCGCTATATAAATAAATTCTGGGTCCAGTCAGCCAAGGAATAACGGAAGCTTTGGCGTTCGTATGTCGGGTTATCGGGCAGGTCAGGATCCCATTGACCGAGCATCCCGCCATGCTCTGCTGTAAGATGCTCTGTCGTTTCTGCCTGGTCAGTCTGTGGGAAAACGTGTGCTGTTTTTCCAGTGGTTTTAACAGGCGGAACAGAGACAAATCTACCCGCGACACCAACAAACGGCAACAGTGGGGCCTGGCGGGAATCCGTTCATTCGCCCGCCTGCCCGACGGACCCAGTCTTGGCATCTGGAGGAACGCTTGGCACCCCCGCTCTCATTGGATAAGCCCATAACTTACGAGAACCAAGCTCGCCTGCACTTCTAATTCGGTGACAACCATCATTGCACACGCATTGTTCCAGACTCTTCACTTGAGTTGGAAGATCCGTATTTAGCCCAGTTGCTCGGCGCCAAGGACGCGGGTTTCTTGGACAATGATCTGGCATCCTTACAGGATGGATCGCCGTCAGGTTTCACCACGGGCATGCGAAAGACCGGTCTACTCTCGGTTTTCCACGGTCAAAGGTCTCGTTTACAAGCTTAGTGTACTCAGGGGTTGTTGAGCTTAAAACCCCGCTTCGCCCCCAGCCCTGGTCCTTGACCTAGTTCTTGTCCTACCCATCCTGAATTTGCCAGAGAGTGAGCGAAAGTCGTATCGCAATCAAGGACAAAGCAGGTGCTGCTCAGCGTCTTCCATGCCAGTCGACAAACATACTCGGGGCCCCGACACGGGGCCGGGCACCAGCGCCCTCAGCAAGCCGGCTCACACTCTTCCCTACGATGTAGTGATCGAAGAACTCCACACCCGGCTCGACGAGGGCCTTACCCCCGACGAAGCCGCCCATCGTCTGCAGCAGTATGGACCCAACAAGCTGGAGGAAGGAGAGGGCGTGTCGGTGGTTAAGATCCTCGTCCGCCAGGTGGCCAACGCAATGATGCTAGTTAAGGGACCCACTATCTTCCATGATGATTTCATCTACTTTGCGAGAACTCAACGAATCTGATCCAATTCTTTCGGTCTAGGTGCTGATTCTGGCCATGGCGGTCAGTTTCGGAATCCAATCGTGGATTGAAGGCGGCGTGATCTGCGCTGTTATTGTCCTGAATATCGTCGTCGGATTCTTCCAGGAGTATGCAGCTGAGAAAACGATGGAGTCGCTTCATTCGTTGTCGTCGCCCACGGGAACTGTGTCTCGAGGGGGGCAGACGTTCTCAATTCCCTCGACGGATATTGTACCCGGTGATATGATTGAACTGAAAACGGGCGATACTGTCCCAGCTGATCTTCGGTTCGTCTTTCTGGCACACTCTTCGCTGGTTCCCCCCTGCTTTAGCTCGTTGTTGTCCATTTATTTACTAACATTCCATCTACAGCTTGGTCGAGGCAGTCAATTTCGAGACAGACGAGGCGCTTCTGACCGGCGAATCTCTGCCGGTCCAGAAGGAATGTGATTCCATTTTCAAGGAAGACACCGGCCCTGGCGACCGTCTCAACATCGCCTACAGTTCTTCCACTGTCACACGCGGCCGCGCGCGCGGCGTGGCTGTTGGAACAGGCATGTTTACCGAGATCGGTTCTATCGCCGCGGCGCTGCGGGCAAGCAACAGCAAGCGTCGCGCTGTCAAGCGTGGCCCCAACGGCGAAACCCGGAAGAGGTGGTATGTCCAAGCCTGGACCTTGACTGGCACCGATGCAGTCGGCCGCTTCCTCGGCGTGAACGTTGGGACCCCGCTACAAAGGAAGCTCTCCAAGTTAGCTATCCTTCTTTTCGGAGTTGCCGTCCTGTTCGCGATCATTTGCATGGCAGCGAATCTCTTCAGCAGCAATAATGAAGTGATTCTGTATGCGGTGGCAACCGGCCTGAGTATGATTCCGGCGTGCCTTGTTGTGGTTCTTACTATCACCATGGCCGTGGGAACCAAACGCATGGTCGAGCGAAATGTGATCGTTCGCAAGCTTGACTCGTTGGAAGCTCTCGGTGCAGTGACGGACATCTGTTCAGACAAGACAGGCACTTTGACCCAGGGTAAGATGGTGGTCAAGAAGGCTTGGATCCCCTCCCGCGGAACGTACTCGGTTGGTACCTCGAACGAGCCGTTCAACCCTACCGTTGGAGATGTCACCTTCACGGCGGTGTCACCAATGCAATTCGATGAGGAAAAGGAAGGCCCGGCCGTAGAGAATGCAGAGAGCCTGGTGGCTGGCAATCGCCAGCTCGAAGACTTCCTCGACGTCGCGTCCATGGCTAATCTCTCTCACGTCTACAAGTCCGACGAGGGTGAGTGGAACGCCCGAGGCGAGCCTACCGAAATTGCCATTGAAGTCTTCGCGTCCAGGTTCAACTGGAATCGCGACCGGTGGACCAAGGGCCAGGGGAGCAAAGGACAAGGCGCCGTGTGGCATCAGATGGCCGAGTTCCCCTTTGATTCAAGTGTCAAGAAGATGTCCGTGATTTTCAGCAAGATTACGCCGCAGGAAGAGCGTGCCATGATCTTTACCAAGGGTGCTGTTGAGCGCATCGTCGAAACCTGCACCTCGGTGATCTGGGACCAGGATTCGTCAACCCCGGTGCCCATGACCGACCACCATCGCGACCAAATCTTTCAAAACATGGAGGACCTCGCCAAGCTGGGCTTGCGCGTGTTGGCTCTGGCACATCGGCCGTACGATGCCCAGACGCGCCTGCTGGAAGGGTCTGACCTCAGCCGCGAGGAAGTAGAGAAGGATCTGTGCTTCCTGGGCCTGATCGGCTTGTACGACCCCCCGCGCCCGGAGACGGCCGGCTCAATCCAGGCCTGTTACCGTGCCGGAGTTGTTGTGCACATGGTCACCGGTGATCATCCTGGTACTGCCAAAGCCATCGCACAGCAAGTGGGAATCCTGCCGGCAGACTTCAGCGCGGTCGCGGCCGATGTCGCTGATGCGATGGTCATGACAGCCTCTCAATTCGACCGACTCTCTGACGACGAAGTTGACGCACTTCCCACCCTTCCGTTGGTCATCGCGCGCTGTGCACCGCAGACAAAAGTCCGTATGATCGACGCCTTGCACCGACGTGGACGCTTCGCGGCTATGACTGGGGATGGAGTGAACGACTCGCCGTCGCTTAAACACGCCGACGTGGGTATCGCTATGGGGCAAGCCGGCTCGGATGTGGCCAAGGACGCGTCTGATATTATCCTCACCGACGACAACTTCGCTTCGATTCTCAATGCCGTGGAGGAAGGCCGTCGTATCTTCGATAATATTCAGAAATTTGTGCTCCACCTTCTGGCCGAGAACATCGCGCAGGCTTGCACCCTACTTATCGGGCTCGCGTTCAAGGATGCCGATAATCAGTCGGTCTTCCCCCTGGCGCCTGTTGAAATCCTCTGGATCATCATGATCACCTCGGGCATGCCCGATATGGGACTCGGGATGGAGGTCGCGGCGCCCGACATTATGAGCCGCCCTCCGCAGAGTAAGCAAGGGATCTTTACCTGGGAAGTAGTCATTGATATTCTCGTGTACGGGCTCTGGACCGCGGCGCTCTGTCTGACCGCATTCGCCATCCGCATGTGGGGGTTCGGCGACGGCAATCTCGCTCGCGGCTGCAACCAAGGCTGGTCGCCTCAGATCCAAGACTGCGAGCTGGTGTTCCGGGCGCGTGCGACCACCTTCGTGTGTCTGACCTGGTTCGCACTTTTCCTAGCCTGGGAAATGGTCGACATGCGACGGTCGTTCTTCCGCATGCAACCCAAGTCGAAGCGCTACTTCACCCAGTGGATGGTCGACGTGTGGCGGAACAAATTCCTGTTCTGGTCCATCATGGCCGGGTGGGTGACCATCTTCCCGATCCTGTATATCCCCGTGCTCAGCGACGTGGTCTTCAAGCACAAGGGCATCACGTGGGAATGGGGCATCGTGGCCGTTGAAGCCGTGCTATTCTTCATGGGTGTTGAGACGTGGAAATGGGCGAAACGCGTCTTCTTCCGTCGCAGGGCCCGCAAGCATCCAATGTTGACCTCGTCGGAGACTGCCCCGGAACGGCCCTAACGAATGCTTTCCCTGGTCCGACTCCATTTGGGGCCAGGGGGTAACCAACTCGCTACTTGGATCTGGCGGACGCGGTATTGGACTTGACTATTGGATATCGGACTCATATATATGCTTGGTGGAGGAGTGGAAGGGAGCTGCGCTGTTGTTTTGGAGTCGTTCTGCTGATTTGAACTGGACTTTTGTCCACCCACCCAGAATGTGCGAATCTAGGATTAGTAGTAGGTATAGTTGCAATTCCATTCTTTGTAAAAATCCGAAGATTTCTCCGCATTGTTAAAAGTAAACTTTGAATCGACCTTATCGACATTAAGGTTAAGACTCGGTGACGTCACGACAATCACCACCAATACAACTTTCTCCGGCCTCATCAGTACTCACAGTCACAAAACCACGCATTCATCCACAGGGATGATAAAACGGCCATGCCACCATCCCCAGACGAACCCCCTCGGGGGCCTTTATTGCGCGCGCTGTGGCACTTCTCCCCGCAGTGGTTCCTCGTACCGCAAGGAACCGGCGTGCTGGCCATCGTGCTTCACCAGCTGCACTACCAATTCCCCGGGCTGCGCATCATCGCTAAGATCGTCTGGATCTACAGCATCGCATTCCTGGGCATCGCGCTGATCCTCTACCTCCTCCGTTGCATTCTCTACCCGCGCCATGTCGGGCGCGAGGTGCGCAACAACGTTCTCGAAACCTCCTGCCTCTCCAGCATCTCAGTCACCCTGACCTCCATAATCGAGATGGTCGCCATACAATACAGCCACTCCGCCAGCCTCGTCGCCTACGTTCTCTGGTGGGTGAGCACGGCCCTCGCAATTATCTTCCTGCTCGCGACCCCCTACATCCAATTAAAGCTACAGCCCCCGGGGCTGGCCCACATCCCACCCGCCATCCTCCTCCCCGTAATCGCAGCGCTCACCTCGGCCGCCGGCGCGGGCGGCATCTGCATGGCGGCATCGAAACACCTCAGCCACCGACTCTGCGTCCCGGCCGTCGTGGTCTCGTTCTTCGAAATCGGCGTCGGCATGCCCCTCGCAGTCGCCTTCACGGCCGTCGTCCTCCTCGAGCACTTCAAGCGCAAGTCGGCGCCTGACAAAGTCTACCAGGACCTGATCATCTGCGGACCGTTCGCACAGGGCGGGTTCGCGTTGATGGCACTGGGGGAGGTGGTGCTGAATGGGTCGTTCGCGGACTACGACCGGGGCATGTTCCTGAGCAGTAAGGCGGCGACACCGGTGGGCTATTTCAGCGTGTTTGCGGGCGTGCTGTCCTGGGGGTTTGGCACGTTTTGGTGGCTGTTTGGGTTGATAAGTGTGGTGCATACGCTTGTTGCGCAGGAGGGTGGGATTAAAAAGACGAAATTTACTATGACTGTTTGGTCGGTGGTTTTTCCTTGGGTTTGTCTACCTTCTCTTTCTTATTTTCCCATTTCTATTCTTTATCTTCCTTCATGATCAATTCTAATGATATAGGGTGTATATGCAAACTCGGCCATTGAGCTGGGCAAACTCATGGAGTCCCCAGCGTTCTATGTGTGGTCTACAGTGCTGGTGATCCTCATGGTGGTGATTACTATTATTGTCACTCTGCTTACCATCAAAGGACTGATCACTGGAAAGGTGGTGGGTCTGGACCATGGATGGCGGACTACGCCGTTGGATATGAATGGGGATGCAAACCGGTATAAGGAGGCTTGATTGTATACTATAGCATGTTTGTACAGTGCATGTAGAATAGAGTCACTTGTTTGACGCCTGTGCCATATACGGTCTTATGATTGCTTCATTCATGGTGTTCATTCATGGTTGTTTGTTCAGCTGTCTTCATTACTTATCTCCTAATATTTATACCCCTACCTCTCCCCCTCCTCTTCTACCTCCTTCTCATCTATCTGTCTACATCTCAAATATACACAGTAAATCTATATGCCATATATAGTTTACCGGATTCGTCGGCTATCGAATGTGATGAAGATGAGATGGTAAAGATCGTTGAATTCTATGAGAGAAAGCGATGATGATCTCGCTTATATCTAAGCTATGTCACGTTAATCTACAAACGAACGATCCTTTCAACAGAACGTATATGAAGTTTCTCCCGAAATCATCTACACAGGCCGTGAAGGGCTCGCACCATTGACGGCTTTCAAGGATGCGAATTAAGGATTATCATCTTCGACCTGACTATCACTCACCACTCTCATTTTATTGCCAACAGCCACCGGCTCAACGTTGCATTGAGTCGTGGTCGAGCGGGTCTTTATATCCTAGATCATTGGGTGCATTTGGACAGGCCCCAAAAGGGTCGGCGTAGAGTTGCATATCCTGCAATCAAAGCGCTACCAGGGTCCGCCTGCGACGTCAACCTGAGGATGAACATATCAGAGTACCTACAGTCCGCTATTGAACATGCCTAGACGACATCTTTTACATCCGCGCTAGACGCCACTATCATTATGGATGATAACTCTACCATGGTTGACAGCGGCGCTACTAGCTCTACCGAGTGGACGGCGGATAGTGGTGCTACTATTGCTAATACTGCGTCGGAGCATGCTTACGAAGTTGATCAGAAGACATGGTATTGAGGATCTTATAATAAAAGCCATTTACCACACTTGAAGCCCTTTTCGGCCATCTAGGAGCCCAAGCTCGATCATATTATACCAATCATTCAGATCAGCGGTATACACATCCTTTCGCAGACAGATTTAGGGCAAGGAAACACCCTTCTTCTGTCATCCTATTTTCTACGATTTGCATCTATTCACGGTGCTTCCTCTGTCTGTCTCAGCAAAGGGATCTTGTCATTTCTGTACAGCATATATTGACAGCCACTGCATCAAATCATCCAATCGATATTTCGTCGGACTCGATATGACTGATATCCCAACGGATATGACTCTGATCATAAGGCGCGTTCGTTCTGCTCTTCATTCCCTTTAAGCTGCAGGCGATGGACGTCGCACTCCTGGGTTGCAGTAGCATACTTACTCAACATGGGCAGTTCGCTCGTGTTTATACAAACCATAGCGAACAATTCTCGCTCATGGAAATCTCATAACTCCAACTGGGCGTTGATCAGTGATAGAAAAGATTCGCTTCTGCGAGACTTGGGCTTTAATAAGGGAGAGAAGAACACGTTACGCGAAACGGCGAAAGGACGATATTCTCACAAACTAATAGTTCAACTCCGGACACAATTGCAATAGTCAAACAACGCTTGAAAAGGCAGACTTCTAAGTGATATGTTGGGATATCAGCCATATCAAGTCTGATCAAAATGACAATCCACATCTTGGTGCAGTGGCTGTCAGGTTATGAGGCCGGCGGCTCAAGGTCGATTTCATCAAAACGATAACGACTTATCCCAAAATATCAGAAGACTGGGAAGATTCTCAGCGGGACCTACAGACCTAGCCACAGACAACCCAAATGTGATTAATCTTTCATCGAATATGGCACTGATGTGATGTGTGGCCGATGGACATTCGTACTGCGTTTGCCCAGGCGTCATGGTTTGGTTTTATCAATGGACATCCCTCCAGTGCTATCGGTATGGCACTCATGGAGAACCCTCCAGGAACCCTATTACCATTCTCGTGACAGTCTCATATAAGGACCAAAGTTCAAGCCTTGGGTGTGTTGGGACATCAGATGAAGCCTGATCAAAACCCATGTTCGTGCCCCTCGTGTCCGCCTCCATTCGGAGGTCCCGGTTGCTGTCAGTCTCCGTCATCTAGTAGATGACAATGCCCCTCAGCCCCGTCACCATTGGGCAAGTGCAGCGTCTGTACGCGGACCTATCCCACATGCCCGCTGTTAGGGGCCGCGAGCAGGCCAGGCTTACAAATTTACAATTTTCCATGTCTTCAAGAATATCATCAAAACCTCCATTATTTGTCGGTGATATCAGTTGGTCAGCATTTTGGTGTAGCGGCTGAGATTATTTTATATCGGGATTATCCCATATTCATCATCTTTGTATCATTGAAATCATGGTTTAGTCAAATTATTAACATATTATCGTCTTTCACTGCGTTCCTCCACAATATAACTACAGCCCCGACAGCGCTACACCTTACGACATTGCATAAAAGCAGATATGATACGTCCTTCACGAGGTTGACACCTCTCAGCGGAAAGAAGATCAGATAGACCAGTCACAACATAGCTAGGTGGCTCGCCTGAGAGTGGCAAGAATCTCCCGTCTTGTACTCCGTACGCTTCATCAAATTCTCATATTGTCCACCCATCCTACTCTTGCCCTTTTGTTCTGTGTCTGTTGTCTTGGTAGTTTTAGCCCTCCTGATGGATCTGACACCATCGAGCTGCCACTGTCTATGTACCTATCTGTCCGAATGGATTCACTCTCTCGGAAATCATAGACAGGACTTCTCAATCTTTCTCATTCTCCATGATCTTGCTTCCATCTATTTACCCTCTGAAATTCTTTGCTTCTTATTTGATGTGTAATGGTCAATGGGACAAGGTAATGACGCAAGGCTTGATAGAGTAATAATCCACGGTAGATAATTCTATAAGAATAGAAGTTATACGTATCTAATCATGAACCAAACGCCTCATCCAGACCAACTTATGACAACCTCCCAATTGTGTATCATCCAAACATATGATGGATTCATTAATCCTCAATACAAACATTCCGGAATCGCACTCGGCTCGAACCCATGCGCCAACCACAGATAATTCACTTCCGACCCCATCAGCCCGGCGACATCCCCGGCCAACGTGCCTATCCCCGGAAAGTCTACATCTTGGGGGAATTCTAGTGGGGTCGGAGGGGCGGTCCCGTTCGGAACGGACGATGCTGTCCATTGGAAGTTGCTGTTTTATAACATTAGCAGGAAGATACGTACAGAGAGAGGGTGAAAAGGGAGAGATAAAACATACTCTAACCACGGAAATGAATCCACCAGCGACTGACTGGTATCCACGACCGGATCAGCAGCCTGAACAGCCTGCTTGGCGATCTTCATCAGATCCAAACTCATTGCCTTTCCTGTCGTGTATCCAGCGTGTTCGACTTCATCAAGACACTGGATGCCGCGGTCGACGACGGCGAAGGTCTGGCGGGTGCGCTCGTGGTCGGTACCTGAGCTCAGGACATCGTACAGAAGTGTCACGCACGCGGAGACCAGGGAGCAAACGAGCGCGCTGTCATACCGCGCGTCGGGAAAGCGGCGGAAGTAGACGTCGTGAGCGAGGTTGATGAGATGGCGGGCGGCGGAGGTGGACTCGTCGATGCACGACTGCAGGCTGAGGCCGCAGGGGGCCTGATGTTGGGCTTCGGCGGTGGAGCGAAAGAAGGTGGTGAGGACAAGGGCGGGTCGGAACAGCAGCATGCGGATGACGTAGTAGCTGAAGCCGAGGCTGATGCGCTGGACTTCCTGCCAGTCTTCGCCGATGGGGGTGGTGTCGTCGAAGAAGTGGAGGTAGCAGGGGAGGGAGCGGTTGGTGGCTTTGAGGGCGGTGTCGCATTCGAGACACAGATTGTTGACTTTGGCTAGGTCGGCGACGCTCTGGATGCTGGCTGGGGAGTAGACTTCGATCGAGATGCGGTCTGCTAGCTTTGCGAGGTCGATCATGGATCGGATGAAAGCGCACTCGACTGAGGGCTGGTGGTAGGGGTCGTCTTTGTTGAGGAGGAAGTCGTCTGGGTAGACGGAGTCGATCTGTCGGTCAGAGAATGCAGAGGGTCGCCCCATGACTACGGACGAGATGCGTTCGAAGACGAACGTCGTCCAGAAGGTCAGCCGCAGTCGATGTGCGTTGTGGTCGCGTCCGTCGGTGACTTGAGACCGGTGCAAGCCCAGCACCATGGCTGTGCGCGTGGCATGGCCGAGGTAGAGGTATGCATCGTTCTGTCTCATGAGTTGCAGCGAATACATAGCCTGCGATGTTAGCCAGAATGCAGAGAGACAGGGCAGCAGCCATACCTTGAGTAGCATCAAATGCATGCCCTTGATACTCGGCTCCTGGAGAAAGATAGGTCCCTCGGACGCTCTGCTGGCGAAGTACTCGCCCCACCCATCCACCTGAGCCTCGGGCTGCCTCCCCTTCAGATTGACCAAGCGCGCGCCGATCGCCAGAACCATGAAGAGGATCTCCTGGTTCTTGGCCACACGGCCCAGCACAGGCGCCTCCCACATCTGGTTCCACTCGTCCACAATCTCAGAGTGCACGAGAACCGACATCTGCGGATGCATGATCTTGAAGTACGCCTCAATAAACATATCTCCCAGGGAGCGGGGGATAAACGCCTGGGACGGGCGCTGGCCGCCCCGCAGGTCCCCGTCGGACCCGGGCATGAACATGAACCGGTCCATGCCCCATTTCTGCAGTCCGTCCGGAACAGAGCAGCTGCGACGAGCTAGCAGCGATTCGCCGCCAGACGACTGTTTGATCCGCTGGTACACGCGCTGGAGGAAGCAGTACCCAGACGATGGTCCTGTGCAAGTTAGTATGGTGCAATCTCTAGCCATCCTCTTCCTTCTTGGAGGTCAGGGGCTACCGTAGAACTGGAAATTGCCCGTCTCGGGATTCGCAACGCCAATACCGGCTCTCAGCTCCTGCTGTCGCTTATAGTGTTCTGGATCGTCTAGACATGCGGACACCGAATCCTGCGGCGTGATGGGGGACTCCACGGTAGCCGGTAGCAAAGCGGCAGGAAGCCTCGGGGGAAGACCCCTCTCCTTAGCTACACGGGTCCGTCTCTTGCGGATCTGGCCAGTGCGATAGGTGCAGCGGTCTGGATGGCGGGCACAGCCACTGCATGGATGTTCGCCGTTGCACTTGATCTTTCGCGAACGGCAGAGTTCGCAGGCTCGGGGGACGCGGTCCCGGGGTGGAGGGGACATGGTCTGACAATGGTGTAGAGCCTGTAACTATTTTCATGAACAATCTCGAGTTGTCGCTTGCGAAATGGCAAGTCAAATTAGAGCTGCAACATGGGTGTTTTCTAATCAGGAAGCCTGCAGGCTGCGCAGCACTGATTGGCCCGATCCAGTCCTAGGCTGTTCAGTTCGATCTGCGATACAAACAGAAACTATTCCATGCTTTTATGGACAGGAAGAAACTTATCCACCGGTATCTTAATCCGAGTCAGAGAAAGACTGAGGATTGGGAAGTAGGTATGTATGATGAATGGAAGAGTATCGAAATCACCATCAGTGAGATTGATGACTAACGCTGTCGGGGGCAGTAAATTACAGAAATACAGCTCAAAAGACAGGGAGGCGAGGGTGTATGGACTGTATGTAAATACATCAGCAGTTCAATTTGTCAGCGCCATTCCCATTTGGGAATAACCCTATATGGCCGCGCTTGTGGCTTATATGCATCATTTCATCTGATACTCGCGTCAGCCCAACGCCTGCTTCCAGGATGCAACAGCTGGATTTACGCTTCTGATGGTTGAGTCCAGGTTTCACGGTACTAAGAAGGCTATCCAACCATTGGTAGATCTGATCGAGCAGTACCATGATTTCGACGGCCCTCGACTACCAAGACTGACCTCTTCAGTGTGATAGGCGCTCAAACATAGTACATCAGATGCGCACTGGTATATGCAACAGTAGGTGTCAGATTGTTCGCTGGTCAAGGTCTGTTCTGTCTCCATGGATAGGCGTCGTGTGCAGTAATGAGCATGGCCGCTGCCACCGATAGATCGAATAGGGGCCATATGATTAATTAGACTAGGCAGAGGTCTCGACAGATTGACGCGGGAATACCGGTCTAGTTCTGCCAATGGCATCTCAGTTTTGCATGGGTAGATACAGATCAGTCCGGCTGCTAGTAGCATTTATGTTGTCTTAAATGATGGTTTTTGTAGAAGGTAGGCGGTGTTGTAGCTGTTCGTATAGTGGAGGCATCAATCCCAGCCGATATATGCTATCACCGAGACCCTCTGCCATGTTTGGTCATACCACCACGAGGTTGTCGACACATAGCCATCTAAAAAGGAATCGTCAGCAAATAAACCATCATATTACACATGTTGATTAAAGCAGTCATTGAATCAAGGTGGGTGGCAGATCTGGGGTAATTGTCTAATTTAAACAGGTGGATTAGGTGGGCCAGATATATATCCTATTCTACGATGGCACTAACAGATGGGGTATACACCACGCCACTGGATCGAGACATCAATCATGATACTCCATAGAAGAGTACTTCTCGGTTTACTCCAAGTTTAACATTCATCCTCTATCCTGTTCATCACCAACCAGTCTACAAAACATACACCAAGTGTACTCAACCAACAAGGCAAGTCAAGCGACGCTAACCCAGCCAGGAAAGCCACCGCCTCAGGCCACCGCGCACACCGCCGGTCGATCTCAGCCTCAGGCAAGCAGAAGCTCACGCACCCCTGCATGAGCAGCAGTTCCAGCCGAGCTGCATGCATCAGCATGATATATACGACCTGAAGTACATAATATCTGCTGTGCCACAGGCATAGCAGATCTATAGCAATCTGCAAGAGACCTCTCAGTTCGACTATATCTTACGGGATTCCCAAACAAGGATAATCCCAATCAGGCCAACGGACAAGATCGGAAAAAATCGGCCAGCTGGCAGGAGCTGACCTCGGCGAGTCACTTTCTTATCCCTGCAAACGGCGCCAAGCCAACCAGACCGGTTGCGGCGAGGATCCTTCGGGCGTTCGTCGGTTGCGTAATGGCTATCTAGCTGTCGCCCAACAAACAGAGAGCTCTCGAGCTCTCCAGCTCAAGCTCGAGCTATGGAGGATCGTGCAGTGGTCAACTGCAGGTCTTGGATGGACTACTCTAGAGTCTAGGGTCTACGGGGATACGGAAGATAAATACATTTGGGGAAGTTTTTAAAAAGGGAAAGAAAAAAATAAAAAAACAAAATAGGGAGGATGGAGACGGATGGGTCTCCCATTCCTGAGTCGGACTGGCGGTGATCCGCTGCTGAGACAGGAACGAGATGAGGACGAAACACGGTGGAACGGAGCCCCTTCTTATCACCCTCGAATGTATCCGTACGGAGGACGGAGGACCCGTCCATCGGACTGTCCAAAGAGATGATTGAAGGATTTGGTCCAAGGGAGAACTCAGAATGGACAGGTCAGCTCCAACAGCTCTGTTGGGATGTTTGTTGTTGGTGTTCCATCCAAGAAAAAGGGGGACAAACAAGCAGGGATAGAGGAAAATTCGGTGGCTGATCTTATTATTTATTATTATTATTCTAATCTATTATTATTATTATTCTGGTCGAATTAGGAGGAAAAGTCAAATAAAAATGATAGGTGCCGCGTTGAGGAATGGTGAAAGAATTAGTGGGAAAAACTTTTTCGGGTCAGCCGGGCATTCCAGGGCCACTCTTTTTCATCTCCCCCTTCTCCCTTTGATGTTGATTTTTTTTGACCGTTTCATCTGTTTATATTGTTATTTTTTTGCAATTGAATTGAATATAAATAAGTATATATAGTAGTGAAGACAGAGGACGAGATGAGGATGGTTGAGAAGATTCCGACTTCCCTCCAGCCGAGCATCTCGGGTCCAAAGCAGACGACGGTGGAGCCGCATACCGGATTCGGCCCGGTGGATTTGAAGGGTTTGGAGTCCGAGAAGGAAACGGGAGGTGATTGGCGGAGATCCGGGTCTAAGTGGGTCTGGAACCATTTTATCGGACCCATCGGGATCCACTACAATTCTGTTTCTCAATTTCCTCCCTGTTCTTTTCTTCCTGTTGCTCCCTTTTCTCACCGGGATTTGTGATGGGAGATGGTTTTGGAGATTGATTCTGACCATTGCAAAAGATCATTGTAGAGGAATTGAGTGGGAGTCTGCTCAAGATGGGAGAATGGCCTGGTGTCCACAGGTCCGTGGGAATCCAGTATGGAGACAGGAATGAGTTGGAGGGACAACCGGAATGGAGTGGAAGTCGTACTGCTCAAATCATTGCGCACCAGAACCCCACTGCAAGCTCATCATTGGTCGTACCAGAACCAGCCCCATCCCGAGTGAACCCGAGGAACAGAACCAGTTGCGCAAGTTGACGGATGGCCGGGAGACCGCCAATTCCCAGACCTCCCATCTCTGGACAAACCAGACAGGAAAAAACTAGGGCTAGCCACTAGGACCAATGGGGAGCGATTTGTGTGTGGGAAAGTGTGAAATTTTAGCGGGAAAGTATTTATGTCCTCCGAGGTCTCTGTTGTCTTTTCTCCAGCTTTTTTCTCCCTCCTTCTCCCTCCTTTTTCCTCTTTCTTCCATCCATCTCTCTCTCTCTCTTCCTCCCACACCACAAACTCTTCACATCCTTCACAATGGCCGCTCCCCGTGTCTTCGCCTCTCGTCTGGCCACCACCATGGCCGCGACCTCCAAGGTTGCCCGCCCTGCTGGCCGCATCCAGATGGCCGCCCCTAAGCGCACCTTCACCACCCAGCGCAAGGCCCCCATCACCACCACCTTCCAGACCGCCAAGCGCACCCAGTCTCCCAGCCTGATCCAGGCCAACGCCCGCCAGGTCTTCGCCAACGCCTCGGCCCGCCGCAACTACTCCTCCGAGATCGCCAACGCCATGGTCCAGGTCTCCCAGAACATGGGTATGGGTTCCGCCGCCATCGGTCTCGGTGGTGCCGGTATCGGTATCGGTCTCGTCTTCGGTGCCCTCCTCCTGGGTGTGTCCCGCAACCCCGCCCTCCGTGGCCAGCTGTTCTCCTACGCCATTCTGGGTTTCGCCTTCGTTGAGGCCATCGGTCTGTTCGACCTGATGGTTGCCATGATGTGCAAGTACGTTTAAATCAAGAACAAACGAATTCTGAGACCGACATATTCTCTACCTTTTTCTCTTGTGATATGACCGGTTGAGACTGGAGAACGATCTACCGGAGGAAAAGAGAGGGAACGAAGGGATGAAACTCCAATGAGGAACAAAAAATTCATAAAAAAAAAAGTACACCAATTCCAGCGGACGGTTGACGGATTCAAAACCTCATCAATCGTCTTGTTGGTCCAGCTAGGAAAGGAGCTAATCTGGATGGGTGGTCTTTTTATATATCATGTACTACAATCTTCCCGCATCTCTCTACCAATACATTGTACATATAGAGTTTAAAATGGCCACTAAACCGATTCCTAGCCTGATATTCCTCTGTACTGTGAATTGAATCTCCCTGACGGCGGATGGCCACCGCTACACCCCAAGGCCCTTGAAAGGACAGAAAGGCCAGCTGTTCGGAGCGGAAGGAATGTCCAGTTGGCGTTAGTTGTGTGGATCCGGATCGATCGAGGACGTCACCATTATTATTATACTTAATATTTTAATTATAATCCAAGAATCACAAGTATCATAAGATCATATATTAACCTTCCACCCCAGTCAATTCACATGTCGAATGAACAATCAATCATTCAAGACAAGGGCCTCCTCGTAGGAAGAGAACGGAGAAAATGGGGAGGAAGAAAAGGTGAATCCTCGGTCCCGCCTAAAGCGCATATGACGCCGATCGTGACGATCCTCGTCAATTGAGCTACTTGTTCTTCTGTAGTGCCTAGTATCGACAGTAATATCAAGATGGAGAGGAAGATAAAACTGTCTAGTATGTGAATCATCAATTGCATTGTACAATTGGTTTGAATGAGGTCGTCTTATATTTGACAGTTGTTGGAATGGACAGGGTCATGTGACCTCGGCTGAGTTGCCCTCTTTCACTCGACGACTTGTGGCTATTCTTGTATCCAAGTATGATATGGATAGACTTGAGACAGAACAGTATAATCTAGAATTGAGTATATATATATAAATATATACATCTCAGCACTCAACAACAACACTACACTGTAATTCACTATCAATCAGGACTCCGTAGACAGTCGGCCAGAAGGATCGGATCACGAAGCCTCGGCTGAAGAATCACCCGCTGATAAGATAAGACCATCTCATCTCATCACACTCCAAGAAAATACCCCGTTCGTTATCTATCTTTTGGTTCATTTTTATTTCTATACTGGCATTACTATTATTATCATGATTATTGTTGAATACAATTATTAGGAAAATAAAGAACGGAAAAAAAATGATCCCTCTCTACCCCCCCGACCAAGTCCCCCGCATCAAAAATGCCAAACGTCTCACAAAAACACGCACCAAGCAGCTTGTACGCGCTGCAGACAGACCCCACGATGACCCGCCACCGCCACCAGGTCTGGGTGAGTGTTGTGGTAGTTCGTGCGACCCGTGCGTGACTGATCTATGGCGGGAGGAGTTGGCCGTTTGGAGGGAGAGGTGGGGGGAGGGGGCTGTGGAGGGGAAGAAGAAGGAGAAAAATGATGGAAAGAATGGGAATGGAGAGACGAAAGATGATGGAGGGGAAGCTGAAAAGCAAGGGGAGGAAGAGGAGAAGAGGTATAAGGTGCCGGGGAGTTTTGACTGGTGGTATTTTCTTCCATTCCCTGTTGGTTGGCTACTTGCTAACTTACATAGATCAATGAGTGAGTGTATGATAGTAGTCTTGGCTGAAACAATCTTGGTGGTGTATACATATAGACGAAGTGGGATACGGTTTATGACCATCTAAAAACACATACATAATCAGCTCCCCACCTCGCTCCCACTCGGCGCACTCGCTTCATACTCCAACACCAACTTGATCTCCTTCCCAGGCCGCAGCGTCACCACGAACCGCACCTCGCCATTCTTCCCCAACGACACGCCCCCACTCCCCGACGACGACTCCATCTCTACCGTCGTCTTATCCCCCTCCTTCTCCAGCCCCGACGGCTTCACTACCCGTACCTTGAGCCTCTCGTCCTCACTAACCGGCACCTGCTCCAGCAGAGTAACCTCCACAGCCGTGGGCTTCGCATTCTTCAGCACACAGACACGCGTAAACAGCGCCATCTCATCCTTCGCAAAGAACACCGACGAGGCACCCAGCCGCTTGACCTTCGGCGGGGAGTACCGCACCACAACGTCGGGGTCAATGCCCATCGACACGCCAAAGTACTCTCCCGGCGTGGTAGGCGGGACGCTGGACGTTCCGATAAAGGTCGCATCGACAGCCATACCGACGGGGCCGCGCAGCAGCGTCACGGCGCTGGTGTTTTGGATGCGCGCGCGCAGGAACGCCGCCGCGCGGTGCTTGGGCACGACGAGGTGCGAGAGCTGCACGTTCTTGAGCTCTAGGTCGGCGAGGACGTGGCGGCGGGGTATGGTGCTTGGTGCGAGCGTGCGTCGGCCGGGAAGGTCGTATGTTGTTGTTAGGCCGAAGTCGTTCTTGATGCTGTCTTGGTGATCTAGGGTGGTGGGGTTGTCGTCGTCTAGGGTGTTCGGTTCTGTGATGGATTGTGCGGTTGGAGATGGTACCGTGTTTGCTGGGGGAGCTGCAGCCCCGGCAGTAGATGGGGGAGGAGCTGCGAAAGGAGCTGGAGAACCGGAGGCTCCGCTGCTCATTCCAAACAAGCTTCCCCCGGTTGGTCCTGTCGGGGCTGTCTGGGGGGCGCCCGAAAATAACCCCCCAGACACCTGTTGCTGGGCCATTTGCTGGGCTTTTTGCCGGGCCTGTTGCTGGGCCTGTTGCTGGGCCTGTCGCTGGGAAAGTTGCTGGGACTGGCTGGCAAGCATCTGCTGCTGCCCATGTCGGGCCATGCTGAACAAGGGTGGGGCTGGGTTTCCCGGTTTGACAACAAACGGGTCCTCTGCCGAGCTGCGCAGCATACGGTCCCACGAGGGGTGTTTTTGGTTGTTGCTCGCATCACCGGCTGCCTCCTGCAACTTGACCTGCCAGGGAACCAGCGCGGGGAGAGGCTCATCGGGTCTGGAGAATGCCGCCTGCGAAGTGGACAGCGTGACGTGGGCATCCTTCCACGTCTCAGCAGTGGCGTTGACAAACTCCGCGCGGTACGTCAGTCGGGCAGTCGATTTCGGCGTGTCGATACTCAGCTCGTACCGCGGCGACCACTTCGCCAGGTCGACCACATAGCTCAGCTGCAGCGATATCTCCATATCTTTATCAGCCTTGTCTGTAGCAGTCGTCGATGTCGTCGTCGTCGACGAGGCACGCGATCTCAACGGCACAACATGCCGATCAAGCGAGACAACAACCTTTCGCACCTGAGACGTCCAAAACGCGCGTTTCTTCTGCGCTTCAAACGCCCTCTGCTTTGCCCTCTGCGCCCTCAAACTCTCCTTCTTCGCCCGTCGCTTCTTCTTCTCCTTCGCAGCGCTCTTCCTCGCCTTCAACATCCGCTTCCGGATCTTTTCCCTCTTCCCCCTCAAGCGCATCAGCTCCCTCTCCGCCCTCCCCTCCGCCGCCTCCCCTTCGCAATGCTTCTCCACCTGCAACAGCGACTGCTCCTCATACAGCGCCAGAAAGCGCCCCACCTGCTCCGACGCCGCAGTCTCCGGCGCCAGCCGCTTCCCATACTCATCCAGCATATTCATAACAGAGGGGCCAACGCGCTTGAGGGCCCGGGCCCGGGCCAGACTAGCCTCCAGACGCACGATATCCTCGTCTAGCTTTCTCGACGTCTCGCTCTCCTCCTCATTGTTGTCGCTGTCAGAATCATCCGACGATATCGATGAGGAGCTATCACTATCTGATAAGTCAGGGGACTCATCTGTGCGCGGTACCACGCCCGTCTGGATATCGGTTATCGTGGCGGGGCCGGAGCCCTGGATGCGGATGGAGTTTGTGTCGACTCGGGGGTCGAGGCCGATGATTGTAAGGTCTGTTTGGTTGGGCTTTTCTTTGGTTAGTATATTTCGTTCTTCCTTCAATGGGGTAGAAAAAGAATAGAGTAGATATGGACACGGATATGCATGCTTATGTCCAGGGAGAAAAAAAGGAAATATAAACAAGCACGCTACATATGACAGTAACAATAATAGAGTATTTATTAATTAAAGACAAGTAAAAGAAAAATGAGAAATACCTTAATGCAAGCATGAATATCACGCGAAACCGTCGCGCGGAGAGGCGTCAACGTCACGGATTTAGTGGGGAGATCGGCGAGGAGGATTTGGTCGGACATTTCTTTTTCTTTCTTTCTTTCTTTCTTTCTCCTCTTTTTTTTGATATGTATATATTTATGGATAAATTGAAACTTTGTAAGAAATAATAAGGTAGTGATTGAATGTAGAATAAACAGATAAAGGAGTCAATGACAGCACAGTACAAAATAGAAGAGGGGCAGGATACTTAGTATAGTACAATAAGTCGTATAAGTGAAGGCCCAACTAACAATAATTTATAAACAAAACAACTCTTTCAGTAGGAAAAAGAAGACAGACTTTCACAAATTGCAAGGAAGAATGAAGAAAGAGAGAGGGAGGGCTGTTTAAATACTTTCCATCTAGCAGCTACTAGGCAAGTAGCTGCGAGACAGCCTTGTGTCTGCCTAGCAGTAAGATCATAAGTGGGTCACGAGGCTCTCTTTTCTGTGTATTTATTTATGCAGTAGCTACCCCTTCTATGGAAGTTGATAATCATCGTTAATGGTTGGATTGATCTTTTAATTGAAGATAGTCAACTAGAATGCTTGGACTCTCTCTAGATATAGACAATTTTATTTAATGCTAATCTATTAAGACAGATTGCTCAATAACCCTCATATTATTATGCCATTGTACAGTGGGTAAAATAAAGAGTGAATCGACAAGATAAAATACAATAGAATACACCGAATACTTCCTCCTTAAAAGTACATCCACCTCCATCATTACATCCCCTCAGTCAAATAGTACACAGTCGATAGTATACATTCCCAGCTTGGAACTTAGTTCTTCTCGATCTTGGCCTCGGCCTCGGCCTCAACCTTCTGGTGCTGGGGCTCGCGCACATTGCCATTGTAGTAGGTGTGCTTCTCAGAGTGGTAGGAGTTGGAGCGGTCGTGCTCGGGGACGACGGGGCGGACGACGGTGTGCTCCTTGCCGTCGTTGGTGATGTTGGTGACGGGGGCGGCGACGTTGCTGGACTCGTTGATGTTGGTCGACTCGTTGGTGTTGACGGGGGAGTTGTTGACGGGGCCGTCAGTGCTGCGCTTGTGGTTGTTGATGTTGGCGACGGGCATGGCGATGTTGTTGGTCGAGCTGCTGGTGTACTGGCTGTTGGAGGACGAGGGCATGTTGTTGGTCGGGCCCTGGCTGGGGTAGCCGTAGCCGCCGTAGCCGTAGTCAGGGGAGCCGTAGGGCTGCTGCTGCTGGGGCTGGGGCTGGGGCTGCTGGGGCTGGGGCTGAGGCTGGCCCTGGGGTTGACCCTGGACGGGGTATCCACCGTTGCGCTTGTGGTTGTTGAAGCTGGCCACGGGCTGGGCGATGTTGTTGGCCAAGTGGGAGTTGGTTTGGGCGTTATCGGAGGTGGGCATGTTGTTAGTGGGCTGGTCACGCTTGTGGTTGTTGGCGTTGGTCACCGGCATGGCGATGTTGTTCTCCTGGTTGGTGTTGGTCTGGGCGTTGTTGGAGGTGGGCATGTTGTTAGTGGGCTGGTCGTAGCCCTGGCCATAGCCGCCATATCCCTGAGGGTAACCAAAGCCGCGCTTGTGGTTGTTGAGGTTGGCAACGGGCATGGCGATGTTGTTGGCCGAGTTGCTGTTTGTCTGGGCGTTGTTTGAGGTGGGCGAGTTGTTGATAGGCCCGTCCTGGCCCTGAGGGAAACCGTAGCCACGCTTGTGGTTGTTGGAGTTGAACACCGGTTGGGCGATGTTGTTGGCCAAGTGGGAGTTTGTCTGGGCATTGTTGCTGGTGGGCAGGTTGTTGAGGAGGCCGCCCTGGCCCTCAGGGGCGCCGTAGCCGCGCTTGTGGTTGTTAAAGTTGGCAACGGGCATGGCGATGTTGTTGGCCGAGTTGCTGTTTGTCTGAGCGTTGTCAGAGGTGGGCATGTTGTTGGTGGGCTGGCCGTAACCCTCGCCTTGGGGGAAGCCGAAGCCGCGCTTGTGGTTGTCCGCGTTGAACACCGGCTGGGCGATGTTGTTGCTCGAAGCGCTGTTCATTTGAGAGTTATCGGAGGTGGGCATGTTGTTGGTGGGCTCGCCGTAGCCACGCTTGTGGTTGTTGAAGTTAGCGACGGGCATGGCAATGTTGTTCTCTTGGCCGGTGTTCGTCTGGGCGTTGTTGTTAGTGGGCATGTTGTTGCTGGGCAGGCCCTGTCCCTGAGGAACACCAAAGCCACGGCGGTGGTTGTTGAAGCCGGCCACCGGCTGGGCGATGTTGTTGGACGAGTGGGAATTGATCTGGGCGTTATCGTTGGTGGGCATGTTGTTATTGGGCTGGTTTTGCAACATCGGGGCCGCGGGGACCAGGCCAGCGGCAGTCAGAGCGGCGATGAGAGCGGCGGTCTTCATATTGAAGATAAGGGGAAGTTTCCAAGGAGGAAGATTGACAGGCTGGAGACTGGTGGATGAGGTCAAGAGGATTGAAGACTGATTGAGCTGATGAAGAGAAGGATAGGGGAGGATTCGAGGGGCTTTTTATACCTTGGTCGAGATTATCTCGAGGGACATCCAGTCTCGCGTAGCTTGGGACGATCGCTCCATGATTCCCAAGTCTACTACGGAGTAACTTCGTATTGATGGTCGATATCAGATAGTCTGCAAGGGGAGTGGAGGACTCGCATGACGGCTGAGGTTCGCTCGTCGTTAGTAGTTGACCTCATCTGATATCACAGAATCCAGCCTCAGCTGGCAAGACGCAAGACCTCGCTATAGGGTATGTGGTATGTCAGTAGCCCTGTCAGGTCAGAGGATCTCAAGTCAGGGGAGGGTTGATCGTTACGCAAGGTACGAACCACTATAATGGCCGAGTTCACGTCTGGGTGGTCTGGATGGGGGTGAAATGTCGATACTTACCGAGAAGGGTAGACGATACCTACCGAGAAAGGCAGATGAGACATGTCAACCCGAATGCTCGGTACCATTATTGTGAGATCTGCAGATGATCAGATATCACCTGCGCGGAGGAAATATCTCGATGGGATATCAGACCATCTACCCTGGTCGGTAGTGGTATACGGGGTACTCCGTGGAGGTAGTCATTTATCTCAGCTAGCCACAGCCTTGACCTGACGAGGTGGTGCTGGATGTTTCTCTTGTACGGAGTACGGAATACATAGTAGAAGATGCAGGGTATTGATGGAATGATGACTCCCAATGCGGTCAGTTCGATCGATCGATCATGTGTATTGCTCCTTACTTCCCGCTTCCAGAGTCCCAGTCGAGCTGGTGCCGTCTCCTGGAAGTCGTGTTCGTGGCCCGATTCAAACAATGATATCTCCGGAATGATGCGGTCTAACTTCCTTCCAGACAGTCAGCGGTCCTTCGTCAGTCAATTCATCAGCCAGTAATCTACCCTGCGGTTCTACCCAGCATTGACTCGAAACCGATACCGACCACTTGGTGAGCAGTAGCACTAACTGTTCAGTCGCCAACAAGGGACTCTGATTGCGGATATATACCGCTCGTTTCCGGTCCATGATTATGGAATAGTGAGGTATGCAATTGGCCAACATATCAGCTGGTGTGCAGAGTCTTCCCACGCAGAGTATTTTTCGAGTCTTCATGTTGTTGCAACTATTTGCAACTTCTTCATAGTCCTCAGAATCATCAAATTCATCGATAGTTTGACTGTTTCCATCAGTTCCTACAGTATACACAAGCTCAATAGTATCGTGACACACCCATTGCAGGGTAATATAAGATCACCGGGTCGAGGTGTTGCTGTGGGAGATTATTTGTACAGGCTTGGAAGTCATGGCTGTTAGCTGATGCTGTCGATGGATAATTGGTTACTTGAGCGGATAGACGGTGATATGAATGTAAAATAGATGAAAATGGAATCAATCAACATAAGGTAGATGGATTTGAGATGGATAAATGATGATTGAGACGATGTGAGGATGTGAGGCTGACGAGGCTCAATCTGTAGACTCTTGGTCAGGTGATACCACCACCTTAGACTGATGGCAGCGAGTTCTCATACACAGTAAATAATAGGTGATTATTCGAAGCGTTTAATTGAGATTATTTCATTCAAACGTATTTGCTATTAACCAGTATTCCGACCGTATAATATAGGATGCTGTCTACTTTGTACCAATGTCTGTGTTTGGGCAACATATATATATCTACTCCGTACACACCCACATATATATACCCATGTATATACCCCAGGAAAGCACGATATAAGCATTATAGGCTTTAACCTTATGGAGTATTCCAAACAACATACGATCAAACACCAAATCAACCATCTAAAAGTATGCCACTAACAAACAATATATAGAGTAAACCCATCAGTCCCAAGTGACGCGACAAAACCCGACCGCAAAAGCCGCAAAAACCGACGCAAGTACGAAGACCGATCCACAACATTCAATCCAGAAACTTTGATTGGAAGGGAAAAGAAGGAATCAAAGAAGACTACACATATGTACAGATAAAGTGAATGACTAAATAAGAAGAATGGAATGATGTTGCATTCCAGGCGACGAAACGTGGTATGAGGTCATGACATTCTTCGTATATATTCCTTCCCCCCCGGTGCTTCCCTACCACTTCTGTGCATCACATCATATTACATTTATTCAAATTAATTATAATATCTTACACAAGTATTATATATATATATATATAATGACGGTCTATCCCCCAGCCTTCCACATCGCCCAAGCGGTGGGCCTGACGGGCGCCGCCTGGCTCTCCGGTACCTTCCTCCTCCTCCTCCTCCTTCTCATACTATAAGCAACTAACTAATAAAATAGGAAACATAAGCACATACAGCGCCTCCAGCGTGCCCGCCGTGCTCGAATCGACCCGCTCAGGCACCGTGACACCCACATCAGCAGCGCAGATCTGGCGGGCAATGTATGAGCGCGGCAAGGCGCAGAACCCGCCGATCGCGGCAGTGACGGCAGTGGCGCTGGGGTATCTGTCGTGGGCGGTGCGGGCGGGCAGTCGGTTGGCGCCGTTAGTGCGCGGCGGGGCGGGGATGCTGTACGGGGCGGCGGCGGTGTTGACGGTGGGGATTGTGCCCTGGACGATGGTGGGGATGTCAGTTACGAACGGGAAGTTGTTGGAGTTGGCTGATGGGAAGGGGAAGGGAAAGGAGAGAGAGGTGGAGGGGTTGTTGGAGAGGTGGATGGGGTTGAACGCGGTGCGGGCTGCGTTGCCTTTGTTAGGGGGGGTGGTCGGGTTCTGGGCATCGTTGCCTTGATTGATATTGACCTCGGTTTTATCTTTGAATTAAGCCGTTCTTTGTATCCCAGGAGAAAATGGTGTTGTGGAAATGAGCGTTACCTCGGATCGGCTGGATCGGCGATGGAATGCCAAGCACCGGTGCTTTTCAGTCAGAAATCAGGAATACGAATAGTCAGATTAAGCCAAGTGGGAAAGACGTAAATATATATAGCAACGCTAAGTGGACTACTCCGTAAGTGCACTGAGCGTAAGGCTGCGTTCATCCACTACCTTATATATCACTCGCACGTTCCTTATTCTCCGTCCATTCAATCGATCTATCATACAATCCATGCACGAATATCAACCGACACCATGAGCGTCAGCGACACTGAAAGTATCCGAGGGTATTGATTCCCCTATCTCTATACCTTAATATCAACATACTAATATAATATCAAGAACCCAATTCCAAACCACCCAAACCTTCCCCCTCGCCCACCCTCCTCCCCCCAAATCCCAGACCACCCACCGTCTGCGACTCACCCCGCGAAGACTCCTGCAAATGCAGCAACTATCCACCCGATCCACCGCCATCAACACCCCCGCCCTCATCCCTGTCCTCGACCTCTTCCGCCCCGCCCGTCTCTCCAAACCCATCCTCCCCACCGGTCGCAAAGTCCGCGGTCAAGATCTCTACCTGGCACAGAATGAGGGGTTCTCGGGTCTCTCCTATTCATCCGGTAGTAACAGCCCCGCGAAACGAAAGGCGGCAGGACGGTCGAAATTGAGTCGTTCGCTGTCGCGCTCGTTGACCACGAAATCAACTAGTGGAAAGAACAAGGACAAGAACAAGAAAAAAGTCACAGAACCAACGGATGGAACCGAAACGGCTATCGCTCGACCAGGCCCAGAAGTCATAGTCAGCGTACTCCACCGCGGGCCGAACCAGTCCCAGACCCAGAAAAAGAACAAGAACAAGAAGGACACGAGCAAATCCCCCAAACAGTCCCCCGCGGAAGAAAAGGAGAACGAAAAAGAGAAAGAAAAAGAAGAAATCAGCTTCCCTTTAGACGGCACAACCTGGACCGCGTCGCGCTCCCCAGACGGCTCCAAATACCGCTTCGAGATGCGGCCCACCTCAGAACACCACCACACGTCTATCGCGCTGGAGTGGGAGAGACGACTCCCGAAGAATGCCTCCTCGGCTGGATCGAGTCCCGCTGGTTCCACTACCGGTGGGAACCCAACGGCGAATGCGACTGACGGGAACAATAAAAGTCGATTTGTCCTATGCCTCGCCGAATCAGGCATGCGCAAGCCGTGGCTGGCGACCTTAACAGCGAAAGGCGTGCGCATCGGGTCCTGGGATCGCGCGCAGCGGGAGAGGCTGTGTGGATGTGTTGGGTGGAGGGAGGAGGAGGCTGATGCGGGGTTTTACACGCTTGTTTTGACGCTGGGGGTGTGGGTGGGTGTCGCGGAGGGGTGGGTTTCGTATTAACTTCATTTTATCTATTTTATTCATTGATTCTCGAACATACGATAATTTGTATTCTATCATTTTCTGATATATCTAATTGGAGGAAAGGAAGAAAGAAGATATCAAATACCAGCGTGGATCCCCTTCTCCACTGCCGCGATCTGCAGTCCCAGCAACAGCGAGTAATACCGACACAGCGCCAGATTCCCACCCATGAACCAGAATCCAGGGTGTCCGCTCCGCTGCCACATCGTGCGCACCTCGCCCTCGGCGTTAAACCCCCACACGCTGTCAACTCGATCCGCGACCTCATCGCCGAACATCTCCCGCGCCTGCGTGCGCATGTTCTGGTACCCCGTCGCGAGGACGATCTCGTCCGCCCGCAGCTCGCTCCCATCCGCCAGCCGCAGTCCGTTAGGCAGAATCTCCGCGATCTCCTGCCCCTGTCGCACGGCGATCTTCCCCTCTGCAATGAGCCGGCTCGCCCCGACATCAATGTAGTACCCACCGCCGCGCTGGAGGTACTTCATCAGGAGGCCCGAGTCATCCGGGCCGCGGTCGACGCGGAACCCGGCGCGTGCCAAGCCGTCCAGCACAGCCGCGTCGTTCTGCACCGTCGCGGCCGCGATCTTCGCCTGCTGCGCTTTGAACATCTCCGACGGAATGCTCCACAGGTAACAGTCTGCTTCGTCGGTAGGCGGCGCACTCCCGTCGTACAGGCCCTTCAGCGAAATGTTCGTGATGGACGACGAGGTCACCACGCAGGTGGAACTGCGCTGCACCATCGTCACCGTCCAGCCTTTCTCCGTGTAGTCCTGCGCGATGTCGTGCGCCGAGTTGCACGATCCGACCACCACCGCGTGCCGGCCTGTGCCGTTCGCATCGGCGCCGGGAAAGTCCGAGCTGTGGCAGATGCGGCCACCCTGGAAAGTGTCCATGCCTTTGATGGAGGGAAGGTTCTTCTTGCCTGAGTGGCCGGTGGCCTGGATGACGTGGCGGGGGTGGAGCGTGCGCGTTTCAACGCTGCCGTCTGGGCGATGGCGCTGCAGGGTGAGCGTCCAGGTGCGGGTTGCGTCGTCGTAGGACGAGGACTTGAGCTCCGTGCGCGTCCACACGTTCAGCTCGAGTAGCTTGGCGTAGCATTCGAAGAACTCGGCGAGTTTGTCCTTGGGCGTGAAGATGGGCCAGTTTGGCGGGAACGGCACGTACGGCATGTGGTCGAACCAGACTGGGTCGTGGAGGACCAGCTGGTGGTAGCGCCTGCGCCAGTTGTCGCCGATGGCGTCCTCTCGGTCGACGATTAAAGTGTCCACGTCGAGCATTTTCAGTCTGGCGGCGGCTGTTAGGCCGGATTGGCCGGCTCCTGTGTAGTGTTAGTGACTCTTTGCTGACTGAGATACATAGGAAGAAGGAACCAACCGATGATGACGACAGCCGGCTCCTTGTTTTCGAAGTTGATGTCGGCTGTGCGCCGGTCCTGCCAGTTCTTGCGGCCCGTCTGCTCGCCGTGCTGCACGCCGACTGGTCGTCGGTCGTTGATTTTCGCCTCTGCGCCAGTGAGCTCCCGGAGCGACGTGAAGCAGGTGAAGATCTTCCACCCATCCGTCTCAGCGAGCCGGACAACGCCCCAGCCGGAGCCAACGGCAGTGGTGACAGACACGAAAAACTCAATCCCGGTGACGTCCCCAAAGGCATCAATGGGCCCGACATGGGGCGCCCGAAACGGCGACGAGTGGTCTAGTTCGAGCTTGATCGGACTGGGATGGTCCGCCAGGAACTTGGCGACGTTCTCGCTTCCTTTGACGGTGCGGAAGTCCCACGAGAGACAGAGATGGTCTCGCCAGAAACCATCGTCGAGGAAGAGACTGGAGATGCTGTTGTAGTCCTTCTGGGAGAGGGCCGTGTTCAGCTTGTCGATGATCTCCGTGGCTACCTGCTCGGCGTTGACGGAGGTGGATGTGCTGGAGGGGGGGAATTTCCCCACGGGGATGTTGACGGAGCCAGGCTCAACGCGGTTTCTGGATTCTGTAGCCATGTTACTGTGTAGAAGTGAGGAATTGTGAAGAAAGTGGGAGGGAAGGGAGTAAATGAGGAGTGGACAACAAGTGGATATGGGATGCGGGGTAAGGATCAACCAGTTCCCCAGCTGCGTGCGTGACGTGTTCTGCGGCTGCTGACAGCCCTGACAAGCTGCATCTTTTCATTCTATATGCATCTGTTCAACAGAATTATTAACTTCTTGAATTATGTGCTTGTTTTCTTCCAGGATCCTTTAGTCAAGGGGATATCCAATGGGTGCCCCTAATGCGGGGTATCTCGAAGCTAACTCGGATCTGCCCGAAGACCAGGGTTTCTGAGCAGGGATACTAGGAAGATACCCCGTACTCCGTATTCCTTATCATTGTGACATCTGGCTGATGATAGAATTGACGAGTATGTTGGCTGTATAGGATTGGTGTTGTCAGACTATTGGCATGATATAATAGAGAGTCGCTAATAAGCAAAATAAAGATGCAAGAAAATATAGAAGCATCATTGGTCTAGTGGTAGAATTCATCGTTGCCATCGATGAGGCCCGTGTTCGATTCACGGATGATGCACTATTCTTATCTTTTTTTTATTTTCTTTTTGACACATCCCGAACCCTTCCATGCACTTGGATTTCTTCAATCGATCCAGTCATTTTATTAATGATTGTTTAATCATGTTCTTGTCAGCAGTTACATGTCCTCTATATCTTCTTCCTGTAAACCGTCCTATTCCAATCTCCCCTCCCCTTCCCCACACACTCCCTCAGCAAAGTGTCATGAAATCTTTATAGTCAAGTGGTAGTTTCGTTCTTTTTTTGCACCAAGGATTACTTGCCAAGACTCATGGTACTTTGTGTTTTCAAATGGATACACGAGAAGAGGACATAAGAGTGACTGGTTTGGGATTGTAGAAGATAGTTTAGATATGGTAGCTTGACACATATTGTTCCTTACATAGACACATTTGAACAAAATCTCACCTGGTATCGGGGACCATGCACACTAGATACTTCACATTAGTTAAATGAATAACTACCTAACGAGATAGATAGTTAATTGACTCAGTCCTGTGTGCATTCCAATCCCTGCCTATGATCTTCTAGTATTTTCATGCCATACCAACTTCAGCCATATCCGTGTGGTCCAACCGCGCGACCAATCATAATCATCAACCACGAACCCACCCTTACCTCTATCAACGAACATGCACAATAGTGCGCCCCCCATCCCAGGTGATCCTCCTGCGCACACGCATTCTGAACGTCCCATGCTTTGTATCCGCGAGTGCAAGACCCTCGTCAAGCAGATACGCCGACGGCGCGAAGACGAGCGCCTCGCCCGTGCGCAGACTGGCAATATGGTAAAGACCATCGTCTGGGCCGGCGTCGCGGTTGCCATTCACGACTGGGACATGCTGCTGGATTGTCTTCCACCATTCTGGGCTGGAGAAGCGGTGGATGATAGTGATGGAGCAGAGGTCGATCAGACGTGGTGAGATGGTGGGTTCCTGGGTGGAGATGATGGTGCGGACGCCGAGGTGGCGCTGTTGGCGGATTATGTTGAGGAAAGTTTCTGTGAGTTCTTTCGCTGCGGGTGAGTCGGTCATGTACTGTCTATTGTGAGTGATGGTTCAATTGGGGAGGAGTATGAGGGGAGGGTACTTTGTGAGCTTCGTCTGCGACGATCATTTTTCCTCGGGAGGGGTGCGCGTGCAGGAACAAGTCGATTGCCACGCGGAATAGGATGCACGTGGTCGACTGGTCCATGAAAGGACATGATAGATCGAGAATGGTGACTCCCCCGTCTACGAAGTAATCGCCCGTATTCTCGCCTGTCAAGTTTAGGTATGAGTCTAGTAGGTCCAGCCGCTGCTCGAGGAATGGAGTCTGGGCGCGGTCTAGACGCAGAGTTCCGAGGCGGAGCCGGAAGTCGAAGTAATTGAACGAGCCACCGCTCTCGACTGCCATCTCGCGAAGGATGCGCGTCACCTGTGCCATGTACAGGGGCGTCGAGTCGCTCTTTCCCATGGACATGAGGGACAGCATCATGCTAATGTTCAGATGACGCGGTTGCAGTCGAAAGGGACGAACCTGCACATTCGGTATCTGCTCGTACATCTTGGCGAGGTTGTGGTAGTTTGAAGGCGGAACGAGCACACTGACGGGGACGGACTTCTGGGCGGCGTACTCTGGGAGCACCGACGACAGGAATGCGGCCTCGCTGGGTTGGGAGCTGACATTGGAACTGTATTCATTGTAGTGCAGAACCAGGGTGGACAATGGCTTCTTGAGCGAGCCCAGCGCTGGCATGGGAATGGAACAGTTTTCTGGCCTCGTCAATAATGGTTCATACATGCTGAGGGTTGATGCCTACCAATCATGCAGGACGTCGTGTGCGACTTTCCACTTCCTTGCAGACCGCAGATAAACGCAGAAAAAGGGACGTTGGTATTGAGCATGACTCGTGGGTCGTACGCAGTCGACTGTCCTAACTGGGAATGGCCGAGCAGGGCAAATTGCGATGGCAGGGTATGACCCAGTCTCTCTGCAGCTGGGGATAGCAGAACCGCGTTTTCTACGGTGTCTGGAAGCTGACCGCCAATGCTGGCCCAGTCATCTTTCCCGTCGAGATTCAGGAGGTGCAACTGATCATCTAGCGAAGGCATGGCCGTGGATGACTGGGACTCTCCATCCTCCTTGTCTTGGTTGGCGCCTAGGTACTCCTTGAAATCTGGATCTGTCAGACCTATCTTGGGACAATGCCGAAGGGCGGGAGATACCTTGAAGAATGGCATTGTCCGACCGTTCTTTCGCAAGCTGCTCTTCAAGCACCGCGATATCAGGCGGAAGCATCTGAAATGGAAGACGGGCTTCTTTTGCCGGACGAGCTTTTTTTGCCGATCGAGATTTTTTTGCTGGGGCCTGCGCAGATAGAGCCTGCTCCGTAGGTATAGCCTGCTCCGTAGGTAGAGCAGGCTGTGCAGGTAGAGCCTGCGTAGGTTGAACATGCGTAGCTAGAACAGGCTGTGTAGGCTGTGTAGGCTGGGCTTGAGGCTTCAACATGGGTTAGCATTGAACATCATTACAAAGTCTATATATCCTCACCTGAACCTGCGTATCTTGATCGTTCGCCTCAATCTTTTTGAGCTTCTTTTCTCTCCGCGCTTCCAAAATCGCCGCATAGCTGATTCTTAGACATGTTCGAGATGTAACAAGGGGTGCAACTTACTCGTCTATGATAGTGGTGATAAAATCACCCTGATCAACATTTTTTTCCAAGAATTTGGCATGGATTTGTTCTTTATCGACATAATTCTGCCCATTGTACATGTCTCGAACAACCGAGCGGATATTGTTCCTGAGCTGTCGCAGGGGATCGACCGGCTTCTTCCCGGCCTGGGGCCGGGGGGAATTCCCATCCTGGGCCTGTTTTTGCTGCGACTTTTTCTTCGACATTTTGACCACAGACTGATGTGTGGGAGGAGAGATTCTAATGTCAAGGTTGTCGTTGTGGAAAACGAGGCAATATAGCAGTCGGTGATGAGGTGGATTTCCTATCTGGGAATACCCGCATCTGTGGGTCCGCGGGGGATCACGTGTGTCGTGTAGAATCCTTCACCGTATAGATCACATTTTCCATTTACAGTTGAGACAGTCAAGTGAATAGATTGATCTGAAATACTCTGCATAGATGGGGTGATTAGACCTGCTTATTCTCTTGTCATGAACTTTCCACTATGCTGTCTTTGTCAAGTTCCAGATATTTTCCGGCTATAGCAATATGGACTGACTGATATGTCCAACGGAGCTTTTGGGATGGTGCGTCCTACTTTCCCTATGCTGAAGCTGCAATCAACAGAAGTGTTTAAGTTCTCGTCCCATCATGCAAGGCGGGAGTTGTCTTCAAAGTACCTAAAATCCTATATACATACTGAGTATTCCCTCATGAATGGTTCAACCATATAGGACAACATGTTTATCAGTATAAAGCCCACAGTAGCACCACGAGGAAAGCCAGAATTCCATCCACTAGTCCACTAGTCATTACTGTACAGCTGACTCATCTGAATAGGCATCATAAAAATCGGGCCGATACCGACAGAGTTTTGCGGGGTGGGTCCGACCGACATCGGCGTCAGGAGGAGGCGAAACCCAAACCGGACCCATCCCGGACCTCTGATTCGCTGGATTCGCGTTTCGTTGAATGGAACGACGACACAAATGGGGTTCAGCAGCAGTTCAGCTATGGCCACTGTGACAGATGTGTCTCCGCAGGGGTAATTGGAAAAGTCTTTTCCTTTTCTCACCTTTCCGCGTGTCTTGTTGTCGATTCCATATAGATATTCGAAGCTGCGGTTGATACGATGACGGCAGATATCACATTCAAAGATGTTGGGCGCGAGGAGTCTGCTCCGAGGCTGGACTTGGAGGCGTGGGAACCGGATATGATGGAGAAACAGGATCTTCCTCCTACTGCATATGACCCGTTCGGGTCGGAGGAGACAGCGGAGGTACATTATAAGACGCTAAGCTGGTGGTATGTTTGACACAGATGGAGATGCGTGGGCTTGACTGACAGTGATATAGGCAAAGCGGAATGCGTATGGCATTGGCCCCTGATTCTACCAAAAATATGGACTAACATGAACAAGTGATGATTGCTGAAACAGTGTCCCTGGGTGTCTTGTCCATCCCAGCAACCCTGGCATCTATAGGCCTCGTCCCGTATGTTGATCGATCCTGATCCTCCCGTTCTAGTGTCCACCGCTAACGCCACCAGTGGCATCATCCTGATCGTCGGCCTAGGGATCATCTCCACCTACTCCGGCTACGTTATCGGCCAGTTCAGGCAGCGCTACCCGTCGATTCACAGCATGGCCGATGCCGCAGATGTCATGCTCGGGCCGTGGGGTCGCGAGATCTTCGGGGTGGCCCAGCTGATCTTTTTCCTCTTTGCGACAGCCAGCCACATCCTCACCTTTACCGTCATGATGAACACCCTCACGAACCATGGCACCTGTTCCCTGGTATTTGGCGTTGTGGGCTTGATCCTGTCCTTCCTGTGTTCCCTTCCCCGAACCATGAAGAATGTCTCCACCTTCGCTGTCGTTTGTACGTCCCCCGTTGCCTCCACCAATAATGTTCACTCATACTGACCCTCGCCCAGCCTTCCTAAGTATCTTCGTGTCCGTCGTCATCACAATGGTCGGCGTGGGCGTCGAGCACCCCGGCGACGGCCAAATGGAAATCACCAAAGCAACGAGCTTTGTCAACGCCTTCACAGCAGTGACCAACATCGTCTTCGCCTACTGCGGTCACGCCGCCTTCTTCGGCTTCATCGCCGAGATGAAAGACCCCCGCGACTTCCCCAAGTCCCTGGCCATGCTACAGGGGTTTGAAATCGTCTTCTATACGATCGCCGCGGCCGTCATCTACCGGTATGCCGGACAGGGTGTGGCGTCGCCGGCGCTGGGCTCTACGGGACCTATCCTGCAGAAGGTCGCTTATGGAATCGCCATTCCTACTGTATGTCTCAGAGACTTCCTCGGGGTCATGAAGAACAGTACTGACAGACACAGATCGTCATAGCCGGTGTGATCAACGGCCACGTGGCTATCAAAAACGTCTACGTGCGCCTCTTCCGCGGCACAGACCTGATGCACCAGCGGAGTTTGCGCGCGACAGGATCGTGGATCGCGCTGGCGCTGACGTTCTGGATTATCTCGTGGATCATCGCAGAAGCGATTCCCGTATTCAACAATCTGCTGAGTTTGATCGTTCGTCTTCCTTGCTCCTTCTGACTATAGCGAATTCCGCTAACTGACCAACTTTCGTTAATAGAGCGCACTCTTTGCGAGCTGGTTCTCGTGTAAGTCACTCACTATACCCCCTCCCAATCTGATCATGAAACTTACAAAGCACAGTCGGTCTCAGTGGTATCTTCGGTCTCTACATGACCTGGGGGCAACTTTTTACTTCCCCGAAGAGGATTCTCCTCACTATCGCCAATGTCCTGCTCATTGGGATCGGCACGACTATAGTACGTTCCTTCCTTCCTTCCTCTTCCTTTCCCTTTTCTTCTCCAGTTGGAAATGAAAGAATAAGAAAAACACATTACTAACAACGATAACACAGTGCGTCTGCGGTCTCTGGGTATCAGGCGTTGCAATTCACAACGACGCCTCAAAGAGCAGTTTCTCCTGCGCGAATAACGCCTAATCTTTGCTTGCAGCGTTCGCTTGTATCATAGAATAATAGACTACATATATCCCCTTGTTGATTATATCATTTCCTCCTTCATCTTGATCTACTTCCTCGCCCGATCCTTCTACAAGTAACTACCCAAGTAGGCAAACAAGAGCACTAGATCTAATCAGATAACCTTAACCAACCCACGGGTGGACGCGTCGTCTGGTTCAAAAGAGTATTGGTCCAACATTCAGAAGTGGATTCTCGCGATCGATCCGACATCTTGCATGTTTGTGGAATTCTATTGGCTGCGGTTATGAAGGAGGAGGCTGTACTGTCTTGCTTGTGTTACGTTGGGGTGTCTGGACTGGGCTGGACTGGGCTGGGTGACTGTATTTCTTGGTGATGATATGCTTAAGATCGGGCAATTGTACATACCTATCTGTTTAGTGAGGGTCGACGGCTTGAGCCGGTGGAGGGCTGTTAGTATGACGACTAGTAGTTGGTTAATCCGGTAGGGCTTTGTTGGTTATTTCTAGGGTTTACGGTTGCATATCTATGAGCTATGTTGTATTCAGGCATATACAAGTATGTGTAAAAAAGCTACAGTCCAGACAGTCCAAACTGCATCTCTGCATCTGTTCAAATTTTTCTATCATGATTACACATCCGGGTTCGAACTTATTTGTAAATCTTCGTCAAGAGACACCACGAGAAAGGCTGTAGGCTCACCTAGATGCTGCGTATTACATGACACATAATGACAATCCTAGCATAACAGGCATGCTAAATGGATATATTACCAAAACGATTAACTTCCTCCCACGAGGTAAGTATATAAAAAACCATTTGACTCGACGAAAGGCCGTGGACCGCTACCAAGTGGGTGGGTTCATAATGTACAGCATCTTTCTCCAAGGATGAGCGACCCAATGTTGACTGTCTGTCAGCTGAGGATACTTCGTGCGAGATGTGCCTGATCCAGAGACTATAGAAAACCAGGCATTCTAGACCCATCCATCCAGCTATTATATCACATTGACTATACCCACGCAGTGTATATATAACGCGGTTGTTCACTGAGCGAGGATTGTTGCGCTTTGCGAGGAAAGGTACCTGCGATTCGACCAGACTCGCAGAGAAAGGATTCGTGGTAGCGTATCCGTAGCATCTTCGGGAGAGGATAGGCAGTACCGTTCTAGTGGGTTGATAATCTTATCATATTTGAATCGCGGGTATGAGTAGTGAGCGACAGACATGTTAAGAGCTAGATCTAGATCATGCATTGTATGTTAGCAGACGGCAATCACGTATGAGCCCGAGTCTCCTCTTGTGACAAACGCTGATCACTAGTACCACAGAGATCGTACCAGTATAAAGAAGTTTAATTGAACATCTTATCTTGTGGTTGATGTACCATCCCTGCGAAATTATTCCAAAAGCGAGATAAAACGACCATCGATTGAATAGAACACAGGTATTTAATAAAGGAAGAAAGAAGGATCATAAACAAGGAAGAGAAACACCAGAAAACCAGTCACATGAGCAGCCCAATTGCGGAGAAATAAGTCGCCACTGCGCCAGATGATATTCGCCAGTCCAAAGCATGAACCGACCTTCCCGGCAATGATCCCAGTCGAGACGATCATAGGGCATACTTGCAAACTGGAACATCAGTCCTTCATATTCTAGCAAACAGACTGGAACCATCGCACTAGGTTCCAATACAACGGCCACCCCGCTAGGATCCATTCTCCAAGGTCTACTCGCTAGATACGTCATGCAATTGGACAGATGACCTGTACGATGATCTCCATTCCAAGATCTCTTCGGGAATTGGAGCCGCCCGCCCTCCACCACAAACAAACAGTTGAGCAACCAAGTGGGACATGCGATCCAATGAAGTGGCCCCTCTGATGGAAATTACATGAACCCACGCGTCAAGTGATTGTCCTAGCTTGTGCCAATACCTCACGATGACAGGAGCCAGAAGAGCCAGAAGAACAGGGAACCCCATCGGACAGATGGAATGGGATGGTCAGACGTTGCTTACAGTTTACACCACCTCGATAAGGATATCCACACCTGCTTCGCCTGTCTGACACCACACGACCAATCCCCAGTCGGTGAGTACCTACTGCTCTACGAGATACATCGTCATCGCCCACATCCTCACGCAAATAAGAAGTACCGGTACCTCATCGACCGGATCCCTCCCCTATTAAGCCAGCCCCTGCGACAGCCACCAGATCCGCCACTGTGATTGGAGACGATCGAGCATCGCCACCGCGCCGCTGTCTTGACCCCCCGGGATGGTGACCTTGCTGCCTAAACCGGGTGGATCCAGAATTCTCAATCCTGTGTGGTAGACGCAGCTTTTTCGAGATCCAACGGTGGCTGGCTTAAAATAAGCTTATCTGGGCATCTGGCACTACCTTGTTTGATCTCAACTATCAGACAACCTGGCGGTTTTGGCAATGATGGGGTTCCCGACGTTGGGAAGACGACAGTCCATAGGAAGCAATACATTATAGACCATACAAATCACGTGCACCGTCTTGTTATTTTATGTTTTATTCCCTTCAATTCCAAGAAGGGAAATTGACGGGTAAAGGCACGAAAAAAATAAAGTTAAGACAAGTCGAGTTAAAAGTGGGGCCGTCCATCGCATCGACTCGTGAGCGGCGGGCCCCATCGCGGTATGTGAGTCAGACAAGCCTGAATACCCCCGAAGGGAAGAGGAGACGGAGTCAGGGAAGAAAGAACCCCACGCCAGTTGTTTGGTAAAAAGGTGATAGTTCTTGAGGAGATGACGTGGCTGACCAGGATTTGTATATTAGGGGGGGATAATCTATCCTGGAAGCAGTAATGACAACGAGAAAATTTTTCCCTCGATCATCCGCACGGGCTCTGGATGCGGTAATGATATCGCGATCGTCCACGGCGGCCGCTGGAAAACCGCACATCTTGGGCGGATGACGTCGCATGGAATTTACTCCGTCTTTGTCCATTCACACTTCTTCATAGTATGGGCAAGATTGAGCACGGATGATAAATCCAGCCACCTCCCGACAAACCATCTAGGCTCATTGGTTATCCAAAAGTGTCAGATTTTGGACGAAACTTTGGTCGGCGGAAATACGGACGCCAGATATGCCCGGTGGTTAACATCGGGATTAGAAATCGTACCATGACATCCGCGGGGAGAGTTACCACATTGGGTTGAGTCGCGCCGTCGGAGCCGCTCAGCTTCACGGAAATCCGGTTGGTAATGGACACCATTAACTATGGAGAGTAAGACCAAGGATTAGAGGAGAGAAAGAAAAATCGTTAATTAAAAGACAGAGAACAACTTTGTCCCGAACCCGACCCGAGGAATGATGTCCCTATAGGGCAATGATAGTTTTCACTACGGGCTAGCAGCTTGCCAGCTCCACTTGGAGATCCTTAGTGAGAAGATCAAGCACCACCTTTGACCCCATCCTGTACGATGATGTGACCTGAGTAAATTGCTATTCATATCGAGCAATGGCAGTACTTATCCACCGACTGATGATCCCATACTGTATACTATTGTGTATAGAATGAGGTCGTCGGACCCCCTAGATCAGGACTGGCCTACTGTAGTAGTTGCTTCAGTACATCGTACAGCTTGGCTCTATAAGTCACCCCTCTGTCAATAAACCGGATCAACAACCCGGAAAACGGACGACAAGGGAGGGGAACCCCCTCTCCGGCGATCAAGAGGGGAAACAAGAGGTCTGTGTTTGATACGGTGTGGTAGACTAGCCGTGGAACTATAGCTACTATACTAGCAGGGGAGGCATGCTCCTGTGAGGAGGTTGACTGCACGGCACATGCTACAGGATCACATAGTCTACAGACTCGACAGTGACAACACTCCGGATTGCTCTGCCGTCTGTCCTCGACCTTTTTGGGCCTTTGAAGCGTGCTGGGGGCTACATCCGACCCTTCCGACCCTTGCCAGATCTGGTGACAAACAATCCGGTGAACCCACTGTGGCCGTCACTAAACTCCCCATGGCAGGTCGCATGGCAAATCATTTGTTATTAGGATCCCCCGTTCGGCACCGGAGACGTTGGTAGAAAACAATAATAATAATAATTCAATTATTATTATTTGAACGCGAAAATAAAAATAAAAATAAAAAATAAAAAGTTTTCTCGTTCGCAAAGGCTTATATAAATACAAAGTAGCCCCGCTCCGCAACAAGGTGATTATAAACTGGCATGATTCTCCCAATAGTACAATAGCTTTTTTATTTTATTTTATTTTCTTCGTGGCTTTGCTCTGTCTAGCTAGGATACTATCCTATTATACTTCAAACGAACTCTTTGACATCCTCCTCCCAAAACTCCGTCTCATACTTCCGTCCTCCCTCTCCTCCTGCAAACGCCCGATTCAATATATATTCTATTATAATTCTCCCATACTAGACTCGATCGGATCGCACCATGATGGAAACACAGCAAATGGAGAGTCACCAGGTGTTCGCCTCGCGCCAGTCGGGACGCAGCTCGGAAAGCGACAGCTCGGTGGACGCGGTCCTCAACGAGAAGCAGAAGCTGGCCAGCAACAACAACCGCGTGGTGAACGGGCGTCCAGATCTGAACAACTCAGCCTCCCCCAAGCGGTGGAAGACGTTCTGGGCGGCGTTCCGGCATCTGCAAAACCTGACCCCGAAGGAGGTGGATGATTTCATGGCGTCCTACGTCATCTACAATCTGGACTGGTCGGATGAGCGGCAAATGGTCGAGGCATTGGGACCCAATTATCAGGCCAAGGTTGGGGACTGCCTGAAGTCATACTACGGGGTGTTGAACCACCTGTGTGCGCTGGGTGATGTGGAGAAGATGTATATCCCCCCATTCATGAGCAAGAAGGCCACCGTGCTGGAGAACCAGCTGCTGTACGAGGAGTCCATTGCCAACGACATCGGGTTGGCCCCGGGCGACAAGGTGTTGGATTTGGGTTGCGGCCGCGGACGGGTCGCCGCGCACATGACGCAATTCGCGGGCGCACAGGTCACGGGACTCAATATCGACCCGAATCAGATCGAGCAGGCCAACAGTTACAACCAGAAGATCGGCTTCAAGGACAACCGATTCATCGTGCAGGACTTCAACAGCCTGCCGCTGCCCTTCGAGGATGACACCTTCGACGCCTTCTACCAGATCCAGGCCCTCAGTCTCTGCCGCGATCACACCACGCTCTTCAAGGAGATCCACCGCGTCGTCAAGCCCGGCGCCAAGATCTCCCTCCTCGACTGGGTCAGCTTCCCGGAGTACGACCAGTCCAACCCGGAGCATGCGGAGCTGATGCGACGCGTCAAGCCGCTCATCGGCGCGGTGGGCACCCCGACACCCGCCAGTCTCGAGAAGGCCCTGACGGACGCGGGCTTCGTGGTGACCAAGTCGGACAACGCCAGCGTGGGCGGTCTGCAGACACCGCTCATCGAGAAGGTCGATCTCTACTTCCGATCCATGCGACAGGTCATCCTCGCGCTTGTCAAGGCCCACATGCTGCCGCGTCACTTCAAGACCCTGATCAACCGGCTGTGTCTGGACGGTGAGGCCTTTGTCAAGATGGATACCATGCGACTCGTCACCACCAGTTACCGCATCATTGCGGAGAAGCCTCTCCAGTAAGGTCCTTCTTCACCGGGCAGCTGTGGAGAGAAAATAGGATTGGTGATGAGATGTTTCCACTCGACGGGACAATAAGGCACAATTACGTCAGGTATCTTGGCACTCCGATCGGCCATGTCGGTATGGAATGATCCGAAGTCCGAACGCTTATCGATGCCGTTTTCCGTCATTGGACCCACTTGGAAGACAACAAAGAAAAATAATAATAATAATAAAGACTAAAAAAAGGCAAAAAAAATGAGGAAAACATTCGTGTGGAAAGAGGCCTGGCCAGGAGATAGATTCCGTGGGAGATTTGCAGCTGGCAAGACGGCTCTACATGCAACAAGCCCACACATCTGCCGGTTAAGCGTTTTCCCGCGACAAAAGTGACTTCCATCTCATCGCATCCTTGTCTTCCGCTAGATACCGACCCGGTCATGACAGGAATGCTGACGCAAAGCATACCCTTCTACCCTCCGACATTGCATGACTCGAGACGACCCGTTCGCATGTGATTGATTGATCCACTAATCGATTCATTCGATGCTTTTACGCCCTCGATCCCAGATAATAAAGACCTTCACCAACATAGTCCTCAACATAATGGACTATGTTGGCTGGGGGTCCCCCCCCCCCCCGTCCCTCGCATTCTCACGACCACTGCGTGGCCGTACAGAACCTGTTAATAGTCCGATTTTCCGAGTGTTTTTTGTGGTTGGTTTTAGCCGGTGTTTGTCGTTTGCATGGGTTTGCCCTTGATTTCTCTTTTTTCTTGTTGACGTTGGTCTGTTCGGTCGTGGATACCCTCTTGGAGTGAAGTGGGATGTCCGGATAGAAGTATATATAGATTATAATTACATATTGTTAAATATCTTGTTAAAATATTTTCAAACTCTACAATTATCGGTATCTATAAGGTGGCGCTGGGGCCCGTCTAGTGTCGCGCACTGGTGTCGGAGTATCATGTTGGGGGGCTGATTGTTGTAAGCCTGTAAGGGAAACTGCATCATAATTTGGTAAACATGTCAATCAGGGGCATAGTTCAAAAATAGAGAACTAAGTTGGGTAAAATTAGAGAGTCTTAGGAGTACCTACTCTTTTAATATAACATTGAATCAGTTGACAAGCCTTAACACCGACATGTCCAGAACTGTTATTTCCGGTCTAACTCCGGGATATAAGAGTGGTTTACAGGAGATTTTCATCCATCACACGGATGGATCCAAATACGTTCATCTGACTAGAGTAACTTGAGTATTGTTTAGCTAAAGGTTTTGTGAGTGATAGGGCCAGGTGGAGTATATGGTACTTTTTTTTATCAAACTAGCACTGCTTCATATCTGCTACCAAGCAACCACACAACTACGCCTCTATGGCTCTTCCCACCCCTTCCAACCACAGGCTTCGGCCTTCACGGAATCATCTAGCGCCCAGTAGGAACACCCGACGAGCAACACCGTCGGGGACGAAAAGGGAGAATTGATCGTATCTTGGGAGCGTTTGATGTTCAAGAGTACAGGAAGATGCCGGGGATGGAGAGTATACTTTGGACTTACACTAGGACCGCGCTTGTCTATCCCCGTTCATACTCAGGATCTATGGGTAGTCCTTGGTGATATCGCTGATGAGTTCCAATGTTGAAGAATTTTAATGAAGTTTGTTTGTATCATCCTACGCGTATTCTCAAATAGAGTGATACGATATCAATTTCGTCTGCTTAGAACAAGAAAAAAATAAAAAAATAAAAAAAGCAAAGCAATAAGGGGGACGACTTCCACTAGTCACGCAACGTGATAACTCGAAATAAGAAAAGCGACATCTCAGGCCACAGATAATCTCCAAAACTACCACTCCTCCTTTCCGTCAACCATGCCCCCGTGCACCTCTAAGAAAACCTGCTCTTCCTCCTTTCTGTCAACCACGCCCCCGTGCACCTCCGGCCAGACCTCCTCATCCTTGTCTGGGAACACCGGCTGGCCACTGGCGGCACACACAGCATTTACCAGGCGGAACATGTTGCGATTCAAAGACTGCATCACAATGAGCTTCTGCTTGTCGGTGGAGTCACCAATCGCTTCGCGATAGGCATCTGCCTTTCTAGCAAATGCTGCGACCGCTGCTAGCTGGCGATCGGGACCAAGAAGGAGAAGGTTGGTGACATCTCCCCGCAGGGGAATAGGCACTGGCACGCACAGCTTGCCCAGTTCTTGGCAATACCGACACTTCTCATATGAGCTTGATCGGTTGCACGACTTGTGGCCTTCCTTTCCAATACGCTTGACGCACCGCGTGCACCAAGCAAATGGAGATGCGTTAGTGGGCCCGAGTCGACTCGCAGACTGAGGGCTCTGTGTTTCAGCGTTGGACTGCTGGCGTGGCTCAGGCGAAGCGACGGCGCTTCCGAGTCCTGAGTTCGCGGGCGAGCTCCGACCCCATGATCTCCATTCATCGTCATTCGATTCTCCTCTATCATCCACTGTTTCAGGGCCAGTCTGCTGGCGAAGCGAAGGCGACGCGGAGGCGCCCCCGAGTCCTAAGGTTAGGGGCGAGCTCGAGCCCCAGGGCGGCTGTCCGTCGTCATTAGAATTTCCCCAAGCCTCCACTTCTTCTTCCTCTTCTCTCTGTCTTTTCTCTCCAGTTTGGTTCGATTTTTTGGGGTTGGCAACCTCATCTGAGGGCTTTGATCTAGCTGGGGACTTGGGGGAGACCGTATTTTCCGTTGATCCGACTAGACCCCATCCCCAATTTAGAAATCTTGGGTTGGCCTCGTAATGTAATCAGTAGCCAAACTTTGATCATTGACTCATTATAAGATACACACCTTGTTAGCCGCGTTCCAGCCCCCTTCGGTAGTAGTTGTAGAGATATGTACACTCTTTTGCTTGTTATAATGATGCTTAGCAGGAAGATAGGTGTTACAGCCCGCCTGTAATTTCTGTTAGTGATGGTATTGAAAGTATCAACGAACCAGTGACGCTGACCTTCTCCCAAATCCATTCAATGGGTTCGAGGTTGGCGATAATTTCGGTTCGAAAAAACGGTATCTTTTGCAAGACCCAGCTACAGTCATCATCGGCAAAGATGACAAGCGCGGCAAAAGCAAGCAAAGCTGCTCTTTTATGATCTTTCAATGCTGTTATGGTGTTAGACTGGACATAATACGTTCGACCTTGGAACAAGTTGGGACTGACCTAGTGCCCTGTGGATATAACCTGTGAGATGCGTAGGCTCCCCGTCCCAGAAATCATTGACGAGTCCAACCACATCTTTGAGCAATTTGTTGTAATAAATACCCCAGTCTCCATCCAGAACGGTGGTCGGAATGGGGCCTTTCATAGTGGAGCTCATCTCGAAAGACTGGTTGTGTTAGTAGCTTTCAGTCCTCGAGAACGAAGTAAAAGAGAAGACCACGATTCCAATCAACAGGACTTTGGAAGGAGTACATAGGGGATGATTTTTGCCTGAGCTTCGAGATGACATGGTCTTGTCTTCGGAACTTACCTCGTGTTGGAAGAGAAACAAGGAAAGCACAAATCAACAAGAGATAGATGGAGAGAGAGGTTAGCGGGTTATTTCAATAGACAGCGTCTATCTCGAGATGAAGTTATTCTTAGGTTGATCAACAAATATAGGTGTCAAGTGTTAGCATAGGAGGAAGAGGATGATAGAGAGAAGATATGGGAAGAGAAACAGAAGTGGGAGGAAGTCATTTATATAAAGCGATTATGAGGGATACAAGTCTATCTCATTCACTCTTTTCGTGAGGCGAAAATGGGAATAAGGTGATGATAGTTACTCTACCAGTGATTACAACTCTAGCCCACTCATGTGGATCTATAATTTTTATATCTGTCCTTCACCAAGACAAACTTTTTGTCTTGAATGAAGTGTCTAATTCAGCTGCCTTCCTGAAGAACTGCCTTAGTGAAAGATAGCAAGGTAGCACATAACATCATAGCAACATCAGGATTTTCATCTTCGGGATAGGAGTCAGATATATGTACTATCTAGACGATTAACTCTCATAAGCATCACTGTCAATGCATGTTTCCAATACAATAATTTTTGTCTAGTCATTTCTTGGTACAGCACAAGCCAAAAACCCAGTGAATAATCCTGGGGTGAATATAGCTTCACTGAATGTTGCACGTATGGTGATGATGGTGGTGGTGATAATAGTAATAGTATTAAACATCCTTAGCGGGTAACACAGGAGTCAGCTCCTCCTAGGGGACGAAAAGACACGCCACTTGCTACGGAATTATGTAGAAATGTAAGCCCGTAAGGGGCAACTCCTCGGACATGGTGCTGAGCGAATACGCCAGTGGTCTGTGAGCCCTACGCCTGTCGAGAAGACAGCTGGGGAATCCTCCGTGAATTTCCCGAAGTTGTCACCTTTCGTCGGTAAAAATCCGTTGGCGTAAGTCAGTGGAAGAGGTGGGAACAATACGCCTCAAAGTTTGGTCACCGCCAGTGCCAGGGGCCTAGGGGGATCTTGAACAGCTTAGCGGGTGCAGATGCAGGCTTAGAAACCAATGATGCGGAGAAGAACCGCGACATCGGGAGGCTTTTATATTTACTACAACCCCCTGAGGAGGGCTATGAATACCATGGATACCTGAAACCGTGCCCAAATATTCGGGATTGAAGTAATTGTTCGGATTATCAGTCAGTCCAAGCCCTATACCAAAACATTGATCAACGTCTTGGTGTAGCGGACTTGAGAGTAATTATTTTCTTAGCAACAAATAACAATGGCATAAGCAGAGGACTCTTGGTGGTATAGAGAGTATAAGTATAAGTATCTCCCCAAGGGGTGTCGGCCACGCTCGTTTCGATCGGTTCAAAGAAGAAGAGGTGTAGAGACGGGCGTCTGCGTCTGTAGGGCGCATGATTGTGTATTGTGTGGGCCGAATTTGAGCTCCGGCGCCGGCGACTACACTAACTTCTTCGAGTCGATATGAAGCGCGAAACGAGGCACCTTGAAAGATCTTCTTTTTGAAGTAACAAGTGAGCCGTGAAAGCTTAGCTTGAAGGCTAAGAGTAGGGTTATCCATGGACTTCCGGTAGATACTCCCTCAGATTTTTGGCAAACCCACTCAATTTGGCGTCGAGATCGGGTGTTACGTGGCTGACTTCGTTGTGCATAGTGACCTTTCTGGTTGCTATCCTTTCTAGGACTTCGATGATAGTGGTCTCGTGGGGTGCTCTTTTGACTAAGATTCCATGGAAGTTATTAACCACGTCTCAAGATCTGTAGATATTTCTGTAGCTGTGGATACTTACCAAGTTTCTCAGAAATTGAAAGAGAGACCCCATAAATCCTCCTGAAGACGGCCAAGTCCGTCCGTTGTTGACTGGTGTAAAGTTGACCATCAGCGCGCATTAGCGCAAAGTGGGCCCAGCGATTTCTGTGATCTGGTCTCGGAGACTCGTTGTCGACCTTCTGAGCATCTCGTAGATACGTATTGAAGAACTTCTGGTAAGGCCCGCTTCCGAGTTGACACATCCACTCCATGTCTTGGCTCGCCATGAACAAGGCACCTCCAGACGTAAAAGCCCAACAGGAACGATGTTATCCTTGCCCAGTGTATGGTAGGACGTCATGGTAACCATCCTAATAGTCGGCTCTTACTCTATCCGTGATGGTTGGTAATAGAGAGTCCTTCCTTGCTGGGTCACGTTGACATGACGATCGGTGAAGACGCCCATCCCTGCCTTGCGGGTCTCGATCATGTGGCGAGATTTTCGTAACCCCGCTTGTCGCTCTGTAATCTTATAGCCATTCTCCACAGGTTTTCGGAAACGGCTAAGGAACAAGATAGGATATACCGCGTTCTGCACGGGAGGTGGTTGCTTGTCACCTGAGGAATGATGTGTGCCTTGCCCGGTTTATAGTGGAGCTTGCGGGTTTCCAGTATGATGAGGGGCATGAACGAATGAAACAAGAAAGTGCAGTGGGTCTAACAGGCTAGGTCACACTGTACTAGTTTCCTAGCAGTCATGTAGACCCACCCGCACTTAACTTCATGTAGCAAAGTGCCAGGTACCTTCCTCAACATCTCCACGGTATTACAACAACACCTGTATGACCTAATCTAGTCTTCCTAGGTTAACCATTACTCGTGGTTAGATTGCTGCTGGACATCCCTGATAGTACTTCCTTGTTTAAGAATACATACAACAAGTGTAATAACCATTAACCTCGGAGTAATCTGTCACAATCGTGACAATAAATATCTGTTGGATTATCAGTCTTAGCAAGTCATGGAGCGAACACAGGAGAGAAGGTTGCCAAATTTGATACAACCCAAAGGGTACGCGGTGGTTATGAACAAGCTAGGAGTCATACCCGCCGTCAGTCATAAGGTGGATGGAGCAAAGTGAGAAGATTCACTCAAATGTATTGTCGAAACAAAGTACCACTCGGCTACAAAAGATATCTAGACACTTCTGAGCTCTGTGAATACCCTTTTGTGTACTATCTTATATTGCGACAGCTTCCAGCCTGAGGTAAGGTACCTGGGCAGCCTGCCTGTAGATGAAGGTACGGAAAAGACACATGAATCAATCGTACAAGTTGTTGGAAGGGGGCCAATGATTAGTCCCTCTTACCCAGTCTCCCAGCTATTTGACTCCTTGTCTACGTCAAGTTCACCACCGAGGAAGTAATTTGAAATCTCAAAGACGCAAATGACAATCAGAACAGATAGTGACTCTAGAGATAATTAATAATGATATTTCTGGCGAAGCTCGGCACGAAAAGATGATTGAAAGTCTTATTGAACAGTAAAACCCAGAGCATCGTGGCCACGTGTTCCTACGGACATGTCTGGATAGCTTCGAGATAACTGGTTTCCAAGGAAAGCGCATGTGTCTAGTGTATATGAACCAATGAGAGAGCCTCTTTGGGTTTTACAGTGGTGTTCTGTTGATTGCGAGCTTTTTTTGCTCATCGCAAAGGTCTACACCGACTTTCTTCTAGTTAGCCTTGATTATTTCTACTCAGAATGCAACTTCTCCCATGCAGGTGAGTCTATTATCTCGTGCCTGCGCTAGAATATAGATACCTAATGTACTTGCCAGATCTCGAGCTCGGAAATATCCTCATGGGCTTCGAAAATGAAATCATTCCTACCAACTTCATTGAATGACAACAACCTATATAATACAAGGTCATGACTGAGACTGGTCGGACAATTCATCGCTGTCATAATGACTTCGGTGCTCTTGAATGGAGAGAAATTCAAAGACATGATCCCCAGCATAGCTGATTTCGGGCTCGCAACGAAGGTCGGCATGCCGTCCACTAATCAGGGAATGGTTGGAGGACAAACTGGCCTTTATCCTATCCAGCCAGATTATTACTTTGCACCAGAGGCTATCCTCGGATGTGGTTGAAATCTCAAGGCAGATATTTGGAACTTTGGTGGGCTAGTAAGACCCTTCAACTGTTTTTCAGATAGTGTATAACGCCCTAATTTTAACAACGTTGCTGGTTAAGCTCAAAGCTAATTGCCCGTTCGAAAAGGTGTGGAACATCCTTGGGAGCAAGGAGTTGTTCCAACAAGTATATGACTCAAACGGCCAATACAACGCAAAGTCTTTACTCGCGGAAGGTTGACCAGTGTCGTCCATGGCCAAGTTGAGACTTGCCGTTCACAAGCACACTATACTCCATATAGGGTCACGGAGGTAATGCTAACAAGACATACGCGAATAGCACGTGCTTAGTGCTCACGAGGGGCGCTTCCACGAGTCAAGCCAGTGGAAGTATAGGAGCAGTCATCACGTAGTGACTGGCTTTCGTTCTGGTACACAAACCAGCGCTTAGGCCTGCAGCCCGGTGATTGAACGTCAAAAGTTGGCTACTCGCAACATGCCACTATTCAAACCCCAAACCTCAATATCCCAGAAGTAATAGGACCCTTCGTATGTGCATGCAGATCCCATCCACCCGTCGCACTCAACGTCCCAATGATATGCAACCCAACCGATCCAGATCCTCACAAAAGCACCCTATGCCTCGGACCACACCCCATCCAGAGACTCATCAAAGAACCCTGGGAAAGACGACGGCGGCGGCGACGGGACTCTAGACTGGCAATGCATATCTGCTCCTCTCTAATCAGCCGCCGAATCATCAGATCAGACACAAATCGGTGCATAGAACTCACAACTATTAACCTCAACAAAAGCCCCCAAAACCCTATTCACCAACTTCATCACCGACCACGACTCCTCCCTTGGTAGTGTTAGGTCACAAGCGGAGAGGTCGATCTGCGTCAGGTCCAGCTGCAGGTATACGATAGATGCCATGGCGAGAACGATGATCAGGGCCCCGGCGAAGACGGCGCGGGCTCCTGGCCGGGAGTCCATCTTGGTTTGGTTTGCATTGTAGGTGGCTTCCTCGGAATTGGGGTGGAGGTGGGAGTGGAGGGGGGTTCTGGGGGTGGTGCATTCCTGGGGTTGGGTGGTATGCAAGGGGTGTTGTGTTGGGTATGGTTTGTTTGTGGGCAAGAGGGAGTTGAGAGAGGGGACTACAGTGGCTTCATTCAAGGTTTACTGGGTTCATTTAGGTAGAAGTCATGGGTGGCTCAACTATCAGTATATTTGGCATTATTAGATCATTTCAATGTTACTATGCTTCTTCATGTTGTGTAGTAGTCAGAGTGTGAGGTATACAGCTTTAACAGGGTCATGCTGGAGGCATGGCGAAAGTACTAGGAGGAGCATGTATGTTTCTGCACTCCAGACCTTTGGTTATGGAAGGACATGACCTACCTCTCAGGCCTATCCAGTGTAATCAACCAAGCCAAGTCTGGTCCGTAATCACCGGCCTTATCAGGTTGCGGGGCACGATATCAAGGTATGCGGGTACTCTATCCCCTGTTTCGTAATATCTCCGGTACACCAACATCCGTTGAACCAACCGTTGAACCAAGCTTCGAGGTTGTCTCGATGGTCCGCAACAATCTCAGTCAAACAGACACCTTGGGTTACATCCTGGATACCCACCAGAGCAGGTACCCGGAACATCGAGGATAGCTCATCGGAGTGGCAAATGAAAATCGATAGCGTGACTTTAGCAACCATTTTCGCTTGCTCTATCCGGGTCGATTAGCCCGGGCATTGCTCAATCAATCCAAGGAAATCATGGGATTACTATGTGACGACGTCTTCCCACTGAATACTAAAAGATTATTGGACCGGAGGTATCGCATTGAGAGGGGATCATCTCCCGCTTAGGCCACAAGCTCCACGATATGAGCCGCACCTGTTCATGTGCTCGTCCCACCTTTTGAAATTGGGCGACAGCGTGAAGACGCACTAGCATGGTGAGTTATTGAAGAGGGGAAATGGGGCGGGAGAGTGGGGATACAATCTCGTAAAATTGAATTTGGAGTATATCGCAATGCCAGATGGCCGTGTTGTCCTGCGAGAACAGGCGCCAACAGCGTCCACGTGATTCCCGCCCTCTGACTGGTCCAGCGTTGGTGCAAATTTTTTCCGGACTACGACCTGCCGGACGTCATTCATTGACGATCCCTCTGGTGGCCCGTGGCATTTATGCGAAACAACACTCTCATGGTCGAATGAAAAGCGAGAGGCTTGCAATTGACCTCGATGTTATCAATCCACTGGTGTTAAAAATCAGCATTTGTCTCGGATTAATGGCGAATCAGCTACTATAATGCCTCTCCCCTCGTCCATCAATACCTCAAGAGTTATATTTCCCACCACGAGAGTTAAACCTTAAATGTCGAAGGTGTCTCGCCCGTATTGCGTCGTTTATGGACCCACAAAGGCAACGGAAAATAATAAGGACACAAGGGGGTAAAGCCGATGTCATTGGAAAGGATCCGCTCCTTGTCGGCTCCACTCGCTATAGTGAGACTAGTAGTAGTCTTATTCTGCCTCTCCTGGCCGCCTTTCCCCCGTCATAAGTCGTGTCTGGTCTGTATAGGATGGCGTCGATAACCCCGCTGCTCTCTTGGTGGATCAACTTGAATCAGTGGGTCCCCGCTAGTACTCAATAGGTCATTGTCGCTTCCGTCTCTGCCGATGATCTCTTCCTACGACAGCGTCACAGCAGTGACCAGGCCTCCAGGCCTCCAGGCCCTGGATCCACCTGTTGGGATTGTGAAAAGCTCCCAAGTCTAGTCCAGCCATGGGCTGATTCCAACCACCCTTCCCCCCCCCGCCTCTACGTCTTGAGAGAGGAGTGCCGGTTGGGACAATGGGATTGGATGTCATCCCTGCCACTGATCACATTGCTACTTGTCTCATTCGTCCGTTGATCGGGAGTAGGGTTGATAAGTGCTTTCCGACTGTCCATCCCGGTTACCTAAGTTGATCTTCATGGCCAAAGGGACAACGTTCGTCCCGGCCACCCATCCGATCCTCCGGAAATGCCACTTATAGGTACGGCGAACCCCACCTGATCAGAAGAGCGACTAGGATGCTCTCTGCCCCGCCGCGCACGGTAAATCAGTTAAAGCTCGTCCATTCGCTCGCCTTGGATGCACGCTCTATGGTTCGTAAAAAGCTAGGACCTTCCCTCCCCCCCACTGCCGTTGTTTTCATCTGTGGTCCTTTATTCGGTGTCAGTCAGGAAAAACCCCCAACCTAAACAGATGATCGATCAGCCGTTCAGGTACCCCACGATGTTCACCAACAGGTATGTTGACGTGTTACAACCATGGTTCAACTTCAATGGCAGCCCCCGTCGAAGTTCCACCGTTGACTCGTTCACAAGGAGGAATGCCAAAAAGCCGGATGGCAAGCTCATTGAGAACTTTCAGACCAAGTTCTCGGACCTTGTGCGTCCGACGCCAAACCACCTTCTACCCGCTAGGTCTGATCCTCCCTGTGTCTGAGACGGACACCCAGCCTATCTTTGGGTGTGCATTGTGCACCCACTCCAAGGGTCGTGACTAACCGGGTTGGTCCAACAGATTCTATATGATCGGTGGAGGAATTGGACCTACACCGAACATTTGCGTCACGCCCATCCAAGATGACACCTCACTGCCCGCTGCAAAATTGAGAAAGCGGAATAGCTATGATCGCACCCTGAACAGACGGAGCATCGTGTCGAATAGCCCGGCTGGAGACTTGCTCACTCCGTCGGGGAGAACAGATACGCTCCTGGATCAGGCTTTGTTTGACCAGTTCACTAACAATACCCCGCGTGCCCAGCCCGACAATACGGGCCTTGACCAATTCGGCGTGTCCAGTTCGATGCTGCAGCCTCAATATGTGGTCCCGAGCTCTCTGGATGGATCACATTCGCTCCAAGATTCCACAATGCCCTTTCCCGTTGACACCGACCCTAATGGAAGTGTTGACGGGATTGCCCCGGGAGATAACACTAAACATAGCTATCCAAGCTCCCACATGGTCGATGGGATGCTGGACTCCGCCAAACTTCCAGGCATGAAAAGTGAAAAGTAAGACATTCAATGGAACCACATGCTTATGTTCTCTTGACTAATACCTCATGATAGGTTGCGGTATCGCATGAAGATGCACACGCCGACAGCCATGATCAGAGATCGGAGGGAGGCCCCTGTAACGTATCTCAACAAGGGCCAAACTTACTGGCTGTCGGTTGTGGATTCAATGCCACCACCGCTGGGCATGCCGCCCACAAGGTACCGCACGTCAGTACGCATCACTTTTGACGAAGAAGCGCAGGTGAGCGACCCCGTGGGTTGCTGGCAACTCTGGAAGGAGGTCCGTGGGCAGAGGGAAGCAAGTCAACAAGGTCGCGGGCTGCAGGCAGTGGAATTCCTCTCTCCGGAAGAGGGAACACACAGCCAGCGACAGGATCAAGTCCGGCTTGAAAACGTATCTCTCGATGGATTCTGTGTCTCATGGACGGCAAGCCCAGGAGCGACCATCCCGCAATGCAAGTTAGGTGTTCGGTTCAACTTCCTCTCGACAGACTTCACCCACTCCAAAGGCGTCAAGGGCTCCTCGGTCAGGCTGTGTGCCAAGACCGAGACGGTCCCCGCAGTAGATCCGTACCCGGAGATGTCATACTGCAAGGTAAAACTATTCCGCGACCATGGCGCGGAGCGGAAGATCTCTAGCGATGTCTGTCAAATGAAGAAGGCCATCGACAAGTTGAAAAACGAGATGGCGTTATCCGGAGCGGGCGCGGACCACCTCGGGAAGCGGAAACGGGACAGCTCGAGTGCCTCAAAGAGCGCAAGCGATGCTAAGAGAAATGAGCGGCAGCTTGCATCAATGGAGAGCTCACTCTCTTCGACTCTGCCCGTGACCACGTTTAACCTGCTAGCAGATCAAAGGGATGACCCGGATTGGTACCCAATCCTTCTACCAGAACTCGAGCGCAAGACTTCCCCATCAGACCTTCGTCGCCACAGCGTCGAGAGCCTTCAGCATCTTTCCAAAGCCGGTTCGCTAGACCCGAGCTCGCCGTCATCCCTGACCACTCCTCCATCTCTATCACCTACCGGCATTACTACGGAGCAATTTCTTCCAAGAGACCTGACAAAATCCGGCAATCTTCCCTCCAAACCCTCAGAACCAGGTACGTCACCCAACAAATCAAACACAGAGAGAGAAAGCACAAGCGCTCCTTTTGGGGCCCCATTCTAATATCCCCCCAGCAGCCTGCTTCTACATCCGCTTCTACGACGAATGGAAAGTCCCCGAAAGCTACCACCGGGCACTCTACCTCACCGAGCGAACCGTCCGCAACTTGACCACAAAGATCTGCCAAACACAAGGCATGGACCCGGAGTCCGTCGCTCGAGCCCTACACGTCAACCCCAGCGGGTTGCGAATCATGATAGACGATGACGTAGTGCAGCAGATCCCGGACGGGCAGCCCATGATGGTAGAGATCATTTCGCCGTCTCCTACGTTGGAGATCTCACCGGGAGCAAAAGCGGAGTTTGAGATTATACTTAGTTATTGATATTACATATTACGTCGTTCATATGCAGGTACTAGTGTCTACAATAATCTACATTGCAGAAAACGGGCCCATCGTAATTTCCTGAGATTGACTAAGAGGTCGGAAAATAACATGACACGATAAAATACAATCAAAAGAATAATACTAAAACTAAAAACCAAAATTCATTTTCAAAAATCAAATCTAAAAAAAAAAAAAAAAGAGAACGGAAATAAAATAAACCAACACATTCAGCCAACCCCTCCTCCCCACCCGATCAAAGCACCAACCAAGTCGCGCACGAAAGCATCAAAACAAGAGATACGCATTACAAAAACATCAATTAAACAAGTTAGCGTGCAGCTAACCAACCCATCCATCCGGAACGTCAATTCAACACAGCACAAACTCCCGAGCCCAACCAAGATAAACAGATACAGTACGTAAGATTAGATTCAATGGGCCCCAGTCGGTACCAAACCCCGGCGGTGGGCTTCCAGGGGGGGATCCACCCGGGTGTTTTCTCCAACGGCTAAGCGTTCGCAGGGATACATAAGGATCTATCCAAACTGTAGTCCGTAGGGGCCATGCATGGGGGCCCCTGCATGTCCCAGGGAGGGGGGATTAAGGAGATTTCGCGGGAGAAGAGGGGGGGGGGAGGGGAGCAGCAGGTAAGTATTGTTAGGTAGTAGGCTAGGCTAGGCTAGCGAGCAAACAAACTATTGCCCGGCGGCATCCACTTCGCTATGGGGCCACTAATGCATGTTGCGAATATCAGATGGTCTTGCCTTTGATGTCTATTGTCTAGGACTCTAGAAGGTGATCATAGGATTGAACTGGTTGAAGGAGAAAAAACAAAAAAGACAATTATGATAATAATTACATGTATAACTAGATAAATACAAGCGAATGGTGCTAGTTTCACTCACTCGTCTGCTTTGGTCGGGTTCAAGGTAGTAATTGATCTACATGGTCTGGGCTGGCTGGCTGTCTCACCCATGTGCCCTCTCAACCCTCTCCACTCCTCCCCTTCCCCTCCCCGCTTCCTTGCTTGCTTGATGCTCAGTGCGCACGTCAGGAACTAGTCGTTGGAGACGGACTCACTAGTAGCTCTCCACTCTTGAATCTCGTTGGGCGATGCTCCTTAGTGCATCGTCGTGGGTACCTGTATCTGTATCTGTCATGTTGGTGGTCTGCCCTGTGCAGGCACCCTGGTGGAAATCCAGCACCTCGTTGTACCTGCAAGGGGTTTAGATCGGGATTCGCGGTTCCGAGGTAAGATTGCGATGCGAGGTGAGGGGGAGGCGATCTTACATCTTTAGTTTCCACTCCTCCAGCGAGATAGCTGGGTCTTCCTCGTAGGAGCAGTCGATTTCCTTGCCGGCGCTGGGCTCGTCCTCCGAGTCGTGGTACGTCATAAGGTACGGGTGCGAGAGGGCGTCCGCGGCGGTGATTCTCTCGTACGGGTCGAATTTGACCATTTTCTCGAGGAGGTCGATCGCTGGGCGAGTAGTGTCAGTTTCTGATCCAATACTTACGTGGGACGGCTGGAAAATGACGCATACCGGTGGGGTCAACGCCTTTGAGGACGGACGAGAACGGACGGCCTTCCTGGTGTGGTAGCTCGTCGATGAATCGGCGTGTCTGGAAGCTGGGAGTTAGCGAGCGGCACTTCACTTCCGGGTCCCGATGAGGAACGCCACTCACATTCGGGTTGTATATTCGCTCCATGACTTCCTTGGAAGGGTTTCCGAGCAGCTCCGTAATCAGGGAGAACTGGTGGATGTGATCCTTTCCGGGAAAGAGGGGTCGTGCCAGGTTCATCTCTGCAAGGATACATCCCACGCTCCAGATATCGATCTCGTAGCCGTACTGCTTCCATGTCAGCATGATCTCCGGCGCTCGGTACCACCTCGTTACGACGTAGCCGGTCATGTGGTGCTCCTGTTCCCGCGCGAGCCCGAAGTCGATGATTTTCAAGTCGCAATTTTCGTTTACGAGGATGTTGCCCGGTTTGAGGTCGCGGTGGATGACGCCAGCCGAGTGGATGTACTTCAGCCCTCGCTGCGATCGTCAGACAGGATGGTAATGTTGCCGGCTGGGGTGGGATCATACGAGAATCTGGTAGGTGAAAAACTGGATAAACTGGTTGTTTAACGGTCTTGACTGAACGAGCTGGTGTAGATCCGTCATCATGTTATTCGTGACGAGGTAGCTGCGCGGATCATCAGTATGTTATTCACACTATCGCGGGGTAAACGCATCATACATGTCTTCAGCCGGAGATATAAAGATATCTTGCAAGGTAATGAGCTGGTCAAATGAGCATACACCCAAAAGGTTCGTGGTTACGCGGCGTACATTTTCATGTCGCAGTCTGCTCAGCAGGTAGACTTCCCGGTACGTTCGTTTCGCGACCGCCGTACTCGAAAACGGTTTCCCAATCTTCTTGATGGCGACTGGGGCGTTGGTGATGTTGTCATACGCAGAGCTTCAGAGTTAGTCAACTTGGACGAGTCAACCCGGTTGCAACATACCAGATGACCCCAGAGACACCGACCCCCCGTGCCCTCAAATCCCGGTATCTAGGCGAGGGTGAGCACTCAATCCTGTTGCAGTCGAAACTTTAAGTTTTTCTTATTACCTGTCGGTAGTCTCATAACTCGTCCCTAAGACGTTCGATGTTATGAAGGTAGCCATGCTTCATGGGTGTTAATGCGGGCTGTGAGCTCATATCAGCTTGAAAATCCATGGGCTCCGTCGCCTGGATCAACCTCCAATCCTTAATAAAACTTTGTTTCTCACAACGCGACGTGGTAAATACGATGACATCAGACCACAATTCCATTTTCCGTAAGCAAGACACGTCATTCTACCCGTGCCCCTCCTTTCAATGCGATTGTGGGTGAAAACGGCCAATTGGAGGTCTTGTCGCGCAGTTCCCAGAGATTGAGCCGCTCTCGCACCCCTGACTATGCCAATTATATTTCAAAGCTAGCGCAGCTGCAGCCAAGAGAGGGGATCCACCTGTCGAGACTTCTTGTCCGATTGGTGAGTCCACACGGCACAGCTTGTATTCATGGATCGTTCAAACCATCAACAATATCATTGGATGATTTGGGAGAACTAAAATCAAAAATAAAATAAAATAAAAACAGGAGAGAAATAAACACGGCAATTCGTACCTCCAATTCCCGTATCCCTGGGTGGAGATCATTGCATGCGGTGTGGTGGCCTCTGCTCTCCTACTCCTATTGCCCCGTGCACACTATCATCATCTAGATATGCAAGGACTGAGATCTTGTTCGGTCGTGTTTTTATCGTTAGCTCATTATCTATATGTCATTGAGAGACGTCAGTCGAGATACCAAGGTGATCATGCAGTCAACGTGGATGGGAAAGGCACGACGATGTAAAATCACAAACTATTCAAACTCAAACCAGGATCGGTACCACTTTTCTGGGGTTTTCAACGTGCCAATGCCCAGTGTATTAGGCGTACTGGATTTGGGGGCTGTCCAAGGTACTAGCACTAGGGTCGAGACCCGATTTGCCGAACACGACCAACGGCGATGAACCAGGTCCAGCCATGCCATGTCCACAAAGCCTAAACTAGCTGAGTGCATCGTCAGGCAATTCCGTGCGCAAGTGACCAGCACCACCAGCACCCCTCAACGCAATATTTGATCTACGTACCTTGGTCGACAACAGCATGTCATTTCAGCGCTTTGGGCCGACTGTCGTCTGCTTTATCCGGGCCTCCGCCGACTGCAACCTTTCTCCACATACAAGGCTATACAACGGTCTTGAATAAAACCTTACCAGCAAATCCCTTGCATTGCGCAAGAAGGCCCAGGCCAACAGGCGATTTCGTATTCTACCTGCCTTGGCATGTCCTCGTTAGTACGTTCTATATCTGGAAATGTCTCCATTGACTGGCCCAAAAAAAGCGCCCCCTCTCGTGGAGGCAAAGGCTGCTTAGCCTGTTAGGGAAAGACAGTATTTAATAGCCAGGCTAGTCATCGAAAGGCTGGTGTTGTATCTCCTCGGATCTTGTCAGATGGCAGAATCGTGGACCCGCTCTTGGTCTGTGAGCGGCGATATCAGCAACCTGGTGGTTGGTGTCAAGATAGTCCAGCGTACTTCTTTACGACATAGGTAATAGATAATCCTGGTCAAGAGAGTAGTGTGGAAGAGTGGGCCTTGCAGGTGGCAAGCATGTCAGTTGACTTGCAGAGATTTCTTACAGCTTGTATTGTAGATCTTGCAATTTTGCGCCACTATTCGCTGCTGTTTTCGTAGCTCCAAGAATCATGGTCATCATCAATAGTTTGACCGGGTCTATGGGACCCCCCACATCGTGCATGGGTAACAACCATGAAGGATGTATGTAATCCATGGATGTATTGAATGGTTGTCGTAAGGTTGAAAGCAGATGAGGATGAGGATGTAGTAGCTGGCACACGTGACTGCAACAGGCTTCCAACATATGCATGAGAGATTGCCAGTCCAAAGCATGCAATGCATTTTCAATTAGGCTTTACGAGTGATTAACAGAGAATAGGTGGTGACACTCTATACCATGAATGTCTATATATATGTGTGTGTGTACATATTTTCATGTATGTACTCCAGTCTACTAGTAAACCAAAGATTATGTAGCATAAACATCATACCGGCGCCCAATCTCCAATGACATCTATAGACACCTAGCTCGAAATTTACCCAGACACTGCAATATCCTCCCTCCGAATCCCACTCCGCTCACACATGGTCTTAAAAATCCCCCCACGATCCCACAAGTTCACCGGGGAATCAAACTCCGCAATGCGACCCTGATCCATAACGCAAATACGATCATAATGGATGATAGTCCGCAGCCGATGCGCAATACACAGCACAGTCTTTCCCGCGAACCCAGTCGCCATGGTCTCCTGCACGCGGGCATCAGTCTCGAAGTCAACGGAAGAGGTCGCCTCGTCGCAGATGATGATTCTTGAGTCGCGGACGAGGGCTCTTGCAAGAGCCATCAACTGGCGCTGGCCGAGGGAGAAGTTCAGGCCTTCTTTGTCGACTGTTGTGTCGAGGTGGAGGTGATTGCGGGTTTTCCCTGGGGGTACAGATGATGTGGATGATGTGGCAGCAGAGAACGAGGTGGACGGGATGTCCTTTGGAGAGTCCTGGGCGACGAGGTGGGCCTTGCGCATAGCGGACCAAAGTTCGAGGTCAGTGTGCTCGTTGAACGGGTCAAGGTTAGAGCGGATAGTGCCGTGGAAGAGGGTCGGGTCTTGCGGGATGATGGTGAGACGAGTGCGCAAGTCGTACAGGCCTACAGTGGCGATGTTGACGTTGTCGATGGAGATGTGTCCGCCTGATAGCTCCGTCAGTCGGAATAGGGCTGTCATTATGCTTGATTTGCCGGCGCCTGTGCGGCCGACTATGCCGATGCGCTCGCCGCCCCGGACATCCATGGTTACACCTTTGAGGATGAGTGGTAGATTGGGGCGGTAGCGCATCTGTACGTCTGAGAAGACGATGCGACCTTTTTCGGGCCAGTTGGCTGGGACAGGGGCTTGGTGGAGGGGTGCTTCCTGCTCTAGGTGGTTGGCGTAGTGTGCTATGCGCTCGACCGAGTTGAGCTCGTTGTCGAGGCCGGCGAACATGCGCACGCCGAAGGTCATCTGCTGTGAGATTGTGAGCATGTACGAGAGGATCAGGCCCGAGACGCTGGGATCAACTGGGAAGCGGGCGGCTGCGACCAGGAGGACTACGACTAGGATCATCGTGTTGCTGACGGAGTCGAGCAGGGTGTTGAGCCAGCGCTGATTGGCGATGGTGAGGAAGTAAGCCCCGTTCATGGAGTCAATGGCCTCGTGGAGTCTCTCCCGGAAGTGCGCTTCCTTGTGGTAGGCTTGAATGCAAGTCGATCCGATGATACTTTCGCCGAACCGTGCGAAAACAACAGATCGGAGGACTGCTTCGTATCGCTTGGTGCCTCGGGAAGACGGCAGGAAAACGCAGATAGCTGCTACAGCTACTGCGAGCAGTATTGCGGCTGCAATGGCGAACTACCACAGCATGTTAGCGGAGCGCACGAGTGCGCAGCATGTGTGATAGACTCACGTAGTAATAGAATACGATGACCATGGTGATGATCCCCACCACCTGGACACCCGCAAAAAGAAACATCCGGAGAGAGTCAGCAATCTCCGTGTCCATGATCTGGACGTCTTGCGAGAACCGATTCGTGATGCGGCCTAGGGGCGTGGTGTCGAAGAACGACACCGGGGCCCGCAGAACTCGGTACATTGCCTGCTGCAGCATCCTCCTGCTGGCAGCGGCGGCGGCCTCCTTCACCTGCACAGACTGCAAATAGAGCATGACCGACTGAAAGACGGTGAGGGCTGCGTAGATTCCCATGTATTGGCCCAAAGACAAGTTTGGGAATCGGTTAGACGTCCAAAATGACAGCCAGACACCTGTCATAAGGGTCATGCCGCCAGCGAGAACCAGGAAAACGAGAGCAATGGGAAGGTTGAGGAAGGACCCCGACGCTGCGATGTATGTACCCCAGACGCCCCATCCTTCGGATGCCCGCTCTTCTTGCTGCATCAGCGCAGGGGCCGGGCTTTGACTCACGTTGTCGGGGCGCGGTTGTGACGGTACATTCTGACTAGGCTTGTCATCATCCGACTCACTGTCCGAGCCCTCCTGCTGAGGTGCGCTGAGCATGAGCTCCTGAAACAGACTATCAGTGCGCATGAGTTCCTCGAACGTCCCAACCGCGTGGAGGCTCCCTTCGTCCATAACAACGATTCGATCGCAGCGCGAAAGAACATGAAGCTGATGCGTAGCCAGCACGCGACACCGATCTTTTAACAACCCGCATATAGCATTATCCATTATATGACGCCCCACGTGGGCATCAACGGCAGACAGAGGATCATCCATGAGAATCAGGTCTGAATTAGAATAAATCGCACGTGCAATATTCAATCTCTGCTTCTGGCCCCCTGAAACGGTGATGCCTCGCTCCCCTATCTCTGTCCCATCCCCGTGGGTTAGCATGGCTAGGTCCGCGCGTAGTGCGCACGCATCTACCACTGCATTATAGCGCTCCTCGTCGTATTGGTTCCCAAAGAGGATATTGTCGCGGACAGTCGCGTTCTGTATCCAGGCATACTGCGGGCAATAGGCTCTCGTCACACCCATGCGAACATGGCCGGAGGTTAATCGCATATCGCCCGCAAGTGCTCCAAGGAATGAGCTTTTCCCACTACCCACGCCTCCTATCACGGCAATAAGTTCACCACGACCGATTTCAATGTTTACGTCATTGAGCGTGAACGGGTGAGACTGGGAGGCGTCGCTGCGATAATCACCGTCCGAGCTGGAGGCCGAGTCGGCTGTCGACTCTTCCGCGCGCTCCTTATCTGCCGTCACTGCCTGCTCCCACGTGAATGATGCATTCTTAACCTCAATAGCCTCCCTCATCCCATAATCCCACTGGATCAGCTCCTCCCGCTCCTCCGCCAAGAAGAACTGTTCAAGCCGTATAAGAGCCGCCCAGCCATCCGTCACCTTCGTCATTGCAAAATTGAAGCTTGACAACGGGTTTCGAATGGCATTGAAAATGGCCAGAGCGGCAAATATACGGTCCGGCGAGAGCTCATGGCCCGTCACGGCGTACACGATGAAGACTACCATGGCAGCGTAGGACGGCGTCGACGTCATGAAGACGATAATGGCCATCTGGACCTTGAAGAATTTTTGAAGATAGCGCAGTTCGTTCTTCCGGCTGGCCTGCATGCGCGCGAGAAAGCTGCTCTCCCACCCGAAGAGTTTGACGAAGCGCACGTTCTGCAGGATCTCCTGCGTTAGTGAGACGCGCGCGTCGGTGATCTTGTTGATGTCCATTCGGATGGTGACGAGATGTCGGATGACGAAGGTGAGGGTGCCGACTCCGACAATCAGGAGTCCGTAGCCCGGGAGCGCGCTGTAGCCTATGATGAGCACTGACATGACCAGCGCAAGGACCAAAGCGACAGGAACGACCAAGAACATGAAGAGAAAGGCGAATCCGTGGTCGACGCGCAGGGCATCAACGCCCATCAGGGTGGTAATTCGTCCGTTATCCCAGCCGGACGCCCCGGCGTCTGCATCTGCCTTCGATGTCCTAGCTTTTCCATCTCCATGCCCCACTGAGGTTTCCCCCTCTGCAGCAGCGACGGTACCAGCCTTGGCGCGAGCAGACAACGCCATCGCCTTTGTGAATATTTTCGAAGTCATAACGCCTCGTAATTGCCCGCCAACCATGGCAGCCGCGTACAGCGAACAACTCACTGACAGCGACTGTGTCGCTTGCATGCAAAATATGCCGACAGCATAGCCCATTCCTTTCCCCATGGCTGGACCGGGCCGGCCGCTGTGCTGGGATTCAACCACAGCCATACCATATGACACCAGGTGGCGGACTAGATAGGGACCCATGATGCCCAAAACATTGCTGAGGACTTGGCACAGCAGCCCTATCCATAGTTCCTTTTCGAAGGTGGTGCATATCGCTCTAAGAAGAGGTCTGTTTCTTCCACTGTTCAAATGCTGCTGCTGAGCGGTGTCTAGCCTCTCTGTTAGGCTCGCGACTGTTCGAGATGGGCTGACTTTCCAGATATCCTCGAGCTCTAGTTCTCGCAGGTAGCCTACCTACGTATCGCATAATCAGCTTGCGCCATCCAGCATTAGGGAGGGTAATTAGTCGATTACTCACGTTGATAAAAGGAGTCACCCACAAGAAGAATATGCGACTTAAGAAACTAGCACCATGCTCTCTCGATGGCATCCTTTCCTGCGGTACATCCGGAACTTTCTGCAGTCGGAGCGGGTTCAGTCGCTGCCATCGAGATTTTGCCTGCGTCCGTTGATGTTCTGGATCCTGCGACGACGTCAGGCGCACCGCACTGACGACGACCTTCTCCGGGTTACCCTTCGGCTTGAGTGTCATGATTGGCATAGAAATCGTGGAAACCCTCTAGATGCAGTCTGCAGAGGGGGAAAACTCAGAGCGGTCGAGTCTTCACAGCAAATAGATTGAATAAACAGTGTTAGTGACCTAGTCGAGGCAATTGTCCGACTCCATGGATTATCGACAGCCACAATGGGGGCGAATTCAAGGGGCACGATGAGCGGTACAAATCGTGGAAGTATGTCCCTTAGAGTCCGAATAGTCACACTCTGGAAGAGGATGAAGAATCATGTCACAATCACAGTTTCGCCATGATACAACTAGAGGCAATGGACAGCGCTACATGCGGTAATCAGTTCAGCCATAAATATAACACCCACGAAGCAAGGAGAGCTTATGACGAAGCAGCCAATATCTCAAAAGATCTGCAGTTCAATATCCATTTCTACCGAGTATGGATGTTGTACGACTTCTAGAAAGGTGGATAGGAGTATGGACTGACCATGCATGTTTCATGCCTTACCAAAATACAGCCCCTGGCTGTGAACACGGCCACTGTAGTGTCTCCCAGATCAGCATGTTTGGTTTGGTGTTTAGACTAATCTGAAACTGAGTAAAAAATATACAGAAAAGGAATATCCAGCAAGGGATTCATCCCTTGATAGGACCCACCAGCACCATTTTGATATTGAGGAACAGTCGAACGGGTAGTTCCGCAATGATGCCGTGCGCGTCTTCCAAGACGTGTCATGGCGTTTTCATTGATGCGGTATGACATGTTGCACCTACAGGGGCTTTCGATTAGTCTGTTCTCTCAGATTTTGTCTGATATTAGCTCACCAAGCCAGGAGTTCGGGAGTCTTCATGAAAAGAGATGCGCTCCTAGATGAAACGGTGCTTCATCTCAGTACATGCTCCATGAATGCACAGTAGATCGGATCAGCGAGGACGGCAAAAAGGAAACAACATCAGAAACTATCCAAAACAGCGTCCAAAAATGTTAATAATATATTCAATCTATGTCGCTAAAACCTTCATGCAAACACAATGAGTAGAAGAAATCAAAAGTAAAAGACTATATATGCCGATCTATCTAATTATCTATCAAGTCCGCGCTCCGATCAAACATATGCACAGATGCACAGATATAGTCCCAATCCATCCCATATACCGTCCATCCAACGCCAAACAAATGCACTGCCATTATAAGATGAATGCCCGGGGAAACAGCGAATTCGAACCGAAACCAGACGAGAGCAAGAACACGAAAAGGAGGAGCACGATTCAGGGCGAGGTCCAATCAACCATATCGTGCGCTCAAGCTGGCAAAGGCGTCCGGACTATGTCTGCCAGTCTGGAATCCATTGATGTCAACGCTCTGCTGGCTCATGTGTCCCTTGGGGAAGGTGCCCGTTGTCGAGGGAGCGGAGTTCATCGCGGTGCCGTATCCATATGCCGGCTGGGCTCCAAATGCGGGTTGGGCTTGTGCGGGCTGCATGGGAGCTTGCGCGGGCATGGGAGCTTGCGTGGGCATGGCCCCCGGGGCTTGAGTAAAGAAGGGGTTTCGGGAACCGCCACTCGCGTCAAATGGAGGTTGAGCACCGGGGTTGGGTTGCGCGAAGTTCGGTGCCGAGGTTGGAGCTTGGGGGCCGCCCAGCGGAGCGGAGAGCGGTGGCTGCTCGGGCAGGGTCGGCGGGGGCGGCGCGAATTGGTATAAAGAGAGGATATTGTTCTTGTTCATGCGGCCGGTCGGCTGGGGAGTGAGTTGCTGAACCCCAAACTGCGAGGGTGGCGCCAGGTTCTGTGGTGCGGTGGGCGCAGCAGTCGTCTGGTAGGGGTTCAACGAACCGCTTCCGTACTGAGACTGCTGAGGCTGAAGCAGAGATTGAGGTTGGGCCTGGGGCTGCGGCTGAGGGGGTTGCGACTGGAACGGAGACGGCTGCCCAAACGCCGAAGTAGATAACGCAGGCATCGTGTTCGCGTGGCGCGGTGGGTGGAACCCAGCTGGGGTGACCTGTGGCGCCGACGTCGGTTGCGGAGGTGGTTGCGTGAAGAAGGGATTATTCGTCTGAGGCGATCCAGCGCTCTGGTTCGAAATCGGAGGGGTCAAGATGCCCTGCGGCTGGGCGGCGGACTGGAAGAAGGGGTTGTTTCCGAGGTCGGAGGTGGGAGGGGGAGCGGCGAAGGCAGCTTGGTTGAACGTGGCGCTGACGGGAGGAGTGGCGGATTGCTGGTACAGGGATTGCGGGGGAGCAGGCTGGCTCTGGGGATATCCGCCCGTGGAGTGGGGGAACAAAGGTTGCGAAACCTGCAAGTGTTGGAAAGAGACATCCAAAGGCTGCGCGGAAGACGGCATCGGAGGCTGCTGTGGCTGGGACGGCATGTCAAACGGGTTGTAGGACTGTCCATTTGACTGAGCCGGCGGGTTGGCATCCAATTGATCGAACGGATTGGTTGAGCCGGCCCGACTGGCGGTATCCCTTCCAGTAGCGGTCGTGGGGGTTTTGCTCCGCAGAGTGGGATTATTGCCCCCCTCTCCGAGGCGCATCAGGGTCTCGATCGCTTTATCGAGATTCCCATCTAACCCACGCAGAGCACCAGCGTTCCGGCGCTCATTCGCGAAACCCATACTCCGCAAGGTGGCCATATTGGATTCGAACACTGGGTCACTCCCCGCACTGGTTGGGAGCGGAGGAGGCGGGGAGGCCTGCCTATCTGATACTCGACGAAGGTTTGTGGCGGAAGACGCGGACCGAAGACCGAACCCAATAGGTCGATTCGGTTTCGGAGGGAGGGGAGGCGGAGAGCCCTCCGGAGACCGGTCGTAGCCCGAATCATGACGGCTCGGGGGTTGTTGTGCTTTACCCTCCTCCAACGAACGGTATTGATACTTCTGGCGAATGAAGCGCTCCATGCAAGCGTCGGCCTCGTCGACATCGGTTGGAATGGGCGGCTTAACGTTCTTTGGGTTGTAGATTTTATTCATCAGGTTGTTCCCGTGGGATTTCATGTTCTATCGTATTGCGTCTGCGGTCAGTTCTCAATCCCAGGATGGGCAAATCGCCGAATAGGCACTTACATCCACCTGGTCCGCGGCCCAAGTATCCATGCTCAACGACTTGACTTTCGAGATGTGAGTGCCGAGTTTCCGATGGATGGCAGCGCATCGCATGCATAGGAAGAGGCCCATCTGCGCATTCGATCAGTTTCACTTCCTTCGTTTTTCTTCGACTGCAGGTCGGATACATACGTTCCAGCTGGCCCATCCTGTTGACACAACAAGTTAGCAATAGCCCCCAAAAAGATCGAATCCAAGAGACGACAGCGAACATGAAACCGCAAACGGGACTCGAGACAGGACTGCGATTACCCACCTGGATTCATAGCCTGACAATCGGCACATCGGTCATTGCCAGGGACCGATCGAATGAGGTCCTGCAGAGCCCGCTCATTGCGGAACTGCTGGCGTTTACTGATTCCCATCACCATGGTCGCAAGAAGTCGCCGATAACAACACGCTTAAACAGTGAAGTGCGAAGGTTCGCGAAGCCCGTCAGAGGCAAGAAAAAAAAAAAAAAAAAGGGATAGAGTAAGAGTAGGAAATGAGTGGTAGGTCGTAAGAGGGGGAAACGAAGAGAAAAAAAAATAAGGAACGAAAAAGGTCAGCGAACGGGCCGATATTCCGGATGATCGTAAAACAAGTTCAAACAAAGCAGGCGAACATATTTACAGCGAAAAAATGGAGTAAAATAGAGTCCTGGAAGTGAGAGGGAGCATGAAAGTGGACATGGACAGGAAGAGGAGAGAAGAGGGGGAAGAAGAGGAGAGATGGCAAAAGGAGGAGAGAGAGAGAGAGAGAGAGAGAGAGGGTGGCCAGGGATGGATCGGACGGATGATGCGGCGGGTGTGGGGAAGAATGAACCCAACTCCCTTTCTTTCCTGTACCTGAATCAAACCTATCCTATCTCTTCTCCTGGATTGGTCTGAAGCTACGGATGAATGAGACCGCTAGGGTTTATTTTTACCTGCCTTTTAATCTATTCTTCTGACAGTCTCCATTCAGGTTTGGTGTTGATTGCTCTGTCCTCATATCAGGCTCCTCGTGCCGCGTGGAGGATATTTAGTCCTACGCTGGCGTCAGGGGCAATTTTTTAGCTCTGCACTGATCGTTGAGTCGTCATTGCCACTTGCTGACCTTGAGTACGGAGTAGTGTGGAATCATATCCACCGAACAAGTCATTTTTTTTCTGCAGAGTGGCAACGGTCCCTGAACCAGGACCCTGGAACGGTCTTCGAACAGAGGTCATTCCCAACACACCGCACGGTTGAGACACCTACAGAATACAGTATGGTTTCCACCTGACTTGACTGAACTGACAGAGTCATAGAACTACAAATTCAACAGCTGTGTTTGAAAGAATATATGAGCAGCAGGTGACTCCAACCACCACAGCGCCTCAGCCTCCGAAGAGACCCAGGCACGGTAGAAAAGCCTTATATGCTCCGGCACGTTTTTCTAGTACGCCAATATGACCAACCATCCTATGAAACTAGTCAACTAGAAGGAACTGGCGGTTGATTATGCGTTCGTAAGTTTTAAAAAGTGTGAAGAAGAAAAAGAAGAAGAAGAAGAGAAGAAGAAAAACAGAAGAAATAAAAAGTCTGTCGTGGGGCACGTGATGGTGGGTCTGATTAGTCAGATGTTTATTTACCTTACTAAGCCTGTCATCATGGTCAGCATCATCCTGTCACAATATATAGGAGAAAGACACGAAATGTGGAAGAAAATGGAATCAAGCAAACACAACAGCAAGAATTATGGATTTACCTGTGCTTTTTTACCACACTACTGAAGTAAGGGCTCTGACAGGTGCAAGGGTCACTTACAAAGCTCACAGTGTCTTCCTATCTTTGGTTGTCTGGTCATGGCTATTATCACGCAAGAAAGAGTATATAGGGCTCATAAAAGGAATGGATTCGAGTCAGGCATCACTTGACAATGCCAAAGACCCGTCACACTACAGGTTGAGTCCGAATGTTATATGTAGGGAAGGATTATGAGAACCATCAAAAAGGATGATGTTGATGATGTTGTCATGTTCCTGGAATGGCAAAGATTGTATAACGGATTAAATCTATGTGGTCAGCTGACTTGTCACGTTTGTTCTTCTCTCTTCTTTCCACTTTCTCTTCTACATTCTCATATCCCCTACAGCCACGCGGGGCCGCACGGGAGGGGTCTACAGAGGCCCCATCCCAAGTGCACACTCCCTGTGCTTTCCTCGAGAACTCGGAGTGATACAGAGGATTTAGTTGATATCTGCGTCCTGTACTTCTTGGATCAAGAAGACGTTGCTCGTCACCCGACTTGACTGAGGTTGCACCCCGCCTTCTGTAGGCCACTTTTCCTACACTATTCCAATCAGCTAGATATGGTTCATTTGATTTTCTATTGACTTGAAAACTACAACTGTGGTTGATCGTGTCCACCATTACCGCCATGAAGAAGATGCAGCGTACCACCATATACCAGTCCAACGATTCTGGGGGCAGAAGCATTTCAAATGCGGCACTGTCAGAACAAATTGCAGACAGGTACCTCTCATGGTGTGAGAACACCCATATTTCATGTGTCTGAGCCGATGAAGACTGTAGGAGAGGAATATATGTGGTTGACGGCTACTGATGAAGAAGGGAGTACCGCTTGGAAGTTGATACTCGCTGATAAAAGGGTGAAGTGTCCAGCTGGCGACTCGCTATCGGGTGTGTAAAATCCCTTATCGGAAGGTATTCATCACAGGTACTGACTTGGGTCTTAGGTTTAATAAAGATCGGGCAAGAGCTGTCCACCGTGAACGGGCACACCAAAAGCTTCACATGGATCAAGTCTTGCAAAAATAGAAACGGCATAGATCTTCACACATCATCGGTGCTCACATCAAGACCCTTTGTTGAAAGTACTCTTCGTAGCCACCAAGTCGGCAATGGCGGAAATAGTCACCCCGCCCATGATTTCAAACACGGCGACCGTCGCGCCAAACTCCTTTCCGAACCAGTTGCGCAGGTCAACTGCCATCAACGAATCAACACCATAGGCGGATAGCGGCTTGTTGGGCATGATATCCTCCGGCGGAATGGACATTGCGCGTGCCAGCTTGATGGCCAGAGCCTGGTGGACTAACTGGATGCGTTCCCCAGAGTCAGAGGACTGTCGGAAAAGGGCGACGATCTCTGCTGCCTTGTCTCGTGTCATGCTACCTTGTCCACTGGAAGCGTCGCTCGAATTGGGGAGGTAAGAGAATGCAGCGAATAAGGGCCGGTCAAGCAGCGCAGGGGGGCTTCGACCCTGCGCGAGGACATCGGCCGGCGTACGCAATCCAATCAAGACCTGGGGGTTTGGCTTCACCGACCGGGGGCGAGTCGGGTTGCAGTAAACGCCCAGCAGGGCCAGAAGATCGGTACTGTTTATAGGGTTCATGTCATCGGCCGCCTGTCGCTGACGCTGGTAGGCGCCAGTCTCGGCAATGATCCCGATATTGCGCATCCAGCCAATGTCGATAGAGAGACCCTCTTGGCCCTGGGAAACGCGGTACCGGGCCAGAGCATCTTGGAATGCGCAGCCGCCGGCGTAATTTGAGCTGGCCATCTGACCGACTATGCCGGCGAGGGAAGAGAGAAGGACGAAAAAGTCCAGATCTCTGGGGAGCAAGCGATGCAGGTTCCATGAGGTTTGCACTTTCGATTTCATTGTCAAGTCCCACTTAGCAAAGGTCATGTTCTGCTGGAAAACGCCATCCTGCAGGACCATTGCCGCATTGATGCATCCCTTGATGGGTGGCATGACTCGCGCGCACTCAACCAGCATGTCGGAGAAGCTAGTCTCGCAGGATACATCGCATCGGGGAGCGTGAACAGTTACGCCACGCTTCGTCAGTTGAGCCACCAGGGAGGCTGCGGCTTTCGATGTCGCGCCTGATCGAGAAGGGACAATCAAGTGCTTGGCTCCCCGGTCGGCCATCCATTGCATGATGGCGCGGCCAAGTCCACCAGATCCTCCAGCGATCAAGTACGATGCCTGGCTATCAAACACCCACTGTGGTCTCTTCTGAATGTATTGCTGCACGCGCTCATTATCAGATTAAGGGACTTGCAGGAGTTGGTGCATACTAGGGAAAGATGAACTTACCAGGACAGCATCGTCAGGCCTCGCGGTAATCACGACGCGACCAATTGTCTCCTTCCCTTGCAGTTGCTTGAAAGCATCTTCGACCTGTGATACGCTGTAGGTCAACAGCGGCTGCGGGTGCTTGATCTCGCCTTCTTCCAATAACTGGGTAACCGAAGTCAGCAGTCTACCTAGCGCTTTCTGCCGGAACTTCGCCGGATCGACGATTGAGAATGTGATATTCCTTGCCAGCACTTCGATGGGTAAAGCGACACCAGCCGCGACGTTGGCACGGCTAATCTCGATAAAGTGCCCACCTTGGGTCAGACATTTGCAGGATGCCCGCAGCATATGCTCCCCAACCAGAGGATTTATGACAACATCTACCCCCGCCCCCTGCGTCACTCGCATCACACCTGCTGCAAATGAGGTATCTTGACTCTGGAAAATGCAGTTTGCAGATATACCGAGAATGTTAACAAGGAAGTCTCTCCCTTCGGAAGACTCGGTCGTGGCATAGACATGGGCGCCTTTCTTTTGGGCAATGCGGGTGGCAATCTGTCCCACGCTATTGGCAGCCAAATGTATGAGAACCTTGTCCCCTTCTTCTAGCCTGGCAATGTCAACCAAGGCATGGTAGGCTGTTATCCCGGGCCGCAAGCTCGATGTGGCAACCTCAATGGACAAGCCATCAGGTATCCGAATCACACCCGCCTCATGCGCACGCATATACTTGCGCATTTGACCCGCACTGGACATAAATACCCGCTCGCCCTGCTGGACCGACGTCTTGCAATTGCTACCCACCCGTGTCACTACTCCCGCACAATCGCCTCCTAGTAGCTCACTGTGGGCACTTGCACGACCGGTCGTGGAGCCAACATCCAATTCGCTTAATGCCCATGCTTTAGCTTCGATCTCAATCTCATTGGCACCAATGGCTGTCTCGTGTGTATCATCCTGCACGAAACGGACCGAGTCGAGGGCGCCCGGAGTACCCACGGAAAGCTGTAAAGCGTCCCCTTCAACCCATGGCTTGCGCTCCAGTTTCGGAGAGAGGAGAGGCTGAAGAATGTCATTGCCAGTCACATCCTCGACAGCCCGGCCTGTCAAGAGAAGTCCATCGCGCGCTATGTACTCCAGCTCTTTGGATGGGGTGGATCCAAATGTAGCCTCGAAAGCTTTGGCAATGAGCCGCGCACACGCCGCAGTATGCGCCTCGCCCTCGACGGCCAAAGTCACAACGTGGCTACCAGCCTGTTCAGCGCGAATCGAACGCAAGAAGCCCTGGGCAATGCCGCAGTCAGGATATTTCACGTCTCCTGTGGCCGCACCCGTTACCCATATTAACTTGGCCGCATGCTGGGTCAACTGTCGCAGAGTCGCGAAGTCGTTCTCTGATAGGGTGGAGAGCAG